TTTCACATGCCATCTGTATTCTCATGGTCTAAACCTCATCTGCTCACCATTCCCTGATTCATAATTAGTTTGGTGGGCAGGAGACAAATTCTCTGGATGTTTGAATTATGACATCATCATAATTTGTGATAAAAAAGTTTTATCTTTTAATTTTATTACATGTCTTAAATTTAAGTCAAAAAGTATAAGTTTTTATTTTTTATTAGAAAAGGGCTTTATTATCAATGCTAAGCTTATTAAACTCATTTTTATTGGAAATTTTCAAAGCACTACTCTTATTTAAGTATTTTTAATCTAAGCATCTGAAGATAAAGCAAGATTAAACTAATTTATATATCCAGAATTTAAACTAATGCTTTTTTTACTTTACAGCCAGTAGTTTATATTTCCGACTCAATAGAATGCCCTACTATATTCTAAATTCATTTGATTTTGGGCATTAAATTTCTTTCTGAATTTTCCTCTTACATTCACTTTTTCAAGCAATTTAGTATCAAGACCAGATTCATAAAATCTTTTGGCAAGTTGATTAGGTAATTATTGCTCTATCTGAAAAATGTAACATCATATATTTCAAACATTTACTAAAGATAAGTTAGTACTAAGAAAATTAAAGAAATTTTGATATTAATAAGTTTAAATCACTTAGTACATAAAGCTATATAAAAAACTTTACACGAACCTTTAGGAGGAAGGTATAAATTAAATAGTTTGAATTGGGATTGATTGAGAATTAAAATGGCTATGTAATACTTTTATTTGGTATATATCTTAAAGGATATTAAATATAAATATTAGTATTCCTACTACTCTTAGTTCATAATTCTATCAAAATGTAGTATAACTTGGTTCATTAGCTAAATTTCCTTCCAAAAGTGGTATTCTATAGGATACTTTAACAAATATTGTCTCAAAGGTTTATTAATTTTTTGTGTAGTAATTTTAGAATTTCTATATAAAATTCTCAGATTCATTTTATAACAAGATCTTTTAAGTTGAAATAACCATTCTCAAGCAAAGCAAACTTTTAATTTCATGTAGATATTATAAAGAAAATTAGCATAGGATAAGTCATTATTATTATTTTTTAATTATTAAAATAGGCTACATTAGTTTAAAAAAGAAATAAATTTTATTTGGATCATTCTTTGCTGACTTAAATACTTGCTATTTTTTATTTTATATTATTGAATTTTGATATGTATACCAATTTGAACTTCTATTATGTTTCTTTAATTTTACTTATTTATAAATAAATATTTACATAAAACATAGCTCATTTCTTTATGATTGATAGTGATCTTTAAATTTCTCTGTAATTATTTTACTAGTTAGTTTTCCAAGTTCAAAATTTGTTATTATAACTTTAGTTAACAGAATTTAAACTTTTAACAACATTACTAAATCAATTAGTTTGCAGCTTTAACTCAGAAAATTACAAATCTAGTTTCTCACTCTCAAAATTCAAATGAGCACTCTGCGTTTTGAAAATCCTAAAAAAGAGTTGAAATTGAAATTCTTATTATTATTATAAAATCAATTCTATTCGTTCTAGCTTTCAGAGCCATAAAAATTAATTCAGATTTGCGTTTATTATTTTAATCATAAAAAATAATTAAGTTCCCTATCGATTTCAAATTCTGTACAAAGATTCTATTTCTTGGTACTTTTTTTTCTTCCAATAATTTAACATGAACTTTCTCATATTATCCTTCAATGCTCTCTACCATAAAGGGAATTTTAGCGATTATCAATATATCGAAAATAATTTCAGCTAGAGATTTGTCTAATGAATGTCCATATTTTTGAATTGGAATAGTACAATAGTTAATGTCTGCGGATTTAACAATATGTTGAAATAATTTAGAATTTCAACTAAGAGATCGACTTCTTCATATTTTCAGTAAATTCTTAGTCATAATAGTTATAAAATATATAAAAATTAAAATATAAAAGACCAGAAAAAAATAACTGAATTCTTTAGAATGAAAATTAATCATATTAATATCTTAATTTAATTTTAATTTTAGGTTAGATTAGATTTATAATTTGAATGAGGAGATATTTATAAATCATAAGATATCATTTTTAAATACTTTAAAAAGTCTTTTTATTTTCCTTCTATTACAGTCTGATAGATTACAAAATATTTAACTTGAAATTGAAATTTGATTTACCTCAGAAAATTAAATAGTAGTTTACTCAAAAATTCTCTTTATAATTCTTTAATAATATAATTTTTTTGTTTTTTAATAATTCTCAAATTAAAAAATTTTACTTTCTGATAGGGCAGTTTTAAAGATATTTAAATTTTTCTAAATTTATTCGAAGTAATCTCCTAATTTAGTAAAGTAGCAGACATATTGTAATGGTATCTTATTTTTTGCAATATAATTTAAATAAGACAAAATTAATTGATACTGAGGGTGGTTCTCGAAGTTGGGCTGACACAGTTGCATATACTACCCTCTCTGTCAGAAATATTATCACAATTTTAATGGTTGTCCGAATGAAGTATCAACAGTGAATACTTTATGCCATTTAAAGTCACTTTACATAATTTAGTTATGGTTCTGTTGTTCCAACAATTGCTTGATCTGCCATCTGAAGATACTTTGCATCGCTTATTTAAGGTATAATAAACTTTCTTGCTTGGTTTTGATAGCTTTTAACCCTCGGAATCTTGTGTAATTGTGTTATTTAATGAGCATGTTTGGAATATTGGTGTTTTCGATGGTGCTAACTTTATTTGATATAATTAATAGATCCTTTTGATTTAATATTTGAACTGGATTTAGTAGTCGATGTTAGTCCTCAGGTGAATTTTATATCTGCTGATCGATGTCGTAGACTTATTTAACATACAATATACAAATAATAGATATTTATGCATCTTAATTTATACTTCAAAAACTATTTCCTCAATCATTATAATTCGAAAATCTAATTATTTATTTTTTGCAGTAAAATTCCAACAAAGCATGAATAGGTAATGTGCATAATTAATTATCAGATTTCACCTTTTTACACGACATTGCTTTTTCTACTTCTTAGTTAAGGAAGGATAAGTCAAATTTCTCTATTGTATTTCTAATTCCACCCTCATATAAAAATATTGTCCGAATATGACTGATGAGTAAATAAGTGTTAGAGCAATTAATAAGGTTACTCTTTGAATCTTAAGCACATAAACTGGAAGCCAGGAAAGACGCCACAGCATATGGGGAAGCTATTAGGCTTCTTCCTTGATGGACTCCAACATGTTTGTTATTATAACCTCTCTAAAGCTTTGAAGACAAGGTCACTCCAACTCGAGACTTATTTGATTTCTTTTGTAATTTTGTTATCAAAAGATAATCTTGTTCCTTTCTCATAAATAAAAAATATAAGTTATGATTTGATTCCTGACTAAAATGAATGATATTTTTGAGATTTAATATTCAAATTTGAATTGAGATTTTTTGATATTTTATTGATAATATTTAATCTACCAATTAAATTATCAAAAATTTTTTAGATGAAGAATTTTAAATCTATTTACTGATGAATAATCACTATATTTTTCTGAATAAAAAAGATTATCTAACTTTAAAGAGATGATGTTATAAAATTTATTAATTCAATTTAATAATTCACAAAATTTAAGAAAGCTCTTTAATTATTGATTCCATTTATTTGACATTTTGTATTCTTACGATAACCTTTACAGGAGCAAAATGCTATGGAGCTGAGCCCCAATCCTTGATTATCCTTACATTATTTATTTACATTTTGGAAGAATTCTTCATAAGATTTAAACATTCTCCTGCCTAACAGTTGTATCAACTTTTCATGGAGAAATTTTATCTATATATATTTGATTCTATAAACAACTTAAATTCTAGAAATTATGGTGCATGGGCTTTTTAGTTGGTAGTCATTGTTCAATCAATCTCATCCAATTTAACCATTTCAATTTTCTAAAAATCCCCTGTTTCCTCTTGAATCTCATTTTCGCTCATATATCTTAATCGAAATATAACTTAGATCATTCAAATATGGATTCAAGACCTTATTATTCTTTGAAAATCTTTTGCATTAAAAGATCTTTTTCAGATTTACCCAATCCTGAAAATGCCAGATTCATTATTATTGCTAGTAAGATACCTTCAGTAGCATCTAGACAGTTACGATATCTTTTGAACATTGTAATAAGTCCAATAAGATTATATATTATGGGGAATTTGGTTTAAAGAGATTGAATTTTTATAATTCTCTTCTATATTTATTTATAGAAAATATCATTATTATCTCATTCCGTTCTATTTTATATCAATTCTTACATCCTTCTCTTAACATGAGACAATCTATTTCTATGAAAGAATAGTCTTAATTTATACCATATAAGCATAGGATGTAATAACAAGCTGAAATGATGCAGGAATTTTCTTGTTCTGTCTCTTTGTTAATTAGTCATTGAGAGATAAAATTCAAATGAATCCAAATTATCATATTTTCTCGTTTCAGGATAGATTATATATGAGTATTTTAACTTTGTAATTTTGTATTTTTATATATTATAGTTTGGTGAGAATCCTACAATTTAATGCATATCAGTTTGACTATCTTATACCGCCTCTAATTTTCTACCTTTATCTATCTTTGCTTGGTTGCAGTTATCATAATTGTTAGACCATTTATTTTGGAATAATTTTTCTTTAATTTGTTTCAATTAATTGACCATTCTAATTAATACATTCATCTAAGTCTTGATACTATTATAAGTATTTGGATCAAGCGCAAATATTTCGATTTAGCTTTCTGTTTTCTTATTAAAATAGAAGCTGTCCTCTCCATGCATAACTATATGTCTCCAAGGGGCGAAAATTGGAAAATATTCAATCTTGAAAGATGACCCAGAGTTTAGAAATAAAAAAAGATTTCATCAACAAATTCAAGCGTTTGCCATAAGCAAAAAATAAAAAAACAGATATAATATATTGTAATAATCTTTTAATTAATCAATTTTCTTGATATTACAATCTTATTTAACTTTCTAAAATGTAACTTCCTCTTTATTTAAATAATGTTCGTAAATCCATACCTGATTGATTTATAAATTCTCCTTCAAAGATAAGAGCCCCTTATGATTGAAATACTAACTATTAGGATAGTAGAAGAATAGTAATATATGAAGAAGCTAAAGAATTATGAAAATAAATACCACTTTCTAAAAGAATATCATTTTTATATTAAGCCAAAATATCTTTGTAGCGATTATATGAAGGTAAGATCTGTCTTTTTTTTACATCCCATACACGGATAGACTAATCAGTACTACCAGATGCTAACGTCATACCATCAGGTGAAAAGCAAACTGTTTGAACCCAAGTATCATGACCAACTAGTTTGGCTTTTTATTCTCCTGTCTTAGCATCCCATAAACGGATAGACTTATCATAACTACCAGATGCTAATATAGTACCATCAGGAGAGAAACAGACTGATCGAATATAACTATCATGACCATCTAATTTTTTTATTTATTATCCTGTCTAAACATCCCACAAACGGATGGTTTGATCATGACTGCAAGATGCTAATGTTAAACCATTAGGAGAGAAGCATACTGATTGAACAGTGTCACTATGACCATCTAATTTGGCTCTTTGTTTTCCTGTCTTATAATCCCATAAAAGGATAGACTAATCATGACTACCAGAAGCTAACGTTATATGATCAGGAGAGAAGCACACTGCTATGACTAAATTAGTGTGACCATTTAATTTGGCTATTTATTACCCTGTCGTAATATCCCATAAACGGATTGTCTTATCATTACTACCAGATGCTAACGTTTTACCATCAGAAGAGAAGCATACAGAATTAACAATGTAGGTATGTCCATGAAATTTGGTTTTTATTACTCCTGTCTTAACATCCCAAATAAGGATTTAGTTATCTGAACTTCCAGATGCTAATAGAGTACCATCAGGAGAGAAACAGACCGAAGAGACAGAATTAGTATGACCATCTAATTTAGCTTTTTATTATCCTGTCTTCCAATCCCATAAAAGGATAGAGTCGTCTAAACTTCCAGATGCTAATGTAGAACCATCAGGAGAAAAGCATAATGATTGAACAGTCTGGCTATGACCATCTAATTTGGTTTTTTATTATCTTGTTTTAACATCCCATAAACGGATAGAATTATCGGAACTACCAGATGCTAATGTATTATCATTAGGGGAGAAACAGACTGATTGAACTTAACCACTATGTCCATCTAATTGAGCTTTTTATTCTCCTGCTTTAACATCCCATAAACGGACCGAGTAATCATTACTACAAGAGGCTAATGTCATTCCATCAGGAGAGAAGCAGACTGATTAAACAACACCATTATGACCCTCTAATTTAACTTTTTAATATCCTGACTTAACATCCCATAAACGAATAGACTTATCTACATGTCCAGATGCTAATGTAGTTCCATCAGGAGAGAAGCATACTGATCTGACAGTTTCATTTTGATTTTCTAGTTTTGCTTTTTATTATCCTGTCTTAACATCCCATAATCGAATTGAGTTATCTGCACTTCCAGACGCTAATGTAGTGCCATCAGGAGAGAAGCAAACAGAATTTACAAACATTTTATGGCCATTGAATTGCGCTTTTTATTATCCTGTCTTAAAATCCCACAAACGAATAGTGTAATCATTACTACCAGATGCTAATGTTTATCCATCAGGAGAGAAGCATACAGATAGGACTTCTCTACTATGATTTTCTAATTTTGCTATTTGTTATTCTGTATTAACATTCCATAAACGAATTGATTTATCTGAACTTCCAGATGCTAATATTGAGCCATCAGGAGAGAAGCAAACTGATGAGACAACATCATTATGACCATCAAATTAGGATATTTATTATCCTGTCTTAACATCCCATAAACGAATTGATTCATCTTAACTACCAGATGCTAATTTAGTACCATCAGGAGAGAAACATACTGATAGGACTAAATTACTATGTCCAACTAGTTAATGTAAATCATTAATTTTCAAATCTGTCCATTTACAATCAAACAATTAAGCTCCAAATAACTTAACTCCATTAATGTTCACATTAGTGAATATAGATTAACTGAAGTTGCATTTTGCAAAGTTACCACCAATTAAAGAAGTGTCTTTAATTTCGATTTTCTCAAAACTCATATTAGTAAGATCAACTTTCATTTCAACTAATATATTAAGTGAGTTAGATCCACCTTAAATAAAATTTTTGTCAATCGCTGTTAGATGCACTAGGAATTTTAAAAATTCTATAATTGAAACATCCTTTGATATTTTTTTGATAAGATATTTTCTTGTTTCAGCATAAATTTCAGTTGAATAATTAATTTAATTAAATTTATGTTTTTCTAGAATTTACATAAGTTTCACAGTTTAATCGATGTTCTTTTATAAAGTCTTTAATTTTTATTGCTTATCAAATATTGATAAATCGTCAACCTTAAGACAGAATTCATAATTTTGTTGAGATGAAAAAAATTTTAAATCTTTGATATTCTCTTTGGACATAATTTCTAAAATGGATCTAAATATTTGAGTTTAAAGTTCTTTTGATAATACTAAAACTGCATATAAATCAGCTGCTATTAAAAATTCTTATATAGATTTATGGACAAATTAAAAGTTAGTACCATTTTATTAGACTAAAGAACAACTTCTGATATCCTTTTTATACGATCCATATTAACCATCATCATCAAAATATTCATTTAGCCACTTCTCCTCTTCTTTTTCATCTTTGTACAATAACCCTTATTATTTAAATTGCACTTAAGTCATTTCTTTTCCGCTCAATGCTTTTGCAAGGTTAGATGAGTATCTTTTTAAATCATGTAGAAACCGATCAACAAGTATTGATTTTCCTAAGTTTCTCTATTTTTCTATTTATTTCTAATAGTATTAACTAATAAACTCATCATAAAAGTCATAACTTGTAAGATTGAATTCGTTCAATGCATCGCAAATAATTTCAACTATATTTTAGTTTTGAATTGCAGCCTTAACAAATGAGATGTCGGATGCCAAAAGGTTATGTTCAAATACCTTTATAAGTTTTGTATTTAGATCATTAAATTCTTACGAAAGCTAAAATTGAATAGGAATTGAGTTTTCCTCTAATTTATTCCAAACTTCAAGAGCGATTTCTTAGTAGTTTATTTTATCCAAATTTTCAACATCAGTTGAAGTAACCTCTAATTTTTCGTCATAATTTTCATGCCAATGGTATTTGTCTATTTCATTATTAAATTCAATTAGATATTTTTTCTATTACCATTTATACATTTGAATGAGATATTTACTTTTGTGGTGCTCTTTAAGCATATTTGAGAAATTTTTTATAAAATTTTATTTCAAATTAGTTAGCTCAGTTGCTTTTGCCATCATTTCTGGCAATACTTAAACTATTTTCTCTGTACGCAATAGGGGAGGGCTCAACCAATTTATTTAGATTTATCTACTTCATCAACTTGTCATACTTTTCGACACTCCACAGTTTTTATAATTTTATGCTTAGACTTCTTAAAGCTTCATTACTTTTTAAAGCAATAAATTCATCATTCTTCAAAAATTATTAAATGTTCTCTATTTATTTTTAATTCAACAGAGTCTCATCATTTAACTTTGATACTTCTTACTTTTTCAATTATTATAGTAATTTTTCCCAACAAATTTCAAACTTATTTATATCCATGACTCCTCGATTTGAAATTTCTGTTTACCATTCATATATTTCGAAAATCAACATTTTTATGCTTTGAATTGTGAATTTTTTTAGGTATTCCATCATTTAGTTAGAATCAAATTTTAGTAGCTAGATTTCTTTTAATCTTTCCTTTTCATCAGGCGCAAACCATTTGGCATAATTACTACTTGTAAATATTTCACTTCTTGTGGTAAAAATAACTAGTGGGTCTGACCAATTCTACTTAACTTTATTATTAATATATAAATTTTTCTAAATATTTTCTAGTTTCATTTCATCATAACTGTCCATTATCAATAAAAATCCTGAAATCCTTCTTTTCCAGCATCTCCTTACATTCTTTCAATTAGAGCTCGTCAAACCCATACTCATCTTGACGAAGGGCTTCCTCTACTGCTTAAAAAACTGGATTTTTTAAAGAAGGCAAAGAGATATAAATAGGTATGAGTATTTGATTACTAATTTTTTTGTTATTGTTTTGTAATTTCCAGATAAATTCTTCTATCTTCTTTGCTGTAGTACTTTTGCCAGATCCTGCTACGCCATGAATTAATAATACTGTCTACTTCTGTTCTAATAAAAACTAATTCACTTCTCCTTCGGTATCATTTAATTATTCAAAATTCATCAAAATACTTGATTTTACTTCTTTCTTTTCCTCCGCTTAATGAAATATCTCTTAAGTTTATAAAGGAACATAAATGGACTTGACATTTTTGAATGCCGCTTCTTTCAATACTTTCCATTTTCTAATTTCAAACAGCTATTCAACAGATTTTCCCCTTAAAAATTTAATATCATTACCCATACTTTTGAGTTATTCTTTCATTTAATTGATTTTACCCTCAACTCTAATCAAGCCTTTTCTAATATGATTTACAAAATCAGTTACCAATCTAAGTTGCAAACCCATTTCACTAATATTTTCTATGTATTCATCTAATTGCACCGTTGTTTCGTCCATTTCTTTCAACTGTAAATCTCGTTGGTTGAGATTGGCCTCATGAGAAATTTATTCTTATAATTTATCGATTTTATCCAACATCTACTACATTTTTTCTGCAATTTTATCATGTTAAGTCTACCAATTCCTTGACAAAATCTACATTTATATACTTATCAAATCTGCGTTTTTTAATAAATTACGAACTCTTGAATCTTTCTCCTCTGTCCACAGTTAGATTAGGGCATTTTAACAAAATTGCATCATTTTATCTGAAAAGCAATTTAAAGAAATCTATATTATTGTAAAAACAAGACCCTATTTAATTTTCCATATATAATTATTGTCAAAATCTTAATATTTTTAAATTAATTCTCCAAGTAATCCTGATTTCTAATTTTATTCTTCATCAAATTCTTCTTCATTTTGCAGTAAGTAAATTTTTCTTAATTTTGAAATGAGAAATTCCTGATCAATTAAATGGTTTGTAAAAAACCCTAATTCATCTAATTTTTCCTTAATTTAAACCTTTAAATCATTCAAATCAATATTATTTTCCTATTAAGTAACCTCATTTACTTCTAAAGGTAAATTGTCTAAAATTGTTTGAAATTAAAGTTGAAATTTTCCGTCTTCCTTTAGTTATTGTTTGACTTTTGCCCATTTCTATTACTCATAGCTCTTAATCAAGGTTAAAAAATACAAATAAAATTTTTAATAGAGATTTGCTTGAACTTCTTATTTATACTTTTAAATTTGATCTAATTTGTCAGAAAAAAGAGTAATTTCCTCAAATAATTTTTACAAAAGTTCCCTTTCTTATTTAATTAATAATGCTTGTAATTTTACAACCTTAATCATGAATTATAAGAACACACTATATGTCTCTTTATTAAAATTCTTAAATTTTATTTTATGTTACATCATTATCAATATCTCTAGGAAGTACATCTTTTTCAATTATTTGATGATTTTCTTTTTGTTTTGAAGTTTACTTATTCAGCTCAACTTCTTCCTATTTCTCTGTTTTTAATATTTATTGAGAAATCCTTCTCTTCACAACTCCCTATACCTCAATATTCTTACCTTACTAGTTTTAGTAATATTGTTTATACTCACTTATTTTTCTTTCCAGGTCCCTCAGCTCCTCATTTATGAGTATTTGAAAAATTTCCTTATCTGTGCATTCAAAAGTTTTGAGAGTTTTAATGACACTTTCTGTTTGACTGGTTAATTCCTCATAGTGCAAAATCTCAATTTAACCAATAGTTTTGTTTTTACTTGAATCCTAGATTTTGCTTAATTCAAGAAACAAACTATCAAATTTCTCTAGCTCCAATCTCAATTTTAAGAAATTTAGCTTTTCTTCTGTTAGGTTTTTTATTGATTCTGTAAGAGAAACTGCTTCAATAATTTTCATCATTTTATCCATTTGCTAAGAGGACGGAAATTCCTCTATCAATATTTCTCCGAATTCTTTTTCTATTAGCTCTAAATCTTAAATTTCTTCTGAAGTCAATTATTCTTCTATAGATAATTAAAATGAGAAATATTCTATTTATCCTTTTTATTTTGATAGCTTATGTTGATAATCTTATTCAGAAAATTAATTGGCTGTTAATTCATTAATAACATTTTTGTAAAAATTAATGTTGCAGCGAATAATTTTTTTTGGATACTCTTACACTACTGAAACTAAAAACTCCTTAAGATTTACACATTCTTACAATTATTGTAATTCTTATGGTTCTGCTTATGCTAATATTGTGTAAAAAGAATTCCTAAATGCATCTACTTTTAAGTATATTTTTTAAAGTTTGAAACTAAAAGTTTAAATACAATGAATTATTTTTATGTCACCAAACTGTTATTTTATCTCTTTTAGATTTCCAGGTTTTGAAAGGGTGAAAATTTCATATTTTATCCTTAAAGTCTCCTTAAGAATTAATATCAATTCATCACAATCCTTTTTTAGTTCTTAGTTCTTCTCATCATAGTGAGATATAAAGATTATTCAAATAAAGTTTTCAAAACATTTATACCAAGTTATTATTATTTTGTAGGAAAGAAATTTCAATATTTTCTACTTCTTTTTTTAAATCAGCAATAAATTAAATTAGATTTTAAGCTGCTTCTAAAAAATTTTTTTAATCAAGAGAATCATCTGGTAATGCAAGAAGCTTCATTTACAAATCATTAACCAAAGTCGCTTTTTTATCCTTTAGTTCAAGATTTTTTATTTCCTATAAAATAAATTCCTTTTGCTCCTTAAGTATTTTAATTGGATCGGTCTTATAATTTTAATTCAATGTATGATTTTATTAATCATCAAAGCTAACTTTTAGTTCTTAAATTGAGAATAATAATACATATTCGAGTAGTTTCAACAAAAATTTAAGTTAAAAGAAATTATTAAATTCAATTTTCTTGTTCTAATCGATTAGTTCAATTTAATCATTGTTTTTTCTAAAATTTAATTTCATAATTTTAATTAAATATTGAGTGTTTTTGAAATATTCTTCTAGGTTGAGAATCATCTTTTGTATTTATGAATTATACGTGCTTTGCGATATTCTCTCATTATACTACCTAGTATCTTTCATACAATTTCTATATATTTTAACAACTACTCCCAAATTCTCATAATTTTTTTTCATTTTAGATAATAATTTATTTGGAATTATGAAACCTAAAAATTTTTTTATATTTTCGATTGCCAAAATATTTTAATTTTTTTATGGTTCTTAACTTCCTACATTTAATTGGCATTTTAAATATGATCCAAATGTAAAAGGGATATTTTGAGATTGCTCAAACATAAGAAACTCTTTAAGTAATAAGAAGTTTTCCCATTCTTTAAAACAGTTTTCTAATATGAGTCCATCAAGTTAAAATAATCCTTATTTTTATAATGAATTAAGTAAAATGACTGCTTAGTCAGGACTATGATCCATTTAAATAAGTAATCCTTTTCTCTAATATTCCTTCCAAATTTAATTTGATGTAACTGTAAAATTGAAAGAGTTAGCCAAATATGATAATTTTTATTTTGTTAATAGAGGATTATATATTAAGATTTTCCCAATCATTTATATCCAAAGGTAATGATATTTCCAAATATTTGAATTTTTCACAATTTTATTATAAATTGACTCAAGCTGTAAAATTATTTCTTCTAGATTTTACTATTTTTCATTCTTAAAATAACATATTATCTCCCATTATAACATATCTATCTAATAATAAACTTCAAATTATTTTCGATTTTTATTAGCAACATACATTTTGTAAAGTAAGCAGGCTCCTTGAAACAATGATTCTAGCAATTCATTATTTGGTTTCATTTAAATTATTGAACCAATAATACCATTTAAGCATCCTTTTAAAACTATTTCCTTTTCTTTCCTATTTTTTGGAGCAATCTCGAAAGAAGTTTTTATTAAGAAAAGATAGAGTTCCATTTAATTTTGGATTAAGTCATTTTTCTCTATTTCCATTTGTTATCTTAATTCATCAGAAATATCCAAAAATTCCTTTTATAATTCACTTTTCATAAATCTCTCGCCATTTATTAAATGGAAGCTAAATATAACTTTAGATAAAGATGCTGTTGTCTATAAAATATACAAGCACTTAAATGAATCTGTTCTGATGTAAATTAAACAGCTTTTTAGTAATTTTCTGATTCCCTCTATAATTAAATCGTATGACTTCACAACACTTTAGGCATTTTTGCTTAGTTTATAGATAATTTCTTCTTAAAAATTAAACCACTGGATTGCAATCATAATTTCTTAAGATTCTGATTAATTAGCAGCAACAGCAGCCTTAGTTTAAATAATTTTGACATAGGAATCAAATTTAGCAATAAAATTTTATATGTCATAACTATCTGATTTGATGTGTTCTGTTTTTTGCGGAATGACACTGAAGGATCCGCAACCACCTCCGCGCAATGTAGATTTTGCTTAATGCATTTTGAATATCATTTTTTCAAAAAAGATAAATAAAAATTCCTCCAGTGTATAAAAATGTTTTGAAACCTCGATAAATATTAAACTCATAATAATATATTATATAAACATTGTTATTGATAAATTGCGATTTGCCATGTATTCTTAATTTCATCTTGATTTGAGTTGATAACAAAATAGCATTGATTGATTTTCTGTATTATAAGCTACAATAATATTGTTTTTAAATTTTATCTTGAAGAAAACTGTGATTTGATATATTGATTTGAATTCACGAAATTGATGCTAAATAATGAATTCTTAACAGCAATTAGCTTCTCAAAGAAATTCTGATCAAAACGCATAAAAACAAATTTTATAATAGTATTAAATCCTTGACGTCGCCATATTCACTAGGAATTTAGTAATTAAAATACGGTTTTTTTAGAGTTTCAATTAGAATAAAAATTATGTTTATAACTAATAAAAAAGTAGAAAGAACAATTCTTAGCATCATTTATTCAATGAAAAAAACAAATAAATTTGATCAAAGTTTAATAATTAAAAATCAATTTTCCTTAACAAAGATATTCATTTCTTGTGATGTTTACAAGAACAAAGAATGATACCTATTGAAAGTTGTGGCAAATTTATCTTACTTCAAATTTTTTCATACCTATCTTTTGAAGGATACTTTTTCACCTATTGAAACTTTAAGAAATTCTTAAAAATTATAAAAACTGAATGTTAAAAATTTTTGATGTTTGGATTAGGTCTTTTATAATTGTAAACCTATAACCCAACAAGTAGATTTTATATTCATAAACTAATTGATATTAATATTTAAACTATAAAATTTGCAATGATTCAGAGTAATTATTTAATATACCAAATAATTTAAGATTAAATTAAAATATTAAGGGATCATTTTTTTAATAAACTCAAATAGTTTTAAATGATGAAAAAAAGGCAGGATGCGAATTAATTATAGTTATCAACATAGATTATAAATAATTAATAATAATTATTTCCCAGTTTATGAAGGTTAAAAATTGTAATTTGAAGTGTATTACATATTAAAGGCAATGGAGATACATATTTTCAATCTATTAGTTTGATGAAATAATTTTTTGAAGATTGCAAATAGAGTATTGTGATTACATTATAAATTAGGGAAGCTTTTAGATTATGATTATCTAAAGGGGCAACCAATATAATTCTATGATAAAATACACGAAACCTACAAATATGCTATTTTTTCTTATATATGTAAAGGTTGGTACAAGTTAATAATTTCAATTAGGGATATCACTAGATTATTTATAAAAATACAAAGAGGCTATTTCTTGCTATGATCAAGCTCTTAAGTTAAATCCCCTAAATCAGGAATCATTTAAGTATAAAGGTATCCCTTAAATAAATAATATTATTAGGAATTTCTTTATCCTAACTTGGACACAATGAGAAATCTCTTTAATGCTACAATTAATGTATAGAGCTAAATCAAAAAGACATAGAAATATATTATCGAAAAGGTAAATGAAATATTAAAAAGAGGAATTTCATTACAGTTTTTAAATCGATTTGAAGAAGCTATAACATGTTATGATATAGCTCTATAATTTTCCTCTTAATTTATTGAGAATAATTAGGGTAATAACCATCGTTCATTAATTAGTAAAAGCCCAGGTTTAAATTACTCAAAAGATAAAAAATCAATATGAAGATACCATTTCTACTTATAATGAATTTCTTGAGTAAAATCCAAAACATCTTTAAACCTATATTAACAAAGGTAAAATTAGATCATACTAATGTTTAGGAATATTACTAAGCTAATTAGAGAGATACGAAGAGGCTTTAATGTGCTATAATTAAGCAATCAATTTGAATGCAAGAAACTTTGATGCATTAAATGGCAAAGGTATGCAATAATTTATTCTATTAGGAATCTCATTACATTATCTAAAAAGATATTAATTGGCACTTGATTGCTTTGATAAAGCTCTAAAAGTTAATGCTTCAGAGATTAGAGCACTTGTTAATAAAGGTAGTATAAGAACTTACATATTAAATTTTTAGGAATTTGCTTAACTCAATTAGATAGGTATTAAGAGGCAATAATATTTTATGATAAAGCCATCATGATAAGCAAAAGCTTACTTAACTATTTTATTTAAAAAGGTATCACATTGTTATTTTGTAAATAGGAATTCAATTATAAGAAATAATACTTTTTAATAAAGCTATTTAAAATAATAAAGAAGAAGGTAATAGCTTTTTTAATCCGTTAGAATTTAAAGATAAATAACAATAATCAATTTAAACATTAACCTTCTCTGATTAGTAAATTAATTCATTTACTTAAATTGATAAGATTTATCTTAATAAAGGTAATGTTTATTAATTTATTGTCTTTAGGTGTAGCATTAAGCTAATTATAAAACTATGAAGAATCTTTATTTTGTTATGAGTAGGCTCAAAAAATAAATGCCATTGATCCAGAATCTCATATTTAGAAAGGTATATTTAATCATTAATGAGGGATTGCTTTGTATTATTTAAATCGATTTGGGGAATCAATTACTTGCTATGATTAAGCTATAAAATTGGACTCAAAAAATATCAAGTGTTATCTAAATAAAGGTATTATATAATTATTCTATAAATGCAAAGGAATGGCTTTAAATCAATTAGACTAATACAATGAAGCTATAGTTTGTTTTGACAAGGCAATTTAAATAGATCCATAAGATTATGAGATATTTTATAATAAAGGTATTTAAGATACTTAATTAGGTGTTTCATTACAATATTTAGAATAATACAATAGTGCTATGTATTGTTATGATCAAGCGCTGAAACTTAACCCAAAATATCCTGATTTATATATCAGTAAAGGTAGGAAGTATATCTTCATAAATAGGAATCTCCCTACATATGCTCAAACGATATGGTGAAGCTATCTAATAATATAATTATGCTATTGAATTGAACAAAGAAAATGCGGAAGCTTATTATAGAAAAGGTATTGATGACTGTTTAATAATAACATAGGATTTTCATTATAAGTATTAAAGAAATATTAAGAGGCTCTGAATGCGTATGATCTTGCGCTTAAATTTAAGCCATAAGATATAAAGGTAATTATTAATAAAGGTAGTATATATTTTATTTGTTAGGGATATCTTTAAAAAAAACTTTTGATTTTTAATTGCTTAATGCTAATAGAATAACACCAAGAAGCGATAATTCAGTTTGATCAAGCTATTTTAATTAACCCAAATGAATTAGATGCTTATATTTGGAAGGGTAAATATTAAAATCATTTTAGGATTCTCACTAGAAAAATAGCATATGTATGTAAAGGCAATCCAAACATATAGACAAGTGCAAATCTTATAAGGAAATTAGGAGAATGAATATTAATTAAATATTTTTGCTTGGCAAAAACAGCACTGAGATAATTCAATTTATTATCAAAAATACAATACTATAATATCATATTTTAATAATTTTTAACAATTTTGTTTTAATTTCATTTAAATTGAAATCATGATTTACTTTTTGTTTAAATTATTTCTCTTAGCAATAATTCATGAATTAGCAAACGTGATATCCGCAAGAATAACTGTCAGTTTACTTACCAGAACATTCAGAGAACTACCTTTTAGGTTTCTCTATTTTTAGTAACTTTTCAAGTGTAATAATTAACTGATAATCTATGTTCATCTAATCAGTAGTAGTAGGCTTTTATAATGAGTCAAAAACTGTACAAACATTCTGTTTTAAATCAAAAAGTAGAAAATACCAATGATAGTTATTCTTGTTGACAGGCATACCTATTTATGAGTATATTTCTTTTAGGTCATAATTCAGATCTTTAAATTATAGTAATTCAGCTTCAAAGATGTCCTTTGTATGTTAATCAGTATAATTTCTTCCAAAATTAGTAGTCAGAGTAGTTGGTAAAAATAGGATCCTATTTATATTTTATCGATTAATTGTTTTCTATGAAAAATAAGTATTTTCACTTTCTAAATTAAGATACAAAACATAAGCATCGATAATACTGCTTGTTAATCGTCGATTATTTTCTAAAATCTAAATATCCTTTAAAGAAATTTGTTAGTTATATTTGCACCAACTTTCACAAAAGAGTGATTAGTTTTGATACTTGTTAACTTAATTGTAATTATTTACTTATAAACCTGTTTAAGCATCAATTATTCTAATCTTTTTGTTAGGGGCGCTTTTTGATCTTTAATTTCTTCCATCATCCTTAAAAATACCATTTTCAAATTATCCTTAAAATTTAATAAGAGTAGATTTGCCACAATACTCTTTTCCATTGCCATGTAATATGAATTCTTTTTTACTTAAGCAAACCATAAATGAGCCTTCTTGAATTTTAAATTTTGGGTTCATATCGTTATCAAATTCAGTAAAATATAACTTCCCATTTTATACATAATACTATTATGTATTTGAAAAATATTACAATTAAGGCTGTGAGTTGAAATAAAACAGTAATTTCTCAATCATTAAAAGATTCTATTTAGATTAATTAGTAGAAATAAGATCATATTTTAATTACTCAGCTTAAGTTAAAAAGTTCCTCGGGTCGTTATTTGAAGGTAATTACTAATCATAGATTTAACTTGTAGGTATTTTTTGTGAAGGGTTGATAATTGATATTTCACTTACTTTTTATGAAATTTTATTTTATTCTTCAGTTTTGGATTATATATTTATAGGGTAATAATTATACTATAATTTTTATTGAGTTGAATTGAAATAATTCGATCTTCTATTTCTAAAAAATGAAATGATTATTACGGCGAGATTGATTGAATTTTTTTAATTCCTTATTCACTTGATACATCTGATATTCGGTAATTTTTGTCGCTCATACAGAAAAATTTGCAATAAATTTATAATTATAAATCTCAATATTTTGATTAAGAATTTAAGTTTGTTGTAAAATTTATACTAGAGGTATAAAAATTTCTATATGATTTTGAATTAATTCTGATCTAATTCTCTCAAGTCTACAACAAGACTGTTAAGACAATTAGTACAAAAATAATAATTAATGCGCTTTGTTACCCACCAAGATGCTCCAATAAAGTTATAAGTTTAAGTATTATAATTAATGCATAAACATAATTCAATTCAAAAGCAATTATAATTCTTTATTAAAGTATTGCTTAATAGTTTCTTATATTATTTCAATTATGGTTTGATCACAGTGGAATCAATATTTATTAATTGAGCAATTTCTTTCTATTTAAATGAAAATTTTAAGCTAACTGAGTAAGTCATTAAATAAATAATGTACAATCAGGCAAAATCAAGACTTTAAAAGTTATATTCAAAATTTCTAGGTCTCTTCTTATCTTGCATTTAATAAATTATTTACAGACAAATACTTATCGATTATAAGGATTATTGTTTTAATTATTAAATCCGAGAAAAAGAAGAATATTAATAAATAAGGTAAACCTCAAGGATAATATATTTTCATTTTATTTCCATTGAAAATAAATCTATTGTAATTTCATTAAAATAGTTCTTAGTAAAATCTATTAGGCTTGTTGATATTGAATTATCAATAAAAATTCCTAACTTCATTACGTATATCCTAGTATAAAAGGAAAGGATAAAACCATTTAATCACATTTGATGACATGATTAATAAATTAGAACGAAAAGATTAGAATTTAGAATCAACAAAAAAGAGCTCTTTAATAGAGTTAAGACTTCTCTCTTATTATATTTCTTTATTTGGCAATAATATAAAATTAAATTTTGAAATTCATTCATAATCGAGAGTAAATGACTAGAAAACATCTATATTAGTAATATATTAATTAGATTGTCTAAATGAAAATTTATACATAATTATTAGAATGTAGAGTTTGGCAATTAGAGCTGCGATGTTATAATTAATGCACAAGAATGGCAATTTTTCTGAATATTTTTATAAGAAATTCGCTTTGCCCTTCTTCCTTCACTTGAACATAAATACATATGACTTTTAATATGTTGCCGAGTTGATTAAAAATATCAAAGGAACTTAAGTGGAAAATTACAAATAATTATAATTTGATCTTAGATGGAATAAAATATATCTGAATGATTCCCTATAGTATATCGCTTGAATAATTTCACTCAAATTGGGCTCTTGCTCATTATAGAAATGAATTAATTTGTGATTAGGCAATAATAAAAAAAAAATGAGTTAAAATTGTTTAATAAATTTTCCCTATATAAATTCAATAATCAAAATCAAGAGGACATGAGTAGTCCGACTACAATTGAGGTAAATCCAAGAATATAACCAGAATCTGTATTGGTCTCGTTACCAGTGCTTGAATTATTGTTATCAGTATTGTTTGGTTGGACGACAACTGTTCCACATTGAGTACATTTAGAGCTTGCTGGATTCCATGAGTAAAGATATGCTGTCAAAGTGTAGCAATCTCCTTCCTTTAATGTATCAGCAGTAGTAGCAGTGCAGACACCATTGACTGTTGAGCAAACGTTGTATTTCTTTTAATCCCAAGTGTAGAAGAATTTGCAACTTTAGACTTAAGCAGCATATGTAGCACAAGTGTGATCAACACAAAGTTTGGTTGTTGCGTTCATTTAGCATCTATCATTAGCTTATGTGCAAGCATTAGTATCACCTGCTGCTGAAGCGCAACTAGTCATCAAAGAGCATTTTCCAGTTGTGGTTCCTCCAGTGGTGGTTTCAGTCCAAACACAAATACCATCAGTTCCTTTGGAATTGCAAGCAGTCTTGGTAGCGTATGTTGAGCAGTTAGCTTTAGCAATACAAGCGGTTCCATTTGAAACACAATTGGCAACTCCTTAACAAGCTTAGGTTGTTGTACCATTTGGAATATCTGAGCAGATCTTAGTTCTGCAACTTCCAGTAGCATCAGCTGCAACCCAGAAGCAAGCTCCTTCAGTACCACCAGCAACGTTGCAGGCTCCTTATGTTGTGTAACTATTACAAGCTCCCTTAACGAGACACTTGACTCCATCTGATGTGCATGTCTTCAATCTGGAAGAGCATTCTGATTCTGTAGTGAAGGTTAGATCTGAACATTATTAATCTTTGCATTATTTGCCAGTATCATCCCAAACGCAAATACCAGTTGATGTAATACCTCCATTAGCATCTTTTTATGCTCCATCCTTGTTTCTGAAACATTAGTTTTGGGTATATGTTGAGCAAGCAGCCAATGAAATACATCCAGTGACGTAATCAGATGTACAATTTGGATTAGCTGAAATACATTCATCATGAGTTAAGTAGAAAGCATCAGCACATGAGGAAAACTTCTTGCAAATAGTGTCAGTAGCTCCTTTAGCGGATACTGTTTAGATACATTATCCATCTGTTCCTGTCTTGCATCCTCCCTTAATGTTTGTGGCTGCACAACTTGTAATTCCAACACATTCAGTTCCATCAGTTGTACAATTTGAAGAAATCAATTTGCAGTTGGGATCAGAGGTCCAATCTAAACTCTTGCATGATTCATAAGAGAAGCAAGCTCCAAGGGTAGAATCAGCATTCACATATTTAGCAATCCACAAGCAAGGACCATCGTTACCTTCAATGCAAGCAGATCTAACTTTAATATCTTAACAATTAGTCATTTTAGCGCATTTTCCATTTAATCCTGCTGTGCAACCTGTTCTTTGTTTTTAGCAAGCAGCATGGGTTGTTCCAGCAAAATCTTTGCATTCTTTTAATCTACAATTATTAGCCTCAGTGTCCCATTAACATTCATTCTTGTTACTGTCAGTAGTACAAGCAGCGGCAACATTAGCAGATGTGCATGCTCCCTTAAGTGTGCAACCTCCATCTTTCTTGGTGGTACATGTTCCAACTGAAGGTGTAAAATAGGCAGTACATTAAGCTTCAGTTGTCAATGATGTTGGGGCAGTTGTGCAACTCTTGTTTGTGCAATAGGCATCTTATCCGGTTGGAGTCATCCATTAGCATTGTCTAGTATTTGAATCTGTAACACATCCAGCTTCAGCTAAAGCTTAACTGCAGGTTCCTCTTTTAACGCAATTAACTCCATTTGATGTACAGGTGGAGAGTGCTGCTTTGCATAAGGCATCAGTTGTTAATGGGAAATCTTCACATATTTTAGTCTTGCATTTAATGGCGTCAGTGGTGCAACCAGATAAATAAGTGTCACATTCTGATTCTGATCCAAAATTTGGTGAATTTTCACATTTCTTTGTTATGCACTTGCTTTCAGTTGTATCCCAGTAGCATTTTCTCAATGATTTGTCAGCTGATCCTTCATAGCATTGATTTTATGTCATTCCTTCACAGGCTTCGGGTATAGCAACGCAACCATTATCTGTTGCGTTAACAGTGCAATTAGCTAAGTAATCCTTACATAAAGTTGGAGTGTTCACAGTTTCTTAAGCTGTTAAGCAGCTCTTATTGGCACATACAGTTCCATTCCATCCACATAAAAGGTTCACACCTTTGTCATCCTTATCACTACTAACCTTACATTGTCCTTCATTAGTGTATGAACTACATGTTTTATATGCAACGCATCCTTAAAGTGTTGGTGTTCCATTGACATCAACAACATTTACTGTGCATCCAGCGAGATATCCTCTACATCCTTCATGATCATTATAAGATGCAATTGGAGCAGTGGAACATGATATGTCAGCACAAGTAGCTGGATCAGTGTTGGTATTCCAAACACAACTCTCATCTTTTGCATTTTTCTTGCATTATTCTTCTATTGTATATGAACTACAAGCAGCCTATGGAATACAACCTTGGCCAATTGCCTTTTCTGCAGTTGCTTTGACTGTACATTTTCCAACATTTTAACATTTAGTATGAGTATCAAAACTTGATGATGCTTCAGCTGCAGCGCAACTTTTATCAACACATTTAGCTGCTGTAGGATTCCACAAACAATCACCTCCGCTAGCATTCTTAACGCAGGCACCCTAAACTGTATATGAAGCACAATTAGCTCTGAATTAACATCCTCCTGCTCTAAGAGCACAATTTGTTGAAACTGCTTAGCATCCAGCTAAAGTAGTAACAGTAGAGGCTGCTGAATCACAACTCTTTTAAACACATGATGTTCCAGAAACTACACATTCTCCTTCATTTTTTGCATAACCACACTCTGTAGTAGAATATAATCCGCAAGTATCCTATATGGTGATACAAGCAGTTTTGGCTGCATTAACTGAGCAAGTATTTAAGAACCCTATGCAAGCCTCATAAGTAAATGGACCAGTATAACTAGCACAAGTGGGAGCTGTAACAACGGGGGCAGTGATGGCTTCACATCCAGTTTTATCTGTTTTAACCTGGCAATCATATAATTTACAAATTGCATCGGTATATGAAATTGCTACTGCTCCTGTTTTAAAGAGTTTTACAGCGGGGCAAGGATCGGAAGCAGCACCATCATATACTTCACATGCAGCACCGGCAGAATTTACAGTACATTTCGTTTCCGTAACTCCTGAAAGACAACCTGTGAAAGGAGTTAAATAATCAGCGCAATCATCTTATTTCTCAATACAAGCAGTCAATTCCGAATTTACTGAACATGCATCACTACTAATTCCTTTACAATAAGCAGGAGTCAATCCTACACCAGTTATTGTACCACAGCCGGCTGTAACAATTACTGCTGCCCCAGTAGCATATTTGCAAGTAGTACCACTTAAATAGCATTTTCCTTCATCTGAACCTGTACAATTAGCTGCCAAAGTAGCTGCACATGTAGCAACTGTCATCACACATCCGGTTCCATCTCTTTTGAGTGTACATTAAGGGTTATATGCTTGACAAGTGTCATAATTGAATGGACCTGTGAAAGCTGCGCAGTTTGCAGTACATTTTGTTCCACTTGTCCATGTACAAGAAGCTTTCTTGCTCTTGCAAATTCCAGGACCAGTTCCAGCAATATCACTGCATTTAGTTGCATCTACTATTTTGGCACAAGCAGGTCCAGTTGTATTCCAATAACAAAATTTATCAGTACTACCCCAAACACAATTTCCTTCTGTCTAACCTGCACAGCTTGCTGTTGCAGTAAGACAACCTGTGCCATCTACTTTCACAGAGCATGTTGCACTCAAATATTAGCAATATTCTAGTGTAAATCCTGTTCCTGTAGCTAGGGTGCAGTCGATCGTTGCATTGGCGCATGCTCCACTACTCCATTCACATTATTACTTTCTGCCTATTGTATGTGCCACGCAAGCACCTTCATTCTTAATTTCTGCACAAGTAGCTTATTTCAAAGCACATTTTCTCTATGTTAATGTACATTTTTTTGAAAATGTTTAACATTCATCATCATTATCATAACTAACGGAATCTTCTGCATCTGCACAAGATTTATCTTTACAAGTACCACTAAAATTACATACATTTCCTGCTGTGTCTATTTTGCATTAGCCTTCGACAGTATATTTATCACATGCAACTATATCTTAGCATTTATTTAAAGCTGCATTTACTGTACATGTGCCAATCGCACCTTTACAGTCATCATGATTGTAAGCATCCAATGTGATATTTGCACAAGTCTTATCTCTACAAGATGCTGATTTTACATCCCAATAGCAATCCTTAGTTTAAGTATCACTAACTTAAATCAAACCTGACTATTTACAAGCAGCTTCAGCTAATCCACTGCAAGCTTTAGGTCTGGGAATACATTTATCTCCAGCTGTATTAACGACACATTTCAAACTTTAATAACCCCAGCAACCACTTTAACTTACACCAGCTTTTAAAGAAACAAGATGTGCATTTTCACATTTAATATCAATGCAAACTGGAGAAGCAGCATCAGTTTAATCATCCCATTAACATTTTAATGGAGTAATAGATCTAGTTTATTCAATTTGGCAATTATCTTATAATTTTCTTGCACCGCAAGTGGCAGGAAGATCAATACAACCCGCTCCATCATTATCAACAACACATCCTGATTTATAACCAGTACATCCAGCACTTGTAGTATAATCAGTAGATGAGGCAGTAGAACAAGATTAATCGACACAATTTTTTCCATTCAATCCACATTTTCCACCACCCTTTTTAATTTAGCAACCTTCTGTAGTGGTAATAGCTTCACATTTGATAGGTAAGTCCATACATCCTAAACCTGAATTATCTAAAGTACATGTAGATAGATATGAATTGCACTATGAATGGGTATTAAAGTCTTTGGATGCTAAGGAACATTACTTTTAATAGCATTTTCCTTTGAATACACAGGGTTTATTATTTAAATCAGTATTACAATTAGCCTCTTCTTAAACATTTTCGCATGTCTTCTCAACACAAGTTGAACCGCTACCTACAGTACATGTACCTAAAAAGGCATTGCATAATGAATGGTTGTTATTTGAGGTAGGTGAATTAGTGCAAATCTTAGTCCAACACTTTCCACTATCCCAGAAACAAGTTTTACCAGTACCATCTGTTTTACAGGCAGCTTCCAAATTTATTGCCTCACAAGTTGTATTAACTCTGCAACCTCCTCCATCTTAAGTCACACATTTTTAATTTGGTAGATAAGCTTCACATTATTCATTTGTTGTATTTGTTTTTGGAGCATTAGTGCATGATCTATCTTAACATCCAGAAGTAGCACCAGCTTTTGCTGTGCATGTGGCCATAAATGTAGTACATTAGTCATGTCCAACATATTGACTACCAGCATTATCACAGGTCTTGCTTTTACAAGCAGCTCCATCCCAATGGCAGAGAGCTCCAGTTAATGTTTTATCACAAGCATCCTTAATAGTTGCAGCACCACAACCAGTGTTATCTGTGCATCCACTTCCTGTGGTAATACATTTTTTCAAATAGGATTAGCAACTTGTATTAGTTTTGTTTGTGGCCAAAGCATTTGCACATGTTTTATCAACACATGCTGTGCCATTCCAGAAGCACTCTTCATTCAAATTATTGGTAACACATGCTGCTTAAATTGCAGCTGAACCACAATTTGATCTTGTAACACAACCCCCACCTTATTTTGTAGTACATGTTGAAATAAAGTCTTTGCAAGCTTAATCTGTAGCCAGTTCAGTTGGAGCATTATCACATGTCTTATCTATACATTTTCCTTTACTCCAAAAGCATGCTACTCCTGATTTGTCCTTAACACAACCAATTTCAGCAACTTAATCTTCACATTTAGCTCCCAATTCAATGCAACCTCCTCCTTCTTTGGCTGTACATTTAGAAAGCTAAGCTCTGCAGGTAGCATCAGATACTAATGTAATTGGCAATTTAGGGCAGTCATCAGCATCTTCACATTTAGGATTAGCTGCATCTGCTGTGTTCCAGTAGCAATATCTTCCTAAGGTATTAACAACACATGATTTAGAGGTCTAATAGGTTGAACATGCTGCTTTTTCGACACATCTTACTCCATCTGTAATACATCTGGTTGAGACTGCTTAACATTTTGCATCATCATCATAGACAAATGGTGTGCATGCAGTGAAGTGAGTACAAACCTTGCCATCCCATGCACAAGGGTTTTTCTTTGGACATTCTTCTGCTGTATTGAATTAATCACAGTAAGCAGCAAAAGTTGTTGTATCTGTTGGTGTTGTTGGTGTTTCAGTCACTGCACATGCTTTTTTTGTTTTATCCCATGTGCAACCAGTTCTTTTTGCACAATCTGTCTCTGTGAGCATTTATGTGCATGTACAAGTTGTAGCTATTGTAACTGTCTAGCAGTTTGTTAGTATTACTAACAATGCTATCAATAGAATAGTTTTATTCATTAAAGTATTAATATTTAAAAATTATAAATAAAGGTATTTAAAATGCTTGAGTATTAATAATTTTAGAATTTCAAATAACATCATATTTTTAGATAAATAAATAATCAAAATTTATTCCAGAATATAATCTTGAAAATTTGAAATTATTCTTTAAAATAGCGGAAGGCTAGACATAGCTAAGAATGAAATGAAGAAAAGAAGAGTTTGTCTCCCCAACGACAATTTGACATTGATAGTCCAGCTGTAGATGTGTCCAATCAAGAGTGTAAATATACTTCTTAAAACACATATAAACATTTGTATTTGAGATCATTATCACTTTTTGTTAATCTTATGACGATAGAATACTTATTAGAAGAGTTTTGATGGTAGAAAGTCTCAATTATTTTTATATCAAACAAAATTTTTATATTTAAGTTGCTTACCTCATCAAGGTTATACTCTTCTGATAAAAATTCTTGATAGAAATGTTTTCGGCTGTCCCTTCTGAGGAATTTGATGAGATTATATATTCTTTTTAAATACAATTATTTTTCCAAGGCTTTGACTTCACAGAAACCAAATTTGATGTCAAATTCGATAAAAAACAACTAGAACCATTTGCAACTCAGACTATTGCTGTTTGCTTATCGAAATGGATGCATTCTTAATAAAAGAGTATAAGAATGCTAAAGTACGAAAAAACACTGAAAAGAAACAAGTTAAGAAATGAAGAAATTAAGAAAATAAGAAGTAAGAAAGGAAATTACATAAAGACCATCCTTAGTTTGATTATTGAAGTTCATGAGTTATATATGAAATTCAAGTCAAAAGTGTATTCATCTGAATAATTAATAATCTAGAATTCTAAAACCTTCCGAAAATCGTAGAATAGAAATTCCCTGCGTTATTACTCAAAGTTATTAAAAGCGTTTGAAGAAAAAGAAAGGACCACAAGTGTTCAATCTATAATAAATTTAGTAAAAAACGACATTTCCTTTATTAATTCAAATCGAATAATTAGTGGCAAAAATAACTCAAATTTTGGTCAGGGTAATAATTGGCTTTGGAAGAATATTTTGTTGCTACATTTCGTATTAGGTTGGTTAAAAGGAAATAGGTTAAATTAATTTAGAAATTCTTATTACAAATACTTATTATATTAATTAATTAATTATAAAATTTATATACTGATTTTTTATATTAGGATATATTAATGAAAGAATATTTTTTGCTAAATATAAACAGAAATATCTGTAATTCAAGTATTATTTATAAATAAATGGATTAAGAAGTTCAAGTTAAGTATTTTAGGCTCCCCCAAAAGGAAGATGGTGAAAAAGGGTTGCTGATCTCCATTCTCGATTGTTCAGGATCAATGTCAAGCTGTATATTTAATCCAATATATTTTAGATTGGAAATATGTTTCCATTTATCATAATGAATTGATACAAAAGGCATCCATGTCAATAGCCATTACTTTTGACACAGCCGTCAAAGTGTTGCAACCAAATGAAAATATCCATCCAAACATAAACTAATATGGTGGAGGAGGTACCAACATAACATGTGCATTTGTTGCCTTGAATTAAGAAATTAAAAAAAGAAATATCACAAGTGATTTAACAGTGGTCTTTGTATCTGATGGGCAAGGAAGTTATGACGAGAAATAAATTAAGTAAGATATGCCTACGGTCTAAAATCTAAATTTCATCTGCATTGGAGTAGGAAATGGATTCCCAACGCATATTTCAATGAGTCTTAGATCACTCTATCACACAGGTAACTTGTCAATACCTCCTGTGTTCATTGTCTCAGTCCAAGAATAATATGCATCCAAATCAAGAGAGGATTACTTGGATTCAATATTCAAAGAAGAATTTGAATCTGTCGGTGCTATATTAAAGCCAAGAAAGTAATGCTAGACTACTCCTTGCTTGTCCTTCCCTTGGAGTCAGGAGAAAACAACAATGGTTTGGTCTGGCAGTTGGGTTGGAAGCCATGACCATGAAATTATTTTCGATGGAGTTGTAGTCTAGGCCTCAAATCCATCCGAGCCTATGATTTTAGAGTTGGCATCATATTGGTTATAGAACATTTAGTTGCTCTCATTGAAAGCAAAGGTAAGATAGGAAGCATAAGCCGCTCTTGCAGAATTAGAGAGATTATCAAATTAAATTCCAAAACTTTAAGGTTAGAAGAAATAAAAGACTTTTGCTTAGAGAGTGCAAGAATCATAAGGTAAGGATACAGGACTCTCAGATCTCGTTGCTGAATTGAAATTATTCACATAAGACTTCACATTAAATTAATTAAATGACAAGGATGCAGCTGACAGATTGAAGATAGGAACTAAAGTAGGTAAATTTCACAATAAGGCTCTTAAATTTGCTGGATTATCATTAGAGGATTTTACTAAGGCCAAATAATAGTTCATTGAGTGTCTTAAGTAACATAAGTTCGATGGCAATGATGGAGATAGATCCATTATGACACTATAAAGTTAGAAGGAGATATTATAAGAAGAAGATCTAATCTATGGATTGGAAAACTGCACATCTCAATATTAATTGGTCACCGCATTCCCAATAATTGGTTATGGATTGTAGGTCAAAAGATCAAATGCAAGTATGATTGATCCATACAAAATTGAAATTGTCTCTGTAGTTAGGATCCACAAATTTTTAGATTCAGTTTCCTTAATCGAGCACCCTCAACATGAATTAAAGTTTTAAATTGGAAATGGAGAGGAGGAGATTGTAAATTGTATTCTCCCCTTGTACACAAAGAAGAATGAGGATCTTAAGCCATTCTTCAGATCTTTATTATTCCACACAATAATGACATTCGTAGTGTGCGAGAACGCAGATGTGTGTTTTGATTATTCATATGCCGCCTTATTAGCTAATACTCTATTGTTTTTGATTAGGTAACCAAAGTCTGAATGGACTAAGGAGATGATAAGTTTGATCAATGAATCCTATACTTTAGCCTATGGGTAAAAATATAAGGGGTACACAGAAAAGTTAATTAACAACCCAATCTAAACCTTGGTTGATGTTAATAAGGATTTCGATACTCAATGTTAAGATACAATCAAGGCAGTTCTTATTTTATCAGCTGAGAAGGATAAATTATAGTAGGAATAGGTAAGAAATGTCCTTGATAGATTTGTGGTTGAAACTATCGGGAGAGTCTTGAAAGACATGGCTAGTAAGGATCACATCAACATCTTCTTCAATGTCGAGAATGAAGCTTAAGTAATTGGAGTATTGAGCGAGAAAATCATTAATGGATTTGACAATGAAAAATTGAAGGAATATAAAACTATGTCTGCAATTACTTCTTAAATATTCGTCGAGGTTGAAAAGATCTAGGTTGAGGATTTGTAATTGCAAATGGCATTCAAAAAGGATGAAGTAATTAAATTGTTATCCCACTCTAAATACAAATATGAAAACTTATAAGGCATTTATGAGTACTTTATGCTTGAGGAAATCCCCTAAAATTTATTTATCGCAGCAGTATTCCATGCAAGATACCAAAGATCCATTGAGAGAGCAACCAATGAGTTCATTGCAGATCTTGATTAACTTAATAAGGAGATTTAATTTGTGAAGAAGAAGTCTGTCAAATTGGATGTGTTGGAGAAGTGTAAAGTAGAAATCAGAAGCCACGTTCAGAAGATGGGAATCAGCAATATGTTTGTGTAAAGAATGCCTGGATTTGGAATAAGCAGAAGAAGAAGAAGAAGACCTAATGTGAATAAGTTGTAGCAGAAATGATGAATTACAATTAATATAAATTTATTGATAAAATTAAATTATATATAGAATTCTACTTAATGTTGCTTTGCCCCCCAAATTTATGTATAAGAAAATTTCAAAATAGGGCATTTTGAGAACCAGAAATCAATCAGTATCAAATATATCATATGCTAAAGCGCTATAATTGTGTTGATGACTTTACAATTCATATATTTGATACTCACATTCAACAACATAAATGAGATGAATAAAGAATAGAGTCTCGTTGATAATTTAGATTGCATGGAGAAATATGGAATAGACATAAATAACATAAGAATCTATAATGTGCTCGTCTTTGAATGCTATATACCGGTACTTGCATATTTCATATTGTCTTTATTTTGCTGTCAACTATGCCATGTTGATAAGAAGTAAATAAATTCCATAACAATTAGACTTACAGGGTACAGAAATAGATTGATTAAGCAATCCTTTAAGTTAAGACTCATTATAAGGATAACTTTTGAATTGATAATTGCTATTATTCTAATGTTATAGTTTATAGAGGTAATAAATGTTAATTAATCCATTATCGATGTTTGTTATTCCAATTAGTTGGTTTATCAATTTGATATGAAATTATTTTACCCATGCATCATAAATTTAATGGTATTTCTGCTTTTGGTTGCATTTGATAACACCTGCTATTTCATAATTGTTTGCTACACCAATGACTTTTATTGGGGATGCTATCATGATGAGGAACTCCCTATTATAAGTGTTGTTGAGACATAATCGTTTAGTTTTGCAAAGAACAGTGTAGAAAGCTCAACTGATTAATAAAGTATTTAATTTAAGGATTAAATTAGAAAGTCAAGAGGAGAATCCCTCTCCTTATTTTGGTATCTGAAACAGAAGTGAAATATAATTAAATAAATTTACAATAAAATTAATAATAAATTAAGCTATGGGGAACGATATACAGCGAGTATAACAATTAGGGGATAGTATAAGATAATTGCGAGAAGATATGGATGCATTGTCCAAAATTACACCTTAAGTTGAAAAGATGGTTGCATTGGCAGGCACCTTAGAGTCTACAACTAAAAATGTAATTGAATCTTTTAAGTATAAGATTAATGAGAATATATCTAAAGTGAGCAAAACAGTTTCAGATGTTGAAGATAAGACAAAAAAAGTAAAGGAATTGGTGGATAAAGTACCTGCAGGCATGAAATTTTTTTGAGAATTAATAAATACATTTTATTTATTTATACATATATATGTATTAATTTATTCAAAAAACTTGAATATTTTAATTTCTATTTAATCTTTAATAATAATATTATTAATGACATATTATAAAATAATTTGCAATTTGATTGGATGGAACTTGAATCTTATCCCTGAATTTAAAAGATCCTTCCCTAATATTTATAATTAACAATGAAATCAATTGCAACATTATTCATTACCATCGCAATAGCCTCATGTGTGTATACACCTGCTGAACGTCAATTCAATTAAGAAGCCCTGACTGGAGCCTATGCTTTTAATAAATTGTCTGAGCCATAACATATTTCAAATTGTGGAGATGATGCTACTTAGATTGATCTTTTTAATTTTGTTGGCTATATGCTCCAAAAGGCTGACAAAGCAAGTGTGTCTTAATTATTGGGATTAAAGAAGGAAGTGGATGACTACTTTAATGTATTGAACAATGTAATGATTTTAGGGACTTCCCGAAGAATACACAAATTGTTTGTATGCTGAGCCAGAATTTTTGGAGATTTGCACTATATATGGATTGAAGGAGACAGACAAGATGGAATAGATTACCGATAAAATTTATCAATATGCGATGGGACACTTCATTGCCACTAAGAAGGAGATTCATTAGGGTAATCTATATTGGAACACTTATCACGAATACAATGATGCCGGCTATCTAATTGCCAGTTTTACCAAGAAGGCCTTAGTAACAGGAGTCGAATATGTTGAATGATTGTTTGAATAATAACATTATTTATGTATTTCATAATGTTTCAATTCTTGCTTCTGATACTTTGGCTTCTTTGCTGTCCCAACCACTGAATAAATAGGCTGCAAATCTGTAATTTTTGTTTGGGGGCAACTTAAAGGTTATGGATTTGTTGTTCTCTCCAGCTTTTCTGATAGAGAAGACATCCCCATTTCTAAGACATTCTATAATTTCCCCTTTATGCACTTCGATACCCAAAGATTTCTTATCGAGTGCTTCATCATTGGAGGCAGCAACCACTAAATGATAGATTGAGCAATATTACGTTTGTCCGAATAGACAATCCACATTCCATGATTCAATCCATAGTTACAGTTTCCGGAAAAGTCAGTTTCCTTGATGATATCGAAATCAACAACTCCAATTCCTATGCTCTACGAAATAAATATAAATTTAACTGTTTAAATTGTGTCACAACAAATCTTGACTTTTAATATGTCTTATTCCTTGGCTACTTCATCCAGAAGAACAAGGCCTCCCTCCTCTTGTTCTTCGACGACAGCTAGATTGCCATGTACTTCAACATATTCGCTTTTGTATGTTGTGCTGAAGTTTCTTGCTTATGCCAAACTTCCAATTTATTGAAACTGTGGATCACCTATAACTGTGTTGCTGGTTTCGCAATTACCCATTACTTTATTAAATAAATGATTGAAAATATTTTTCCATTTTATACACTAAATTGTTATTAAAGAATTAATCTTAGAATTCTTTAACAAAAAAATTAAATTGTAATCAATAATTAAAAATTAAGAACCAACAACTAATTTTGTGAAACAAATACATATCGAAAATGACGATAATATGGGAGATTCCATTTTTAGAATCAGCCATATTATTCGGCAGTTTCTCGATGGGTATTAAATTACGATATTTTTGAGATTGAATGATGGGGGGGTGAATAGGAGAGTCATCTATGACGAATATTCATTTGATGATAAATATGGATAGATTTTTTTTATTATATATATGTATTCATTAATATAAGAATGATGTAATAGTTTATGTCAATATAATTTAAATAATATTTGTATGTAGAAAATCATATTCTTAACCTTCATTACTTTGGGTTTATCCAGGTTGAGTTTCAAAGAAGGCTCTTACAATTACAGCGATATATTTCGAAGTGAAGGAGCATTTCCTTAGGGGACAAAATGCAAAAAGGTTGATGCCAAGAAATTGGATCCTCTGTTTGATGATACTCAAGTGATATATTCCGGATATTTGAGTGTGTACGAGAACAGTAATGCAGCATTGGGATTTATATTTTACGGAAGTCAGAAAGCCAAAACAGAGGGTGAGCTCTAGAATTATCCCACTCTGATTTGGTTGAATGGTGGACCTGGATCATCTTCCCAATTAGGTAATTTTATGGAGTTGGGACCATTGTTGACATAGAGTGACGGTAGTTTCAAAAAGAACAAATACGCTTGGAATACAGAATACAATGTGATTTTCGTTGATCAACCCATTGGTACAGGTTTGGCTTATGTTGAGAAGCAATCTGAAGTACCTACAAATTAAAAATAAATTGGATAACAATTTTTGTACGCTTTGAATGAATTCTTATTCGGAGCAAAGGGTTGTGTGGAACAACAAAAAGTGAAAGGCTTGGCTTAATCACCTTGGTTTGTGTTTGGCGAGAGCTATGCTGGCAAGTATATATGAAGTTGACTTAGGTATGTTCCAACAATAGCGAAGGCCATCTTGGATTATAATGTTGCTGCACAGAAGAAGATTCCATTGAAGGGAGTGGGGATCGGAGATCCATTTACAGACCCATATGCTGTGATCGCAGAGTATGCTGCCTATTCCTTCAATTTGGGTTTGATTGACATTCAGGAGAGAATGCAAGTGGACTCGATATTGGCTTACGGGTTGACTGAGTTGAACAAGGGCAACACTTTGGCTGCAAGGGATGCTTTCGAGGAGTCTCTGGACATCATCATCACTCAAAGTGGAGATATGAATGTGTACAACGTTCTTCAGTATGGCAATTACGGGGAGACTGAGAAATGGGTGGAGGCCTATTTGAATAGAGTGGACATTGTGAATTAGTTCGGATTCAGTGAGGATTGGAAATACAAAATCAGTAATGCTGACGATGGTCCAGTGCAGAAGGCTTTGAAATATGACTTCATGTTGAGGGATGTCGTGTTGACAGTAGAGGAAGTGGTTAAGAAGATCCCATTTTTGATTTACAATGGACAGAATGATCTCATTTGCTCAACTCCAGGAACTCTGAGATGGGTGTACGATTTGAAGTACGAGAAGATCGAGGAGTATCGTCAGAAGGACTTTGAGGTGTTGAAGATTACAGGGACTGAGAAGATCGTGGGATATCATAAAGAGGCTGGAAATTTGGAGTTGGTGTTGATTAACAATGCTGGACATCTGGTGCCTACTGACTAGCCTGAAGCATCGTTGTAGATGGTCACCACATTTGTTAATAAACATAAATGAAAATGAGATTTATATAATAACAATATTGGAGGAGATATTTATTATTATTATTAAAAAATACAAATGTTTGGATAGGTGGTGCATAAATTCCAAAGAAACCAAAATCATCTGCTAAGCAAATACCTCAGGGCTGGAAATAGGTAAATTAATAAATGGGATGTGTAGGTCCAATCCATTCGAGAATACCTTGACCATCCTCGAAGACCCTGCTCATCATAGAAAGCTATATCTTATCGGGTCAACACACGCCTCCACTATGTTGGCCTACAGAACCTAGAAATTGATTAATGAAGTCAAGCCTGATAGTGTCTATGTGCAAACCAACCAAGAGTGGTGGAATATTGTTAAAAATATCGAGGGAGTCACATCTCAATCCGAATTGAATGCCTACAATGATGTATTAAGAGGGGCTTATAAATGGCAATTGGAGTCTGGAGTCAGGAATTTCAGAAACTCAGTCTTCTGGGCACGACTCTACTCTTGGTTGGGTTTAATGTAATTTTTGAAAGGTAAATAATATCTATTGATATTTAATTTCAGCATTCAACAGTGATTTCCATCCATTCATTCCAGGCTTAGAAGTGAAGTATGCCATCGAACAGGCTCGTGCTCAAGGTGCCAATGTCGTCTTCGGTGGCTTGGCAATCACCAACGATGACCTCTTGTCATTGAAAGTACTCCTCCCCATATATATATGCCCTCTAGACTGAACCAAGATTTGACCCCCTCAGTGTTTCATTGAACTTCCTCAAACTCCTCAGTCAAACTAGATGGAGAAGAGAGCGATAGGATTTGGCCTTTCAATTGGCAGTCCTTGGAGGAGAGCAATTCGCTGAATCAGTCGACAAATACAGAGCCTCTTGGTTTGTTAAGCTTTTCGAGAAGTTGAGTCCTCATTAGAAGAAAATCTTGGTGGACAGAAAGGACATTGAGATTTTTGAAACTCTTTACAAACACACTCCAGGAAAGACCATCGTGGCAGTTGTTAATCAATGGCACACAATGGGAATTGAGGCTCATTGGAGACACACTACTAAGACTTAGATCGACACTGAACCCATCAATCCCATTGGAGATTTGGATTTGGAAGCACTCAACGAGGATTTGGTGGTCAACGACTTCTTGAGACAATTCACTTCGAGAATTACTAAAAGTGAGCCTGCTTCCACCAGAGCCTACATCACTTAGTATTATAAGGATGTGTTCGAATATGAAAGATGTAAGAATCGAGTTGTTAATTGTTTTTTATAGTCAGACATGTTGAATTCGATGGTCACAGTGATCCTCATCAATTCCATGGAGGCAGTCCATTTGAAGGGGGCTATAAACACCATCATCCACAATTACCGGCTGATGTCAGAAAGTAAATCGAAGAAAATTGGAAGAAATAATACGCCCATCATCACGAACACCATTGAAATATTATTCATAAATAACATAAAAACAATATTTTGGTTATGAGGTGCAATGTCGCCCAGTTATAATTCAAATTTCAATTTGACAGTTCAGCAATTGAAAAACGGAATAATTTGTTCGTTTTTGTGTAATATTTAATTAAATGAAAACCATTTTTGTTTTGGTATTAGTGATTGCTCTTGCAACCAGTTTGAAATCCACTTTCAGACAAACACCCTAAAAATTGTAAGCAGAATTACAAAAATCAAATTATGGAAAGGCTCTCTTGCATTTGCTTGAATTACATTCAATGGCTGGAGGAGCTGTAAGTGAGTTGATTGATGCCATTGAGTAATTGGATGACGATTTGATTGATGGACTCCAATTATTGGAATTCAATTTCCAACAAAGAACAAATCAACACAATGCTTTGGTCGTCTAATTGAATTAACAAATGAATGATGCCCAAATTGATATCAGCAGATCAGAAGATGTCATCGAAAATCTCTTGATCCCAAGAAGAGAGTAATTGGAAAACAGAATCGCAAATCTCGAGGAAAACCAAGAAATAAACAGAAAAAATTACGACGAAGAGGTCTTGATCAGAGAACAGGAACACGAAGCATTCGAGGCTCAGATCGCTGAATTAACTGATGCAACAGCTGCAGTTGACGATGCCCTTGCTCTCTTACAAACTTTGAGCAATCCCTCATTGGCTTAAGTCAAGAAATTCTAAAACTCACTCAAGAAAATCGAACAAAGTATCAAACCAAGATCAAAAATGGCTCCCTTTTTGAAGGCTCTTCTTACATTGGCATCCAATCAAAACTTCTCAGATCAAGGAATCATTTCTTAAATCGTTGATGCTTTGAATGAATTCAGAAATGCCATCGTCGATAGCATCAATGACCAAACACTCGCCGAAGCCAATGCAGTTGAAGAATATGAAGAGAGACTTGCCTAATTAGATCACGAACATATTGAATTCCAAAGATAAATCAATGCTGTCAATGTTGATTTGACTGCCACCAACAGTAAGTCATTTTCTCTACTATTTCCATAGACAAGATTGATGATGTCACTGAGTTCCTTAACCAAAGAGTCGCTGATTTGAAACAATTCTCAGCTGAATTACAATTGGAAAACGATAACTATGCTGATGAAACTCAAATCTACAACGACACCAAGAACGAGTTCACTAGAGAACAATAAATCACTGAATAAGCTTTGGCTTTGGTCCAATCAGTCGATTTCAGCCATATTCAAGTTTGAGTATTAATAATAATCGACCCACATAAAAATTAAACATTTAATTTTATTTATCAAAAACTAATCAAATAATGGAACAATTCAAAATTTAAGACATCTTATCCTGCAAAGATCTTAGAAAATAATAGTACTCTTACAATTCTTGCTTTGATGATAGTTAATTGATTTTAGGCAAAGAAGTTACTCACAAAATTATACTATGAATAAGGACAGAAGAGTATAGTTTGTATCAATTTTCGTTTATAACTACTTAAAAGGAGTCAAATAGAATTAATAAAATACACTTCGAATCATACTTAATAGATTTCTAGAATTTTGATTGATGTGAAAATTAAATATATTTCAATACATAATCCATCTTATTAAAAAACAAGTTCAAAATTCTTTGAGTACAAATATAAAATAAGAACTGTTGCCTCCATAAGTTAAAAAGTTAATACATACTTTGAAATTGATGATTTGGAGGTTAGAATATATTAATATCCCTAAAAACATTAAAATTATTTGGAACTCCAACATAGAAATTTCGATTTATGAATTTTTAGAAGTAATTGAAACCAACCATCTCTCTCCTCTATATATATTTAATGGTATTAATCAAATGTAAAATAGTTACAAAATCATATATCATTAACCCAATAGTTTAAAATGTTGTCTATGTTTTTTATAGAAATTATTCATGTATTCATTGTATCTCATTTCATCAATCATGCCCTAATTCAATCCTGTCAACAGTACTTCTCTTTATGAACCTATACATTATGATGAATGAGTACTGATAAGTGCTTAGATCATTAAGCTTAATTTGTCGATTGCTTCATCATCAAACACACTCACATATCGAAAACTAAGCACAATAAAATCTCTTTCTGGCAGTTATTTGATTTAAGCTATGTGATTCTAATTACTATGAATGATGAAAATACCTTGACATTGATGTAATTGATGGCTCCATTGAAGCGATAGATGGCAAAAGACCCTTTGAATTGATTGGTGTCAGGGAAATCATCTTCAAGTCCTAGAGTGTCATCTCTCAATTGCATATCAGTTCCATCCTGTTACCTGACACAACTTCGTTTGATTAATGAGTTTTTCTTGAAAAATAGAATTGGAATATTTACTTGTATTTCATCAGAACTGACTATAACTTCAGAAGCGGCTGCACTCATTTTTTCAGCAAACTACAACATAGCATACATGCTTCCTATCATAGTGCTTTCAATAGCTCCATAATATACACAAATGATTGATATTGTAATTTGTTTAACTAAAATTAATCTCCTTTTGGTTCTCCACAGCATTTTCCAAATAGGGCCAAGTCGGACACATGTAGGCTGAGTACAATAGGATACCACTCACAAAATACAGTGGAATTTAGAGAAAGTATCGACTGAATAGTCCATAGAATAGAATGACAGAGAGTCCATTCAGAATAGACGACCATCTATTCATATTCCTGACTCTGATATTCAAGATGATTAATCTGATAGATGCACAACATGGGATACTATTGAAGATGCCTGCACAAATATTGGTTAAAGACACGCATAGAATCTCTTTGTCGTGATCGCATTTGACTCCCGTGAAGTATTCAGCCCCTTTTGCACACAACAAATTCTGTATGGTGATGTAGAATGTCATTTTAATGGCGTACACAAACAGAAATATGAGTGTCCACATGTCTGGCTAGAAATGAGGACCACCACTTTCAATGAAAGACAGTTTTAAACTTACATCTCCGTAAACATTCTTTAAACACTTTTCTGTTGGGAAGAGTATGCCAACCATCAAGCCAGTCAGACAGACTAACACAATCAAAGGCAAGTCCTTGTTGATCTTCCAGCCGAAATAGAGTAGAAGGAATATGAAGATTGATGCTCCGAAATAATATAGATCTCCTCTTCTGAAGAATTCTACTTTATCTGGGTTATTATACCTTGATACATCTCAAATCTATCGTGGTATACTTAGAATCCTCTGTTGGAATGCATGTCACTCAATCCAAACGCATAATCAATGTAGCCATTTGCAATTAGAAATAGTAATCCCAGATAGTAGCCCTCGATTACGTAATTTGGCATGAAATCGATCAGATGATGCCACTTCATATGACTCAGGATGTAGATTTACAATCCAATCATGATGGTCACCCAGGGAACTGCTTCATATCCATATTTTTATACTATTTAATAATTGAATCCCGCGGCCACCCAAGTAGGTGCATAGATCGAATGATTGCCTTTGGGAATAGGATGATTATGATACTTCCACTAAAGAACCCGTTGATCAGCCCTCCAATCAAAGCGGAGGTGTAGGCAGCTGAGGGATTGCCTCCAGTGTTGTTGCCAGCATTCAATATGAAGGGCATATTCATCATAGCCTACGTCATGCCACTCTTCCAGTTCTCTCTAATGAAGAAGAGTGCAGTATTAACATTATGGACAGACAGATGGCTGATTCTGGAAAATGCATTTTTTATGGACAATTTGGTTTGATTGGTCGATCCCTTGACCAAACTATCGTGTGGATTGGACAGTTTCTATTCGATTCCATCCAATGCTGGCAATTCCTACTCCATTAATGGAATTTTGTGATCTGCATTCATATATTATAAATTAATAATCGGATCAATCGCATTATGCTATATTTAACAATAATAATTTAATTTAAATTATACATTATATACATTAATGCTACGACCTTATCCAATTGTTCTTGTTCTCCTATTGAGCTCGGCATTATCCGATGATACCAGCAATGGTGACATTCTCGAATTCACAGCCACTCGATATCAACTATGCTTAGACATTGAGAATTGTAAAAACTGATCATCATCATCATCTAGTTGATATCACAAATTCAGAAAGATAATCTGTCTTAGATTCCATATATTCAGATCGAAAGGAAGAACTCTCAAGTCAAATAGAAAAATGGATTAATAACAGCTACGTAATATCTTCCGATGAATATTTTATCGATCTCTAATATTACACTCTTCCCTGGTTGATCCTCGCTATTGCAACTATATTTTTATCAATCATATACCTTTGGATAACCATATTGCCAAGGTAAAATGGTTGAAGTATCTCATAGTTCTATGATGAATTGGCTAAAGTCACATGGAGAGGACGAATTCATTTTGAATGCCAAGCGATTTCATAATTTTGGGATTGTCACCATTGTTGTACTAAATTTCATCCTCATAATAGTGTCCATCATCGCATTGGTAATCATCATTCGTATTTTTAGGTGTACTCAAACAAGGCACTCAATGGACTGGATTATTCAAGTTGCTACATGGCTTCATCCTTCGACGATTTGCTTGGAAGAAAGGATGAAGTCTTCACTGGATACAGTATCTTGTAAGCTGATTTCAATTCATTGACAACTACCTTCGCTGATTTTCAAACTGAATTGAAAAAACTCTATCAAAGTCGAGTGTCCCTCACTCTACAATCGCAATAGCAAGATGTCATAGAATTTAACGATTAGTACATTTCGATATCATCATAGACTGAAGAGAAACGAGCCCAATTCTCCTCTCCCTATTTTGATATCCTCGAATGGAACCAATACCGTAGCGGCTAAGGAATCCTATTTCTCGAAAATGAAAATCGTATCCACATTGAATTATCCTCATAGATCGATTACATGCTATCCACAAAGGAAGATGACGAATACCTCACCTATCTTAAGTACTATGACCTAATCAAGCAGGAGGAAAACAGAATGCAATTGGCAAGCCAAGTGGACGAGGTCAAGGAATATTATGGGAATATCTTTTAGAGATTTGGGTCTTTGGAGACTTCATCATTAGCTCTTAGAGATTCCAAACTCGCACTCCTATTCACTAAAGCCTAATAATAACTATCATACATCGATAACTCTCTGCTTAACTATGCTACACTATTCACTGATTTCCATCAAACTCTAGGTGATGATATTAATAAATACGTTGATTCGATTATTGGCTTATTAATAGTGTTAATCATATTCGCTTTCATTCAAATCATTTTATGGTTGGGCCATTTGATTAACAAAAATCTCAAGATTAAAAGAGTCATCGATATCCTCTGGTTTTTGTGCAATCTCATACTGATTGGAATTTTAATTGTTAATATCTTCTTGCAATCCAACTCCTATTTATCCAAGGAATTATGCATCTACTTTGATGGCCTCATTAACAATGTAGAATTCTACTCACACCAATAGATCATTGAATTTTCAGAAGCCAAAACTGCCCTCCATTCCTGTCTGTATGGCGATGGGAATATCTATAATCAATTAAACCTCAATTCCAGATTCAAGGACATCAGGACCTACATTAATAGCGAGAATGGACTTTTAGAAGAAATACAGCGACTCAATTCAAATCAAGCCCTCTACCTCCAGAAACTGAACAATAACTCCCTGACCATCACTTCAATTCTAGATGGCACCTTCATTGACTTAAACCAAGATGAGAGCGATGGCTTGAATAAGATCATACAAGAGTTTAACTCCCACAAAGATAAGGAGAATTGTGCAGAACTCTAATCCTCATTATGTACTGATGGAACCTACCCAAAAAGGAATGGAAACTTCAACGATTCTCAAATGTGTTGGCATCCCTCATACCTGATCACTAAATACACTTCATCATGCTTGGATCAGCAGGATCTATTTTACAAACTAAAATTGCATTTCCAATCTCAGGCTCAAGGATGGATTAGAACCTAATTGTTGGAATCTTAATTTGTATCTTAAAATTTAGATCTAAATTTAAAATTAAATCAATACATCAAAAACCATACCACTTTTATTGAGTTGGAACAAAAGACCCTGTCCAATTTATACAGTCTACTTAAGGGGGCCAATTGCACATTCATGAAGGTAATTGTATCATCACTTCAATGTAGGATGACTTGAATAAGATGTTAGATGGCATGTGTGTGGTCTACTCATACTATCTTAATAAAGTGTCAGTCCTAACTATAGTTATCGCCTCCTTGCTCTTCCTTTCAGTTTTATTTAATTGCTTCACTTCAATCAAGATTTCATAGATGGAAACGTACGAAGAATATGCTTCCACAAAGGTGATCAACTTTGCAGGATCCAGCATGTTCAGAGCATCAATTGAAATTAATTAAATAATGTAAAATGAAAGCCCAATGCACATTACTAGCACATAATTGGAATTCAAATGAAACAATTCAAAACTTAAAATTATTCTGTATTTTATCCTAAATTTTATTCAAGCATCAAAATTTGTCTCTCGATCTCCTGGTTTTCTTCCTAAATTCTCTTGCTGTCATTCAATAACTTTGCGAACTAGTAAACATGCCATAACAATCAATACATGTTGGGTTGTTCTTTATTGCAGTTGATCCTTCAGGTGCTAATTCTTTTCCAGAAACTCGCTAATTCTTTGATTAAAAATATCGTGGTTTTATGATTAATCATATGAAACGTGATTGATCATTTATATGCTTGCATGTTGCAGGTTCTCGTGTGGCAACATTTATCGTATTTTTGCCTAAGCCTTCAAGAATTTCTCAATAGACTTTTCATACTCCTTAATCTATTAAAGATACTCCAATTTCTTTATGTGGTACGGCAAATCCTTTTGAGTGGGTTGACAATACTTTTCCTTCAGTTATCTCTCCTTCTTAAGAAAGGCAGTCATCATAGCTTGCATCTTTTCACAGTAAAAAATTAGTTCTTTATACTAGGAATAGTGTTCCTTAAATTTCACAATCTCTTCATTGAAATACTGCTCGTATAAAGCCAGATAAATCTCATTTTGATCGCAATCAGGAACCACAAGGTCTTGGATGACTAATGGATAATCGGGCAATTTCTCCCATGATTCCTTGGGTTCATAGATGTGTTGATTTAGTTCTGGTATTATTTTCTATGCATCGTTCCCTTGAGGCACTTCCTAAATTTACATCTATTTTACTGCGTTTGAATTCTCATTTGGCAACTCTATTGAAATCTGTGGCACTACTTATACTGTATTCTGTGAGTCTGGCAATTCTATTTTCGGTTATTTCTATTGCTTCTCCTGTTATTACTACTTGATTCGATTAACATTGTTTGGATCGAAGTGAAATCTCATCCCTTTTATTTTAAATTTATAATTGCAGTATTAACGATATATTGAAGTATTAATTATATAATTTCATTGCATAATGGAGTGTCTAATCTACAGGAGTTGGAGTTCTAAACTTAATTGGTTGGATTTATTCTTTCTATTCTAACAATTGCAAATTTGAATCAGTAGTTTGATTGCCTCCATTAAGAGATCTGTTTATGAATATTCAAATTATTACAAAATATTGATAGCAGCCTCAACTTTCTATGCTGCCTACTCATTTTGCTATTGATTTTAGAGCAATTAGCCTAAAAGCAGTAGAATATTTGCATATTTGATTGACTGATATTGATTGCATTTCTCAAAAATCGAAACAGCTTTGTTGTAATTGATGGATGCATTGCTGCAGTCCTTTCTAGAAAAGTACAATTGACCAATGTCTGAGTAGATATCAGCGATGCATTAATGACTCTAAAATAAACGAATAGCACACTGTAAGGCACTTTCATATAGATTCAAAGCTTCATTGAAATAACCGCTTTCCATTAGATAATGTCCAAAAATGGAGTAGATTATAAAATAATAAGGGTGAGAGGATCCGAAGTAGGAATCAAGGATTTAGAGTATTTATTCAAAGTATTACAGTGCAGTATCTAGATTGTCCATGCTCATTTGAATGATTTGCAGAAGAGGCTTGATTTGACTTGGGTGGCCAGGCTTAGTGAAACATAGAGCCTTATTAGCATTCTCACAACTCTCCTCGCATAATAGGTAGGAAAACACATCATCCCCTTCTTTTCGTAGTAGACACAACTCCAAAGACCACTTAAGAGATTGAAATAATTATTCTTGATTCATAATGTTTTTTCTCTTTGATTTTCGAGCTATTTTCGATGTGTTCAACAGATAAGCCTTCTATTAGACATTGAATTAAGGTTTCTCCTTCAAGGGAAAGGATTCCTTAAACATTCCATTGATTAAGGCAGGTGAAATAGCGAAGGATATATCACACTGTTATTACAGACTGTAGAGCAGCATTCCTTTGTATTGCATAGAAAATCGAGATGTTACATCAAGGTTATATGAATAATCATACCAAATCTATTTTTATATGATTTAAATCCAAAATATATCAGATTCTTTTCCAACACCCAGCAGGAGATTCAAAAAGTCAAGACAACTTTCATTTATCAAATTGGATGATAATTCCAATACAATTTTGATGTCCTATACTTCCTTAGTGTTTAATTCTTATATCATCGAAAACTCCAAAATGTTAGATTGATCACTCTGCAACTTTTAAGATAACTGATATTTCAGATTCTTCATTAGATCGGCTGCATTATTTCTTAGCACCTTCTTACATACTCTGCTGATCATATCACAAATACAGAGATCCTTGATATGTTATAATGAACACATCTGACAAATTTTACCAATATATTTAACATTGATACCAGATTGATGTAATTGTTCACTCAATTGAGTTGAATCAAGTGGTAAATATTCAAGAGATTCAAATTTACTTATCAGATCATTTAATAGTTAATTTTGGAGGAAATTGGTTGCCTACTCTTAATTCATTATAATCTGCTTGAGTTTCAGAGAGTTTGATCTATTTCAAATATGCATCAGAATTTAAAGGTTTGTTCCAACTTCTTACAAATTCTGGTCTCAATCTGGAAGTGTTTTGCACATTCTCTTAGAGTATGACAGGCATCAAGTCTCCACATTTTAACAGATAATACAAGGAGAGATTCTGAGGAGGGAATTCATTGATATTCTATTCATTTTCAATCCATCTCAATTCAATGTAATCTTTTATTAATTTTGTGAACTTCTTAAAATAGACTCATCGGAATCACATTGCTGATCATCTCATCTTCAAAGAATTTATGTTATTTTAGATTTAATCTGATGCTAATTGAATTCATATATTGCTGGATGGCATTATTCGTAATAAATTAGCCATCTAATGTTGGACCATGAATTAAAGTAGAATCATCAATTGGAGGAACTGCCATAACAAAGGCTCTGACTCCTTTGTAGTCTACTATACATGACAATGGAACTCTTAAAGGGTAATTGGATTCCTCCTAAATTAAAAGTTCAATCTATTCAGCTAATAAGGATAGATAACGAAATTCTATCTTAGATATTATCAATATTTACCATTTCCCAAGGCCTTTAATTAAGACTCTTCATAAATTTAGATTTCCTATTTACCCTGTTAAGTGTGGATTTCTTGAGATTTCAATTGGCAAAATGATAATTTGATGAATAACCCATCATGACAATAGAAATCATCACCAAAATCAATAGTATTATCCTAATGACTGTACATTATGTACTTGTCCTCATTCAAACAATCTGTAGGTTTTATGGTTTTCATTTAATTCGGCAAACATAATTCATCAATAATGGTTTAACACACATCCATAGCATGATCTCTCATTCTCCCAATAGATTCATGCAACACAAAACTATTTGTTATACATTCCTCAATAGTTTTTGGATCCTTCATATTAGCTAACTCTATAGCTTATAAATAATTATAATTCCAAGCTGTCTTGATTCTATTCTTCACCATATTTTTTTTGGATTCTTCCTTATTCAACACTGTTTATTCCTATTTCTATTGTTCCTACAAGATCTTATTTTCTTCTTCTAATTATTGTTCTTTTTCCATTTTACTCTTCAGTTCTGACTAGTGAATCTCCTATTCTTTTTGCTATTGTATATGTAGCTCCTCCTACCTTTGCTGTTCTTCAGACTTCTATTTATCAGCCTGTTAGGCTTCTTTCTATTAGATTTCCTTCTATTAATTCTCCTTTTCATTAGTATCTTGTTGTTATTAGATACTGTTCTTTTACTTTGCTGTCTCAGATTGTACCATAGAGGGCTACTAAGGTAATTACTGCTAAACTTAGCTCTGTTGTTGATCTTATTATGGGTATTTTTCAGGATGCTTAACTTTGTCAATTATCTGAGTAAACTCTTTCAAAATGTCAGGTTTGGAAAATGCTATTTCCCATATAATGATTTCCTTCTTCTTCGTAATTACTATTGGTTATTGAGCAGCCATCAAATCTCTCCCATAACTGCTATTAACACTCATGTTTGTGCTCCTATTTTTCATTTTAGATGGGAATATTGCATCCTTTGCCATGAATGTTATTTCAATCGAATTCTACTTTTTTGCCTTTTCTGGTGGTCCTATGTATAAAATATTCTCTATTATCACGGATATCTTTGGTTACATCTTCTACAAGTCGTTCATCTCTATTTATCATATATCAATAGATTTACATTTTGGAACTTTGAAATAACTAAGCATACAATTTGATAGTTGAATGACTCTTTTATTCCAAAACATCTTTGAAGTTGATCTCTTTTCCACTTAGAAGATGTTCGATTGATCCTGCACTATAGGTTTGTTCTTGGGTTCAATTTACTAAGAGGATATCGAATTGTTCATAGTATTGAAATCAATAAATTATTATTATAGATAATGAATTAGCATTTGTAGAAGTTGGAATAGATTCTCATTAAATTTAATGACAAGCACTAACTAGTAAATGAATATATGAATTCTTATAGTTAAGAAGAGGAATATATGTCGGATTTATTATTAATGCAGGCTTATTCTACTCATAAGTAATTAATACTTCTTTCACAATTAGATGACTAAATTTGCCGCATTGAAAAGAATGCAAGAATATATGGTTGAAAAAACCTAACAATTCGAAAGCAGATTGAGCTCTGAGCAAGAGCAAATTATCAAATCTCTTAAAGAGTGAGTGTGAATAAAAGAAACTTTAAATCAAAATACAATTAATCATATAATAAATAAAGCAAATTCCATCATATAACTTATATCTGATTTCTGTCTAGATAATTATATCAATATTTTCTGTTTATAAGATTTCTGAAGAAATTATCTCAGATTTCTTATAGTTTATATAAGTTTAGAACATTTGTTTTATTATTATAACCTACTTTTCATTCTCTTAAAAAAACAATATTTTATAATATATTTAATTCTGCTTGCTCAATTCAATGAGATCATAATAAAATTTATATACTCAAATATTGCAGAATATAATGTTATTTTTAGCATTTATAATTATTACAATTCTCATTTCTAACATCTCTAACTATTTCTTAATACAGAATAAGTGAAGAAGGATTATGAAAAGAGAAAACCTTTATTCAGACTTTAGAAATTTAGAGCTCAATTCAATAAAGATCCAAGTTAATGAATTTGATTTTTGTTGAGATGACTGCTTATATTGTTAAATATTATGTCCAAAGGAATAAATTTTGAGATAATACTAATAATACCAAAACTTACAACTTAATAAGTATGAATTCAAACTTTTTTACTTTTTACAAGTCAGATTAAGTTTCTTTACTTTTATAAATTGTATTCAACAACATATTAAATTTATTCTAGGTATTCACCCTACTAATAATTGAATCATAAACTAATAATTGTGTTGCTCATCAAACATTAATCTCAATTTATTGATTGCAAATTGTTATTCTATAAAACAATTAACAATAGAATTATCGACACTGTGAAGTCGTTTAGAAATATATTTGAAAAATAAGTAATAATTAATATGGACTCACTTTAAGACACTGAGTTTTTGGATCTGGTTGAAAAATGTTAGAAAATAATAGATTAGTACGAATAGGATGATGAAATTTCTACTGTTTTGTTAATTGGGAACCATTATTCTGGAAAAAGTACTGTTTTCAACTTCTTGAGTGGTGCAAATTTTAACTTTAATGATGAAGCAAAATAAATCGAAATAGCTAACAAATAGGATAAATTTTCTTAGATGAATAATGGAACAAAATCTATTACAAAGACACCACTAAATGTCTATAAAAATAATTAAAATAATCATGTAATTATTGATTTTCCTGCTGAATTTTTAAACACTGATAAATCTAAAGATCAATAATTAATTAAACTTTTATTTAACAAGGTTGTAACTTCAGGACCGATTAAACTTATTTACATTTTATAATGTTATGATGATTGCCTTCCAAATAGAGGAACTGATCTTGTACATTTCTCGAAAATGTTGAATAATCCGAATTTTAGTTTACTATTAAATAAAAATCATTCTGAGAAATCAGATGAGTAACTGATTTGTAAAATAAAAAAATAATGGGAGGAAAGTTATTAGATTAATTTTAATAAGACACCAAAAAAAGTTGAATAAATTCATATTTTAAAAAAAGCATACAAAAACTCATTAGAAGTAATTTTTAATGATTACTCGCGTAAAACTTTATGGTGTTTGATTGAATAAGCTAAAGAAATAGAAATTAAACCATTAGAAATACCTTATGGAGATGAGCTTAATTTATATAAAAATAATTTAGAATGGGAATTTGTTAATGATTATTTGAATCATCTCTTATAAGAGAATTAAAATTAGAAGGATTAGAAATAAACTGAAAATGATGAAGAAGGTATTTATGAAAATATGTAAGAATTATTTTATTTTGTAAAAATAAGAAATCAGAAAACAGCTTTATAATGGTATTAAAAATTCTTTGAACTTTGCAATAAAATAATACAAATTACATCAATTAACAGCAATAAAATGGTGGAAAGTAAAAATTTCCTAAAAATATTCTAATATTTAGAATAGGGATTTAATAAAATCAATTGCTAGAGTAATTTGGATGTAATAATTTCATTTGTAAAAAATTAATTATAAAATATTGAAGAAATCTATCAAAAGAGAAAATAATATCTAAATATATAGCAAAATCTTGAAAAGAAAATGAACCTATAATTTAAAGAAATTTAGAATACAATAAAAAAATTGTTAGAAGGATAGTTCCAATTGGAGAAAGAGAATTTACGATTGAAAACAGAGAATGAGAAAGAAAAATTGTAAAGGTAAATACTAGAAAAATAACTTAAATTATGAATAATTGATATTAAATTTTATCAAAATAGTTATAATCTATTCTTGTTATTAATATTATATGCTACGAAACAACTTTTTAAATTTAATATTACACTTCCTTATATTATCAGTCAATTAATACTGGTTTGAATATTGATTAAATTTCTTCTAATATATTATCCTTTTAGCTTTATTTTCACTCGATCAAACTTTTCTTAGAATCTTAACATTGTTAATATTGTTTTCAATTTCTTAATTTATAATATAGTTATAAACTAAATTTGATTTTTGAATATTCTTATTAACAAAATGATTTCTCTTCAACAGATATTTTGGTAAAAAGAATAAGATTGATTTCCTATTGCTTTAGCTGATTAATTGTATAGGAATAGGAATAAATACATTAAATTTGATTCTTATGATTATTTGTAAATGAAGGCCGAGTTTCAATTTTCTAATCTATTTCGAAACTTTCATTTTGACTAATTTTATGAATGTTGCAGGTTCCATATTTTACCTACTATTATTCTTATTTTAATTATTATTTAGTGCAGTATTTACTCAAATAGACTAATTTCAATTATACTGCCTCAACATTATATTGAAATACTGAGAGAGTATAAAATCTTCAAATCAGTCTCGCTTTTGCATCATCCCCAAATCAAATGAATCAATTTAAGTGCTTCTGAGTGTATGAACATATATAAGTAATACTGTTTTATATATTTTTATTTATATATTTTAATATTTCAATATTTTTATCTACGAACACCTGCCAAACATGCTCTATAAATATTTCTAGGGTTTTCTGGGAACATATCAGCGTGTATTCTTAAATCTTCAATATTGTCTTAAAATAATTGTATTTTTTGATACCCAATTCTCCCTTTTTGGTCCACATAGCTTCTGCTGTATACCTTTTGCACATGCCTTCTGCTTCTTATCTTAAAACAGAATCATTCACTCTTCCAGTAGCATAATCACATCCTTTCCAGCAAATTTGGATTGATGGGTTGTACCATGAGAAGACATCCTAACACATGGCATAACATGTGCCTCCATTATATCTCAAAATTTGACCGCCTTTTAATAGCATAAATTCAAACCTGTTGCCATTAAATTGAAAATATAAAATTAATAATAATAAAGGAGAGATTATTTAGATTTAGATTAATTTATAGAAATAAATCATATAATATTAATTATCACGCTCCTTATGGGAATTTCATCATTTCTAATTCCTTTATGATTTCCTTAAAAGAAGGTCTCTTCTCTGGATCTCTATCCCAACATCTCTTAGTTAGTCGTGTAAAGACCTCAGGAGTCTTTTTCGGAATAGTTGGTCTAAAATCGTTATTCAAAACATCTAAAGAAACTTATAATCCAGTGATATCTAATTAATAGAATAGATTATATACTTCTATAAGGAGGTTCTCTTGCAGCAATTTCCCATAAAATTATACCAAAACTGAATACATCGGCTTTTTCTGTATAAACTTATCCTGCAATTACTTCTGGAGCCATCCATTGATATGTTCCGATCTTGCTGGTCATGTAATTAGATAGAGTTCTAGTCCAACCAAAATCTGCTAGTTTAGTTCTAAATGCTTCATCTAATAATAGATTTAAGCTTTTTAAATCCCTATGGAGAATAGGAGGATTGAATGAGTGTAGATACAACACTCCTTTTGCAGCATCGAGTGCCATTTTTCTACGATCTTCCCAAGTTAAATGAATATCATGATTTTATATGACCTACCACAAAGATCCTCTTTAACAATATTCCAGTACAATTGCTAGATTAGGTGGTTTGGTACAAGCACCAAGAAACATTACTATGTTTGGATGTCTAAGAGCTTCCATGGCATGACATTCAGACAGAAAATCTCGGATATGATTTTCATTCATTCCGTCTATCTTAAACATCTTAACAGCCACTACTGTTTCTCTCCATTTAGCTCTGTAAATGACTCCATAGCCTCCCTCACTTATTTGTTTCTCTAACATAATGTCATTGAAATCTATGTCCAAACTAGATTAAAATATTCTATGTTTGATTGGTCTCTCTGGGGAGATCTCTAATGCAGAGATATCAAATTTAGATTATTGTTTTTTTATTTGCCTTTAAATATATGATTCAGTTGTTTATACTTTCTGGTCTTTAACTTTTTTTTTGGATATTAATTCATTTTTCATTCTGTCATATTTTTATTGTAATTAAATGTTTTATTATTTCAGTATTTCTTATTCGTTCCTATACTTTTCAACCTCTTCGTTTAACTTATCCTACTCTTTATGGTTATTGTCATTTTCATCCAAAATGATCTCCAGGTAAGAGGGTGACAATAATATGGAATGGAAATTACCACACACAATTCTCTGGGTTTCAGGTACTGTGAACAATAGCTTAGGTGACATGATTCCCTTCCCATTCACACTTGGTTATCCTGTTAACTATCCATAGATATTGGAACCCCATCCATATATTTACTTATAATCTGCAGACAAAGCCATACTGTGATTTCTTCCTGCAGATACCTAGGATATAAGAGGTAATCCTGAGATCTTGATAGGAACATCTGAACTGCTCAGATCGTTGCCCAATTACCCGTGAATATTATCTCCCATCGAGTAGACTTCCCCTTTACTTGTTAGAAATAGAGTAAACATTTCACCCATCTTCATGTCCAATACACATTACTAATTGTTGAATTCATCTACCAATTTAATTTGAGTAGGCTGTTTATGAAAATCTTTATTGGATTTACAAAAACCCCATAGATAAGGCTTACCACCTTCGACTATGCAACCTGAATGTGCTAAGCCACAACTGATTTTCTCCACTTTGAAATGAGACAAATTCTATATCAATTTAAACTCACTGATTGTCAAGTTCTCTTGATGTCCTAATGCATATGACTCCCCAAAACCACAAGAGAAGATTCTATTTTTGTTAGTCAATATTACAGTGTGTAATGCACCACATGCTACCTATTGAACTGCTTCATCATTTTATAAAAGAATTTAACATTAACTTTCATTGGGATTCTTTTATTTGATCTTTTCCTTCATCAATACCAGCTGCTCCATTATGTTGTCTATTGATGAGGATCTCTCCTTCAATCCTGGAGATGTTGACTAATCTGCTTCGTTGACACTCTTCATCCTCTTGTGACCCTATTATTGCTCTCTTGCCTTGCCATTGCTATTACCAAATGGCAACAATCCATAAACAAGAGTGGGCTGACTAATGTTATCAAAACAACCCAAACCTAATTGGCCTTTCAAATTTAAACCCCAAGAATACACTTCCCCTTTGGCTGTCAACATGAATGTGTGTTCAGCACCGCAAACTACACTGGTAATTCTTTGATCTTTGAAGATTGGAGTCAATTTGGGTTGAGTGTTTGATTCATATCCCAATTGTCCGAATTGGTTGTCCCCAAATCCTATAACTTCATTTTTATTATTCACAATGATGGTGTGATTTTCACCTGCTGAACACAAGGTCACTCCTTAGTAGTGTGGAGTGATGTTCTTGTTGTTCTTGAGGAGTTAGCCACAAGTGTTAAGTCCTACATTCTATAACACTCTTACCCCATGAGTACAATTGAGTTGTGTCTAATTGCAATTATCTTGGAGATTTCGAGAAATCACTGTATGATCTTGGTGGTCGGACATCCTTGTCCTTGAATTGTTTGAGCATCTTCCTTGATTCTGTCAAGTCATTCAATCTCATATTAGTTATTTTATTTTTAAAATTCAAATTTAATAATATTGTTAGATTATATAAATTAATTGATCCCTAAGCACTCTCCTGATAAACGATATCAAAATGGAATCGAAACAAATCAAAAATTGGGTTCAAATTGAAGACCTTCTCTTTTGAGATTCCATTTTTGAATCCCAACCTATGAATTTCCTTCTCGCCTCTCTCTCTTACGAGGAAATGCATCTTTGCAATTTAATTAATTATTTTAACATGCAAAGAAGCCAATCGTTTTCAGAGCTCAAGGTATTAAATAATTGCATTCCCATTGAATTCTTTGAACAGAAGGGTCCTCAATACTATTAAAATCAATTTCAATAATATTAAACTATATTCCAATAGAGTTTTGCTCTGCACACAAGATTATGCCAAACTCCATTGTAAAAGTATCAGAATTACGATTTGGGGAACACTGTAATCAAGTAGGGGACAGTCTAAATTAAAATAAACAGCGGGAGTTTCACTAAGACCAGCATCATTTTGACGCGAGAGAAGTTGGTGATTGTGGAGGACAAGCAATGGGGACAAGTATACAATCTCAGGTACTTGGCCTACACTTTGGCATAGGTATGAATATCCTCATGTATCATGGTTAGTGTAACAAGAATCAGTTTAAATTGTTCAAGTTGGAGTTTAAGCAGTATAAGAAAATTATAATATTTAAATGCAACGATGAAATTGAGGGGAAGCTGTGGTATTAGAGCATCAGGATGATTGAGGAGAAGTTCTTGAACGAGATAGAGAAGTTGCAGGTGAAGGAGTTGTACTTTGGAGTGGATTTTGTGAGGGAAGAGGAATTCTTGAATTGGGCAGAGACAGGGGATATTCTATTGTTCGAGTAAGCACTCAATTATAAGGGAAGGACTGATCATTACATGGCCAAATTGCAAAGAGGCATCACGAGGTCGAAGTTCGATCATGTAGGCATGGTAGTCAGAGATAAGTATTCAAATGATGTGTTGGTGTTTGATGTCAAAAACTAGGCAGTAAAAAATTAAATTCGAGTTTTAGGGAGTAGATCAAGAGTTCTGGAAATACTTTATGAAGCAGAACAATCTCTACAGGAAAGTGGCGGTTAGAAAATTGTTGAATGTCGATAGGGAAACTGTAAATTGGAAACTGCTGGAATTTATTGATGTATAATTAAAAATTACAAGAAAGTTAAAGATTAAGATTACGAAATCAACATGATGAAGCTCCTGCAATAGCAAAGTGATGGACTTATCAACAAAGGGTATTTTTGCAGTGAGTTGATTGCGAAAGCGTATAAATATTGTGACTTGTTGCCTCAGTAGAAAGCAAGTTCGACTTATTGGCCAGTCACGTTCCAAAAGTCGTTGAAACTCTTGAATAAGGCCCAGTTGAGTGAGCCAATAGTTATTTTGTTGGATTATGATATACATTATTAATTATGAATTAAAGTAATTAAAATATAGTGAATAGACATGGATTTCAGTGGAAAACAGGAATAAATTATTATCAAATCGGAGTTGCAATACTGTACATTGGACATTACTTGATAATCTTATTTCAAACCTTGGATTATGTAAAAATAGTATTTCAAAGTTATAAGAATCAACTTTGGATTTTGGTTACGCTTTTCTCATTTATCATCTCGATATTTTGGCTTGTCACCACAACAATAGATCCTACCGATCGGGAGATTTACATTTAGCAGAAACTGAAAGAAAAGAAGTAATGAACGATGATCATTATAATGATAGTTTGAAATACGAGACTTAATTGAATTGCTATTGCAAAGTATGTCAAGCCTATGTTAAGGCACCGTCAAAGCATTGCAGATAGTGCAACAGGTGCACAGAACTCTTCGATCATCATTGTATTTGGTTGAATAATTGCATTGGGTTAAGAAATTATAAATATTTCTTTATATTAATAGTACTTTTAGAATTTTATTTAATTACTGTACTAATTATTTCAATATTTGTCAACAAGATACTTAGCTATATATACATGGGACTCACTATTATTTTGATGATTCCCGTCACCTTTTTACTCGTCATGCACATCTACTTTAAATGCAAGAACATGACAACCTATGATTATGTCTTATCCAAAAGGAAAATGGAATAGAAGACCTCCTAAGAAAAGTAGTAGGATGGTACATCAAATCAAACTAATCTGCAAACCAACATCATCTCTAGAAATTATCTACAACAAACCAACATCAACGTTTAGACTGCTCCTCCGAAACCCAATCTTATCAAAAAAGTGATCAATTGGGATCAAGAGGATGCAGATGTGGAAGAAGAAGACAGCTACCACGCTAAAGAACCATTGCCATTGCCTAGTTCGAAGAGTAGTGCCAGATAAATGGATTCTTAGTGTAACTCTGCTCACAAGATGACCTGTCCCAATACTCTCAGGTAATTTAATTTAAATCTCATTGATAGAGGTAATATATCCACAATTCAATTGACTGAAACAAAACCAATCCGATCTTTGTTTAATGTGAAAGATTTTTAATAAATGATTGAAAATTAATTGGTGAATAACGTAAATGAAGGTTCCATCATTTAATTTGATTCAAAACATTCACAAAAGACTAATCAGATTGAGATCAATATATGAAAAAATTTGAGTTTAAATATATTATCCATCCCACAAAATTTTACTTCGGATTATCTTAAGATGAATGGTTTCTAATATTATTTATAAATTATGTAATAAAATGAAAATGATTCTCAACACGATGACCCTCAACCATTACAAGAGGAAACCAAAGAACAATAATAGGTTGAAAATAATATGGAGGTTAACCCAAACTAAGAACAATAAAATGAAACTGACAAATAAAATGAGCAATTCAATATTACTTCCTAATTTCCAAATCATGAATAGTAAGAAGGGAACATCGAAATAACTATACTAGACACTGAACAATAGGGTGATGCGAAAGAGACCTCAAATTAGAAAGGGGAGATCATCAATTAAGAACAAGCACAAAATGAGTAAGAAAACATAGACTAAACTAAGTTAAATAAACAAAATTCAATCAATAACCAAAATCAGGATCCCTCTCTTTCTAATAATACCACAGTCTAGCAAGACAATAGCTAACAGAATAATAAAGTGACATAATAGGATTAGTAATAGAGTAAGGAGTAGAAACAATAGGAAAAGAAAGGGGAGGAGAATGATTAAGAAAATTAGGGATAAAGAAAAAATTAAAAAAAGAAGACCACCAAAAGGAGAACTACTAAAGTTGAAATCTAAGAAAATTAGGAAAAAAACAATCCTGCGTAATCAAACACTAATATTAACGAGGAGAAGGAAAAAGAAGAGCAAGAATAAATTTAGCAAAAAATTGAAGAATAAAAGCAAATAGAAGAATTGTAAAGAAAATAGGAATTAGAATAGTAAGAATAATTATAAAGATAAAAATAGCTAGTTGATAAGGTTTATAAGGACTTGATTTTTCCCCTTAAAAGGTCTTAAAATAAAAATGGTAAAAAATTAGATTCTAGCTTTGAAATTTAAAGCGAGAAGTTTACACTAGAGTAGGTAAGGTGTAAAAGTGCAAAAAGATATTAAAGGGAAAGAAAGCCAAGAACAAGAAGTGCAATTAATTAGGAGTTGTTAGACTTTTACAATAAGATCAATCCTCAATAACATAAAGATCAAAGCAAAATGACACCAAATACATTACAAAGGTTAAAAAAATAATAGGAATTAGAATAGATGAAAAAAGATTGTGAAAGATTAGAAGAATAACAAAATTAATAATAAAATGCCTTCTCTTAACCATAAAAAGAAAATAAATCTAAAACTCAGAATAAATAAAGAGCTTAAACTCAGGCCAAAAAGAAATTAGAAGTCGTTGTGAGAAAACGTAAGAAAATTAAGATTAGAAATGGTCTTAGAGAAAGAATGCTAATTGATAAAGATAAGGATTCTTAATTGAAAGCCTTAGATTTCATTAGAAAAATGTAGTAGAATAGAATGGCAGCCGAATAAAAAAGATAAGAATAACTTGAAAAGATTACTAACAAAATTTCAAGTGATATCGAAAGTTTGCGATAAGGAAGTCAAATATATAAATAAGAGTAATAAAAATAAAAAAGAAAATAAGCATTAGAATAAATTACAAAACAAGAATAAAAAAGGTATGAAATGATGTTGGAACAACAGAGAAATGAAAAATTTGTGAGAGAATTAAAAGAAAAGTCTGCAGTCAGTAGTCATTATAGTGTCAAAAAACTGGCATTAGGGTATTCGCCCTCTCTTGTTACAGAATTAGAAAATGGATAAATCTAAATTGAACAAATTATTGATACAAATAGAAAAATGAATGAAAATCAATTTTTACTTAAAGAAGAATAGAAATAAAGGATAAAAGAGAATAAAATGAAATAATAAGATTATAGCAAGTAAGTAAGTTTGTTACATTTACCTAAAGTAAACAACAAGAAAAATTATGAATTACTTAATGAATAACTTTCTACTGAAAATAAGGAACCCTTGCCTTAAATCAAACAAAAACACAAAAAGGCTTGGTAAATAGAATAAGAATTGATGTAAAAAAAGCATCAAAATAGCGAATAATTGAAGGAATGATTATAATTTTATCAAAATTAATATAAAATACAGTATTTTTATAAAAAACCCATATTTGTTTGGACATGATATAATACTGAAAATAAATATTGTTATATGGAAAGTGTTTTCAATTAGAGTGTGAACGTAGTACATTGAGAATTAAATTAACAATTCTTTTGATTTTAATATATTCATTCTGTTTTAAATTAAATATATTTAAAGTTTGAATAAAAAGGAATGGAGATGAGAATTCTTGTTAAATATTAAACATTAATGTACTATTTATTAAGCATTTGATTTAAATCACTTTTTTTATGTATTTTTAACTTTTGGTTAAGCCTATGTTCCTGCTCTGAAACCATTCTTTGCTCTTCTAGCAATAGATTTCAAATATCTCATTCTTCCTGTTCCTGTTGATCTTCTTCTAGCGACTTTCTCTCCCCATCCGCTGTCTATTATTCAATTAATGGATTTACAAAGTCTCAATCTTGCAGCTGGATATCCGCATGATGCACATCTATTTTTTTAAATATGGAAAGTCTATCTGCCACATCTTTTACAAAAAGTATGAGTCTTTTGATGTCTCTTACCGATTGCTGGAGTACCTCTTGCCATTGAAATTTTAATAAAAGATTTAATTAAATATAAAAGTCATCACTAAATGAGATAATCCATTATTATTTATTTAATTTCTTTTTATGGACATTCCCCTTACAACCATTATTTTGATGAATCCTAATGGAACTATTCAAATTGGTACTCAACCCTGGTTTAAAGGCAAGAAGGTGATGAAATGTTACTAGTGTCAGTAATCAATTCAATTATGTTTAGAAGTAACATTGTTTTTGAAGGCAAATATAACTAAATTAAATGCACTAAGTGCAACACAGTCAATCAAGTGCCCATAATCTAATGATCCAATTTATTTATGTTACAATCAACTATCAAAATAAACTATAGAATTCATATTTCATGATTTCTAATAAACATGGATCTCATTAATTCAATTAATATTTCTAATATTAAATATAAACAATAGAAATACTCAGATTTTTAGAATTCTCTTAGAAATCAGACTAGATATTTGCAGCAAAGCAATAAAAATTAGTTTTTTGTTACAACATATTTAATAGGCTATCCATATAACTAACAAATATTTTGATTATATTCTAATATATGAATTTTCTCACTTTAGGCTTATTAATCAAATCAATAAATATGTCTACAAAAACTCAGATCAACATAGTTTATAAGCAGACCCTTTTGTTAAAACCTTGTATTTTATGATACTCTCCAGTACTCCTATCAATAGGTCTAAATATTAAATGTTTCATAAAACCAGGAATCTTTCTTTGCATGAATAATTTCACCATGCGATTATTTAATTCATCTATATTAAGAGATAATTTGATAAAATAGATATTTTAATTAAATTAGTCTAATTAGTACTCAATTAAAGGATATATATAGATAGAAATATGCTAGATAAATAAATTACAGAAAATTTAATATTAAAAATACATTTATACAACATATTAAGTATGATTTTTTAAATCATAAAATCTAAATTTAAAAAATTCAAGTCAATTTATAGATAATGAACAATAACAAAAGTTTAAGCAAGAAGTATTACAATATTACAAATAAAAAATTAAAATTAATGATAGTAAAGAATAGAAAGATAAATTAATGATGATATTGTCAAATTAGTTCGGAGAAAAATATGATAAATAATATTCAATGTTAGAAATTCTTACACATTAAGGAAATAGAAAAGGAACGATGCTAAAAGTCCAAAACCAGAGAATAATACCCTTTGAAATTGATGAATTTTAAAAAATTCATAAATATTATTAAATAAATATATAGAGAGAACTTGAAGATTTGCTTGAAATTCTAAAATAATCAAGGTTTACTTACAAGATAAAAGTTAAATTAAAAGGAAAGTGGATGTTTCTATTAACGAATAAGGAAAAATAACCTTATAGTTTATAGAATAATAAAAACTTGAATTTTGAATTAACGAAATCAATCATCAAATCATATTATATAATATTAGACTCCTCTTTCTAATACCATATAGACAAGAGCTTATTTTAGAGTCTTTACACAATACTATCAAATAAATTTTTTTATTTTTATAATTTATTGTAATATAGAAATTAATTATTTAAAACCATCAAGATACGTAATTGCTGTTGTAAATTAAATTGTTGAGAAACAGACTTGAACAATAGTCCTCTTTGTAGGGATACTTGAAAAAGGGAAAAAAGGACAGTTTGGATCCTTCCATTGAGAAGCTCAAAGGTAAGACCTTGATATAATTTGATACTGTTATTTAATTCAATTTGTGAGTACATTTGATATTTGATGTTTTTAGAGATTGAAGGACTTGTAAATGAGGAAAAACCTCTTTTAGTATATTATTTTATAATAAAATGTTTTTTAAGGGTTGTTATTTTGTATTTTTGAATAATATCAATATTTTCATTCCTATTTTACCTTTTTACAGATTTCTTCTTGTTCATGGTATGCTTTAAACGAAACAGCCAATTCATAACAACGTTATTTCATTGACGAAATCCAAGGTACTCTTTTGTAAGTGGATATTTTCTATACAAATTCAATTGATATATAATACATCGATTTATCCAGAAGCAATAAATTTTAAGACTTATTTGGCCATATTTTGAATTTTTTCATTATTTTCTTGATCCCAAATTTCATCAAAATGTTCTAAGAGATTAAGGGGTGATTTTTACCAAGATAAGAGAGGTATCCTTCGTAAAACTTTTCAGAAGAAAAAATTTTCTTTAAATAAGAAGTATTCATGGTTTTGTTGGAAGACTCAGACCTAAAGGGAATTAATTCTTCAATATTGTCATTGGTAGAAAAATATTCCTTATAAAATACTTTTTCGATTTCATAAGCGCTCATTGTCAATTCATTTAAGTTCATCTTTTATTTAAGGAATTTAAAGCATTTCCTGAGTATGAATTTAATTTATTCTTCTTTTGTCTTTTTCTGATTTTGATAGCGATTGATCAGTGATTCTATCAATCCATCATCTATTCTAGTCAAGATCTAAAATAATATTTATCGAATTTTTATATACTTTATATTTATTTTTCTCATTCTCCTCCAATTCCTTGATTTCCTCCTTGCAGAGATATTCCAATAAGGATTTGAGTTCCCAGAGTATTTCGTCTTGGGTGAATTGTTTCAGAATTTCATTCTCCTTCTTTTATTTGGGTAAAACTCTTTCTGATTGACTTTTCTTCGTTCGAATGTCAGGTTATTGTACTATCGGTATTGTTCTTTGAGATGATTAAGAAAGAAGAGATATTTGTTGAAGAGGATTGAGTGATGGTATTTGTAGATTTGATGGGTTGGTAATATTGCTTTAGAGTGCACAAAGTAAATGTAAATACTAAGGATAGCTATATAGGAGTATACTTGTATCTGTTGAAGTTATTACAATTATTGTAATTAGGGACAATATTAAAGTTATGCTAAAGTGGGAATCTATTAGAATGGATTCATGTAAAAAATTAAATATTTGATCAATGTTTTTGGATTCAACTTAAAATACACGGATATTGTTAAATTAAATAAAACTGAATCTAAAATGAATCAATATATTAATCTTCTTGATAATAATTTTTATATTTCATCATAAATGAAACTCTTTCAAATATTCTAATTTTTTCAATTCTTATTTAATCCTCTCCTTATATTCATTATTGTGGAATTTCGTATCCACGGTATCAAATATAAACTGATTCAAAAATTTAATCTGTCCCAGCTCTTGCTCTAATCCAATAATCTTCTGCATAGGAGTTTATCTAAATTATATATCAAATAAGAATACGAAATATCAATTTATAAGGTTCTCAGATTTTATAATTTACTCAGATTACTGCAATTCAACTCTTCTACTTGGGTGTTAGAAATAAGTATTTATAAAAATCGCATAAGCTTTAAATCTCCTATTTGATCCATCAATTTATTGATTGAGTTGAGATTAGTGTCATTCAAATCCAAAATCAAACTTTTCATTTATGATTATTAGGGAATGGCATCAAGTACACTTTAATCAAAATTCTTATTTGCAGATATCCTCAGATGCTCAATCTTTTGAATACTGTTCAGGATTCTGTGTAATGTCAGACTGCTAATGGCAGTGTCCTTAAAATTTAGTGACAATGATTTCAAGGCTGTCAAATACCCAATTTTTTAGAATAGATTGTCTGCCTAAGTCACTTTGGTGTTGCTAAATTGAATGTTGAGGTATTCAAGATTTTGTAGCTATTTCAATAGATCACCTAACTGATCTATGTTATTTAGATTTGTGTTATTGAAGGTAAGTGTCAAATGACAGAGGTTAATACAAAAACTGATTCCTTGCATCAACTCAAATAGGTTTTCCATTTATAAATTATCCAATTTGATGGTCAATTAGAGCAATTTGTTGAGTTTTCTGATACCAGATCCAAGGGGGGCCAAATCAGTAATTTGAGTTGCTCCAAAATCTAAATGCAATTCTTCCAGATGCTACAATTTGGAGATATTGAGTGCAAATTACTCTATATTATTTAGTTGCGTATGTCTAAATGAATATGTTAAATTACCCTGCGAAGAGAGTTAAGGATTTGAGTTAAGTAAACAAATGAACATCGAATAACTTGATAGATGTTATATGAGTTTTATTGAAGTTCAGGTAGATCGATTCTAATTGAATATTTTAATTTAAAACTTGAATTACGTTTGAAACATCAGTAATTTGAGTGTTAGATAAGTCTAAATGAAATCTAGACAGTGTTGTAATGTGTGAGGGTATAATGTTGGAATCATTGATTTTTGTATTCCTAAGTTATGATAAGGATGATAATGTACTGTGCTTGTATTTTGAGTACTTCAAAGATTTCACTCCCTTGGATTGCATCTCTGAGTGGTGTGATATCACCAATGTTGGGATCAATGAAACTCAATTGAAGCTTTTATATTGAGAAGTATCTCGACAATAGCAACATTTGTTCATAAACTTCGTTTTAATTGTGGATTATCCAATCAATTTCTTTTTTTTCAGAATCTTCCTTGAATTACTCAATTTTTTCTCTAATTTCACGTGTTGATTTATTTCCCATCTAAATTAATTTAAAAAAATAATAATATAAAACATTAGTAATATATGAAATGAAATGCAAAGAATCAATAATTGATTATTTTATTTAATTGATTTAATTAGGATATTAGACAAATTACAACTGATTTACTTTCATTCTTATTTTATTTTAAATTAATTAAAAAGTTGTCTAAAAAAATGACATTTCATTAGATCATCAGTGGAATTGGAGATTTGCACCATCAAACACTTTTGTCACCTCTAAATTAAGCATCTGCCAAAAGGTTAAAGAAGGTTACCTTCTACAATGAAGCACTCTATCTTGAATTCAGAGCTACTGACAGTCCAATTAAAGTGAATTCCACTCTTCAAAAACATTTTTCATCAAGATCACTCTCGGTTATTACCTAACCTTGACATAAGAAATGATTATTATTTACATAATATGTTTCATCTCACTTAATCATTTCATTTCTAATCAATATTTACGCATCAATCAAAACAGATGCTTCATTAAGTGATGACCCTATTAGAAAATCTAGAATATCCATTTGCAAAATAAGGAATCCATAAATGTCACAAACTCTCTATAATCATCTAAATTGAATAAGATTATCCTGAAATTACTATTAAGAGTAGGATTTATGAATTTAAAAGGAATTTCAAGAAAAGATAGAATTTTTTTGTCCTTTATTTTAAACATCAAATTGTGAAAAAAATACCCAAAGATTAAGTAAATTGAGAAGAAATGTCAGAAAAATATATATAACACATCGAGTATTATTGGTTTTCAGTTTTAGTTGAATTGTAATGATGCTTTTAATAAAATTTTAATATAAATGTATATTTCAATATTCGTAATTCAAATTTTGAATTTTGCCTAAGCAAGTAAATAAGATATAATGAACGTTGTAGCATTGGATTGTTCAACAATAAAGGGTACAGCCTTGAATAGTTATGCCTATAAAACAGACGGATCCGTGCAATTTGAGTTCGCAATACCTACTCCTGGCAATGTGTATTTAACATTTCCGACATATTGGAGTGATTCACCTTCGATTTCGCCATTAATAACAGGAACCACCACTTGCAGAGAAGTAAACTTCCTTAAGATTATAAAGACCTTATAAAGTATAACGTGCACTTAAGATAATCTTAAATTCACATGCAATACTTTACAAGCAGGTAGCCAAATTATCAGATGTAACAATGTGAAGGGACCACACACAAATAAACAGATTGGAAATTTCAGGATATAATTTGCTTAATAGTCTTGCGATAATATTCTGATTAATAATTTCTAACCTTATGGCGGTTCAGTTGTGTTTTCATCTAACTCCACAACAGGGTTATACCCCAACGTTGACAAATTGTAAATGATTTGGGAAAACATTGTATTGCCTATTTCTTTTAGTTCAAACCCACAAATTGAAGTTTAGATTTTAAGCAATGGTGAATTTGTTACAACTTCAACAGTGAAAGGCTATGTGTCTGCTAGATCAATTGGTTTGTTAGAGTCACTCACAGTCAGTGCTCCAAATCTGATTAAAGCCTAAATGCCATAGTCAATAGCAGTAAAGGATGTTTCCATGAAATTATATATGGAATCATTGAAGGTATTGGGCAACACTCAGCCTATTCAATCGCAAATAGATTTTAAGGATTCTGATAATGTATTACAATACTAGATTCTCTTTCCCACAATTTAAGTCTAGAATGATTAATTGACAGCCAGTCTGAATATTGCCTCAACTGAGATCAACATCTATACAAAATATACTTTTAGCATAACTATCAAGAATGCATTGAACTCAGCAGGATTTGTGAGAATAGCCTTAGCATAAACATTATTATCCTAGAATCTGATTTGCTATTGTGACAATACAGTATCTATTCCCACTATTAATGCAGATTACATCGATGTTGGTGGATGTTTGACTACGACTGGCACACATAATATAGCTATTCAAAATGTACTTAACCCAGTATCTACTATTTCAACTATTACTATTTCCTATATCTAAACTATGTTGAATGGTTTTTCAGTTGATAGAATGACAAACTTTCAATATAAGTCGCCTTCATTTACACCTGGTACTCTGAGTGTTCAGTATGACAGATAAGGAAGTGATTTGGATGTAGTTGGAGGTTACTCCTTTTTCATATTAAAAATCACACCCAAAAATAGAATTCCAGCTTAAGGACTATTAAAAGTGGAAATACCTTAAGAGATCAAATTTGTTAATTAAAATGCATAAATTTGTAATGTAGATATTTATGGATGTCAAATTCAAACTATTTAAGATTAGGTATTGATTTTCAAGTTCTCATCATCAATAGAAGCTTCAAAACAATTTATTATTAATTCAATATCTATACCAATTAGAAATCCATTAGATACTAGTTAGACCAATTATTTTAAATTCACTACATATGATTAATTCAATAACATAATAGACAAAATCTCTAATGTCTAAGGATATTCTGTTAATAAAAGATCATCATTTGATGGACTAATAATCATTGAATCAGATTAACCATTTAAAAATGGGTAATCCAATACGTTTTATTTTACAATCAAAACTAAAACTCCTCAGTTCTATCCCATTTAAATGACTGTCAAAGTTGGTGATTTAACAATCAATAATAATCCATAATGTAAATTAGAAGGTGCTGTTATCAAAACATGCACTAAAATATCAGCTAATCAATTAGACATTTCGATTTAAAGTACTACTGACTAACTTTTATTACCAACTACTTTGAAGTTATCTGTCTCAACTATTAAATGTAAGGATACAATGACCAAGAGTTAAGATTTTGAATTTTCAACTTAATCTACTAATGGTTTAATGAGTTATCAATCAGGACCGTATATAAGTAATGTCTAATTTGGTGACATTACATAAACTGAATTAAGAGTTGACAAATAATATTATGGTGCTTCAAATGCAGTCTATTAATTTAATTTTGCTTTACAAAATGGATTAATTTAAGGCAATCATCAGGTGCATATTTTATTTCCATTCAACCTTCCCTCATCAGGTTATTCTTGCAAGGATACTACCAATAAGGATTTAGTTTGCAATGTGCAATCTAAAAATATTCTAGTATTGACAGGACCCTTCGACTCTACTTAGTTACTATATAAGGTTATAGTAAATGGACTTCCTACTCCTCAAAATGAATAATAACCTCGAACATTCACTATAAAAACTTACAGGAAAATTGATGATTCTAACTATTTAGTTGATAGTTCAGTAAATGGAGCATTTCAATTCAATATATATTGTCCCTAATTAAATAACTGTAGGACTTGCAACATCAACGATTCTAACAACGTAGATTGTGAAACTTGTTATGCCTCCACAATTTCTAAGTTTATTTATATGAAATCAAGTGTTTGTGTTGACAATTGTGGAGATGGATACTATTAAAATGACTAAGAATTTTCATGTCAACAATGCCCAAGTAATTGTTAAGTTTGCTCACCCACAAATAGTGTTTTAATATGTGATAAATGTTTTGATAATTATAAGTATTAGGATAGCATTTGTGTTGATACATGTGGAGATGCATATTATTTACCATTAACATCTACTAATAAATGCGAAAGATGTGATAGTGAATGTATGTTATGTTCGATGAATTCATCGTATTGTTCGAAATGTCAACCAAATATCCCAATATAAGCTAATAAATGTTATAAAAATGGATGTTTACAAGGATTTTATCAGACATACAATTCAAATTAAGTGTTAGTGTGTGAATTATGTCCAGCTACATGTATTAGTTGTCATTCCTATAATTAATGCACTGAATGTTAACCTAGTTAATATTATTTATCAGGTTCATGTAGAGCAGATTGTCCTCTTGGTTACTTTATAAACGGATAAGAAATGCTCTGTAAATAGTGTGTTTCTGGATGTAGTTAGTGCTCTAATGATACTGCATGTGTAAAATGTTAAGATGGATTCTTATTAAAAGAGTAAAAGTGTGTTTTAGCATGTGGAGATTAGTATTATATGGATACTACTCAAACTTCATGTTTAAGATGTAATCAGTATTGCCAAACATGTGAAGTGAAAGACGAAGTATAAAAGTGCACATCTTGTATGAGTTCATACTTCTTTTTTAATTTCACATGTATTCAATAATGTGGATCAAACTACTATTCTCTGAATCATGAATGTTTTGAATGCTCATAAAATTGTTTAACTTGTGCTGGTAGTCCAGATACCTGTACCTCATGTTTAGTATAAGGAGACACACCATAATTTCTAGATGGAACTGTGTGTGTCTCTAAATGTTCAGATACTCAATTTGCTGATATTACTAGTGGAAAATGTATAGAATGTCCAAGTAATTGCACTAAATGTACATCCTTAACCAATTGCTCTTAATGCAACTAATCAGTAATCCCTCACTATCTGATCCAAGGTGCTTGCAAACAATAATGTCCAACCAACTATCAACCTATTGGATTGCTTTGTGAGTTTATACCAGAAAGGGTTGTCATCAACACTGAACCTAATAGATATGTGCCAGTACCACATGTGATAATATTCGCATTCTTCACTATATCTGTGTTACTGTCTAAACAATTCAAAAGTGAGACTTACATGCCTGGTTCTATTATAGGATTGAGTGCTCTCTTAGTATGGTCCTCATGGTTCGCTGTGCTGTTTTTATTACTTAATTATTATGAATTCAAGGAGTTATATTACTTTTGGATCTTAATTGGGAGTGTGGGACTGAATTATGTATTCAATGCTTTACATCTTGTTTTGGTCTATTAGAAGATTTGGAATGATCAAGACTTTCTAAGATGGTAAGCTTCATCGTTAAAAAATAAATCCACTAATGTAATTTTAGTTTCATTATCCATACTATTCGCCTATCCATTATACAAACTTATTATGAGTCGCTATTTTGGTTTTTCGTTTTTCAAAGCTAAAATTGTGGATATTAAACCCTTATTTTACTTCAATTGTCTAAATGCACTTTACATAACATTTGTTAATGTACCAATAATTGTCAGCTGTATCTTGGTTGCTTATCATGAATCTTCTCACAATACTTAGACATTTATAAGTGCCATAGACTCTATAGTTGTTACCTTTTCCTACATATTGTTATTAATATGGGAAACTCAGAAAGGGGAATCATTTTTTGATGAATTCCACTAAAATTACTACTTTAATGAATCAAAATAACATTTAGGGAAAAATGAAATATCTGGGTATTTTCAGCATCCTTTTGAATAGAAATCGTAGGCAGAATAGAAGATTGATCTATCAGATTTGGATGCTTAAGCAGTCAATTAAGAGAACGATGTTACAAAACAGAAATCATAACAGCAATCACATGATCAATCCTGTAATCTAAATGGAATTAGTATAATACTGAGTGATAAGAATTCAAATCCTGTATTTCAATAAGAAAGTGACAGATCCAATTAGTTTCCTTAGAAGCAGGTTGTTCCCTCAAATCTAAAGCATACTATCTACTATAAGAATGTATAGATTAATCAACTTGAGAATCCTGACGATGAGCCTCCTTATGAATCCCCTGGATCTGAGAATTTCAGTTCAATGAAATCCCAATCTAGTTAAAATTGTTAATAGTCCTTCAATGATTAAAGTCAATATCCCTTGAAAGACATAAGTTTAATTTAGGATTCAGAGGAGCCACATGAGAACAGTTAATTGTCAATATTTTAAGATGAAAGGAATTAAAGTCCATCAAAGAAATAGAATACTTTGTAGTTATAATAGATATTAGATAATCATCCTCTTGATCATTATAATATCATCCCTACCTTTGAAAATGAAAATGATGAGAATAATCCTCAATAAGTGAATTAGTTAAATGAGAAATCTAAAAGCTCTTGTAAAAAGACTTAGTAATAGATGAAAAATAATGAAGGGTAATAGAATCCATAATAAAATCTTCAATCATCATCATCTAGAAGAGAAATACTATAGCCATTATAATATTCATAAGTTTAATAACTTGCCAAGTCTGCTTAATTTAACAATGACAAAGCATTATCATCACATAAGACATTAAGTCGAGAATCTTAAAGTACAGAGACTATTAAAATTTAATTAGGATAATGTAGATAATAAGGCTTAAATTAAGTAAACCCATAGGTGATAGAATAACTATAATAAACTAAACTGGTTAATACTAAAAACAATGACTAAATTCCTAAATAAGGCATTTATGATAGATAGCAGTAATAAATAGGAGTTTCAAATTCATAAACATAATCTGATACTGAAAGCTAAAATGATTAGTGTAGAATTCAAATTTTAATGGACAGCAGAGCCATTGAAGAAGAATAGGATATATTTTAAGATTAGATTCAAATACAATAAATCAAAGCCAAATCCTCAAATATGAAGGAGGATAGAAAATAATCTAAAATTAAAGGGGAGTCTGAATTAAATAATATTTTTGATTCAAGTGATTCTATTCACACCATGTCTGATTAAGATTGGAGTGAAAATCAAATCTCACCTTCAGAATTCAACTCACTTAATCAAAGATTTGAAGATGAATAAGAATTGGATCTATAAATTCATTTGCCTAATTAAAGTAAAACTTAATAGCATTACAGATAGTGCAAATTAATACCTTTAAATTTATAATTCAGAGATGAGAATAATGATGAATAACCAAATATTGGATAGACTTATGTTGATTTTACAAGGAATAGTTAGCCATAGAAGGAAACTAAAAAATAATAATTAGAAAAAGTATACTTACAGAAACTAGAGAAAAATGATAAGATTTCAAGTAGAACAAACAAATGGGGATTCAAGAAGAAGCATCCTATCAAAAATCATCCAAAAGATATATCAGATGCATATATAGATGATTAGATAGATGTAGAGGACATAAACTTTTGAATTAATTAATTAATTATATATATATATATATTATAAATTTAAGGAAATTTAAACATCGAAATATCCCATCATTTCTAATTTTCTTAACAACCTTGAATGAAAAATGTTCATATTTACACTGCAAAGACATTATCAATAATAATAATGAAAAAGGGTAAAAATTTCAAAGATTATGTTTAATGATCAAAAATTGAATTGTAAGGTTCCATAATAATGGATTGAAATTAGTAAAATATAAGATAATCAGTTTTATCATAAGCTAGAAATACTATTAATCAAGTAAATTAGAATTGAGATTATGATTATAATTCTTACTAGAACACTTAATCATTAGACTGTAGGAATTAAACATGAATAAAAGAGTAAATTAGACCTAATTAGAATCGAGAAAATGAATAGAATAATTTTACAGCGCTTAATCACACTCAAAATTTAGTACTTCTCCAAAATTTTAGAATAATCTAATGGATTACGTATTAAAAATGTTTGGAATATAACCAAAAAACTTTTTTTAGGATTTAGTAGCTAAATTTTAAGTGATAATCATATATTCAATATAATTATTATTTAATATAAATAATATGAAAGTTAAATAAATAAAAGAGATATTAGATTAACTCAAGGAAAAGTATAAAATGGAAATGAAATATAATAAAATTTAAGAGAATTTTAGATGTGAATTTTATATCAATTGTCTAAAAATAGCAGAGGGATAGGGTGTATCTAAAAAGTATGCTAAGAATGATGCAGCATCAAAGGCATACGATATTTTGGTTAATTCTGATTATTCATTTGCAAGAAGAACTGGAATGAAAATTCAAGATGAGGATTACAAATAATAATTGGAACAGTATGCTTTAAAGAAAAATATTCGAGTGGAATTTAAGGAAGGCGTAAAAAATGAATTAGGATATTCTTAATATTACATATAATATGGATCAAGAACATTCATTGGATATGGGTTGAAAACTAAAAAATGCTTTAATTTCATGTCTCACTGCATTCTAAAGAAACTTGAATATAATGAAAAAATGGATTAACTCAAAAACTAGAAAGAACCTGAAAAACAAGCGGAGTTATAGGAACACATATCTCCTCGGAGGATCAAAATTGTGAGATAAACTACTGTCCCAATGTAATAGAATTAGCAAATAAAAATAGAGGATAGTGAACCTCCTCCTCAAGAATCAAATTTAATAAAGGAGTTGAAGATTTATCATTTTCTAAATAGTCTAATGATTACAGAGGATGTATACAACTATTTTGATATGTTCTTACTTTAGATGTCTTATCAGAATGACTTTAGATTTAGGACTGTTGGAGCATTCACCACCAAATCAATACGCACTTTGAAGCCAGAACTTGACATCTTGATTAACATTCCTAAAGGTAATTTTCCTTAGTTTGAATAATTTTTGGAGAGGACTTCGAAATAATTTTAATATAAAGTCTTCAGGAATAAAAAACATATATAAATAGAATTACCATTTTAAACAAAGAGTAAATTCTTGAGATGGACAATTTCATCTATCAAAGTTAATATGTATATAAAAAAGAAGTTGGCTCCAGATTCTTTAATCCATGATGAATATATGAAATAATATTAAGTGTAGTATCTATAAAATAGATATTCAACTCAATATCTCTCATTAATTCATCAATGGAAAGAAGATTCAAAAATTCCTTTAAATACAAACATCTTAGACTATTTAGTTGTTTAAGTCTCAAATTATTTCTAAACAAAGAATCATCCTATTGTTATATTAAAGCAGCTAATATTCTTATTAAAAAATGGAGTTCTTGATGATATTCTAGATTTTGAGAAAGGAGAAATAGAACTAAACCCATTTCTTCAAGCAATACCAGATTACTAGATTTTTTATATTAAAAAGATTGCAGAACAAACTCGTAAATAAATAAAGGAGATTGCTGAGTATTATGACGAAAAGAAAATTTAGACATGGATTTCAAATTATATCGATTGATTAAATAAGTATTGTATATAATTCATTTCTTTTTTGTTTATTTAGGCCTTTATTGTTTTTTATAACTTTAATTTGAGTTTCTAAGTGGATATCTTTGCTTCTTCTCCTAAGAAGTTTGATTTGTTAATAGACTTAAATGATCCTTATAACATTTTGAACTTTAAAATAAACCCTCTTTTTCAATTTTACTCTTTGAAATACTTGAGCAACTATTCTACCCTAAGGAAACACTCCTATTGTTATTGAATTTGTTATCAACTAGATTAGTGTTAATTTCTTTAGGTTCAGCTTATAAATTAAAATGCTGAGGATCTTCTATAGAATCCAAATTCATTGTCAAATTATTGTTTTTTTAGCTCAAAATTTACGATCTTAAATATTAATTTAAATCAATATCTCTTAGTTATTAATTTATAGTTTTGTTTTCTTATTAATTCCCATATATAATTTATTGTTGATAATCATCCAAAGATATCAAATCAGATTCTACGAAATTTCTATTTACTTTTGGTGAAAAGAATGATAATTGATATTAGAATAATCCTAAATTCCTGTTCTTAGTCTTCGTCTATACAGATGCATTTGTAGTGGATTTGCATTCTACCTGCCTTGCATGCCCTTATTATTTAGGTTCAGATTCTTGATACTATGAAAAACTAGTCTAAATATCAGTTTCCTTATACTCTTTCGGCAAATTTAGAACAATGGATCTTTCAGTCAATATTTCACTAAAAGATTTTGGGATTTATCTTTAGGATGATTTTGTACTGAATTTCATAGCTTGTAGGTCCTCATTTTCATTTTATTCTATAATAGGTTTTGTATTAACTAAATTCTTTTTTGTAAATGCAGGATATCTATCTAAGATGATCTAATCAATTTTTTCAATGTTTAATTTAATTTATTCATGATTTGATACTTAATTTTACTTAATTTTAGTGTTTATATCAACTGAGCTCTACACTCTAAACAATTCTTCTTCTAAGTTGCAGTCTTAATTAATTATTCTACTTTATTTTGGTGCAAATTAATTGAAATTAAATGTTGAATTAGGATTTGTGTCTGAGACTATCATTGTTTTTTGGTCAGTTGAATTTAATTTGTTTGTTTTGATTTACAATGTATCAAATTTAAAGATATTCTCACTTTCACTTAGTTTTGGAGTGCAACAAGTTGTTTGAGTATAATAGTGTTGTTTACTGTATATATTACCCAAATTTCCATTGTATTGAGAAGAATTTGAAAACTTTCTAGAATTGTTGATTTACCCAGCATCATGAGATAATGGTGGCTTCAATTACCATGCATCAGATGCTTAAAGGGAAACTCCATTTCGATTAATATGATGATGTTGTGACACTTATTAATCCGTCTTAAGCTTTGGATTGGAAATGAGTAAATCCTCTCTTGTTTATGAAGACTGCCTGCTTCTTCCAACACTAACATGAAGTTTTCCTGGTTTCTAAACTTACTTTAATTTTTATTGTATTTTCCCTAAAGGATTAGATCTGTTGGTACTTTTTGATCTGACAAATTTCAACTGACTCATCAAATTTTATTTATAAACAAATATTATGTTTTATTTTATAATGATAATTATATAATTAATTTAATGGAATAATAACATAAAGGTAGTAAGTTAAGTATTTATTATGAGTAATTACCGAACCTGGAGAAACCATTACAAGCAGTTAACAGTTTTTCAGTACGAATACTCTATTTTTAAACAATGTTGGATTGAGTACAAATATCTCGTCGAGCACTTTGAGACATACAGCCGCTTAGATCTCTTTTCCTAAGGCAAATAGATTTCACACTCAATCTTAATTTCAATTGCCAACCAAATTGGAATTACCATCACAATTGGGAAAAAGGTTGTAATCCTTAAATTTATCTTTATTTCAGATACACTCAATAAGGTTTCGGTAATAAGAAAGTGTTTCAATATGAATGGCAAAAGGTTAATGCCAAAGAATTCCCGAGTCCTGATAGATATAGAGTCAGATAGGATCCTGGTATAGATCAATTGAAAAGATCATTTGGATTGTCTTGGGAAGCTTATTCAAAAACCTATCTCCCTTATAATAAACATTAAGCTCCTGAAGTTGCAAAATTCTTGCCAGGTACTTTTCTTACTAATTTGAGGTCCTGGAGAATATAATGTACGTTAAGATCTTGGACAACACAGATATTAATTTTAGTTGAAGGGCAAGGGGAAGATGTTTAATGATTAGAGAGAGAATGGAGTTCCAGGGCCTGAAACCTATTAACCTCAAATCTCATTGACTGTTCCTAATCGATTTTCAGTATGAATTAGATTGAAATGAATTTAGAAAATTTCATTGGGAATTGGAGAGAAAAAGAATCCATTTTAATCTATGAGTTTCACTCCTGGGCCTGGAAGATATGAATAGAATTCGGCTTTTGATAAGGTATCCAAAAAGAGAGAGTTCATAACAAAACCAGGAGAAAGGAGACCGTTCATATGATTGTAATTTCAAATACACTTTATTTGTATTTCATACATATTGATTTAAAACATAACATGAAAAGGAAAGAAATCATTTCATTTTGCCTATCTATTCTTTTAATAATTGATTTCTCAATTCATACTCCAATAATTCGTCATTCTCGACTGAATTCTTTGATATGGATTTTTTTCTCATAGGTGAAGGTGCTAGTGGTTTCAAGATGTTGCGTGCAAATTCTAAGCCTTTTTGTCTAACAGTTACTTGTTTCTATTCGCTTTTGGGAATTCTTTATTTAAAGTTTCTATACTCTACTTTCACCTTTATATATTTTATGATGATACATGCTCTGCAAATTCAAGCATCCTGTCCATTTTACCCTTTTGTTATTGCCATTTTTCAATGGACAAAGTTGGACCTAAGCCTTGAGCAGGGTTTTTTAGGATGGGCTACAATTTCAGTAGTTTATATTGGCTGAGAGTATATGGTTTGTAATTAAGCATAGAATTTTTGTCATCTTTAATTGAAAAGTTTTTAGACTAATTTTGTTAATCTTGTTCATCTTTTTTCCATTATTCAAATATCAACAATTATTCCTCTTAATGTCTTCTAATCAATTCGGACAGTTCTCTTTATTAAATTAGATGTAATTCGTGCAATTTCCTTTTCTAATCTTCTGATAATTTTTCATTCAATCCATACTAATTCATAATAATTTGATTATAAAATTATATATATTTAACTCGTATTTGTATTCATCTTTCAAAATTACTTCCCTCATCTTTAATAAAAGTCACACTAATATTGTGGGATCCTAAAAATAAAACATTCAACAAATTTTTCTATTTCAAAAATTGACTTCATCATTGATGCTCCTTACTTAATTGATCAATAATATATTTGTAAAAAAAACTAATAAGTAAATAAAATAGTATGAGAAAGCATACGTCTCCCTATAGAAATTAAAAACCAGGATCCTCTTTGATAAGAGTACTCTATAAACCAGAATAATAGACGAGGGACAATTCAATTGAAAAAAAAGTTAAGAACTTCTCGCCAATCAGATTTATTTTAAATTCGAGGCACAATTCCTTTGAATACGCTACCACGAACGTACCATAAACCAAATAATCAATTATTCCCACTTTAAGCAGAAAGCATTTTCAACTCTAGTATATTATTGGTATTGGTGGTTTCGGGAGAGTTTGGAAAGTCATTTACAAATAATAATATTATGCCATGAAGGAAATGAGTAAAACCTTAGTGATCTATAAACGAAGTGTGGCTTCAGTTATTAACGAATTACGGTTGTTAGAAAATCTCAATCATTCATTCATTGTTAATGCAGTAGCTGCCTTCTAAGATAAACAGAACATCTATCTAGTATTGGATTACTTGTAAGGAGGAGATTTAAGATATCATCTTGGAAGAAACAGAAGATTCAATGAAGAATAAACAAGTATAATTTGACCAATATCAGAGTTCTTTATTTGTTGTGTCATTGTGGGGTTGGAATATTTACATTCACATCGCATTATTCACAGAGATCTCAAACCTGAAAATTTAGTTCTTGATTCCAAAGGCTATGTAAGGATTACAGACTTGGGAGTAGCAAAGCAATTAGACACCTTAAAAATTGATACCAGTGGAACTCCAGGTTATATGGCTCCAGAAGTAATGTGTGGATTGGAACATGGCATTCCAGCCGATTATTATTCTTTGGGAGTTATTGCTTATGAGTTTATGTTTGGAAAAAGACCGTATTATGGCTAAAATCGAAAGGAAATTAGAGATGCTATTCTAGCTAAGTAAGTCTAAATAAAACAGAAGCTAGAAGGTTGGTCTTTGGATGCTATTGATTTTATCAATAAATTGATCTAAAGAAAACCATCTCATAGATTAACAGATGTAAAAAATCATCCATGGATTAGAGATTATCCTTGGGATAAATTAATTAATAAAGTTATTCAAGCACCGTATGTCCCATTAAATAATGACAATTTCGATGTAACCCAAATTCAATATGAAGATCAAGAAAATCAACTAATCATCAATCAAACAGGTTTCTTGATTTCGCAAAATCAGAATGCTTTTGAAGACTACTATTATGTCAAGGAACAAAGAAGAAGATCATCATTAAATCGATCGTTTCTTTTAAAATGAATTTATTATTAATTTTATTGATTTACATTATAAACTATTCTAATTTAATAATATAATCAATCACCAAATTCAAGAACATTTTTATTGATATTGTATTATTCATTAATTTAATTGAGAACTTCGAAATATCATTATTATACTCCATCTAAGTAGTTCCTACTTATCTAAATTATTTATTATACTAAATAATATAAAATTTAAATAACATAATTATAATCTAATGCTGATAATTAAATTATTATTATAAAATTAATAATATAATTTGAATAACAAATATTTTTCAAGGTTATTATATTTCTTTTGCAATAGTTCTCCTTCTTGTTGTAGTCTACATAGATATATTATGATATTTACTCTAACTTCAGTCTTCTTTTGTTATTATTTCAACATATCTATTTCATTTTCCAACACCACAACTTATTACTCTGTCTCATTGAATTGTTTATTCAAAGATATAAACTTATTCTTCCATTAATTTTTCTCTACTTCTAAATCTTCTGTATTCGATATCACTGAAATATTGGTGGACAATTCTTTAATCCTATGCTCTAATTCTCTTTTAAATTTAATTTAAAAATAAATTACTTAATCTCTTCTTCTTTTTCATCACCAAACTTTTTTTCCTTGTGGTATTTCTCTTCCCATTCCTAAATTTATCTATCTCTCTCTCTCAACAACCTATTATTTTCTAATATCTGCTATTCCTTATTCTTTGCACTCTTAGCATCCTCCAAACCTTGATTATAAGATTCAATTAGTAGTTTAGAATGCTACTAAATAAGGTAATTTAATTCTGTTAATTTACTCATTTGCTCATTTATGATTAATTACTAATTTTAAATATAATTATACGTATTATCGACTAAGATCATCCAACTTATTGCAACAAACATGTTCATCTAGATTTGATTTATCTAAACTCTTTTCTGACTTTAGACCTGATTTTTCAGAACTTCCTATAAATGTATTGGCCCTTTTCTCCTTTGTTAAGTAACCTTTTTCAATCTAGGATTACTACGCATCGAATGCACCAGTCATATCTTTATTTGTCAGTTCCCATTTCAAATACCCTTTTTGTCTATTGTACTTATAATTCTAGAGTTAATGAATTAAATTCCAATTACTTCATTTGGACTCTCAAAATTACTCATCAGCAATAAATTTATATATATAAATGTTAGTATATGTTTAAATGATCATAAATTCCTATTTGCCAAAGTTCCATATTAATACGACGAAATTTTAGAATTTTAATTTTCTTTGACGATCTCGTAGGATTCAACCTAAAATTATATAAAAATGATTATTTACTCTAAAAGATCCATTTTTCTATTTCTTGAAGGTATCCAGTTCAGCATTTGATAATATAAGTTATTCTTGTTATTTATGATACTCTCTATTTAGATTAATAAATTGAACTTTCCAAGAATCAACTTCTTGAGATAATTAAGCAATTTTTTCATTGTAAGTAGTAACATCCATCTGAGTAATCAATTTAATTTTTTAGCTGTCACACTCTTCCTACAACTATTTGATATTCATCTTATTTGATTCTATCTCTTACAATTTAATTTTCAAGAGGCTGCTCAATCTCTCAATTTCATTAGAATAAACAACATTCTTTTATTCTAATTCTTTTAATTTGTTAGCTTCACTCAATTAAAATTATGAAAATTGTTATCTTACTTTCTCAATTTCCTCATTCTTACTTCTCAATTGCACAGTCAATCTTTCAATTTCAGTACTGAGCAAGGCAAACTTCTATTAATATTCCTTCAATTAGGTAATATCTTATAATTTGAATTTTAAATTGTCAATTTCCTCACTTCTCGATTTCAATAGTAAAGACATTCTACTATTTTCGTTATTCAATCTATCTATTTCTTAAGATTTGTGTTAGAGACTTTAATGTAATCTATCAATTTCTTGGTTTTATAATCCAATTTTATTTTCATAATCGTCTACTTTGTAGTGATCATTAAGAGTGATCTATAATTTGGCTATGCAATTTCTCAATTGATCATTTTCTTGTAATTTGATCATCAATGAATTGTTTACTCTATCGAATTCCTAAGCTAGATTTTAATATTTGATTTCATAATCTGTATACTTTTGATATTCTTATAATTAATTCTGATAAATCATGAGTTATTGTTTGTACTTATCTAATTCGTCCTGTTTAATTCTGATTCTTTGATTAAGATTGTTAATTTCTTCATTTTATAATTTGGATCTGATTTCATACTCCTAGTATTTGGAAGTATCCTAGAGAGTCATTTGAAGAGTTTAAATAATAGATTACAGTTTCGAAATCTCTTCATTTTTATTGAGCATTTCATTCATATACTTATCTTATTGATTATGATTCTCTCTTAGTTGATCATCAATTTTTTATTTATAATTGACTTCTCTATTCTTCAGATCCTAAATGTCTAATTCAAAGTCTCTCATACGCTTAGATAGAATCTCAATCTCTTTAATATATGTTTATTTGGATTGATCATATTCTTCTGATTTCTGTTTAAGTAGAGCAGTAATTCTTTCAAGTTCAGTAGTCAATTAATGTTGTACTTATTATTATTGGATGTACGATTGTTCATATTTCTTACTTTCAATTAGGGTCTTTTGCATCTACTGCAATTGGGATTGACTTTGAGAGACTAGTACATTTAATCTTTGGATTTCATTCTACCAATATTGTTCATTGTCTTAAGAACTCTTTTTAATTCTCTCATATTCAACTTGATTCTACTGAATTGCCATAAATTATTAGGTCATTTGAGATACTTTGATCTTTAATTATTCTGATTCATTTGTAGTTTCTCTAAGCAGAGTATTTACTCTATTGAGTTCAATTTAATATTATTATAGATTGGCTTCTAATTGTTAGACTCGATGAGTGTCTTCAATATAAGTGACTTTCTCTTGACATGTGTTTTTGATTCTGTGGACTTCATTTGTAAGTTCTTGGATTTATTTTTCATAGAGAGAACACTTATTTTTATAAAATTCAAGTTCTTCTCTGGATGGCTCAATCACTTTAACTATCTCTTAAACCTTGATATTATAAGAGGATTATGAAGGCTTCAATTGCTGTGTTTCCAATCTAATGGGTGGTTGAGTTTGTTGTTGGGGTATGGCTCTGGTGTAAGTATAACATATTGGGAGATGTAAAGAGATTCCTTCTATTACATTTAGACCCTTGGGATTTATGAGGATCCTGATTGGGTTCTAGAAATTATTGGGTTTGGAAGTAGGATATGCGCTAATCCCTGAGTTCCTTCCTACTTCCTTAATCCAACTCTATATTTAGATTAATGCCAACATACTTTATATTCATTATTTTTCTAAGGATGCCCGTTCCTCCTTATTCCATAAAGTAATAATTTAATAAGATTACTCCCACAAAAGTGCAGGATCCAATAAAAGCATCCTGTGCAAAATAGCATCACACCTATGATGAATCCAATGATATCACTGATAGCGTTGGCTAATTGATACACAGCCAAAGATGCTAAGCTAAAGGAATAATAAATGAGCTAATTATTAGATATCTAACATTCCTCTGCCTAGCAAGGCGCTCAAGAATCTAAAATTATTATAATGTAATCTCATTCAGGCTGTCATTAATTCAACAATTCCAACTTCTATCCACTTGCAAAAAGTAAGATACCAAAAAATCTATAATTTTGAAATGCATGAACTTACATCAAGAAGAACATTAGGAAGAGAGACATGAAGAAGGAGAAACTGAAACACTTGAAATAAGATGGATAATGAGATAATTTGAGTAACTCCTATCAATATAAGCATGATGGAATATATCAAATTCGATCATTCATCATTATTCTAAAATTTGATTTAATTATTGAAATCTCTATTTATATTCATATTTAATATGATAATCATTATTGAGGTTTGGTTTCTCCCATGTCTCCTGCACTTCTATTGGCTTTGTTTCTTGATTCGTAATACCCGAATTCGGATGGCAACCTATAACTGCCTGGTGCAGGTGTTCCAGCTGATGCAAACATTCATAATAATCAAAATACCTTTGCCAACAGATCCTGTTCTTCTTGATTCCTTTGGAAAACTTCTAACATTTGAAGAATGAAATTTTGAAATAAAATAATGTCCATCCTTTTGAATTCCTGTCTTGTCCACTGGATAGGTTCCTGGTCCAGGAGCATACAAATTGGTGGCTATTCTAATAAGTTATTAGATGTTTACAAAAATCCTTAACAAATCTCTTGGAATTCTTGGGATTAAACAAAGTAGCACAGGAGTTATTGTATTTTGATATGGGATACTTCCCCACTGGATTTACAGCTGGTAATGATTCGTAGGTTCCTGGTCCTGGAATCTCTTTGCCAGTTAAAACCATAAAATTAGTTTTGGGTCTCTATCTCATTGTGTAACGGACGTCACTTAGTGTTGAACCCAAATCATAGGTGCCAGGAGCTATAATAATATTTGTAATATCTACCTGGAGTTTTTGAATTCAAATTTCCTAGAATACCAGTGCTTGCCATTTTCTCTCGACTCATACCAAATTTATTTCCCTTGCCTTTCTTTTGATTGACGTCGACATCACTTGTAATATTGTATTATTATGGAGATGGAGTTGTAAAAGCCACTTTAGTAAAGTCAGTTCTTATAAATATTTCAATATCCTTACTTTGTTCCCTTCCCTATGCCAGCTGATCTCTTCTCAATCTGAGTTGGTAAATCGTAGAAAGCCTTCCCGCAACTAAATTTTAAATTCACTTCCAATACTTAACAGGATTTGCCAGACTGCCAAATCTATCTGATTTAGAAAATGTCCATAGGTTTTTAGCAGTACTTTGATTGAGTGGTGATCCACAAATCTGCTAACAAGTTGAAACAGTTATTGACATGATAAATAAATTAATTATTAAAGAAGAATATATTCTTTTTATTATTACTACATCTCTAACTAACTTTATTGATACTAAAATATTAAAAAAACTAAATTTGATCAATGTGCTGGCTCCTCAGTTTCAATTTTCAATTACACCTTCTTATGATGATTCAACGATTCCCTATAAAACACAATTGGATTGTCAACAATTAAACCAGTCTGATTTCCCTTGTTCTTTAAATGCCAGATCTCAGTGCAAGCCAATTAAAAGTGATTTCCCTTTTTTAATTCAATGACTTTCTTAATATCTGTCTCCTCGTAACTCTTTGATTTTAAGTATTTCTCCAACACATCCGAATTGAAATTCTTAATTGGACATCCATGATATTCGTCATTCCCTGGATTTTATTTCTATTTCATAATACCATTCTACTACCATATTGTATGAACAACTGTAACATTGATAGTTCTCTCTTTTCCCCTCCAATCCGTAATTGTGTCGAATGTTGTACAAATAATTCTTATTGAAATCCTACTCACTTATCTTCTATTAGAATTGCACTATTATTATATTTATGTATACTTACTTTTCATATACTTAATAGTTTCATTAATCTTCATTCCTGCTGACTTAAAGAATAATTGGATCTGTTGTCTTCCATTATGTTTTAAATGATGGTTAACCTCTAATCTATCAATCAAATACTCCATACAGAGTGGAAAATGGCTATCATATATAATTCTTCAACTTACTCCTTTGATTATTGTCTCACTGTCAAAGCATTCAAAGAGTCTTACTCAAAATTCTAAAGCTTCTGACTCAACATCCCAGAATCTGTCTATTGAATTTTCTTGAACATTCTAACTATCTCATCATTTTTCATCAACTCCTCATATTAGAATTTGATTTAATTAGCCTGCATTCTCTTCCTCAGTTTGCCCAGAAATACATCTAATAGACAGTTTTTCCTAAGGTAAACATTTATTTACTTACAATTCATCTTCGTATATATATGCAAAGCCATTCTTCAGATAAGTATGAATGGATGAAACTGAATGCAAAACATTGTAAAATGGAGTCTAAGTATTGAGAAAATGAATACTTTAAAGAACTTTAAATAAGTATTAACATTATTAAAATTTCTTAGTTGTGATTTGCCAGTTCCCAAAATTACATAATTTCCTAATTTATTGGATTGGTCGACTTGATTAGGTAATCTTAATTGTTTTGGTATATCTTCATCCCACTCTTACTTAGAAATTTTGGTGATTTCATTGTCTCCCAATAACTTTTTATAGATTTTTAATAATCTCTCATTTGTTTGCTCATTCTCTAGTTATGCCTCGCATCGTATTTAAAATAAGTGCTTTTAATATTTAATGAATTCATTGATCTTTTCATCTGATTCTGAATATGCCAATTCTAAAAAAAAGTGCGCGGCATTATCATCAATCCAAAACTTGTCTTTTCCTTCATAACAAGAATATTCATTGTAAAATTTGATAGCTTTGGAATACAAATCCTTTTGTTTTAGTGGGTCTTTTTGTTAATCATTCTCCTCTAACTAACTGAACAACCTATCAGATTAGAATTATCAATATACTAATTCACTTTCTAATACGCTTTAATTCGATCAATGCACATGTTCAATAAGTCTCTCTTATTGATCTCTTCTGTCTATTGATCCATGTATGGTTCAATGTATAACATAGCTTCATATTGGAGAATTTCCTTTTAATTTTGCATTATGAAAATAATAATTAAGCGGAAAAATTCTCATTAAATCTTATTTTATGAATAAATATAAATCACAAATTTCAACGAGATCCAATAACTCACAAATCCCAACATCAACCATAATACAAAACATGCCAATATACTTTCTCCAAAATAATATAAAAATTAATAAAATCCATGCATATTCATATAATAATAATAATAAAAGATGAATCCAAACATGTATATGATGCACTATCCTCCATTAATGAATGATATCCATTGCCAATTGTAATTGCCCTTATTCAATTGTTGATAAGTTTGGATGATTGATAGACAACCCACTATGATCAACAATTGAATATAAGAGAACAATAACAATGTGTAATACTCAAATGGATGATCACTCCATGTACTCTCCAAAATGTAATATAATTCCAATGCAATTGATCTATTATTTAAAATGTTTCTATATACATAAAGGGCACAATTCCATACAAAAATCCTTTTAATAGAAATGAATAATTTGAGATTAACAATTTCTTCTACAATCTTTTTTCAAGCAACTCATCTACAGTTCTCAACCTGCCTGAAACTCCTCCTATTATTGTTAAAGGCATGTACACAAATATTAAAATGAAGCCAACAGAAAACATAGCTGTAAATGAGTAAGTTGATGTTGTTCCGAACAATATTGAAAATACATCAATAATAAAAAGTATAAATATTGCAGATAATGGAAAAAGTCCAGTGGTTATGAGCAAATTTAATAGCCATCTCTTGCCTCCAAAAAATTTATAAAACCTCCCCGTTTGATAACCATTTATGGCTATTAATAATATAAATTTACTTACCTCCACAAAAACTATATACAATTATTCCTGCCGATTTTATAGATCCTTTACGAGTGTCAAATAAATCAAATGATCCCAAGACCAACAAAATCAAAATTGTTACCAAAAAATGAATGCCTGTGCCAAGTAATGCAGAGAACAGAATACGATTTGTGGGAGGCATCAATGATTCAATTTTGATTGACTTCCATCCTTAAGGTTCGATTTCGTTTTCTTCATCAGGGATATTGCTATAACCACTTTTTATAGATCTCCTCAATAAATAACAGATGACGAAGACTAAATGTAAGATTATTATGGTCTTTAATAGTAGCGAATTCCATTTGATATCATGATGATGGACATTCATAGTCTCATTGTACTCTTAGATTTTAACAGTAAAATAGAATTCGATCTATGTGTCATCATCTTATTAATTTATTTATTTAAAATCTCCATCATTCATAGTGATATTAGCATACATCAGTCGTGAATCATTCGATACATATAAATTAAATGTGATTCTATTCTTTAGATAATACTGCCCCTCTTTATAATGTCCCACTACATCATGCATTATAAAATCCGCCAAATAAAACTCGATTATGTACTCTTAATCTATTGCTTCAATCCATTTCTTTATTTCCGCATTTATAAAATTTCTCTCACAAACCTATTTATCTTCTATCTTCTGTTTTGAATTGAACTTGTACACTGAAGTCATTTATTTATCCCCAGATAATGATTGTCCAAAAGTTTCAATTACTTCCTCGTAATCACTAGGCTTACAATAGGGCAACTCATAATATTCGTAAGTCTCTGAAGGGTTATCTTTAGGTCTAATGGTATTAACATATATCTCAATTGAATTACAGAAAGTAATTAGACATAATAAAACAATAATCATTTAACTAATTAATATTTTTTGAGAATTTAGAGTAGTTCAATTTACAGTATTGGTTTTTGTAGATAATCGCATAACCCAGAATGATCAAATTACATTAAGTTATCCTTTGTATCGTAGGCTGAACAAATTACAATTGCTGTCTTCTTGCATCCCATTGAAATTATCTAAAATAGACAAGCAAACTTACTTCTTTCGAAGTTTCAAATCCATTTAATCCTGGTAATTCTATATCCATAAATATGATATCATAAAATTAGCAAACAGTTTAGAGCTTTTCTTTGACTCTTTGAATTGCTTAATAACCATCATATGCCTAATCACATTAAATTGCAAAATGGTTTAAAATAGCCTTGAGTGCAATTTAATTAAAAATCTAATCGTCAACTATCAATATCTTTTTACAAGTAGCATTGCATTCATGTAATTATAAAGTTGATATTTTAAACGAAAACGTTTAGTGTATTAATTATTACTTTGGACTTTCAATAGATCTAAATTAAAAATAATTTGATTAAGGTATAATTATACGTTCACTGAAATCCTCAACAATGTTTGGACTTTCATATGATTTGACACCATCTGATTTTTAAACAACTTTTTCTGAATTCTCATAATGGTCAGTGTTATCCTGATAGCAATATTTCTTTACAATGAAGTTATCTTCTTATTACCAAGATTAAGATTTATTAGGAACTACAAAACCACCTGTATTAGATTGATTCCTAGTTTAATCTTAATCCTTTTGATCCTAATCCTTTTAGAGCATTTGATCTTAAATCAAAAAGCTAATACTGCTACTATCAGCAGAATTTGATAAAATTTCAATATTTTTATTATTACCCTCAATAAATCCTGATGCTAATTTCGCTGCTAAATTTAATCCAAAACCTAACTCTGGATGTGTCATTATGTCATTACAACTGTCATCATCTTGATTCCTCAGCATCATTATTTAATTAAAGGAGAATTGTTTCTTTCTACTCATTTGGGCTGAGTTGTTTTCTACAGCCACTTATACTGTAAAATCATCTTTAGCATTAAATATTAGGTTGATTTCACCACCCTGTAAAATATTGTTAGATTAATGATTTAGAATATTTAACAACACTTAAATGATTCTTAATTTGTCGGAATTCAAATACTTTTCAGACAGATTAGATTAAATTCTGATCTAAAATTGGATTTTCTTCTGAATTATATATGGAATAAACACTTATTCAATTTCATTGATCAATTCATTGATTGAGAATCTGCAGAAGAAATATGCAAATTCATTGAGTTAATAAGATATGAAATCCAAAATATTATTCATTTGATATTATAGAAAAGAAGTAGAACACTAGAGCAATTCCACTTTTTCTGTAATTTCCTATTCCTCTTTTATGACATCTCTAAAGATCCTTAAATACTGCTGATTCAAATTAAGAGGAGTTCTTAATTAGAACAATTATTTTTTTAAAACATGATAGAATTATTAATTTTTCATTTCAATTTTTTTAAATTTATTTTTATAAGTGATATCTTTTAGGATTAATATCAACACAGGTTGATTTTTAAAATCTCCAAAAATTTACATATCATTTTGAGCTAATGAATCTAATTACTAATTTGTCATCTATGTTTGAATAATTGTAAGTTTTAAAAATTTATTTGATTCTAAAGAAAGACTAAAACGAAATTAATTTTAATTTATTTGTTAGCCAGAAGATTCATCAATACTACTTTTTTCTCCCTCATAGTTATTCTATTGAATGAGATATTGATTCAGATATTTATTTTAGTTTAGTAAAACATCAAAAATATCCAATTAAACTTTATTCTATTGTGCTTTTTTTATTATTTCTTCTAATGTATGTTAATTCATTTCAATTTTTCTGTTATTTTGAGATTACGGGAAGTTTAAGCCATTATCCAAATTAACAACATGATTTCTAATGCAATCTTTTAGTTTCGACAGTATTAACTCTTCTTTATTACAATCCATCAACGCCATAAATTTCTTATTCATAAATTGTAGATGTTGAAATTTATTCAAAATAATTATGCCATCTGGGATTAAATGTAAAATTCTGGTAATGAAAAGGCGGGAGCAAAAATCAGATTTGTCAACATCGATAGACTCTTTTTATCGAACAGCTGAAAATAAATCGTTATATGATAAATGTTTATTGGAAAGGATGCTGGGACTTCTTAATTTTTCTTTGTCCTTGGATTAATCCTGAAAAAACAAGTTACTAGATTCATGCTATCTCATTATTTTTCTTTTTGAATATTTTAAGGTATTCATATACCGATCTGATTACTCCTCATCTTGCAATTGCAAAGACAAACGAATTTTTGCAGAGATTATAGATTTTTCATCCCCCAAAATAGCAAATACAAAGACCAAAATAATTATGATGCTTTCTAAAATTGTATAATCAAATTTAATGAAAACAATTGAGAATAGTCTCAATATTATATAACAAGGATAACAAAACCTGATTATTTTATATGAAATTTGTTTAGCGACTATTTCTTTAATAATATATTAATTAGTTACAATAAACAGAGTGTTTGTGTGATTAGAAAAGGGATTAAAAAGTTAATAAAGGAGTAGGTTTATTTCTGTATAGGTGATAGTATCAGCAAGAATTAGTAGTAGAAGCAATAAATATTACCCTTTATTGTTAATTTTTTTAATTTGCATAAGCAATCCTAGTTTCAGGACTATTGATGTTGAAGCCAGAGTTATGATTGCAATTTAATGATTCCATTTTAATATGATGGATAATATTATCCACCATACACATTGGAGTCCTTCTAAAATTAAAATTATGTTTGTATTCATTATTAATATTAAATTTTTTAGCAACAGATTTTCTGAATATCTTTAAGTTTAACATTACTGAACTTTCGAATTAAGAGTTTTTAGAAGTTCATAGTATTTTATAATAATAATACACAGATCAATTAAAATTCTTTTGAAACAGTTTCTTCAACACTTCCTCCAATTCATCTTATTTTACAGGCTTTGGAAGAAATGTCGAGATACCAACTTTTTGTCCTTCACTGAAATTTTCTTAAGTGTCATACGCAGAACAAATTACTATCATTGATTGTTTTTAAGTCAATTCATTAATCTAAAATATAACATCAAATTTACCTATTTACTTGTTTAAAACCCATCAATCCCTGGCATCTCTATGTCCATAAATATTAATTTATAAGTAGGACAATGTCCCTACAATTTTGTCTTAACTTTTTCAATCGCTTACAATCCATCAAATGCTTGATCTGCTTCTATTTGATAATATTTGAGCATCAATTTAAGTGCTATTTGATTAAATGGAATATCATCAACAATTAACACATGAACACAATTATCACATAAAAAGATGCTTTTTTGGATACTATACTAAGGCAAGGTATTTTAGCATGTAGGAAGAAACTTATGTGAGAAGTATTCAGGACTGATGGGTAAAGAAATTTATGGTTGTTTCATATCATCATTAAGTTTTGGAGTGTTCAAAGAAGATTCTTATTCATAAACAAAATTATCCTAAAATTAATAATCATAATCTAATTTTGAATTCATTTACTTAATTAAAATTCTATCATCAAATTTTCTCTCACTTAATGTATATTAAATACCTGATTGATTGAATCTTCCAGTTAATTGCGATACGTAATTAGATTAATATTAATCATTTGTAGCATTAAAGAAATTTTAAACTAAAAATTACACTTTTGTTCCTTGATTTTTTATAGAACTGATTAGCACCTAATTATTATTTGATTCAGCTAATCCTTCTACTAATCTAGCTGCAATATGCAACCCAAGTCCTGCCTTTTAAGAAACTTAATGAGATTTCAATCTTGCACCGTACTCTGAAGTACCTTTCAAACTATTTTGAATTAATGCTAATTTATCATCTTCTATTCCTATTCCATTATCTTTCACTGATACTTTTAGATGGAATAGACTCATTTATTTAATACTAAGTTTGACTGTCCCTCCTTCTTTCGTATATTTTGTGGCATTATTTAATAAGTTAACAATAATTTAAAGAATTCTTTGCTTATCATTACAAATAATGGAATCTTTCAATGATGGCTATACTTTAATTTAAAAATGAATTTTCTTCTGTCTCATTTATATATTATAAAGATTCTCAATTTCTTGAGTGATCTGATTGATACTGAATCTGGTGAGATGATAAGAGAAGGAGAAGGATTAAATGGCAGCATAATCAAGTATATCATTAATTTGATGAATTAAAAGAGTAATGGAACACATAGCTATGTCAACATACTCCTGCACATTATTCTCTTTATTCTAATTCTTGATTAGGTTTAACATATGTTAACATGAATTCAATGGAGTTCTCAATTCATGAGAGAATGATTTAATTAAACTATGGTGAATAATCTATTCATCTTTCATTTATTGATATCTGTGTTTGCTTGTTACATTCTTAATCATTATAAGTAGAACTGGGATTTCTGAATCATTGTTAACTTAGATATTGAGTTTGCTTGAAAATTTATTTTATGAAGGGAGAGATATGTATTCTTACTGTTGTCCAGTCATTGTAGTTGGGATGATGATTAATTTGAGTTTCTTCTAATTAATTTTATTTTACACTTCAGATTCAAATAACCATTCATATATAAATGCCTATTATTGTAGTGTCAGTTGATCTGTTTTCGAATCTTCTTAACTATACGATTCTCCACGTTATTCCAACATTCCATAATATTTTGAAGGATAAAGCATGATATCAAAAATATCTGCTCTTCGATTATCCTTTTGCAGTTTTCTAACTATCCTTTAAAGAGTATATTAATTTATTTATCTATTTAATTTGGTTGTTTACAAATTATTGGATATTTCACTCTCATTATCTGACATTTTAGCATTATTAACACAAACTTTAATCTTCTCCAAGACCTACTCTCCTCCCTAACTTTCCAATAACTTTTCGCATTTGTTATTCATATAGGTAATTTATTGTAATTGATTTAAAATCACAATTCCTTATGGGAAAATATTGATAAGGTTCTAGTAAAATATATGTAATTGTAAATCTGACTTTTCAGAAGGTTTATTTTACTTTTAAGATTTTGACAAATTAGTTAAATTAGAAAATTATCCTACTTTCAAATCACTTGGTTGATCCTTCATTAAAACACTTTAGCTTTTCAATGGTGTTTGAATAATAGAGAGTCTGCTAAATGATTTTAGTAAAGATTATTGTTGATGATTTGGCGATTCCTTCTCATCTACTTTTTTTAATTATAATTCCGGTATTTTAGTTTTACCTTTAGTATTACTATTAACATTAACCTTCTCATCATATTACTCATAAGTTAACAAGTACTAAATTAAAACAACAATTATTATTAATAAGCATTCTATAGCAAAATAATTAAAGGAAATAAAGGCGATGGATACGAGTCTTAAAATAATATAAAAGGGAAGTCCTAATTTACATATGTAACTCCATTTTTAAATTGCAAATTTCAAATACGAATTGTAAGTAATAATTATTAATAAACTACTTGAGAAGATGCTCCAAGAGTAATCGTAATTCATGAGCAATAAAGATTCAATATAAGTCGCGTAATAAATTAGAGATACTATGTGCACAAATATTAACATTCCGTAATTTTTGATGATCAAAATTGATTACAAAATTCTCATTGTTACACACCCTATTTGCAAATAAAACACAATATAGTTTATTGGTTCTATGAAGTATAAAGCCAAAACCATCCACCATAAACTTTAAAGAATATTGGCTATCAATATGAGGTTCATAGCAAATAATTTCAATATTTGCTTCATGCAGTAATGAATATCTCTTTATTTATTTATAAAAATTAAATTAAAGCACATTAGATATTTTGTCTAAAACATTTTAGCCAAATATTTAATTGAGGCTTTAAGAAATTAGTAATAAATAGTAAAATAAACATATAAAAACCTTTGTTCATATTTTAAATAAATATTTTTTTAAGATTTTGTCTAACTCCTTTTTGTTAACAGGTTTGGATAAGAATTCTGTTACACCAACTTATAACGCAAAATTGTAATTCTCAAGAGTATCATATGCAGAACACATAACGATTATTGATTAGACACCTGGTATTTATGAGATCTAGTTATAGACGTAGTTTTACAATTTGGGAAGTTTTGAAACCATTCAAACCAGGCATTTCAATGTCCATAAATATCAATCTAAAGAACTTGCAATGGCCTATCAATTTCTATTTCACCATCTCAACTGCTTAGTACCCATCAAAAGCAGATTCTGCCTTTATTTTGAAATGATTAAGCATTTGAATAAAAGCAATTTAATTAAATGGGATGTCATCAACAATTAAGATTTACGAACAATTGTCACAGTTATTGGCATGTATTTAAAAAGATAAAAGCGACCCTTATTGTCTCGATAGTTGGATCAGATTTTTTTTGAACCTATAAGTACTTATAGGAACTACAACTGAACTGGATAAGTCATCGTTAATTCTAGGACTTTCTATTTGCTCTTTTAAAATAGTTGATTCCAAATCAAATTTTTATTAAAGTCCTTTCATTAAAGTTTATGAGAGTTCCGATTTTTGAATAATATGGGACGAAGCGGGAGATAGTACTTCAAATCTTCCAGTAATATTACTTTATTGTTGGGATATCTAGAAGTCCTGATTCGTAGTTTCTAAGTTTTAAAATAGAAAAGCAACCTGGGTTCCATTGTTAACGCTAGAGTTGATATCCAAGTAGGCTTTATTATTGGTTAATTTTTTGACAATTTTCCCAGATATTTTTAGACCAAATCCAAGGCCAGTATCGTGAGATATTCTATAGGAAGGTTTGCAGAAGGTCTTTCTAATTTATTCTAATTTGTTTTATTAGATTCCTATACCAGTATCTCTAACAATAACTTAGATCAAGTTGCATTTCATTTATTTAAATGACAAATCAATATCACCAGCAGGTTTAGTAAATTTGCATGAATTATTTAAGAGGTTAACTAAGACTTGCATTATTCTTTATTTGTCGTTGATAAATATTTGATTTTATAAGGATTAATCATATTAGATTTCTAGTTTGATATTTTTATAACTTACTTGTTAATCATACAACTCATGAATCTCTTAAATTAGATCTATGATATTAAATGAAGTTGTATGTTAAGAGAAAGTCTTTGATTGCATGGCAGCAAAATCTAAGATATCATTAATTTAGTAGTTTAATAATTTAATTGAACTTTATGCTATATTTAAGTACTAATGTATAATTTCATCCATTGAAACTTCTTTAATGATATTAAGCATATGTTGACAACTATTTAAAGGGGTTCTTAGTTCATGTGAGAATGACTTCAAAAGTGAATTATTAATGAATCGTTCTTTTTTTAATTATTTAACTCTATTTTTATGGGTAGTATTCTTAATTAAAATGATTAATATAGGTTAAGGAAAATCATTTGAGTTTTATTTTTTGGAATTCGTCAACCCATTTTATGAGATTGCTTCCTATTAGCTTAAAGTCATTTATGTTTACTATAAAATGAATTTGAGTTTTTTTGAATCTTCGCATCTTTCTTTATCAATTGAACCTTCAAAGAAAAAAGTGTGTTCTTATAAGGTAGAAGGATCAGACAAATAAATTGACCCTGAACTACTTCTCTCTTATTCAAATGATCCATTCTATCCTGAAAATAGTGCTGAGATATATTTATTTGGATTCAACAAGACATCGAAAACGTCTAATTCTTGATTACTTTATTTGTAGATTCTAATTATTTCTTCTAAGACTCTTTAGGTTAACTTATTTCTGGTTCTTGTCAGAGATTATTAAGCATCTTCAGGTATATCACAATTGGACAAACACTTTTTAATGTACTCAACTACTCTTTCTTTTCCATCACATTCCAAAAGTTTTTCACACTTTGAACTTATAAATTAGATCTACTGGAATTTATTTAGCATCAAAACTCCCTCTGGTAAAACATTGACAAGATTTTAATAGAAATTGGATAATTAGGAGTCATTCCTGTCCACTACTAAATGAGAATATTAGCCTTTGTATCCTGCTTTAAGTTTTGAATGAAAAGAAGGTATTGGAGCACTTTCTTCTCTATATGAATCTTTGATGTTAATTTATACACTATTTCTAGGATGCGAACCTTTATCTGGATAGAAAATGAATTTATTTGAATTTTAAGTGAATCGCTTTTCTTATTTAAATTATGATTATTGCAAGGAACTAGAACAATTTTATAAGGATTGATCTAATTTTGGATTTGATTGAGTTGAGCTCGCAGAAACATTCTAATTTGAAAAATACACTAACAAAATTAAGACCATTAAAGAGGAAGCCTCACATAATTGAATATCAAATTGAATAAATATGAGCGAGATCAATCTCATTAATACATAGGTTGGGAATGCAAATCTCGATATCAATCTTATAGATTAATTTTTTATTAGTAGTTATGCTTCCATATAATTTAAAAGGATGATTAATGTGTTGATATGATTTAAATATAAAATTTTACTTTCGAAGTTAATATTGACCTCTGTATAGCATACATTATTAGCCAATGTAGCTATTAGAATCAATCTATCATACTACCAATTCTTCTTAAGGCATACAACAGATGCAAGCAGCCTTGTTATTATGCATAACGAACACATAAAGTAATACGTGTAATTTTACTATTAATAAATCAATAGCATTTCAACAATCCACCAGATTTGTTAAATAATTTGTATAAGGAAAATGTATCTGTGATTCATAATCCAGACTTATCCAAATATTCAATTAATTTATTAAAATATGTTTTAATTATTTATATATTATGATACATTCATTATTTAATTAGCTAATAAATACTTAATTAAATTAGATAAATTATTATTTAGATCGATTAATTTCTACTTTTTAAATCTCTTATTTATCTTAGTTCTTGAATATAATCAAAAATTATGGAGAAATTATATACAAAATACTTCAATCAAACTCAATTATTTTTATTAATTCTATCTTCTATGCACTTATCATATAGGCATTCAGCTGGGTAACTCGCCATTGAGTAATCGTTTTGAATAATTCAATTTTAATCTATAAAACCTTGAATAAAAACAAACTTTATTCTCATAATATAAATCTCTTGTTCTTTGGAAACCTTCATTTCCTTACTCCTTGGTTTCCATAACAAATAAAAGTGTTATTTAGAATCATTCCATTTTAGAAATGCACTTCTACTCTAACTAAACTAAATATTTTATGTGTTTTAAAGGTAACAAATATTCATAAGTTTTTTTGTAATGCTTGGTTGTATCTCAACACAGTTTTATTGTATTCTAACTGGCAGCATATATTATCTAAAATCATATATTTTTATACTTAAATAAGTAGGTGTCAGATCAGATTATTGGTTTTCCTATTACCTGAAATGAAATTTGATTTAAAATATTAAAATCAAATTTTAGCTGTTCGGATTAGATTTCTGAAATGCCATCACACTTTATCTAACCTTTAAAATTAGAATTTAAATGAATTCTTTTGTATTTATCTCTAATAAATAATGATATTCAAGTTTGGATAGAATGTTTGAGAACTGATGTAAACTTTAAGAAGGCGCAGACAATATTATAAATATAACTTTACGATTTTATAAATATGGTAGATTAGGGTAGAAACAGTAAAGAGTTTGCTTTTTAGGTCAACGAGTTGGGAAGAAAACTTATTATTTCACAAAATTTTATTATTAATAAATTAGAATATTTATTGGATATTTAATATAATAATATAATTTTTAAACTTTATTCGATATTAAAATTCTTGCAAATAAACAAAATTTATTAAATTTTTCATAAGGTTTTCATGAATATTTTCATTATTATTTACTTTTATCTGTTAGAATGAATTTTATTCTTTTTAAACTCCTGATTTAAATATGAAATTTAAGTTAGATTGAATATTTTTTCTGACATTAAATCTAACACAGAAAACATAACCTAATATTTATCTATTTCAAAATGCTATTGTCCATCATTAACTGATGACAAATATTTATTAATACTCCTAGATATTAAAGTCGATTTTCTGATTTCTGAATATTTATAAATAACTCAAAGTAGGCATCTTAGAATCAGCAATTAAAGTCTCTTACACATCAAAATTGTTACTTTTATAGCATTTCTAATAAACAAAATTAATGAATTAGCATATGTTTATATAGGTAATATAATAAATAAGATTTTAGATTCAAGTTGAAACAGAATGTTTATATACAGATGTTAAGATATGAAAATGTGAATGTTCTGAAATGCAATAAAATGATTAATAGCATATTAATAAATTAATATAATATGATAAATTAGTAGAATGTGAATCTATAAAGCAATGTTAAGGTTCAATCCATATTAGGTTTCATACCAGCCTTGGTGTTTTAACACATTCTTGAAAATCAAATAAAGGGGATAAAAGCCTAGGTTCCAGAGATTCAGTCATTTAAGAGTGTAATAATGTTTGCTGATATATGTGGATTCACTAACTTAACAGAACAACTTTCTAAAATAGGTCCAGAAGGATCAGAAGTGATAGCATTCGCAATCAATAGATATATGGAATTGTTGATAAAATCAATATCAAAGAGTGGAGGAGACATATTCAAATTTGCAGGAGATGCTATTATAGTTGTATGGCCGCCTCCGACAAGTTACAATGATAAAGATGAATAGCTCAAAACCTTACTACGTTAAGGAATATAAAGTGCCTTAGATATTTAAGCAAAATTGAATGATACTTTCATTTTGGAGAATATAAAACTATCTGTTAAAATAGGATTTGGAGTTGGAGATATCAACATTTTATATGTCGGAGGAGTGTTCAATAGAAATGAATTCCTAGCAACAGGTTAGGCTCTGATTTAGGCTTTCGAGAGTGAAGCACTGTGCCACAAAAGGAGGCTAAGTTATAATATCTAAGGATGTATTTGATATGGTGGGATAGTATTATAATTGTTAAAAAGTGGAATAGTCGTTAATCTTATTTTGTGAATTCCAATAAAGGAGCCAAAGTATAGAATATTTCAAACGCTCTCTTAATTAAGAGTAACTTTAGTGCTCAATCATTTGAATCAATAAAGAGTCAATTAATAAGATATATACCTGCTGCCTTACAGTAATACATCTATGTAAGTATGCGTATAAAATTAGGTAGATTAAGAAAAATGGAGTTCTGAATTAAGAATATTAACAATAATGTTCATAAATTTGAGTATTGATTTGTCAGCAGCACTCACTTCTAATGGGTTAAGTCATATTTAATAAGTTGTAGAAACTGTATAAAAATCAATATATGCATTCTAAGGATCTCTCAATAAAATCTTAATGGATGATAAGGGATCAACATTAATTGTAGTCTTTGGTCTACCTCCTATGGCTAAATAGGATGATCCTGCTAGAGCGGTGATGACTGCTATTACAATGAAATAGGAATTAAATGCTATCAATTGTGGATGTAAAATTGGCATTTCGACTGGATGCACTTTCGCTGGTGTAGTTGGAACAAGTGGTTCTAGAAGAGAGTATTATTAATATCAATTTAATCTCTAGATACTCTGTAATTGGAGATGCCGTTAATCTGGCAGCTAGACTTATGCAAATTGCTTGTAAAGATGATTAACATTCCATTTTGCTTGACGTTGAAACATCAAAAGAAGCTTCATATAAAATGAACATCTCATACTACAAATCCGTTTTGGTCAAAGGAAAAGCAGATAAGGTCAATATTTATTACCCAGAGGCCAATTTGGAATTGAATAAAATTAGAATTCATAATCCTTTCTTTCCAAGACTTCTCGATAATTATTTATTCGATATTAGCAATTTAAGAATAATCTAAAGAAGAATTCAATAGTTTCAACTTCAAAATGAATCAAATGTAGTGTTGAAAATCTCTGGAAATTAAGGGTCAGGAAAGTCATATTCTGTTAAATACTCAATAGATTTCTTTTAGGAGAGTTTTAATTTTATATAAATTAGATTATGTTCCTTTTTATAGAAAGAACAACAATATTTGTATGCTATTAAAATTATATTCTAACATTTTCTAAAGAAGATAGGCATCTAACTAAATAAATAATATGATGTTTAATTATTCAAGCAAATATTTGACGAATAAGATCAACTATTACAACTCTTTGATTTTGAACCCGTTAGTTAGATCTAACTATTTGATAAGGACTTAAAAAATAAAAATGATTCCTTAGAAACCCTAGACATTCAAATGATCAAAGAAAATATAGACTTGTTATTCAAGAAGTTTTAATCGATCACTAACTATCATAAATTAATTTTCGTTTTAGATGATGGTCATAACATCGATGAAGATTCTCTAAAAATCATTAGACATCTCATGAAACACAATTAATTCATTTTGCTCATCTTCATTTTCAGATATGAGTACATTGAGTAATTCTAATTTCATGAATAACATCAAAATCAAATTCAAATGATTGAAGATGAATTAGATTCAATAACATCTAAATTAAATGATATCAGTAATTTTGAGCATCTCAATTTCAAAAATATATCATTAAATGACTATTAAGTATTGTTATCTGATTTATTTCATATCAATAAGATTAGGTGTTTAAAGAACTAAGAGCAGTCTAATACTCAAGATAAAAATATTTTGCATTATGAATACATTAAATCTTAATTAATGTAATCTAATACTTAAGAATTTTTTTTACAAACCATCTATAGAAAAACATAAGGAAATCCACTGACCTTCATAACAATAGTATTTATATATAATTATTATTAGATTGAAAAATTATTGAAGTGCAATTATATGGTTGTAGATAATTAACAATAGGATGTAGTTATAATAAATGATTCACTTTAAAATATACTAAATCTGGATGAATTTGTCATTTTAGAATCTCCCTTGAATAAATTCAGACTTAATTCACCCTATTTGGATAAGGTAGGATGTTTAGAGTTATTGATACTTAAAGTGGCATCAATAATTGGAGACATATTTGATGTATAAACCCTTAATAAAATATAACCATTCAAAGAAGTCATTTAAAAAGAAAATTTGATTAAGATTCTAAATAGCTTAGAAGAATTGGAAATCATAGAAACCATGGAACTTAATGATTTGAATAAATATTACAGATTTGCTAAGCCATTTCTTAGAGAAATTATATATTAGCGATTGCTATTCTCATAAAGGAGAGAACTACATAAATATTACGCGCAAGCATTATAAGAAATTCCATCCTAATTTGAAATTGATGAAAAATTGGAAGCTTAGAGATTGGAACATAATTGGATCCTGGCTGAATAAAGGTGGAATAGTTAATCAAATCTGAAACCAAGAGGATTAGAATTATCGCATAAAGCTAAAAGATCTATCATAATTAAATCAATTCAAACTAAATTAATAGCTAAAACTAATAATATTAAACTTGGTTTATTGAAAAAGAAATCAGATAAGAATGTCACTTGGGCAGAAAGATATTGTCTGATGACACAAAAAGAATTAAAATATTACTATAGTGAATCAGACTATCATCGATAACCATAGAATGCCTTAGCAACTATTATTCTCAGTAGTATTTATTAGATAGTTCCACTTAATGACAAAGAGAAAGTTAATTAAAAGTATGCCTTTGAAATTAGAACAGGAAATTGGTTTAAAAGATAAAAACTAATGCCAAGAAGAGACTTCTATTTCTCAGCAACAAGTGAAGAATTAATGGAAGAATGGACTATTTATATAGAATTTATGAGAGTCAAAGCTACTTATGATGAATTTGTTAATAATTTTGGGAAAATCTAATTTCCAATTGCAAACTTTAAAGAATTCTATGATATGAGTTTAGGAGCTGAAATGAATAATTATTAACAAAAGTAAACATAAAATAAGAATAATAAATCTAGTATCATTCAAACCTAAAAAAGAAATACTGTGCTATCTATCAATAGTTTTTTTAGATAATCTATTGTTGAGAAGAAATAGAAATAAAATAAAGAAGAACTTAAAATATTAATATCTAAGTTTTTCAATAAAAGTTAATTATTGCTATTCACACATATATTCGAAAATTCAATTTCAAGTAGAATCCCTGTTATAATTGGTTAAAACACAAAAGCCATGTTAAAATTTGGATAATTCTTTGTTAAAACTGTTTCAGAATATTCATAATAGTAATAACAAGAAAATGAAACAATTTAAACTGAAGAATCTCCACAAACAAGACCGAGAGCAAGTTTGAACATTTCAGAATAAATAATATTAGAAAGTTAAGCTGAATCTATATAAGGAACCCTTAGAAATACAAAAAGGAAATAAACTGCTGAATAGTTTTATAATAAGAGATCTAAGAGCTCAGAATTTCTTATTTAATTTAATGAAAATTCCAATTTGGAATAATAATAACAAAGTTGAGTATATAATAATTAATATTTAAAAAAGATAATCAGTAATTAAATTTGGTTATTGTTACTACTTTCATAAGATCATCATTAAAATTTGAGATTTCATAAATGAAAAGAATTTGTTGTCTACATAAAAAACATTCTTTGCTTTTTTACGCCATTTCTAATGCACACTTATAGCATATTCCACCATGACCACAAGTCATTAAAACAGCATTTGGTGGATTATCACAACAGATTATACATTTCTAACTAGATTCGTTAATTTTGTTTTAATTTTCTTATAATTATTTAGATTCCATTTCTACTGTTTATAAGATTTTCTTGGTTTGACCTCTTTCAGTCATCAATTCTGTCATCTTTTATGATTATTAAATTAAATCTTATTTAGTTGTTTATCTAAAAAAGGCAGATGATAGCTTTTTTAAAAATATTTAATGAATTGTATTTCTTCTTTCGTATTATTTTTATTAACTCAGTTAACTAGTAGGTAATTCTCTTTATGAAGATTCAATTTCAGTTTATTATGATTATATTAAATAAAAGCAAAAGTCTATTATAGAATCCCATAGCAATTTAGTGATTGCACAAAAAATAATTAAATTAAAAGAGACAGATGAATAAAATAATATTTCCCCAATTTTAATAGGTAAATCAAGGCCTAACTTATTGAAAGTGTTAATAATCCACATCACTGAAAGAATGCTGCTTATAACTGAAATATATAGAGCCCAAAGGAGAGATTTATCTAAAAATAAATAGTTTTTACATTCTTGAGGAACTGTCTGATATTGCTTGAAGATTTCATTTATAATTTTTGATATAAGTACAATAATTAAAGTAAAACACGTACCTACAAGAGCACTTAGAAACATCCAGTACCACCAAAAGGCTTATGGCCAGGTCCATTCAACATATTTGCTAAGTTTTAAGGAAATACAAACACTGGCAACCAATGCTGAAAATCTATAAAAAGTTTTTAACTATATTTGTTAATAAATTGTTTTTTACAAATCTAATGATTGAAGAATATTCATGTGTTACTTAAGATGAACAACTTTCTTTAGTTCTGATAACAAATGATAAAAGTAAAAACAGATTTCCGAATATAAAATATTAAAGGTTGGTGTAATAAAGGATTATTACAAAATTCTTAAGTTATATATATGGAAATTACATATGCCATAATATGGAGAATGTGATCAACCATTTTGACCATCTATTTGTTAGAATAGTAATAGCAAACCAAGATTTCGAAGACAATACTCAATCCTAAGGGTATTGCAAAAGGTATTCTATTATATTGGAATAGAGCAAATAACAATGCAAACAAGTTGTAGTAGAGGTAATGGATGCAGAAGTAAGATATAATTTTCTTTATTTTGGTTCTAAAATATTATTGATATTACTTTTAGATTAACATTTTTTTTGATAATTAAAATAAAATAATATATTTAATCAAAGAAATATTTAATGTCATAAATTTATGTATTTTTATATCATTGCAATCTTTAAGCACTCATTTTAACTTAGCTGCCTTATTAGTCCATGCTCTTTCTTTAATTACCCAATCTACTAGTCGATTTTCTTCTAAGGACACTTGTCAAAGAAGTATCCATATCTGCTGATTGCACCTCTTATTCTCTAAACAACTCCACAAATTAACACCAACGCTCAGGAACTGCAATCTTAACAAGAATTGAGAATATTAAGCTGCCAAGACCAAATCCAAGACACAAGAGGTGTTATTGCAAAGTTAAATGAGAAACCTTTACAAATTTCCCTCCATATTAAATGAGCACGCATTAAATAACCAATGTAAAAGTTTAGACAGCCCAAAACAAAGGGTTATTGCATGCATTTGCAAATGGGTTGATAGTCTTATAATCCAATTGTCTGCAAGTTATTGAATTGAATACTTGCATGACAACAAAGGTCTAGAAGAAAATGCTCATTTAGACGACATTTTAATGGTACTAAATAGCTCAATAAATATATTACTTTCTATGCAGCCAATTCTGTAGGTATAGACAAATCCATAAATTAAGGAAGAACGAATAAGATGCCACATAGAACACAAATTTGATAGATAGATCCACCAACTATTGTTCTGTTCATAGTGGGTGATACAATTTTGTCATCTCTTTTGTATGGTTATCTTTCCAACACTGTAATATTGGGAGGCTCAGTTGCTAAGGCTAAAGAAGCAAATGTATCCATAATAAGAACCCATAACATTTCTATGGTGTTCAAGGGAGATTCTTTAAGAACTACAGCTCCCAAAAATGACATAAACAAAGCAACCAAATTGACAGTCAATTAAAATTAAATGAACTTTCTTATGCAATCATAAATGTTTCTACCCCATTTCATAGCTAAATATAAATATTATAATACCTGTAATGATCGAGCTAAAATTATCATCTAATAAAATGATATCAGCAGCATCCTTAGCAACATCCGATCCTGTAATACCCATAGCAAATCCAACATCTGCTTTCTTTAGAGCTGGAGCATCATTAGTACCATCTCCTGTGACTGCAATAACATTCCCTTCAGCAATCAAACCAGTAACAAGTATGTATTTATCTTCTGGAGATGCTCTAGCCATAACTTTCATATCCCTACTGACTCTGGCGAAATTTTCTTTATTGCCAACAACTTTCACTGTTTTTCCATCAACTTATTCATCTTTTAGTCCTCCAACAAATTCTCTAAACTTTTTCCCTTCTACCACTTCCCATTCACCTATTTCTCTATTTGTTGGCAAGATTCCACATTCCTTAGCAATAGCAGTAGCAGTAAGAATGTTATCTCCAGTCACCATTCTGACTTTGACACCAGAGGCATGACATTATTTAATTGAGTTAGGCACATCAGGTCTGATAGGATCTTTAATACCTGCAATAGCAATCAATACTAGATCCTTGTCTAAATCATCTTCAGGAATATTTTATGCTACTTTAGTCAATTATGGAATCTATCCTCTAACATTTGATCCATGTGATTAAGGATCAAGATCTCTATAAGCAATGGCTATTGTTCTCAAAGAATCTGATGCAAATTTTTGGATAATATTATCATAGATTTACTTTCTCAATTATGGGTCTAACATTTATTCAATACCATTGTTTCCAATGTATTTATTGCATTACGCCAATATAATTTCAGAGGCACCTTTAGTATAGACTCTAATATATTGTGATTTTTAATTGTAAATAACTGTGCTCATTTTCTTTCTCTTACTATTGAATGGAAGCTACCTTAATACTTTATCACTTGGTCTAAATTGATTAAAATTATATCCAAAATTATCTGCACATTCCAACAAAGCGCATTCTGTCTTATTACCTATTTGAACCCATTTATTTGTTTATGGATCCTTTTCAGGAAAAGCGTTTGAATTATAGCAAATACTTTCGCACATGAGCTCAATTGTATCTTTCTTAATTTTATTTTTATTCGTTATGAACCTAATCTCTAAATGGTTAATTTTCAGTCCACAAAGCAACAACTTACATTATGTTTTATGTTAGTGTTCCTGTTTTGTCACTGCAAATATTATTAGCTCCACCCATTATTTCGCATGATGATAAATTCTTAACCAAATTCTATTCATCCTTCATTTTACCCACCGAATATGCTAATGCAATTGTAACAGCCAATGGTAATCCCTCTGGTACTGCCACCACAATTATTGTTACAGCAATCATGAAAGATTCCACTATGATTTGTAAGGTCTTTATACTCAGAAACGGAAATTTACCCAAATAACAATCATATCCTAAATGTCCCATCAAAGCAATGAATGTTAAAATAGATACTAAAACACCCAATTTACCTATGTCTGAAGCAACTCCTTCTAATTTCTATTGCAAAGGAGTTGGAGGATTCTCTTGAATTAATAATTATTTCAACTTTCCAGATACTGTGTTTTAACCAACTTTTATATTGAAAATTTTTACCTGCTAATACAATCATTTATCCTGTTCCATCAAGGCATTTTGTGCCTGATATTAAAAATGGACTCACATGTCCTCTCGCTGCCTCTTGATTCACATTTAATTAATTATGCGGTTATTATGCCATCTCAATATAAGGTAACTTCTTTATCTCATCACTCTCTCCTGTCATAGGGGATTCATCAATTTTAACTGCACTTCCTTAAACCATCAAGCCTATTTTAATTGATACAATGTCTTACCATCCACTCCAAACAAATCACCTAAGTTGAAGATTAATAAATCTCCAACGACTATATCCTTTGTTTGTATTTCTGTTACTTTACCATCTCTAATTACCTAACACTTTCCATCATCGAGCTTCCTACGTAATTATCTAAATTGTCTTTCCTTTAAGTAATTGTTTCCCGCTGTTATTGAAATGATCAAGAATATAGCAAAGAAAATCGTTGCTCTAAGTTATAATATTATACAGTTTGTTACCCTTCAGTCCATCCTGTTTTTACTCCTTCATTGATCATACCAATTACTGTAGAAACCAAAGCTGCTATTAATAAAATCTGTAGCATAGTGTCCTCCAAACACTCTAAAATCAATTCACATAATGTTGTTGGCTCTTTCTCAACAGGTAAATTGTCCCCATAAAGTTACTTTGACTTCTCAATTGCACTTTTATCTTAGAATCCTTTCTAATAATAAACAAATTATCTTCACTTTTAGATCTGTGTTTAATTTCCTTGCTATCCCAAAATCATCTCCTAATTGTTTTACTTTTTACATGCTTGAGCCATCATTGATAGAGTTCAGCTTGAATAAATCCGTCAAGTCATCTATAGATAATTAAGATTGAATTTGGGCTTCCACATCTTTTTATTATTTGTAGCTCATTAAATACAATGAACTAAATTTGTTATTAAATGAATATCATTCTAATTGCTATTTATTGGTTCAAAAATACTAAATTGATTCTTTTAAACACAATCATAATTGGTTTTAACAGAATTTACAGAATACTTAAATGAAGTATATTTATTAATTAGTCAAATACAGAAAATAAAGAATTTAAAATTAAATAACATTGCTAAGATTATAACACAAAGACTTATTGAAAGATTATAAAAACTTTTAAACAAATTATTAAATGGTCATCTTCTTCTACATTTTCAGATCAACATATTTACCATAACTAATCCAAATTACTCTTTATACATTACCTATTCTTGATAATAGCCTTTCTGCAAAAACTAAGTTGATAGTGAAATGCTTTCACACTTAATCAACTTTACAATTTTTAGCAAAATCTGAATTTACTATTGTAATTGAACTAATCATCGATTAAATTTACCAAACAAGTCATGATGAAGAATGCATAATTTATTTCATTTTTTACATTTAATGTTATTGATGGGAAACATTAATATTTATTAAAAAAATGTAAAATTCTTAAAAAATTTATAAATTTAAAATAGTACATAATTAATATTTGTTTGCTTGATAAAATAATAAATAATAGACATAGAATTACTAGGATATTTATGATTATGTATCTTGATGCAAGAAAAACTTATTTTAGGATTATGAAAATAACTAAGCCATTAGTTACAAGTACAACAATACAAATATCTTTTAATTGAGAATTATATAATTATCTTTACATCCCTTTTCAGCCTGAAATTATTAAAAAATGTAGATTAGTTTAAACAAACTGTTAACCGTCTACATACTTAAACAATTCCAAGTGAAAAGGTAATTATTAATTTAACTTAGGTTATTTAATTGATACCTAATTGATTGGGATTTAATAATGTAATTTATTTTCATCCAGGTTCATGCAAATGCCAAAAAAAATAAAAAAAAATTTGTTACATGTCACCTCCTTATTCTTCTTATGGAGCTCCTTCCGCTTAGTCATAGGTATATTTCATAATCAAATTACTTAATTCAAAAAAATTATCATGAATTATTTGTTATTAGAAAATTCACAACTTTGATTTTGTTTTTCCTGCATTTATTTGCTTATCTTTAATCAGGATACAAAACAAAGGCATTTAGTATTTGGATTAATGAATAATCAGTGATTGAAAAAGTTTTCATGTTTTATGAAATCATCTATATCACAATCATTAACTTTAGGGTAAGGTACCTCAATCTAAGCCTAGAAGAAATTTAAATTGCCATAAAGGAGTAGAATTATGGCGACTATAAGAAAAAAACATAGAAATTGAAAAATAATCATATTACTGTGAAAAATGGATCATCATTTGATCATTTTATAATTTAAGAATGAAATGTAAATTCAATATAAGATGAAAAAAGGAGGATAATGTTAAATATTATAATATTCTACAATATGAAAAAAATTCTGTATTTTTCAATACTATTTTTTCAAAAAATTATAACTCCACTATTCTAATCTAAATATGTATTATTCAATATTGATAATTATTCTTTGATCATAACATTTACATTTTACAAAAATTATTATGTATTTAATTTTTACCTTAACATTTATAATTATAATAATATTTGCTAAAATGAAAAATTTTGTCTAATTACATTTTTATCATAAAATTTATAATTTAATGAAAAGGGTTGAATATTACTAAATCAACAAACCCCAATAAAAAGCTAAATAAGAGACAAATAGGTGACCTATTTGCAAATAACAAGAATTAATAGTTAATAGAGGTAAAAAGGGAAAACTTCATAACGTAGATGAGAAATGACATTCTAAATCACACTTTCGCTTAAAAGGAGGAATATCAATTTCTAAGCCTTCAAATAATTCGGATAGAAGAGAAGAAGTACGGATATTGAGAATGGAGGGTTTGTGGGACAACTCAGATGTTTACAAAATTTTTCAAACATTTTCATATGTTTTCATTGATTAATCTACGTAAGATTAGTCGAATGGCAATAATTAATAAAGCTCAAATGCAAAGGAAGTGGTCTTAAGCAAAAGAAAAGGAATTTATTTGATTATCTCAGCTGTGTTTCTGTCCAGACTTAAACAAAGTTGAAAGTATATAACTTCAATAAGAATAAATTTTGAAAGTTAATACAAAAAGAAGATAAAACTAACGTAAATTAATCTCATACCTATAAAATTGAATTAGAGTATGTAATAAAACAAAAAGAGTAGAACATAGTAACACTGAAAGAAGAAGGATGAAATCATAAGCTCTTTCTTCTTATAAAATCCTACATCCATATTCGAAAAAAATAAGGAATAGAAAGAATAGACTCTAAGTAATAGGAATAATAGATCCAATCATTTTAAAAGAATTAGGATAAATGGCATAAAATAATAAAAAGAAGTTCGCAAAGATACTTTAGTAAGTGAATTATGAGGAAATAAGAAAAGTAAGATCAAAGAAACAACTGGTGTTGTTTGGAAGGAAATATTCAAGAACGGACTTCTAAATTTTTTATGAAAGGTATATGAAGGTGAATTAGCAATTCAGTTTCTTGTATCCTCTTAACCTAATTTATGTGCTACTGTTTATTTAGCTTCGTTAAGAGTATCTGGTTTGATTGAGGATATATTCCATGATTGTATAATTAATTCTTTATTTGGACTATCCGATTTATATTTTGTGAGTAGATACTAGCTCTAATATTGATACTACTATTAGATGTGCCAGTATTAAAGCACAGTTCATTGTTTCGCCCCTCAAAAACCTTTAGTGTCTTTATTATGTTTTTTGCAAAAAATAGAGGAAGAGGAATAACAGTTGGGATACATAAGCGATTCTTTTCAAAGAATATCTCAAATTTACTTCCTAAGGTTCATGAGTTATTAGAATGCTCACTAATCAAAGTAACAGGTGAATTACTAGAGGTATTTATACTAAATATATACTACCCTTAAGAATAGTATTTTAATAATCAAAAAATGCACTTTAAAAATTAATAATATAACTGATGTCAGCAAAAACAAAAGCAATACTTATCATATTTGGAGATATAAATCATCCAATAAATTAAATGTCTTTCATGAAAGATGTTATTCCAATATAATAATACTCCATCAAAAGGATTATTGTCCTAATTTTGCACCTGTATAAAAAAATATAAACATATTCTCTGCTAAAACTACCTTAATTAAAATCAATATCAATTATAGAATTTCAATTTCACGAAATAAAGAATGTCATAAAATAACTTATTAACATTTGATCTAATATCTGATAAATGGATTAAAAAAACAAGGAACATATGAAGTGCTCTCTGATCTGTGGTCTAAGGAAACTGCTGATTTAATATTGAATTTTGGAGCAAATCGTTTGGTTCCCTTGAAGAAAAGCATATCCAAGCAATAGTGTAAAGTCCAATTATAAAATGGCTAGAAATTAGATTCCTACGTAAAATTCAGGCATTCTATTAATTTAGAAAGTTAAAATGATTCATAATTTAATTAAACAAAAATTATAACATTATTATTCGATATTTTTAAAAGTTGAACAATTATAATCATTATTATTCAATAAATAATGATTTCTTTTTTGAAAAATATTAATATTTTTATATTGATAAACTCTTTTGAATTATATTTCTATATTTTTATATTAATTAGTATTCAATGATAAAAATTGTGTCTAAATTGTATTCGCGCATATTGATTATTTGAATTAAAGTTAATCTTGTTGTGAGATTGAAGATGTCAAATGTGTTAGACAGGTGTTCAATGCATCAATAAGTGGGGATTGCTGTATAATGCTTGGTAAAAGATCAATATCACTACTCTATTTTATGTGAGAATTGCTTAGCTGAACGAGTTAGCAATAATCAAATATATTTATTGAAGGATGCCTAATCAGTTTTTGAAGAATTCAGATTATAGTGTTTAAGTGAATTTGAACTAGAGTAGAATGACAAAATTAGTTTCTATAGAAATTTGCAATTAATTGTTTAGAAATTGTAGAATCATTTTTTAGAAACATTCGATTAGATTAACAATTAAATAAATGAAAAATTAGAATTCATAACCCAAATTTTTAATTAGGGATATTTAAGTGGAAATTAAGAAATCTAAATCCTAAATCCTACTATAACAGAATTTGGTGAATAATTATTAGAGGAAATAACTAAGTTTGAGAATATTAAGAATATAGGGTAGTAAAATGCAATTGATTTTCAGAATCAAATATAATATTAGATATTAAAACTGCAGTAAAGTCAGATATTAAATGAGTGTCTTGAATTATTAATCTCAGTGGATGAAGGGAACTAAATTATATTGAAAGAGCAAAATGGAAAGAATTTGGAATATTAAAAGAAAAGTGTTTAAGTATGAATATAATAAAATATTGTTAAAAGAGAACTCCAAAGTTAGATTTAATGTGTAAAGAGCATGAAAAAGAAATAATAATATTTGATCTAAGTGAATAGCAATCAAGAGAGAAACGAGCTAGATGTGTAGAATGCGATCCATGCATCTTTACTTCATTGTCAAAGTGTCAGAATATATGGAAAAACTATGAAAGACAATAGTCAGAAATTTTAGAGTAGTTTTATTTATCGAGAAAATCATAAATTGGTAGTATTAAGCAATAGCTGCTTTAATTAAGGAGTTGCTTTACCTAAAAAATCAACGAAATTATTTAATAATTGAATGGAATAATGGCTTAGAGTGAATAGGAAGTGTTCACAAGAATAAACAGCATGAATAAAGATTGGAATACCATGACTATGGATGAGGTCTTGGATATAGCGGAGACATTAAGCAAGCAAGAGATGATGACGATATTAGTGAAAGAAATGGAAATCAAATATAAAATGAAAAACTTAGATATTGATAGCATTTTCTAAAATAGTATTGAAGGGTTATAAGAAATTTATAATCAAATTACCTTATTAAAATTATGCTTGATTCAAGAAGAGCCTGAGGTTAGGAATGATGGATCACCTTAAAAAAATGATTGTCGGAAATAAAGTTCTAATAGTGCATAAAGCGAAAATCATTCAGTAGAATTAAGCATATCAAATTCAGATTAAAAGATTAAGTAAATTCAGAATAAAATCAAATCATTGGAAGAATGGAGAATTCAATAACTAAAATGGTCTGATAAATTTATCGATTATTAATTATTTTATACAAAAAAATAGGCTGAATGGTGTAATGCTATTGCATTTAATAAAGAAGGAAATATTATGATAGCAGGATGTATATTTTCAATTAAAGTGTTTGATTTTTAAAAAGGAAGGATTGTTTAAACATATCAAGCTAAATAACATTAAGGTGATGTGAATTGTTTATTATTTAGTAAAATTCTTAATTAATTTATCTCTGGGAGTGATGACAGAACTATCAGAATTTGGTCTTAAAGTGAGAAGAATGAATGGAAATGTATTTAAGTTTTGTAAGGACATCAAGATTGGGTATTGTGCTTAATCTTAACAGAGGATGAATAAATACTCTTTTCTGGCAGTAGAGATAAAACTATTAAGAAATGGACTAAAAATCAAGATAATTAAACATATCAATGCACCCAAACATTAGATCTCCATACTGATGCTGTGCTTGGGTTATCTTTAAATAAATCTGAATCATTTTTGGTATCGTCAAGTTACGATAAATCTATAATAGTTTGGTATATAAAAGAAACATTTTTAGTTGAAAAAAAACAAATAATATAAAAAGACTCTTATGGTAATAGAATACTTTTTATTAATGAAACATAATTTTTTTGGCAACCAAATAACAATCAAATTGTACATGTCTATAAATACAATGATCAATCATCATCTTTTGAGTCTTCTAAACATAATATTCAGTAATTCTAAGCAGATGATGATTATTAATATTTTCCTTCTAAATTCTTAAAAGCAAAAGGATTATTTGCTAATATTCACAATAGGTTTATATATATTACCAAATAAATAAATGAGGAAGAGTTTGAAGTAGTCTAAATAATAGAATTCGATGATTATCGGAAATTTGGAGCATTCACAGAAAATGGAGAATATTTAGTCACATGGCATTATACAGCTTGCGAATTTTAAATTAGAAAGAACGTTGGAAGTTCAAGAATATAATGGTGATAGTTTAATAAGTGTTTTATAATCAAATGCTAATCGATAATTTATACTATAAATAAAATATATATTAATTGAATGTGGGTTGGGTGTGGGATCAAAATTAGTTTTATTTAAACGATTTTAAATATAATATTCTTTACTTTCAATTTAAATATATTTGATTAGATGTTAATTTAAGTATCTTCTTATCCATTAATTGATAATTTGATAGGGAATGAATAAGTTCTATAAATTACTCTAAAATTATAATTAATTAAAAAAATTCATGATTACTTAAACCTAAATTTAGACTGTTTAGTTTATTGTGGTGAGATAGAAGGTAGATGAACATGAATTTTTTTCTGACTATTCACTTTTGGGATTGATAAATGCAGGTCCAATTAGGTTTAGTATCTATTCTGTGTATCTTAATATTAATATTAATATTAATTATTACTAAATTTATTCAATTATCTATTTTTCATTGTAGTAAAATCCTAATGAGAAGAAGTTTTAGTAAGTGCAAAACTCTTTTTCAAATTTTAGATTCTATGACGATTCAAACTTATATGTTTCTGTTTGAACACGAGAAGTAATGGGAATTTGTTGATTTAACATTATTTCGTTAATTTCATCTGATTCTTAAGTCTTTAAATAATACATTTCTTCCTAACATCTATCTCTTATAAATTTGATAATATTCAACGCATTGATGATCTTATATTATTGTTTTAATTACAATTAAGAATTTCTGGGTAAACGAATATCTCAATTTAATCTCTCTATTAGTAATTGGGTTATGATTTTGATCGTTCTCCTAACATCCAAGGATGCTCAAGACATTGTTCTGCAGTAATCCTATCAAAAGGATTATGGCAGACTGCATTTCTAACAAAGTCCTATGCCATTCTATTGTAAATATACTATATATACTCAGATAGATGATAAGGATAAGTTATACTAAATTCTTAAGAGATTATTTTACAATACTCTTTTTTTTTCACTCCATCCTGCCAATTAGGATGCTTGTTTTTACACATCATCAAATAATAGATGATTCCTAATGAGAATATATCGATTGCTTAAGTTTACTCTCCACCATTTATCACTTCAGGAGCAATGTAAAAGGGAGTGCCAACCTATTGACCAATAATGCCTCGACAAACCATTTAATAGCCTAATCATAAATCAATCAATTTCACTAAGTTATTAGCACAAATAAATATATTTTCTAGATTAATCACTATGGCATACCTGGTTTTAAGTCTCTATGAATGATTCCTTTACGATGAAGAAATACTAACGCATTTAGCATTTATTACATTATGTTTCTAACTTCAATTTCTTCTATACTTCTTTCCCTCAATATCACATCTAGAGTCTAACCAACCAGTTTCTCCTTTATCAAATAAATGTAGTTGTCCGCCTTGAAAACTCTATATAATTTCACTATATTTGGATGAAAACACTCCTATAAGAGACATAACTCCATCTCCTATTCAAAGTATTCAGTAACCTTAAATTAACACATTTTCTACTTTTATTGCTACTATTTTATCTAAGTTTGAACTATAGGCAGCAATTACAATTCCAAAACTTCCTCTCCCTAAAATTTCAATAAAACAGTAGTATTCGCTCAATAAGATATCGTTTAAATCATCAATTAAACTTTTAGGATCCATTTTAATAAATTATAATAATATTTATTGCTATTTTGTGAAATTTCAATTTATTTGCTTCTGGATTTATTTCAATTATTATTGGATCAAATTGTATTGTATTTTATGTTTCCTTAATAATAATTAACTGAATTATAAATGAATATATAAAATATATAATCACCTATTGTTTCTACTCATATAATCTCTATACTTCTTGAGTGCCTTTCTAACATCAGTAACCTTAGATTAAGCTATTTTAGTTATCAAATCCTTCATGTTTAATAATTCTTTGTCGTCTGATTTTCCAACCCAAGATGAAATCACCAATCCATTCTCTTATTACAATTAAAAATTGATAGGAGTATTGTCAATGATTATTGTTTTCTCTAAAGGTCTTCCTATCTTACTTAAATCCTATTTGTAAGATTTATTAATACTTTAATAAAATGAATACCATTATAAACTGTTTGATGTCTATATAATTTATGATCAATAAGGTGATCACATTGAATTTGAGAAATGGCATTATCTGCATACTTAATAATATTTAAAGTTATACATTTTGTTGGCCTGCTGTAAATATTATTATTTCACAAAATGGTTTAATGCTTTCGAGAAATTGGAATAACCATGGTCGGGAGATGAATTTGTTCAATTATTCACTCTATATATCGCATAAAACTATACAAAATGTCCCATTGTTTCATCCAAATCCAGTATTATGCACAATTATTTTAAAAATGGTGATTAAATGAAAGGACTATTCATAAGATCTACACTCACTTGCGATTGTCTTTTGGGAACCATATGCGCGTTGAACAATGTTTTCAAAGGAGATTAATATTCTTGTTTTTTTATTTGTTATGTTGACAAATAAATAGCATTTCTTAATTGTGGTCTACTTATTGTAACATCTAAAATATTTAAATGCTATAATTAATATCTGCAAGTTATTATTATTGCTTGTATACCCTAATTATCATTTTGTAATAATTTTTCAATTATTGACTTAATGAAACAATTATTTCGTTTTATTTCCTAAGGAAAACTGATGCAAGGATTGTTTCTTTCTAAAATTACATCAATCTTTTATTATAATTACTCAACTAATTGATTCCTTTGTTTTAAATGTTTAATCATTTGATTCAAAAATAGAGCAAAATTCTCTACGAATAATTTTGTTAAAACTGTCATTTCTTAGTAATATATCTGTTAATTGTGAAGAATGTTGTCTTTCAATTAACACTAAACAAACGAAAATGAAATATCACTTAAGAAAATATACTCCCAAAGGATTTTCTAAGTTGCTGGACGAACAAAGTAATAAAGATATTATTCTTGTCTGAACTCAAACACTGCTTCCCAATATAATTAAAAATTTGGTGTTTCAGTTTTATTTTGTAGACTTTCAAAAATGGCTTTCATATTCTAGAGTTGAATTTGCCCTGCATTAATATCAAAGGAGTGATTAGTTTGCATGAATGTATCAACCTAAGAATTTGGTCTGGTAAATGTGGATGAGAAAGTTCCTTTCATTCGATCTGTTTATCTTGTTCCACTTCTTTAAATTCTTTCACCATCCTATTCTAGAGATCTCAAAGTTCGTTTGGCCTACTATAACGGAGTTTCTAATATTTTTCTCTAATTTTATAATTCCCTGATCAGATGGTAATTATTGCTATACTTAATTGTAAAATATTCTAATTCAAGTTTTCATTTACTTGTTATTTCATCAGAACTTTTTTCGAAATGTGCTAATACTTATGGCTGTTTCATGATAATTAATTTTATTATATATAATAGATGTTTATTGAAATATTCATTTACATAATACTAGTATGCTTTAACTAAACTTCCTATCTAATTTATATCATCTTAAATATACGGACATCACAATTTAATGTTTTTTTTAAACTTGCTTATTCATATAATAATCAAAATGTTTTTATAATTAAATTCATTATGTAGTTTTATGCCTTTTTTACTTGTAGGCGCTTTATTTTCTTAGATTTTTACAAACATTTACATATGTAATTCAATTTGATTGGATTCATAAATTTATGTTTTCAATCATTGATTAAATGTCTACTATAATTAATTGAATTTCAAATATCAATCTTACAATTAGAAGTACTTAGAATTATATATTTGATAATTATCACATTAATTATATGAATAATTAATTTAAATCAAACAGCCTGGCTTGGATCTTCCTTAGCTGAATATAAATAAGCATGAATATTAGGTAAAACACCTCCATCAGCAATAGTAGTATTTGCCATTAATTTGTTCAATTCATCGTCATTTCTAATAGCTAAGAGGATGTGTCTTGGGTTGATTCTATTCTTCTTGTTATCTTTGGCAGCATTTCCAGCGAGTTCTAAAACTTCCGCCGCCAAATATTCAAGCACAGCAGACAAATAAACTGGAGCACCTGCACCAACTCTTTCTGTATATCTTCCTTATTTCAAATATCTTGAAACTCTTCCAACTGGAAATTATAACCCAGCCTTGTGTGATCTAGAAACTGATTTATGAGCTCCAGCTGCCTTTCCTCCTTTTCCTGCTTTTCCTGCTTTTCCTCCAGGTGACATTTTTTTTATTTATTTATCTACTTACAAAATCATATCAACTTTAAACTTATTCAATATTCTTTTTTTCTATTAATTATCCAATCATATTTTAGATCTCAAAGCTCGTTAGCCATAAAGAAAATATAATTAAATTCAAGAATTCTTCTTTATCACATATTATCTTAAATACAATTCCTTCCAATAAAATTAAATAAGTAGACTATTGTCCAAAAAGATACATTAAAAGATATAAATTAATAATGTTAGATAAATACAATAATGTTATTAAGACATTGTTAAGAATATGTATTAATAAATAACCAAAGAAAATTTCAATTTCAATGAGTAAATTAATTTATCTAAACTTAATAGTTTTATTCATAATAATTACTTAATAATATCTGTCAACTAAAATATTGAATGCTTGTTTAATTTGAATTCAGATTTTCTGAATACAATGAGCTCATAATTACAAATAATTTAGATAAATAAATATAATTTATGAATTTGATATAGCTATAAAGTGGCGTTTTTTGATTATGGAGAATTTCTTAATTATTGTTTTTAAAGTAATTCAAATTATACAAATCATAACTATAAATTATTAAGAATATAATAAGAAAAAATATAAGGATAATTGTCCTATTAAGGATTAAAAAAAAAGATAAATAAATACAGTTGAAATAGAATTAAATAGAGAAATTTAAAATGCAGGCAAAAAAGCCAAAATTGAATCGAGAAATTAAAGAGTAACATGATGAGTATTAAACTCGATAATAATAGAAATTTGAAGTAGAAAAATCAAACATATGTTAGCAATTCAAGAAAAGAAAAAATAATGAGAACAATAAAACAACATGAAATGAAGAGAATTTGATAAGAGGGATTTAGACCATAATGAATTATTATTAAAATATGCTAAAGTATGAATAAAGTGAGGAAGAGAATAGAAGAACAAAAATTAGCATAGTATAAAAAATTTCAGAAAATTAATTTAATTAGATCAAGGTAGTTCTGAGTTGTTTATTTACGCAATTGAGATTTAATAAAATTAAAATAATTTGGAATTTGGGAGAATAAAATGGTTTGATAAATTAATGGGAAATACTGTCATATAATATAAATTGAAATTGAAATGTGAGATATGAATTAAGTTTTACATAAAGAGAGTCTAATAATAATTTCAAATTCAGACGATGAATGACTCGAAGCGAATTATTGGAGGTGGAAAACGGAATAGATGAATTGAAATCATTTTGGTTTGATTTTTAAAGGATTTAAGAGGAAAAAATAATTGTAAAACGATTTATAACAGAGAATTACAATTATGAATATTAAATAATATATTTATATAATAACATGAAATGCGAAGTGAAAACTGTTAAACTTAAAATTCTAGGATTGACTGATTTAAGTAAAATTATAAGAAATTCCTCGTATGAAATATAGGTATATTTTGGAGGTGCAAGATAATCAACCAAAATATTAAATTATTATGTTGGTATGTAATTAAGTCATTAGATTAGCATCTGAATAAATTGAAATTAATTAAGACCTTGAGTTAAATAGTATTCATGGGAAACAATTATAATTTTGGTTGTTTGATAAATTGAAAAATAAATTTATTGGAGCAGGATCATATGAATTGAGTGAAAATTAAGTTGAAGGATTTCAATTGTTAGATTTAAAAATCGATACAGTTATAACGTGTGTTTTAATGTTTGAGTTGGTTGTTGAAGTGAAAGACATTTATAAGCCTGTTGTTTTAGAAGATGATAATGTGATATTAAAGAAAGACGACTCGGAAGAAAAGAGAAAAGAATAGGAAAGGTTGGAGTAAGAGGAGAAACTTAGAAAACAATAAGAAGAAGAAAGAAGGCTATTATAAAAATAAAACAAAGTTTCCATAGTCACATTAACTGATAGATATGTTGAAGATTAATCTTATTATTGAATAATATATATATATTTTGAATATCAATTTGATTTTAGTTCCATCTTTAAAGGTTTTTTGAATTTGTTCACTATTCGCTTCACACTAAAAACAAATGTATATTTTGATGGAATAAATCTTGATAATCTCCATTTCAAAAATAAGTTTAATCTGTTAATCACATTTTAGTAGTTATCAACAGGATAATATAAATTGTAAGAGTACATCCTCTCAAATTCTTCAGAATCTTGATCCGCTCTTTTATACATACTTAAATCGACCATACCTACTCCAGTTGGTATGCGAATATTCGATCTAATTATTGGACTAACAGTTGATCTGAATTAAGTAATAGTCCCTTGGCGTAGAGGGATAGTTGACAATTTTGATGAAAACCTTTTCATTGATTGTCTCACTTAAGAAGAACTTTAGCTCTGTCTGCCCAACTGTCTACCATATGGAGAACTGGTTTAGTCATCAGAATGTTATCTATTCGATAAGTTTAGAGTGTCAGAATCTTCTTCCCTTATTCTTGACAGGTTCTTCTTCATTTTATCAACAATATTACTTTATGGCCTAGTTTTTGTGTTATTTCTTAATCTTTATGATTGCTTTTGACTTTACTAACTATCTGTATCTCCTTTAAATGTAAGATGGGGAGTGTTTTTAATTCTTTTGACAGAAGGAATAGGCGCTTCATTAGCAATTAATTATGAAGAAGTTGCTGTTTGTATCAATTACGAAGGTTACAAAGGGTCTTAAGGCGTTTATGTTCTTTTCATTTTTTAAGGTTCTTGTGGTACTAAAGAAAACTTATATAGTTATTGTTGCTGTTATTAAAAATCTGCTTAATATTAGAATTGAGCGGTGCTTAGTGTTCCTTTTTAGTTGTTCGGTCTTATAATAAACATTTAATCATTTTCATCACAGATATCTTGTAGAACTTTCGAATTCTCTTTGACTTAATCTTATTGTTTTAGTATACTAACAATAGTTCTACAATAGAGTTTAAGTTTTACCCATCTTATTTATCTACTATTCTATTATCAGAATAACCTTCATCGCTTTAATAATCATCGCTTAATTCAGAGCATGATTCCAAATCATCATCTTAAATATCATCATCATCTTCATCTTCATCATCATCATATATTATATCATATTTTAATCTAAATATTTTAAGTGCATCGTAATTTTACTATAAATATTATTCTAGATTTTACAATCAATTTTGAAAATATTCTATTAAATTCTTTTCTTACATCTTTTGGAGTTCTAGAAAAGCTAGATCTTTATTATTAATTATAATTGTCTTATTTGTATACTTTTTCAAGATCTGGGGTATACCTCCAAATAGGACACTTAGAAATTAAATGATCTGATGCTCTGCAAGAGTAACAACACATATTAAGAATACTGAATTGTTGATTCAAGAAAGAATGCCTAATAAAAAAATATCTCTCATGGTCGATCTTATTTTATTAGATTAATTATATAAACTTTGATTATTGGATCTTATATAATGAAACGAACCCTTTAGCTTTTGCAGATGCTTACCTTAATTGACCTGAGAAAAATGAAAATTCACCAAAAGATTCTCCAGAAACCAAATGAGCCAACTGAGTATTTTAGTCAAGTATTGAGATTTCACCAGAATCAATAATATACAAAGAACAATCATCTTGCTTACGCTTTTAAATCACAAATTCATTAGGATTAAATTTAACATACTCCATGATTTAGGTCAAATTTTCAAGGGTATCTTTTGAAAATTTGAATAGAGACTTACAATTAAATAAAGCTTTGATTCTCATTTATAGAAACAACTCTTCTTTAAGGGTAGGTGGAAGTTATTAAATTAAAATTTAGATCTAATTATCTAAATGTATATAACAATATTACCTAGTCGTCCTTATTACCCTATTATTAAATGAACCTCATATAATTTCTAATTCTGGCTGACATTTACAATGTAATTCCTCTTTTGGATAAGAAATGATTCATTATTTCCATCTATGATAAAGTCTTGTTATAATTCTAATATTGCTGTTTCATCATAAATCCAGTGTGATTAATGATAATTGCAATCATCCAACAGGAGATAAACATAATGATCGTTGAATAAATTAATTCTACATTTGTTTTAACATGAATCAATCCTAATCCAACATTTAACATCAGACATGTATTAATATAAATAGAATAACAATATCTTGTCCATTCATCCTCATCTTAAATATTCAAGGTCATCATCCAAGAGTTTTATTGTTCTATTCCTATGAAGTGCCAGAAACATGAACATGAATGAATTGCATATAACACTATCACAAATATTTTGTAGCAACCAATATCAAAAGGAAGAAAATCATTTATTCTAAATATTAAGAAATTCAATTTCTAAACTCCTAAACAAATTTTAATTAATAAAATACACCAAATTAATACATAATTTGTAGATAAGTACAATGATAATGTTGTTGCCACTAAATACAAAATATCTAACAAAGTTTGACGTTTAATAAATTACAATTTATACTTAATTTGAAAGTTTACAAATTTACCTTCTTAAATTTAAGGTTTTATATAATTTATTGGCAAATCTGAAATAATTATTAATATAGCAATTATTTCTAAAGCAATGTTTGTTTCTTATTAAAAACTTATTTTGAACGGCAACCAAACACATAACATTATAATACAAATTATCACAATTATATCCCAAAAAAGAAAACATAAGGGGTGAATTTATTATTTATTCATCTCATCTTTAATGGTATAATGAGGGCTATTTTCTAAATAGTTTTCAATTAATAATTATTTTTAGTATCCATTAAAATAATTTTCTCGATATATGTATGCTTTTTGAAGAAGTGTATTAGCGAATTGTTTAACAATTTTCTTGTCAAATATGTTTCTACTTACAGCCTCTGTTAAATTAAGTTCAGAATAAAGCGGCTACTTACGTGAGGATCGCATTCCTTAATTAAATTAACTTTTCTTTAATTTCTTTGATTCGTCAACGTTTTTATTATCAAATCCTTCAGAATTTACATTCAGTGTCTAAGCCTTTCTATTCTAATCTTAATGATTTTATCCATTATCTCTATAAGAAATGAACGATCTTAATGGTTCTGTAATTGGAGATGGACAGATAAATGATGAATTTATTGTAGGCGGTTTTAAATCTGATGGTGTTTGCATTAGTTTCGGTAATTATGATTATGAAATTTATCGCCGTTTGACTTATTCTATTTGATTGGACTCATTATCAAAGGAAGAACTGTCGGAATTATGCATTGCTATTTTAATAAATATATTTGAAATATATTATTTCGAATAAGTTAATATTATAGAAATCTTATTACAATGAATATTAATAATAAATAAAGTTCTATACATATCCAATGTTTCAACGAATCTAGTCAATAAGTAATTATTAAAATAATAAGAAGTTTGATTTTTTTTAAATTTTTTATCCAATGAACGATGATGTTTGGAAAATCTATTAAAATATGGAAAACAATAGCATCATATTCAATTTAACTTTATATATTGATAAATTCCTTTTGACCAAATGACAAGGATTCGAAAAATTCTTTATCAATTTTCGGTTTATAATATTTTCAGAAAATTATTAATCATTAGATATTATTTTCATTATATATCAATTTCAATAGAATAAATAAGCTGAATTCTTTTAATAAATTTGCAACAAGAATAATGATTATATATAGAAATTAAACCCAATCATTCAAACTTTATTTCTTTGTAGTCTTCTTCTTATTCTATTCCAATCCACCCATATTTTTTTAATTCATTTATTCCTTAAAGTAATTAAAGATTTAATCTTGCATTTATGGAATGATTTGCTCTCTTATGATAGGATCTGTGAAACCATTCTATTTAATTTATTAAGAGTGGCATTTTTTTCATAAGTTTGACCAGTATTAAATAGAATAGGTTCATTCATAATTTCATAAGATATAACACAAGTAAATGATTAAGGTATGGGTATATCTTATAGCATCTTTTTTTATGTTGATTATTCCAGATGATTACAATCCAATTTAACATTTCTAATTTATGCTAATTCTGCAAGTATGCTTTTAAAAGATTAGACATCTATCAGTAGATATTTAAATGTTAATACTTCTTCTATCCATTTCTTAAGCAAAATCAGAAAATCCATTCGCTTTCCCTTTCCTAAATTTTAATTTATTAGAACCTTCAATTTGTTCTTTTATTAGTCGGTATTATCCTTTATACAATCATTTGCTTTATTATAAAGAGTATATTACCTTAGTCTAAGTACTGCAAGCCTTTGTGGGCCTATTTTATTAATTATTCACTTATTTCTTGATATTTCTAGACCACTAGTAAAGTTATTGTTCCATAAATAAAGTGTGCTCTAGCATTTGTTTAATCAATTTTAATTGCTTATTCCTTGTCCTATCTTGCTTCTTTATATCTATTCAAAAGTTTATATGGACTGCTCTATTTGAGTATTAAATAGAATCAGTGCCATGCAGATTCTAAATATATTTGTTATACTATAGCTTTCGTATAGCATTCAATAGCTTTTTAATAGTTTTTTTGAGAGAAAAAGTTATTGCCCTTTGCTTTTTCCTCCAAAGATTGCTGTATATTGTCTGTATACTTTGGAGTGGAATTAGGATTTATGTTACTCCAACTAATTTATTAAAGAGTAGGTTTTTTTGCTGCTTTAAAGACTTTTCTTTAGTATTAGGGGTCTTATTGTGGAAATATTTTCTGGATGTAAATTAAGAAATTATAAGGCTTCATTTGAGTGTGCTTATCCCATTATTGATTAATAAATTATCAAATTTACTTCAAAAACAAAATTAAAAAAAAGGTGAAATCAAAGAGAGCCTTTAAGTTTATTAGTATCATTTCTACTATCATAAGGATGAAAAAATTTCATTAAGTCATCATCTTTCATTTAATCAATGTATTCATTATCATTATACTCGCTTTTGTATATAGAACTAATTTTTAAGTCTTTGTTTTTAATGCTGATCTAATTTTTGGATCTATTGTTGTTTCTGAGTTATCACATAATAGATGATTAATTATATATTTAAATAAACGAATGACTGAAGTATCCTAAATTTAGAATATAAATGAAATTACTTAAGAGCTAATTTTAATCTCTTCTAAAGAACTATTTGAATTATCTTTTAAAAACTATTTGATTGCAAATAACATAATTGCTGATATTTTAGATTTAGAAATATGTCCATTGAATGGTTCCAACAATGGAAATGCAATTGATTTGATTCCCAAGGTCACTGCTAATTGGAGGCAGTTAATTATGCATTCACATTTTATCAGTATATATATTAACTCCATCTATTTATTACCTTAGACCCTCTTGAAAAGATTCGGTTTTTTAAAAATCAGTAGAACCATTAGTAGTATATGAATGTTTAGGCATCATCATCATATTATTGGTTTGAAAAGAACATTTTTTTTTTGAATTACAAATAAAGTAAAAAGAGATGAAATAGTTACTATTAAATTTGGATAATAGAGTCAGTAAACCTTTAAATCCAAGGATTTCTTCAGTTCTTGTAAAAGAACCAGTTTAAATTTGAAATTGTGTGAAGAATGAGCGTTAAGAACGACTCGAATATATAGTACACACTAAAAGATTTCTTATACTTATTTATAATTGGATAGGGAGAATTAATAGCTAAATTTGAAATAGAAAGAAAAATATTTATAGAACATATCATCACAATTTAGAAATTCGATGATAAGGATGCAACAGCATCTTATTGTAAATTATTCAGGAAAGTACCAAAGCATGAGGAAGTCAAAAGTAATTAAATTGCCTTCAAAACAGGAAGAAATATTATAATTGATTTTAAAAAAAGTAATCCATTTTGATGTTAATAAATTATGTTAAATTTGCATTGAGAAGGTTTAACAAAATTTTTTGAGGAAGGGGAAATATCAGCGGTAGAAATTAGAATTGAAATTAGGGATGAAACTTAAGTAAAAATTTTCACGTAATCCAAATGTACATACATACATACATAATCATTTATCTCTTTTTGTACATCTTTAATTTGTTGATCAAATATTGTCTTCATCTTTAGCTTATAATTACATTTTATTAACTCGAGAGCCTCAATTATTAAATCGCTTTTATGCATTTATTCTTAGTGTGAAAAGGTCATCCTCTCTTTATGTACCCTGCACATTCTGATTGGTAACAAGAATAGCTCTCTAATATTCTCTGGTATATTTGTAATTCCCTTTAAGTCTTCTCCTTTAATATTAGTTTATTTAATCAAATTGGCCTCCTTGCGTGACCTCTTTGATTAGTCCTTCAATCAATAAGATGTTCAATATTATCATAATGGAAGCTGCAATATCTTGCGATTTGGCTGTTAATCTTTGTATGAATATAACGCTGGTGAGTTTGGTGGTAGTAGCCATACCATTAAACCTAGTTTTCAGAGTTGTATCAAATTATTCTTTTCTTCTACTTCTAAATTTACATTATGCTTAAGATATATGAAAAATAAGGTTTCGTGTAATTAACCCATAACAAGAATCTGTGACCAAATTCAAGATTTTTCATTATTGCTAAGAACTGTATCTTATATTCTTTTCTCTATTTTTGCAAGATGCTCCCCTATTCTTCCTTTATATCAATTTCAACTCCAAGGTATCTGAATATTCTCACAAATGAAAATCCATTTCCTGAAAATTTTTTGGTCGAACTGATCGTCTATTTTTTCCTGCATCAAAAACATAACATATAAGCCAGTCTCATTCTACAATATAGAGGGGCACATATTATGATTATTTCGTTATGTGAATTATTATCATCTTTTCGCAAATTAATCTGATTAATTAGTGTAACATTTAAATTATCTAAGTTCAAGATCATTAATTTCTAATTAGGAACTAATAGAACAATTTTATTTATTCATATAAGCAAATTATATAGAATCATTTAGATTATTGAATATTATGAATGATATATTTGAAAAGGAGAATATTTACGAGTTTTTATAAAAAATCGAATGTATTTTATAGAAATCAACTTTTCAATAACTCTTTCATTAGAATTCAAGAAATTATTTGATTTATTCATTAATAACCTAATAATTTAAAAATCACTATTAGTAATTTCATTCTTTGCCTCTTTAGACAATTTTTTATTAAAAAAAAAATTACTTTTCTTTTCAAACCTATAATAGTTTCCCAACCGCTTTATAGCACAGTGTAAATAATTTAATCAAACTCTATCTATTATTGATGTCTTATATTTATACATTTCCTGCATGAGTATATACTACTTAACCTAAATCAAGTTTTCCACCTTCATTTAAACGCACTTATTTCTGCTCATTCATTACAGATTACAATCTATATTTTCTATTTTAAGAAGTAATAGAATAATAGAATACTTAAGTAGATCCTCCATATTTTATCCCATTTTAAGTCTTGTGCTTACTATTAGAACAATTGTGTCGACATCCTCATTAAACAATAACTTGCTATGACTTAGTTTGATTTAGCAACCAGCAGATGAAGCATGAGCAGCAATGTTAGGTTATAAACTCATTTTTGAGCTGCTTCCAAATTAAGCAGAGCCAGAGCAAAAATAGTTTTATTACCCATATTAATATTATTTAATAAATAAATTTACTAAAAAATTCTTATTTTAGGGAAGATCAGAATTCTTAATATTGAAAATTATTATGTAGAATTAACAGCTATTATTGGTTTTAATTACTTATTATTTGTATTGGATTTTTATGTTTTTGAAGATTATTGTTATATTTATTGTAAATTTAATATATTGTTCAAAGAATACTCATTCTTTTTTATACTCTTCAATTGCAAAGAAACCATCCTCAACTAAATGATCTTAATATTCTTCTAAAGATTTTATCATTCTATTTTATATTACTGATAATATACCTTTAGCCTCTCATTCTATCAAGTCTTGTATTTAAATCTTGTATTAATCTTTGCTATTCTGAGATTTATTAATCTTTAGAATTAATTGTCTCATCATTAGTTGCTTAGTCTCTTAATCTGCTATTTTCTTCTATTAATTCATTCATTCTTTTCAGCAAATCTGGATCAGATTACTAAAATATTAGAAAATATTTACATTGGCAATTGAGTTGAAAAATACTAATTCTTTTAATTAAAGATTTCTCTCTAAAACACCAATCAATTTTTCAGTTGCCATTTTTTTATGAATGAATTTGTATTAAGTTGGCTAAATTGAACTTTTTAGCATCTGTTCACCTAACTTCTAGCATTGTGAAGCAATTAAAACTAATTCAGTGAATCTTATTTTCAAATGTCTTCGGAATACTCTTTACAAAGTACTAAGAGCTACCTATTAACTATTCTTTAAAATAATTGATTCCATTTAGGATTTCGCTTAAGAATCTCGAACAGGGGTCTATTATAAGAAACTTGAATGTGATGGTTAGAATGAACTTGCATCAGTTATTCCTCTTCCAAAGTGTTCTATATTGGGTAAATGCTCTTTATCTCACTCTGTCATATGCCTTTAGCAAATTATTTATCAACTTTTTGCATTTAACTATTTATAAAGTATTTAAACTGACAGCTTTTTATGTCGTTGCGTTATCCCTCATTCTCCAAAATGCTATTTATGGAGTAATTCTTGTATTCTTTGCAATCATTTCAGCTACTCTTTAGAACCATTAATTCTACAATTTTGGTCCTCTCCAAATATCCAATGCTTCTTTAATTAATTCTCTATCTTATTTCATGTTAATGAAAAGTAATTTTTAAATTGCATTAAATACTGAAATCATATTCTTCTTAACAGCTCTTATGTTCCACCTTTAGAAATATATTCTTAATCTAATTTATGCAAAGTTTTAGAATAACAGAATTGCCTCTCTCTTTAATCTAACTTCTCTCTCTTATGCAGTCTCTTGTTTATTAGTTAGGTGTGACGATAAACGCTTCCATTCAACAAAAGCTACATTTAATTAGTTCATTTTATGTTAGTAGAATAATTAGATTGCAAGTTTCTTCTTGTCCGAAATATCGAAAGCTTCTGCTGCTTTGCTGAATTCAACAACCTTGTACCACTTCAAAAATGCTTTCTTTTAAGCACTCATACAATTATACAACATTTTATTTATTGCATATTTTTATTTTGCCTATCCATCTAAGTAAATATTATATAATTAATTATAAGCTGACTTTCTCACCATATGAATTTTGAATCGATTTAGAGATTTTTCAAATATACTAGCTTTCATTTGGTCTAATGCTTTAGTTTCTGGTAGAGCTTTCCATTTTTAAAAGGATACCTCAATCTACCCTACAAATGTATGCAATAATTATATTTATATTTTCTTTATTAATGCTTGCTTTTACCTCTCTTTTGAAAACTTTCTCAAAATATCTCTTAATTTTCCTTAATCATTTGTTCTTAAATTTCTATGGAGTGCAAATAGTAACAACTTTTTCTTTTCATCATCCAATTAAGATTAAATCTTAGCTTATTTAGCTTAATTATTCCAATGAACAAATGCCCATCTTAAAGTATTATTATAATTTAATAACATTTTATTCAAGACACTTTCTTATTATTTATTTGGCTTAAATATTGACTAGACATGTCCAGCTAGAGTGAATGCAAGTGTTTAAAATAGATTTGTAGTATATTTACATGTTTCGATTGACTTATGTAATCTATTTATATCTCTCCAATACAAGAATAATCGTTTATTTTAACCCATAGCAAGAGTCATTAATTTTCTTAAACAATACAACTTTTTGCTATTTCCTTCTTAATAAACATCCTTTAATGGTTCAAATGATGCTTTTACTCTACCTCTAAAAAGTAAATCTAATGTTCTTTCAAATTTTCTAGCATTTTTCATTTACTCAGTATTGACTGGTTCTGGTAAGTTCTTCCATTTTTAGAAAGCCTTTATGGCACCGCCAAATTAAGTTGCAAATAATTTAGCAAAGAATCTATCTTAGACTGCAGTTATGCTTGAGTTTCTTCTGAACTTAGCAAGAATAGCTCTCAATCTTGCAAAATCATTATTCTTTGAGAAATTATTGATTGCTTCTAAGAGTAATTTCTTTTTTTCATCAGTCATTGCTCCTTGTAATTTTTCTAGTTTTCCATCATTATACCACTTCATGAAGAAATATCTTAAATTACTATCAAAGTTTCCAATAAGTCTGAGCAATGCCTTTTCTTTCTTTTATGATTCTTCATCCGGCTTTAATGGAGCAATATTATTCTTGATATGTACACCAATAAATCCAAACAATCCGATGACACATTTGCATCTCTCAACTTCTTTCATTAAGCCAACGTTCTTATTCCATTAATCCAATGCTCTTTATTATTCAGATTCTTATGTCTTGATCATCAAAATAATAGCTCTCTTCTTCAAAGCTTATGCATCGTCATAAACTTCTTAAAGAGGATTCCAAGTTCTTTTTCTCCAAATATGTAAGGTAAATTTATTTAATTAAGTTTCAAATCTACTTGCTTTGATTAAGTCATCAGGATTAGCCTCAGGGAGATTTCTTCCATTTATTAAATGTATCCCAAACAGCTCCGATTTGAGTTCTTAATATTCTTGCATTAATTTAAAGAACTAGTTTCTCCTTCTTATGGGCTAAAGAGAATTTAGCTAGAATTTATCTATATAGGGCAAATTTATTTCCATTTTCAAACTGAACCAATTATTCAGTCAATTATTTCTTCTTTTCAATAGTTAAAGCATCCTCAAAGTTTTAGTTCATTCTTTCTTATTAAGCTCTATTTCTCCACAAAAAGAATGCTCTGCTTAAGTTTTCTGCTTAACCTTAGAAGATTAAAATGAAGAGCCTTTTCTTTAGCTTAAGCTTCACGAGGATTTTGCATTATTGGTTGAACATTGGCAGTCACAATTTATGCTAATCCTACAAACAATGCAGTAGTCAATCTACAAACTTCAATTTGCTTAGCTTATCTATTTTATTGAGCCCAAAGCAAGAACAATCTCTTGTGTGCACTCATACTTTTTTCAAACAATTTTCTTAAGCACATTCTCTTGATGTTCAAAGCATCCATATAGTCTTCTTTTAATGGATCAAATGAGACTTTTAGGTGAGAACGGAAAAGAATGTCCAGAGTTCTCTCGAACTTTCTTGCATTCTTTAATTATTCAGTATTGACTGGTTCTGGTAAGTTCTTCCATTTTTAGAAAGCCTTTATGGCACCGCCAAATTAAGTTGCAAATAATTTAGCAAAGAATCTATCTTAGACTGCAGTTATGCTTGAGTTTCTTCTGAACTTAGCAAGAATAGCTCTCAATCTTGCAAAATCATTATTCTTTGAGAAATTATTGATTGCTTCTAAGAGTAATTTCTTTTTTTCATCAGTCATTGCTCCTTATAATTTTTCTAGTTTTCCATCATTATACCACTTCATGAAGAAATATCTTAAATTACTATCAAAGTTTCCAATAAGTCTGAGCAATGCCTTTTCTTTCTTTTATGATTCTTCATCTGGCTTTAATGGAGCGATATTATTTTTGATATGTGATCCTAATAATCCAAACAAGCTTATAACAACCTTACATCTCTCAACTTCTCTAATCAACGAAACATTTTTGTTCCATTAATCAAGTGTTCTTTATTATTCTGATTCTTAAGTCTTTATCATTAGCAATACTGCTCTTTTTTTAATGGCCAAACCATCATCATAAACTTCCTATAAAGGATTCCATGAGTGTTTTTTCAATATATGAAACACAAACTTACTTAAGGATTTTTCAAACTTAGTGGCTTGAACTTTTAGATCATTATTATTCTCTTCGGGTAATTACTTCCATCTATTAAATGAAAGCCAAACTTAAGAAATTGTATTTCTGTTTATTATAACCATAGCTTTTCTTTTAAGATTATGTTCAATTGCATTTTAATTAAATCTTCTCAATACTTCGGTTAAAGCAAAAAATTTGACTTTTGATCCTGCATTAATCCATCCAATTAGTTTTTACTTGACAATCTAATCATTTAATGTTACATTAAGTTATGAGAACTTATCAAACATTTTCATTTCCCAAGCTTTTCGATGCCACAATAAAAATGCTTTTTTTAAATCACTTTGGGTTATTGCGATTATTTTATTGATGCAAAATTTCTTTTTAGCTTATCCATCTAATAAATTATTTTCTAGTTAGTCCCAAGAGTTTAACTTTACAAATCTGTAAGCAATTTTACCAAGAGAAATGGCAAATTTACTTACTTTAGCCTAATTTTTCAATGCATCATCTCCAGGTAAGGATTTCCATTTCTAAAATGATAACTCAACTTATCCTATTTGAGTTTGAAGCACTCTTAAATGAATTTTCTTAATCAATTGATTTACTTGTTATTCATTATAAAAGAGTCTTAAAATTCTTCTTAATCTATTTAAGTTATCATTTTTTATGAATCTCTATAGATTAAGTAACATATACTTTTTTTTCTCATCTCCCAAGTTTTCTGATATTTTTTATTATTTATTATAATTTTTCCATTTTAAAAATGCTATCATCAAATTATTTGTAAATGAAGACATTAATTTGACCAAACACTTTTCCTTAACTTCCGCATCCTTTCTTGTGTATAAAAATGCTTTTATATTGTTTTTTAGGACATCCTACAATGAATCAAAAAAGTTATTAGTTTTTTGGCAAGCTATTACAGATTTATAAATTTTGTTCATGGATTGCCATTAACGCAAAAATCTTTATGGAGCACTTAATTATTTAACCAACATTTATTTAATACACAATCTTTTAGATTAGATGCCTTAATAATAAACCTCTTTTAATGGATCAAATGATTATTTTACTCTTTATTTAAAAAGGAATTAAAGTCTTAGTTAAAATTTTGAAACATTTTGGAGCATTTATTATTCAGCTGGATCAGGCAATTATTTCCACCTACGAAAAGCATCCATTGCCATTCCACTCGTGGTTGAAATAATTCTAACAAAGTATTTGTTTTTAATTTCCTGCTATTCTCTCAATAAAGCAAATTTTCTTAAAACTTATCTTAGCAAACCTTTTTCTGTTTTATTAGCAGTATCCCCCAGTCTTGAGATAATCTCTTGTTTGTTTACGTTATCTAATTTCTCTTGCATTTTCTTTTGCATTGAAACGTTTTCAATTTATCTCATAGCATCAATCTTTTATCTTTGTTAGATTTTTAAGATCAGCTTATTTAGAAATGAACATATTTCAGCTTTTTTACTCAATCCAAATAATTTAAAAGTTTCAAATTTTACTAATTATTAAGTTACATTTGCACTAGCTTACAGAGCTTTAATTTTTCTTAAGTTAGTTTCAGTTAATTTTGCATAGGTATTATAATTTGCCCATTTATAGAAGGCTGTATATGATTGATTGAAAGTAACTTCAATTAATTCTCTAATGACTTTTGTCTTCTTATTTTTAGCATCATCATCAATGGCCTTAAAGCTATTCCAAACCAATCGTTTATTCTGATCAGCTTTATTTGTTAATTTTGTTATCAATAACATCCCTTACTTTTTCATATCATTTTCTCTTTTGTCAGGGAGATCAACCCATCTAGTATAGCATCTCTATAATCTACCAAACGTTGTCTTTAACAGTACAGAGAAAAACTTTTTTTTGAGTCTAAAATTCATTAAATCACCTCTCCACTTTTCAAAAGCCTAATAATAATTTGATATATTTTATACCTCTTTAAGTCTTTATCTATCTAATCTATCATTTCTCATGTTGTATTCATCTCCCAATCTCTCAAGAGCTTTCAATTATTTTTATAATTTATCTGATTTTACCTTAGAATACAGTCTCCACCAATTGAATTTTTCTCTTAAATATCTCTCTCTATGTTTAGAACTTATGCTCCATAAAAGCAAACCCAACATTTTGTCTGAATCTTAATTTTTTGGTTTCAAAGCAGCCACTGCAGCAGTTTTTAATTAAAATTCTTTCTTTTAAAGGAAAAGTGCCAAGTTCATCAAACACATATTTTTTCTTTTCTTGGCATTCATTTTTTTTTGAAGATCTTTTTATCTAAAATTCAATATTCATTTTTACCCTAAAAGATTTTTTAGCTTGTGAAAAGCATTGAATTCATTTAATCTGGAATTGAGAAGAATTTAATCAACTGCTTTCTTAACGATTTCAGGATCGGCCCGTACTTTCCATCTTACTGATAATTTATCATTTTACCTTAAAAATGCCTCATGGAGGGAGGTATGGCTCTCATATCTCAATAGCTAAGACACAATCTTTCCTTTAATTTTTTTGGATATTTTAGAGACATCTATTTTTTTCTCGATCATGGCTCTTCTCATTCTATTAAGATTATTAGAGAAAGAAATACCTCAGCATGGCTCTATGGAGATTGTGTTGACCATTCAAATTTCCCATATTGAATATGTGACTGAGTAATTTACGATTCTCCTGTAACAATTCCAATTTTTAAGGTGTCAACACATTTTTTTATTATTATTTGTTCTTCTGCCTATAAAATATTAGATATAAGCTTACAATTAACCTGGAGGCATATTTAGAAGAATGAAAATAAATTATATTAATAATATAGATTTAAATAGATACTTTTTTTCGTTTTATTTCCATACAAATAATAAATAAATAAAATATCTAAACATAATAAATATTTTTAAAACTCTTATCAGAACACAACCATTCGGTAATATTTTATTTAATCTAAGCACTTCTAATTTATTGGTTTCTTCTTATAACCCTACATTATTACTGTTTTTAATATGAAGATTAACTAATAAATTGAGTAATTTTTTCTTTTTAATTAATAAAATAGTGATTAATTAAAAATAAAATACAATAATATATAAAAAATACACTTGGATGGAATGATTTACAGATGTTAATAATTTTGATCATTTCAAAATCAAAATTTAATAGATGATAACTTTTCATTTTCTCCAATCATCAAAATTTCATTATAATTGATAAATATCAAAAGTTATTGATAATTTACAAATTTTCTTTCCGTTTCCAAAAATTATGCAATATAGTTATTGAAATGCATTATTATACATTTTTAATTTAGTTGTTATTAGAGTTACTTAGTAATCTTGTTTGTATTCTTAGTTAAGCTTAATTTTTTTTCAAAACTATTGTCAAGAATAATAAATCTTCGTGCTTTCGTAATAAGAATATTTTATTGAATAAAAATAAGCAGAACAGAGCTAAAATTTTATTCAACCTAATAATTCAATTTAGTAAATAAGTTGGAATTTATTTAGTTATACCAACATTTTCCTCTATTTCTATATTATAGCAAGCTATAAAATTATTACCATCTAAATCATTTTTCACACTGATATGAATTCAATCTCTATCATTGATTAGTTACCAAATTAAGATGTTAGCTTTATATGGATATGTATTTAACATTTTTGTGAGATCAATTCAATTGTTCCTTAATAATAAAATTCTAGATTTTTCTGGTAAATATTATTGTAAATTAATAGTGAGTATTCTTAAAAAATTTAAACAGGAGTTTGGATGGGTTTATCAAAAGCAATTTCTAAAAATTTTTGTAATTTATTTGCTCTTGCTTTAATATATATTGTTATTGAAAGTATGAAATCAAAAATGATAATGCATGAATTATCGAATCTGAAAGATTTTTTTGCTGTTATTACTTTTAGTTTACTCTTTTCTATTCATAAAAGCAAAAATGATATTGTTTGATAATTTTTATAAATCATTATCAATTTCTTGTGAAATTAAATCATATTAAATAAAAAAGAATTTTTAAAATTATATGCATGAAATCCATTTTTTAAGTTTTAGAAGTGAAAAGTATTTAATATAAAGGTTTCAAATCTTTAATTTAGTTTCCCCTTTTTTCTTTACTTTACATCCATATTACAATTTTTCCTTAAATAATTGCGAAATTCTGATCAATCATTCTTAGATAAACATCATTAATTTCAAGTTTTATTATTTTCTGTCTTATATATTGTAATTTGCCATAAAAAAATTGTTAAATTTGAAGCACAAATTGAGAAAAAGTTATTAAATTCTAAATTAACATTGAATATTTTAATAATATTGATTAAATAAATCATTATGGCTGCTCTTATTACTTGAGCAATTTAAAGTAATCATTACACAATTCTAAACCCTAAGCAAGCTTGTTCTCAATAATTTATGAAGATTTCTTAGAATTTGATTTTCTTGTATCGTCAATATGCTTCTTGGTTTTTTAAGCATAAGTACAATCATCAAATAACAATTATACGTCTTAATATTATTCCTAAAATAAATGGAATTTAAACCTTTATTGAATTGCTAGAGGAAATTTTAATATTAACATTTAATTTTCTTGGTTCTCCTCTATCTATCATTGCTTCCACATCCTTTATTTTAGCATGATATATAATGTGAGCCCATTCTTTTTTAACTATTTATGTTTCCATGATGATAAAGTTTTCGTCATCCTCCATCCAAAAGCTAATTTAAGTTGTTTAATTACCATTCTCCAGAAGTACAAGCCTAAAGTTTATCTTTAATTGTCTTAGCTGAGATCCGACATGATAATAATTAACAACCATCAGGTGGTTCATAGTTTTACCCAATTATCCAAGAGTTTGTAATATTTATTTTTTATAAGATTTATGAATTTCCATTTTAATTGATTTTCTCCTGACTTATGATCTAAAAGCTATGGATATTATTTTTAATTACAACACAAGATCTATCATAAAAAAAATAGCTAAGTCCTTGATCGCAATTTCTTTTAACCCAACAGGTTGTCTGTACATTATATCTACATTACCATCATATTTGTCTATTATAGGAGAGAATGCTAAGTAATCTAAGTTAGGTTTCAGAATTTTTAGATTTAAACTAATTTATAATTAAAAATAGCTAACTTGTATTTGTTATATATTATTTCATATTATGAAACAACTACTTCGTGGTATTAGTTTTACTTAATCATCTAACTCATTTTAATTATAGTATAATTATAGACTTCATATAATTTATTAATTGTTTCTCTTTCTAAAATAAGCTTATCTAAATTTATAAAATGAATAATTATTTAGCATGTCAATATTATAGTGCATAATCTAAGTGATGGATCTATCAAAAATATGTCTAATAGTTAATATATTATTTGATTTCTTTCTTTGATTATGATATTCGTGTTGGCCTCTTAAAATAAACAAATTCTTAAAATATCTTTGTCCTTAAACAATAAAACTGATTTTATTAAATTTAATAATAAAAAGAGTAGATTATCATCTTTTGTTTGTAAATAAATCATTAAATTATTTCTAATTTTGTTTTGGGACATTTCTTCTTATCCATTGTTTAATAATAATTATTTACAATAGAATAATACATGATCATTATCAGTAATGCCCAAAACTCTATTTATTAATTCAATTTCTGTATCGCAAGCTTCCTCTTTCTGTGCATAAGTTTGTATATCAAATAATTGATTTGCTTAACTTACCAATACATCTTAATGTTAATCCCAAAAATTTTTAAAACTCCATGAGTATAAATAAGATCGTGGTTATCCGACATTAAATTCTAGTAAATGACAGAGTTTCTTTTACAAAGAAGGACTGAACAACAGTAAAAGAATATTTTTTGATAAATTTGTTGTATTAAAGTTATTGATTAAATGAGTTGTAAGATGCAATGTAAAAGAAATCGATAAGGTTTCTTTTTTCTAAAATAAAATGCCTCCTAGCATTGCTGGAATTACTGTGTAGGTTAATAATGAATTGTCTAAGATCTAATATTTGTATAATCAATTATTATACATTTGAGATTTCTGGGCAAAATGCATAAATGTCATTCAGAAAATAAAATACATCTACTAAGTCATCCATTTTCTCTTTAACATCAACATTTCCTTCTAGAACTTCTTTGTTTGCCTCAAGCCATACATGCTTCAAATAACAAGAGAAGTGAACAAAAAATAATATAAATGGGAATCTTGTCAAATATTTTTTTAATACAGGGTTTTATACTAGTTAGATAAGATAATTTTATACTTTTCATTATTCCAAGTATTATAGTTCTTACTGCAGTTCTAACCATGATTTCTTTGTGATTATAAAATTTTGTTGCTTACCACAATAATGGAAAGACACTCATTCTTTAGTTGAAAAATAATTGTACATTATCTACATCTATTCTCAAAGCCAAGCTTTTTAATAATGAGATATAATAATCAACAATTTCTTCATCAGTGAAATCATAATTATACATTATTAAATCCTAAATGACTGGATGAGACAGAAGATAATTTACATTTTCTTTATTTGTCAAATTAGCTCTAATTGATACGAATAATAAATTACAATAAAATAGCAAAACTTTAAATTATTCCAATAATAATTTCTTTGAAGCTTGACCTTTACATTATCTTTAATAATTTCTCGGCAATGTTTTCTTCAAAAAAATAACTAGTTTAATTAATAAGGAATACTCAAAAAAATCTGAATTGTTTTAATCTCCCCAAATTGAAAATTCACAAATTAATTCCACTTTTTCACAAATTAACTACTTACTTTTGTTATCAATGATATTTGAATATTGAAGTAATTCTTGATAATGTTACTTATATTATTCTAATGTGTATTCAGAAGAGCCATTTTACTTTTTATTACCCTTGTTCATTAGAAATAAAATAAATATTTATATAAATATATTATTAATGTATTCCATATCAATATAGTATATTTTTTCAGATTACATTTTTCCTCATCTTTCCTAAATAGAAGACTGATTTTTTCGCATTTTTCTTTGGTCGACAAGCAATGCTCCTCCACCTAAAAATAATGAAAAATTTTGAGATTATGATTCATCTTTATTTTAACTATGCTTAATTAAAAAGATATTATAATTTTTCTCAAGTGTTTTAGTACTTCTATAAAAATATAAAGCAAATTGTGTAAAGATTTCAAGTAATAAAATCGATATTATTTTATTTCTAGAATTTCTAAAGGCCACATTTAAAATAGAAATGAACATGTATCATGTTATAAGGTTGTTATGTTACAATTTTTATTGTAATATTTATTCTTGAACTATTTCAATTAATTCAATTATTTGATGATTTTATTGTGTTTATTCATGTTAATGAAGAAATGAATTTCTTAACTTTGGTTATTAAGAAAGTTTTCAGAATATTTCTTAATGATTTTCATGCTCTATCTAAAGTTTAAGATTATTTGTTATTTCTAATTAATAGTTATTAAAATTACAAATATATAGGTTTTATATTAATTTTCCATTTTAACTCCTTTTCTTTTTGATAGAATTTGTAAACTAACAATAGTTTCGGATATTACTTAGATTATATAGACTTTCACTTCAACCATTCTCTCTTTATTAATCGACTCTATAAATAGTGTAATATGCAAATTAAAAAATATAAATTTATTATTTGATATGAAATAAATAATAATATATCAAATTATCGTTTCAGTTTTGTTTTTTAGGGATAGAATCAGGAATGATATTAACTTAAATTAAATTGAGTATCTTTACCTGCAGTTAATGAGAATATTTCATAAATATATAAAATATTATATATTATCAAAAGATGAATGAAAAAATCGATCATCATTTAGAGATGCAGGAGACAAATTATATGCTGCTTTAGTAATTTGAAAAAGCGACTGAATTGCAAGAACAGGAAACCCAAAATAGATATTATGATCATTCAGATCTATCTTCGCCAACAAGGTAGTCAAAGAAAAAAGAAAGAATAGTGGAATAATTATTAGCAAATAGGGCAAGATTTAATGATAGAACAGCATTATTTAATTTAGTCAATACTTTACAATTGGTAAATGATTCGACTAAGTTTTAGGCTATAACTCTATACAATTTAAGCTCAATTATTAATATAGAAGGATAATCAAATTTAAAATTTTATGACACTACTTAAATCTATAGCTTTTACGTTTGGAATTAGCAAGGATCATTACACGTTTATTACTTAATTATCATTTATAATAATGGTTCATATTTTAAAATTATTAACGTGTTTGGTGGGTACTAATTAAATTTATAGAATTAGGTTATTTTTGTGTTGTATAAAAAAGTGAAAAATTGTTATCAATTTTTATGATGTTAACTTTCACCTGTGTAATAACTAGAGGCATTATAACTATATTATTAATAATTGATTATAGTTAAATAGAACTAACCTAATCTTATATATATGGAGATTCTGATTAAGTAGCTTAATCTTAAGCTGTACAATTCACGATAGTTTTGATTCTGTTTGTCCGCAGTTGAAATTATTATGGGGTTGTAAAGCCTCTTATTGGCAGGATAAGCTAAGAAAAAATATAAATGTATAATAATTCGTTTATATTTATCAAGCTATGCGAATTAATGAAAAGAAAATTGCTGCTCATTACTCAATAGCATATTAGATTATGTTAAGATAATTTATAATTTGATTTTGTATAATAAATATAAAGATTTATGAAATTTTTAATAATGATAAACTAATAATATTTGTATAAACAAGCATTATCGAGCTATTTTTTCGATTGATCTTAACGATGTGAAGATTTTTTAACATTAAATTAATAAGGTTTATTTATACCTGATTCTACTATATTTAAATTGAAAATTCCACTTAAAAGTAATTTGTAATTGATTACTTAATTTTCGCTATTTAAATTATAAGATTAGAAGGATTTTTTGATATCAATCTATGTGTTTTTGACAAAAAAATTACCCCCCACCAGCCCTAAACTTATCACAGAATCAAAAATACAATAATCCTCATAAACATCATCTGAAAGTATTTTTTGGTTTTCGTCTTTAAATTAAATTTGAAATTTGTTTAGAATGAATACTTCAATTTAGTTTATTTTACTAGCTTTTAATTCTTTATAAAGATTTTAATCATCTGTTAAAATATTTTTATTTAATTGAATTTATATCCTTGCCTCATTATTTTCTTTTAAAAATGTTTTCTATATTTTCTCGCGTAATTAAATTACAGTTTCTTCAGTTGAGGCTTGCATTTTTAGGGTTTATTAAATTGGAGAAATTAATATTTCATAAGGAATTATGTTTTTAAACTCAAAAAATATATTCAGAGATTACAATTCAAGATCCATTATTGATTTAGATTAATTAAAAGAATCATTTAAAAATATGGAATAATCCTCAGGTATTTAATGGTTTTTTTTAAGATTTTCTTCTATTTGCTTTAAAGAAATTGTTATTGAGACATTCTGAGAATACTCCTTATTTAAGTATTTGAATCGAAACAGATAGTTCCCATCACAAGTTACAATATTTTTCATTATTTACCTTTTTTTCGATACTATAAACTCTAGATTGATTTCAGTTTCCTTACCTTAAACTAAATCTTAAATGGTAGTATTTTCTTTAACCTATTATCCTTTATAAAAATATTAAATAAAAAGATTATCTTATAGATGTATAAGTTAATCTAAAGCATTAATAGATTATATGGATGAGAAATTCTTGACGTATATTTAAGATGGGTTTCTTTAATTTACAAGTGTGATTATAATATCAGATATATGGGTTTTATAATTTAGATTTTAATTTGTTATTACAATTGTGCTATTATTTAATATCATTTCATCTACAATCAAAGCTTAATGATTTAATGTCATTTTTCCATACTATAAATGAAGAACCAAATCATCGATAATATTAAATTCTCTTTTGATCAAATCACATAAAGTACTTACTTTTTAATTTGAATTAATCTTAATCTTCTTTTAGATGCCATCACTCAATTAAATCAAATATTATGGTTCCTCTACAATTTCTATTTACACATCATAGATATTAGGATATAATTAATATAATTCAAGATCGTGATCAATAGTTTTATTCAAGGATTTTAATTAGATGATATTATTAATTTATTTTTTGCCTCTTATATAAGCGATTAATTTATGAATCTTCCAAGTAGATGGTAAAAACTCTTTAAATATTAGATGTTTAAGTGTGAAACTTACAGGCAATAAAATCTAAATAGAAACTTAACTATTATTAGATATTCCAGTTTAAAACCACATAGTGTCTAATTTATGAGGCCCACTTTTGCATAAAATATTGATTAAATGATCTTTGTATGGTTTTTTGAATTTAGGTTTAAATTAATTCTCATAGTCTGCTATTTTGTCTATATAATCGACTTGTAGAGTAAAATTTAAATTTTCACAAATACAATTGATCTGCAACTATTAGGAATAATAAAATTAAAGTTATTCTAAATTCTGATTTTCTTATGCTAGAATTTCTAGGATTGATTTATCGATATCAAGTTCTTTATTTTTGAGCATTAATTTAAGATTTACAGTTGAAATTATATTTTGAGGGAATAATTTCTAATAGATTTCCTAGCAATTTTGTCTTATAGTTAATAAGGTATTGCATTCAATAATTTTAATTTGATTCAATTGCGGAATTTCAATGGGTAACTAAATCATCAATAGGAGGAAATAATTATTTAATGATAGAAAGATTAATATTTATTGTAGAAATAAATTGTTTGTTAGTATATACAAATGGATCCATTCAGAAGAAAAAGAAAATAATTAGAAAATAAATTTTATATATTGAATAATCTAATTAGGAGAAATGATAGTGGAAAACAATGATATTTTAGAAAACCCAAGTTTACATTTCGGTTCATGTAAATATTGAAGTAGAAACATATCTCATGATTATTGATAGAAGAAAATTCTCTAAAAAAAAGGGTTTTAACAATTCTCAATATTTATATATGATAGAAAAATAATTGGATTTATGTAATGCAACAGCAGCAATTGAAAAACAATAATTCGATTTGGTTTTATGATAATAAAAAAATGTAGTTTGGATTTGTAATTAAGTATTTTTCGAAAAACCATAGAGAATAATTAAAATTTCAGTTAACAATTAGAGGAAAAGATTATTAGATATGAGATTATTCTTTTTTTTGATGCAACAGTTATCCTATATTTTGATAGTAAGAAGATCTTTAAATCTTTGATGTTATAATTTAATACCATTATGAATAAGTCTTAATTATATTCCTCTCATTTTGATTGATATAAATATTACAATTTACTTTATAAATGTAATCTAATTGATGAAGGATATTATGAAGTAATGTAAGCATTTTTAAACGAAGAATTAACTTATGAAAATACAATTACAAAAAGAATGTGGATCTTCTAATAATATCTTGATATAAATTTAATTAGAAGATATATGAATAAAAAGCTCAAATTTGTAATTAAGGGCTTTATATTGAAATTTCAATAAATGAGAGAAAAGTTTTATTATATTTTGTAGTTAATGTTATTTCAACATCAGATCTTCTAATTAAGAAGAACGATGGAAAATATATGGCAATTAAATAATCTTTCCAGTTACTTAATTATATATGACAAAAATGTGTTCAATAACGAAATGAAATTGGTTAATCTAAAAGTTTACAACATTTTTTATGTTAATCTCTATTTTACTGTTTTTTATTATTTTATATGTCTTCTAATAAAAATTTAGAGTAATCTCCAGAATCACAAAGTGTTAGAAATTCAATTCGTCACTAATCGTTAAATTAGAGTGTACATGAATTCTCTGGATACAAAGAAAAAATGTAAGATCTAATGTTACCCAATGTTGAATTTGTGGATCCATAAAATTTTAAGAAATAAAATGAATGCATAGTTTGTAGCATTGAATTTACCTAGACTAATAGATAGCATCATTGTAGGTAATAATCTTATTGATATTGCTATTTTAGAATGTGTGGAAATTCATGTTGCGGAGTATGTTCACAAAAGACAATCAATAAGAATAGAGTTTGTGATATTTGCTATATGAAAGCATCTCAAATAACTGCTGAAAAAAAGAGGACCAAATTTTTACAAACCTTAAAGGAATCTGCAAAAAAATTAAGAAAACATATAGAATAAGCAGAAAAGAAGAAATAAGAATTATAAGAGGAACGAGATGCTCAAAAGGATAAATCACAGATTGATTTAAAGGTAATAGAAAAAGAAACAGAAGATTATAGATTGAAGTATTCTCAAAAAACATAGGATAAGTGTTTATATGAACAAGAAGTTGAAGAAATAAAAATGAAAATATCTGAACTTAATTCGCTTAAAGAATAAATCTAATAGGAGTATTAGGAAAAGGAATAAGAAATAAGAGCCTATGATACTAATTTATATTTAAGGGATCAAGAATTGAATGATAAAAAGACCTAATTATAAAGGTTAAGATAATAAAAAGAAGAATTAGAAAATATGTCTAATCGAATTGAATAAAACCCAGAATTAGCTGAAGAAATTAATATTCCGGAGCCTATTTAGCCTATATTATAAGAATAGTCATAATAATAATGGTATAACACTAACATTGATATTGATGAAATTATGTATGGAAATACTGATAATTCTAAGGATTCAACAACATTAATTAAGCAAGAATAGCCACAATAGCAGCCTAAGAAATAAGAAGTTAAAAAACCAAATAAACCAAATAAACCAAAGGAAAATGATGAAACTGAAGATGAAGATAAATATAAATGCATTATTTTCTGATTTACAATATTAAGTGAATATCACTAACTATCTAATAATTATTATATCATTCCAATGGTTTTTTGAATCTAATCTTTAGCATTTTAATATTTTTTAAAATCTATTTCAGATATAGCTTATTGCAAAACAGTTTTAGCTTAGTTTCTTGTTTAAACTTATTCAATTGATGTTAATTTAATAGTTTCTGCCTTTCCTTATTAAACTAAAAATAATTAAATTAGCAATACTTTATGTTTGTTGTTAAGGTTATTGTTATTATTATTAATATTGGTGTTATTAGTTTTATTATTATTATTACTACTATTATTATTACTATTATAGTAATTATTATTACTATTATTACTATTATAATTATAATTACTATTATTAATATTATTACTATTGTTACTATTGTTATTATTACTATTGTTATTATGGTAAAGGTTAGGGATTTTAACTTTAAGGTGCTACAGGTTAGATTGGTTGTTAAATAATTGCTGATTTATCTTATTATTATTATTATTATTATTATTATTATTATTGAACTTAATTCTACGATTGATGCTGTGACATTTAAATTTATTATTGTGCAATTTATTCAAGCTCCTCTTCAATTGGATCTTTGGGTTTTGGTTTGATCAAGGAAGGATCCTTGATTTTTTTATGTTATTCAACCATCTTGAATTTTGCATACTTAACTAGAGAATTAAAGTAAAAGATTACGCTTTTCTTATTGATCTTAAGTCAATGGTTCGAAGTATTGGAGTACTTCAATGGACTTTTGGACTGATCCAAACATATGGAGGAGTTCTTATGAAACTTCTCCATCCCTTTCTCTGGTATCTGCATCATAAAAGAACTTGTAAACAAACTCTGTATAATGTTTTTTATTCTCTTCTTTATTCTACAACTAGGGATTCTGTGCCTTTAAACCTTCCAACTCAGTTATTAATTATTAGAGCATCTGTAAGTAGCTCTAAAAAGAGATAAATGGAATTATACTTATTGCTGGGTTTTTTTGTAGAGTGCATGCAATTTTTAGGCAACATAGGCTTTGGCAATATAGGCAAAAGTAATATTGAAAGTACTAAGTTGCTGAGAGTGATGGAGTAGAGCTTGTATTTGCTTGAATTCTGGATTTGATTGCATGTCTAAATTATTAATATATATATTAATATGTATTGTGGGGAGAGAGTAATAATAATTTTAAAAAAGAAATGGACGAAGATTAGAAAGACTAGAATAGCGAGATTTAGATGAAGCGGGCAGACTCTCAGGCAGGGGTGCTAGAAATGCAACCACCTTAGATAGGTGTAGAGCAAACATCTTAGCAAGTGCCAGAGGCGGATCAGGAAGATGATGATTGTAAGATTGATTTTGATATTTTAAATTAGAGGTCGTATAGACTTAAGTCGTGTAAGGGGATTAGTAGGTGGTTTAAAAGAGTGGGGCTCAGAATGGAATGAATTCTCAATCCAACATCCATTAATCAGCAATAATAAATAAACATGTTTAAGACATGTTGGATTAATCAGTTTATTAAGTTCCAAAGAATGATGAAGTAGATCCACCTAAGGAGGATGCACCAAATCCTATTTTAGATTTGATACCTGAAGATTACTACCCTCCGGATGACTGGCAACCTGAGAATCAGGATTAGACACCGCCTTTGATTCATCCAGACACAATTTAATTCCATGATTGCTTCGGAATGGATTCAAATAAGAAAAGCAATTTGTGGTTGATAGATTCATAAACTTTTGTGTATGCAAGTAGTATCAGTTACCATTTTTATAATTTTGTATAAGGAACCAATGAAATATTTTTCAGTAGAGACGGGGGTGGTATAGGTAGTGTTGCAGTTCACCCGTCAAGAAAATATTATTCAGTAGCAGAGAAAGGATCATTTCCTAATGTTTACATCTATGATGCTTCTCATAAATTATACAGAATATTGATGAAGGGAACTGAAAGATCATATTCCAATTCGAATTTTTCCAAGGATGGTGATAAGTTTGCAACTGTCGGTTCCTCTCCTGATTACTAAATCTGCATTTGGGACTGGAGACAAGAGAAAATACTCTTGAAGGCAAAAGCATTTTCATAGGAAGTGTATAAAGTAGGATTTTCTGAATACAATGTAAATCAATTGGCTACAAGTGGTATGGGTCATATCAAATTTTGGAAGGTGGCAGAGACCTTTACAGGACTTAAATTAAAGGGTGAAATTGCAAAATTTGGTTAAGTAGAGTTATCTGATGTGTATGCTTTTTATCCATTCCCTGATGGAAAAGTATTGAGTGGAACTGAATATGGTCGTTTAATTCTTTGGGAAGGAAATGTAATCAAAGTGGTCATAGGAATTTCAGAGGAGGAACCATGCCATAAAGGAGCCATCGAATCCATATTCTTATACAAAGATTGTATCATAAGTGGTGGAAAGGATGGATTTCTACGATCTTGGAAGTTAACTGAATTGGATCAAGCTGAAGGAGATGATTAACTCAATTATTACACTCAACCTATAAAATCCTTAGAATTGGTTGATGATGGAGAAAATGCACAAATTATTTAGGTTGTCACTGATGAACATTTTTGGTTGATTGGTGATCAAGGAGGTAGAGTTTGGAGAGTTGATTGGGAAACTGGAAAGAAAGAGATAGTATATAGAAACAACTCTGGTGCCTATTTGGATCTTGCACCTTCTCCTTAGTTGAATGCTGCCATAACTGTTGGAGATGATGGAGCCATTACTTTGTGGGATTATGTTAAGAGTGAATAGACATACAAACGTAAATTTGCTAAGAAAGCTACTTGCATCTAATGGATGCCCTTTACTATGACTAATAAGGGTAGAGTTGTTGTTGTTGGATACAGTAATGGAATAGTTCGATTCTTATTGCTCAATTAAGATACCTTTGTGTTATTGAATGTCTAAAAAGTTCATCCACATCCTATTTAAAAAATAATTGTCGCTAGCAACACCAATTATGTAGCTGTGTTATCCACAAAGGGTGAGATATTCTTTCTTAAATACTCCGATTCCAATATTCAAGACATATAAGCCTACTGTTTATGGGAAACAAAATTGAGTATCAATGATTTCTGTTTTGATAAAACTGGAACTAAAGTTTTGATGGCTTGCAAGGATGGTTATCTTTATGAGGCTATTGTACCAAGTGATGTCGATAATAGTGAAAATTATCTTTAAGAATTTAATGCTAATAAATATTTAGTGAGAATGATGGAATCTTAAAAACCCAAGAAGGAGGATCTTGATTTATAGTTCCTAATGAAACTGAAGGATGACAAAATGCCAGATGTTGAGTGGGATCCTGCAAGCATCATGAATGTCGTTTATTATGGAGATAAGGTATTTTGCACAGCAGAAGGAAAATACTTAGGTTGTTGTTATATCATAGATCTTAATAAAGATAGACCAGTAGAAATGATCCCTATATCAAAGATGTAGACATATCATTTGGATTATAAGGATGATGTATTGACTATAGGATATAAAAATGGACAGTGGGATATTCGTCACAAAACAGATTTTAGTAAATAGATTAATAAATAGTCACATGACATGGATTATGGTCGTGTTCGTAAAGTAGGTTTGACTTTTGATAGAACTGGAGTGCTGAGTGTTAGTGATGATGGAACATTCTATGTTTACAAGATAGATTTCTAAAATTTCTTGATGTAATTGAGTGGTAATGAGGTTGCAGATTTCCAATACCCAGAATTTACAATGGGCATCAATAGTGGAACATTTGCTGAAGAAATTGCCTTTGAAGAAGTTCAAGATATATTGGATGATACTATATATTCAATTCAATAAGCAAAATTGTTAGCTGAAGAAGATAATCGAAGAAATGAGGCAAATAAGAAGAAGGAAACTGTTAAATCTCGTATTTTGTAATTAAGAGAACAGTTCTCATAAGTAAGACAGAAGAATCAGACAGCAGAAGATGCTGCCAAATTGACAGAAGATGAATTGTGTGTGGATCCTGAGTATAAGTAGATGTTGTTGGATAGAGTAGCTGAAGATGTTGAGGAAACCAGATTAGAATTAGAGTGGGATAGAACCTTGGCAAAAATGAAGGCTGACAAGTTGAAAGCATATATGATTGATGAACTTGAGATCGACAAGTTTATGGTTAAAGGATTCAGGAACTAAGCATCTGTTTAAACATTCAAAGTCAAAAAATTAAGCAACTTCTTAATTGAATAATTGAAAGAAACCTATCGTTTGATTGAAGAGGAACGAAAGAATCAAGAAAATCAACCTTAGATTGAGAACAAGACTTAAGAGAAAATATAAGTACAATCACAAGTCAAAATTACTGCGGTTGATATGAAAGAAGATCAGTAAAAGGCTACCATCTAGTAAATGGATCCTGATTAAAAAGTGCCATAAGCCAAGTTGGAGAGGGAAAGATTACGTTAGGAAGAGGAAAGAATCAAGAAAGAGTAGGAGTTACTTGAGAAATCAAAACCTATTGAATTGGCAAAACCAGAAAATGCTCCTGATATTTAGGAAGCCATCAAATAATATGGGGATTATAAGTTAAAGAGTTCACCTAATTATGAAGTACCTGACAATTAGAGAATGAATGTCAGTAAGAAAAGAAAACATATGTATATGTTAGAGGAATTCATTTATAATACTAAATTGAAATTCAATTAATAATTATTAAATTTGAAGAAGAGAAAAGTGAATTTGATTGACAAGGTTAAGAAATACAATTAATAAATAAAGAAGATCAATGAATAATTGGGTAAGCAAGAACAATTGTTCTAACCAGAAATTGATAAGGAATTGGAAGATCCTCATAGCTTTATGGAAATCAGCGATGAACAAATCAATGAGTTCATCAGCAAATTGTAATAGCAATAATAAAAGAAGGATGAACAAAAGAGAATTGCTCCTGCTCAGATTTCCAAGCCAGCTGAATAAAATTAGATTAAGACAAGAAAGGGGATTAGAGTGCAATAATCAGGTTTGGAAGAAGAAATGAAGACTATTTAAGATATGGTATTGAATGCAGAGAAATAAAGAATGATTGATGAGATGTAAGAAGAAATAGTGTAATTTGATAAAGATGTTGTTAAATGTTAAAATGAGAAGAATGTTCTTGAAAGTGATATGTTGATAGCTCAAATGAAATTAGTAACTTATTACTAAGAATTAATCATTTTAGAGGATATGGAGGACTTTGATAATAAATTGATAAAGGAAGTGTTAGATTTCAAGAAGGAAAAGCAGAATCTGGAATAATAAGTTGAGAAGATTTTGGAGAATCTTGCAACATTATAGAAGAAAGAACAACAAAATGATAAAGATCTGATAGAATAATTGAAGGCATGGAAAGAGTTGGTGCATCCTGATGATGAATAGAAGAGGAATAAAATTCATGATTATTACCGTAAGAAATTCAAGAGAGAAATGTTGAAGAGGTTGAAGAAACAATAAGAGAAGGAACATTCAGATTCTGAGGAAAACGAAGATGATGAAGAAAATGAAGATGACAATGATGATGATATTGTATCTGATGATGATGAGGAAGAGAAGCCTGATATCTCACCAGTGGAATAAGATCCAAAAGTCAGGGATGTCATTGAAAAAATCTGTGGATTAGAAGAATAGTAGGATAATTTCAAGTAAGAAAAAATACAGAATGAGTAATAGAAGTCTAAATTAGCCAATAAGATTGCTTAGAATGACATCTATTTGAAGAGAGCCAATGATGATTTGACTCAATATTAAAGGAAGAAATTACAAAGGGTAAATCAATTGGATGTTAGTTTTGTGTTGAAATTATCGTAGGTTCAAAATCTTAATGAACAAAAGTAATTGCCTGCTGATCTCAATAAATCTATATTGTTTACTGAATATGATTTCTTCAAACTTTGTAAAAGAGTTGTTGAATTGAAACATGAACAAGGAAAAATTACAAAATAAAAGGCTTAAAAAGACAAGACCAAGAAGATGCAAGAGAAAGAAATTAAATTGAAGGATCTCAAGATTGAAGATTTAAATAAAAAATATGAAGAAAAACATATGCTCAAATTTGGAGATATCATTGATCTTAAAATACTTGATGCATTAGAACCAACCAAAGCTGTGTTGGATATGAGAGCATAATTCAATTAGGAAGAAAAAGAAGCTCAAAGAAAGGTTTCTAGAGCTAAAGAAGAGTTGTCCAAAGTTAAACAATAACTATTGGAAGTCAAGAGAGAGAATACTAAGATTTTCACAAACATAACAAAATTAGGCAAATAACAAATGGATTTAAGTAAAAAACTTACATCAGGCAATAAATAATTGTTTAAGGGTGATAATAAGGAGAAGAGATCAGATATGGAAAGTGATAGATAGAGTTTAGAGGATCTAGTCAAATTTTTGGGTAAGGAGATTGAGGACCTTAAGAATGAAATTGGATTATATAAGAAGAAAGGTATTTTATTCAAATATTTAAATAGGTGGACATATTTATACGAGTATTACATAAACAAATCAAAACTTTGTTTAGAGATGATATCTAAATCCAATTATTATTAAAAAATCAAACTATATCATAATCTTCTTCATCATCCATATCCCATTAATTTTAACCTTAAGGTTTGAAATCCTTTTGTACATCATATTTAAAATTCTTATCTCCTGGCTTAACAGAATTCTTTTTGTACATAGATTCCATGATTTCTTTGTGTTTCTTCAATTCTTCATTTGTCATCTTGTTTAAATTCAATTGATTATAACCCATTTTTTAATAGAGCATCCTATATTACTCCTCTGTGATCTCATCCTCTGAATTCTCCTCTTCTTCATAATTCTCGTCATAACATTCTTCATCTTCTTCCTCATCATCATCCTCCAAAACAGGTTATTTGCCTTTGTAATTCTTCATCGCATAATTATATAAATCCTCTTCAGACATACCATAATCTTGAATGTCCTTTTGCAATTTGGATTGTGTTTTTGACATGCTTATAGATGCTTAAGTGGAAGAACTCAAAGGTCTTGTGGAGGATGTTGGTCGTTGTAAAGTAGCATTTGCATTAGCACTTGTCTTAGCATTTGTATTAGCATTTGAAGTTGGCTTAGAAATCTATAATCTTTTTTAGATCTTTCCAATTAACTCTATTTTATAGATTAAACATTTACGTACCCAACAATTGCTTTTCTGGGATTTTATTATTCATAAAATACATAGCATGTTTCTTCTTTAAATACTCCAAAGCGTGATTAACAGGAGTATCAGGCTTTAATTTTAGCAATTTCATTTTATGATGATACAGCTTCCCTGAAGATGGCTACAAGTATTCAACAACTAATTTATATGAAATTGAATTCTAACTGATCATTGGAGGGTCAAATCTGATTGCCAATCTTTTAGGTTCCATATTCGACATCTTTTTGCTCTTATCTCCTGTGTCATTCTTTTTTGTTCCACCTGTTGTAGTCTTCTAATTGATATCAAAATTATAAGGGTCTTTTGCAGCAGTTTTAGCAAAATTATACATAAAATATTAACTTACTAATTTAAATTATTCATGGGACAAAATAATTGCACTCCTAACATCCCTGGATTGGAAAACTGTTATGCAAGATACGAGTAAACAGATGAAAATAAATATCCTTATTTAGTAGCCAATAAACATAGATTGGCAGAATCGCAAAACTCACAGATTTTGGAATTATATCAAAAACAACAAGATCAACTTAGATGTTATTTGTAGAATTCTCGTTAGCTCTCCCAATCGACTAGACGTAATTATGAATTTGAAGGGCGTTTTCTTAAACTTCCATCACATCTCATCTGTCACGTTATGTATTTTGTCATCGATGACTATCTCAACTTATTACTTGTTAATACTTTGTGGTATACGAGATTGAATGAAGCCTTTTCAAAGACGGTTAGCATAGTTGATGAGAAATTTTAATAATCTCATTCCTTTTTAAAATTAAAGTAGTCCAAAAATGCATTTCAAACTTTTTAATTTGGAAGACAATAAGGATTCAGATTGGATAGATGCTTAATTGCAGAAATCACTCCTGGAGTTGAAAGTATCATCTGATATTTATTAGAGATTCAATTGTCAAAATATCATACACCTACCTCTGTAAAGGATAGGAAAAGGCTGTCTGCTACAAATTTGCAATTCTGAGGAGGAACACAATAAGAACCATTTGGGTTGGAGTTGATTAGAGCACTGTAATAATCTATGTATATTGTATAGAATATTTATGATAAACAGACAGTTCCCGTGATATAACCTGTCTTGCCTTTTTGTGTTGGAGACTACATCAAAATTCCATTCACTCTATTGAACCTCCAAGGATAAGTAAATCTGTAAAGTATTAAATGGAATAAGCCTTAGGTTGAAAAACTTGATGTTGGCATTTTCGGAAGTATATCTTATAATTTAATAGATATCAAACATATCACGATGTAACCGCCTCCTAGATTCGAACCCAAAGATGCTGATTGGACTCTATTTCAATACTTTAATCATCCAATGAAGAAATGCTTTGATAATTTTAAGCAAATCAAATTAAAAGAGTGTAGATGTTGCGGTAACGGGTTAGTTATTAATCGTATGAATTACACTTGTGTTTCAGAGGGGTAACTGACGATTCCCTAATTGAATATGAAAATGGTTGTCAAGTAGGGTTGCATTACAAATCAGATAAATCGAGCGACTGTTAGTTATGAATTGGATAATACTTTGGAATTAAGAATTGGTGATTAATTAACACTTTACTATTTGAGAGGAGGAGACTCTTGATTTATTTTAATATATATCAATTAAATAGTTAGATAGAATTTTTCAATAAATATAATTAATACCATATATTTAATATGCAAAATCTAAGGCAAGAATAAAATAATAATAAATACAATGGACACTAAAGTTTTGGAGCAAACGTAACTTGTGTCCTTTAAGAACTCTATACAATTGATTGATATCATGCAGTAGTTAAACGATTTATAAAAATAATAAATATATAATTTTATTTCTCATCCAATGATTGTAGGTTAATCACAACTGATCAAATATAGTCAATCACATACTCAATAAACAATATTAAACATAATTGAGAGTCTAGGAACAATTATTGCTTAAGTATTGGCTATTGAGAAATTTCAAACATTTACAAACAAAACTAAAGGATTAAGTGTGCATTTATTAAGTAATGAAATATCAGAGAAGAGAAGGCATTTTGTTGATCTGGAAGACGAATGTAAAAAGAATTAGCAATAAGAGGAATGGCAATTAGCTAGAGATGAATTCAAAAAGCTTTTAAAAAATTTAGAGGATTTGCTCATAAATAAAGAACATAAATTATTATTATAAAATATTCTATAACCTCCACCTCAATAATCCTCTATTATCATTTAACCAGATAAGAAGCATCTTGATGCAATAGAAAGTTACCATTATCGAAGTCAGGTGATTTTTCATAATTCTTTATAAAAGGATAAAACAGGAGAGGAATTATTGAAGTGTATAATTACTTATAGGAATGGATTGGCTAAATTTCTCTATTTCTAATTTATCGAATAAGGTATCAAGGATCTAGATTTACTTTTAAATTATGTTTTGATTAATAAGACCTAAGGTAATCACTCTACACTTTAATAATTGAATGAATATATCCAGTCCTTATTTACTAAGAATGATAAACAATAATTAATGAAGGAAATTCAACTAATCATAGTTGTTTTTCCTGAGTTGGCCGAATATTTCTAAGAGCTTTAGAATAATATCAATGATAACTCTCTTTATTTTGACAATAGAATAGAACTTAACCCCATCTAATTTGAATATGTGCTCCTTATTTACGACCACCTTGTGAATCCTAGGAGAAAGTCGACTAGAAAATTGACTTAGGAAACGATAGTATTTATGAAGGATTTGGATTCGGCTATAAGAGCTGGATCAGTTTAAGGAATTAAAAGTTTACTGAAGAATTTAAATAAAAATATTAAACAAGAAATGCTAACTGATTTTGAATACCTTTCTGAATTAGCTGTTTCGTCCAAATTGAGATTGTTTATGAAAATGATTCAACAAATTAATGTACTCAAAGAACATGATATTAAAGATGATTATTTAAATTTTCAAATCGTTTTTCAATATGATCGTGCTATATTCAATGAATGTAAAAATGACGATATATACCATGAACCTTCAGCTGAAATTTAATAAATAAAAGTCTAGTAGGTTTTGTACTAATTCACTTAGGTTATAGAAAATGCAGCTGATCTTGAAAAGAATTTAAAAAACGATGCCATTTTAGAGTAATCAATTTTTCATTATCTTTAGGAAACTTAAGACATCAATAAAGGAGTCAACATCTTCTATCGAAAGTTTAATCACATCTGCATAAACAATTAACAAATTATTGGAAATACTTAATTGTATCTTCTTTTTCTAAAAATTAAATGTGACAACATTTCTTATCCTCTACCAATACTTTTCAGACCTTAAAGAAATACAATAAAAAATAAAAAATAATTAATGTGATGTAGATCAAATTCCGAATTTGTACAAGTTATTATTGAATTTCTAATATGATGCAAAACAATAGTTCCAAAAATTATTAAATGAAAAAAAAATGTCAATCTCTGAAGAGCGCGCTGAAGATTTAAGTGATTTGATAAAAGAAGTCGAATAATTTGATCGAAATAATGCTGCAACTTTCCTTAATAATGTGAAATAGTACTATAATAAGGAATTGAAGGATTTCCTCTTAAAATTAGCTCAAATTGGAACTAAGTAGTTCTAAGAGGCTGTTAATTATTTAATTCAATAAGTAGATCCCTGAATTTAATTGTTTAAATTATATAAATTTATTTAATTAATATAATTTGATAAATCATTTTTACTAATAAAAAGCAGGCTGATTAGGGAATTAGTTGTATTGGCCTATTTATTTATTTTAATTATATTAATTGAACTAAAACTAAGCGCCTTGCTATAAGGGAGTATTGTATTTTTGTTATCCCTAATTTATTTGATATGTTTATTAGCCCTGATAATTTTTTAAACTTGGAATTGGCAGGGTTGAGCTTGACTGTACAATTTTGAATACAACTGGTTGAGTTTTATCATTCTTTTATTAATTAAAGTCATTGTTTGCTATTAATTAATTAGAATTCTATTATTTTTGGTTGAACATATTGCTTTATGGAGTTGGAACATCATTTTTGACTTCGACTGGAGGAGCTTTTTCTATATACTTATCAGGAGTCCTTGGATCAAAATCCATTGATCTCAGTTGCTAGCGAGAGTAACTGATGAAAATTTCGCTTTTAGGTTGATTCATATCAGATTCTGAAGATTTGTTCATTGTCAAATGATTAAAATAAATAATAATAAATATTAATATATCATGTCTTGGGTCTTCAATTAAGTAAAAATATAATATCATATTAAACACTCCTCTCAATAGATAGAATTGAGTAATAATTTAAGCAAACCAACACTTATTTAGAGTTACAAAAGTTCTTTTACAATAGGTGACAACAACATTAGTTGAAAATTTTGATAAAAAATAAATAATTCTATTGAAGAATCCCCAAATATTTTATTCCAAATTAATTAAATTAATTTACTATTAATTTCAATTATGTATTTAAAATGAATTCTTGAACAATCCCGAAGTTCTCTCCAAAATAAATATATATTCTCCATATCTATTTTATATTGCATCGCAAATTATTCTTATAAATAACTCAGAAAGTGTTAACCCTAATAATTTTTTAAATTCCTTGAACCTCTTTGATTTTGACACGCTCCCAATATTGCTATATAATCTTTAACTAAATTAGATAGCAATTATTTATAAATAAAGTATTTAATAATATACCATTTTGCACTTAAATTATTTAGAGAATTAATCCTTTCTAAATAGAACATTTACGATAAGGATTTAATCACATTCAATACCATTCTTGGGCCATACCTGATTTAAAACCGAAGGAAATCCGAAATTAGTGAATTTCAAATACTAGTGTTAGGAACGGATAACAAATTTATGAGTATATTCTTGTTTAAAGGCGAGAAATAATTTAAAAGAAGGGTTCCCCAATTCGATTTTGTGTGAACAATTGATTCTATTAATTTTTGTTTGGATGAATAAAAATTAAATAATTATAAATGCAAGCGATTCCTGGTGATTTCGATGCTTAAATGATTGCCAATGAGCAGATTGAATAGCCGTTTATGGAATAGGAGACGGAGGATAGAAATAAGGAGTAGGAGGAGGAGTTGACTGAGGAGCAGAAGGAGAGAAGAAGAAAAATATTGGAAGTTCAATTGGCCAATAAAAGATTATTATATAGTATTCATAATAAGGACATGGAGATTTTTAGAGTAAAGAAAGAAATTGAGGATCAAAAATAGTTATTGGTTGAGCTGTAATAGCAGGATTAGGAAGTTCTGAATGATTCTTATCTATCTCACAGAGCATTGGTTTCATATGATACTTATTTGAGAGGGACACTCAGGGAATAGGATAGAAAAATATACGAGTTAGAATTAAACAATGCAGATATAAGTGAAATTTCGGCCAGAATTGAAAAGATCAATAAAGAATATGAGAGAAACATTTAACCTCTTGTTGTTGGAGATTTTAAGACTTAAATAGATGCAGATATTAAGAGTTCAAAAAATTAAATTGATGCTCTGAGAAACCAATTTAAGGAGATTGTGGATGACATTGTGAAACTGCATGAAAAACACCTTGATAACATAGACATGTATTCAACCTTACAGAGATAATTGCAAGTAATATTATATACATATTTTTTAGGAATAATTATTAGCAAATGAATAATTAGATTATGAATTAAGCCAATTAAAAAAGAGCAAAGAGTAAAGTTGATTCATATTTTATATATTTATTTGGATTCATTAAATAATAGTCATTCTCATCTTATAGTTTAATGGAGGATATATATTCTAATTAATAGTATTTTTATTGAATAATTAAAAATTAATGATAAACATACATATTGAAATAGAAATAGAAATAGATAGGATATTTAGAAAATAGTATATCATATATGATTATAAGATGATAATCTTATTCTATCATTATAATTTGCCTAGCCGTTGCCACATATTATGATTGTCTGAATAATTCGGAACAGAAAAGACAACCTACTTTTTAGTAACTGGAAATATTTGATCTAGAGTCAATGAAAAAGCATCATCGAGCATTCGAGGAATAAGTTTTTAGAGCAGTAGACTAGACTCTTCTAAACATGGATTGGAGTTGATTTCAATTAGCCAAACTTTAAAGTCGTCATCAATCATAAAATCTAATCCGAAAATCTCGAAACAATATCTTCTTCCAAGAACATTGATTTTCTTTCTAACTGATTGGAATGCTTTTAAGGATATCTGTTTGATATTTTCAACGATCTAAAATGTGATATGATTAGAATACCTATTTGTAGAAGTCTCCTTTGCTCTTAAAATACGTAGCCGCTTGATCGAAAGATAATTGGTTACCATCTTCTAGTTTACCATAGTTAGGACTATATTTTTGAATGGCATTATTGGTTAAATGCACATATTAATTTAATACATTTTTGGTTGTGTATTCTTCAGATGCCATCCTGATGTAGCCTTGTTCAAAAAAAAAGAATTCTAGATCTTAATTAAGTAATCCCCATACTCTGATATCAAATTTGCGATTATTAATTAATAATGGTTTTTCCAAATATTTTTAGATGACAAATTATTTTGATTTGATGATTTAGCCATCTTTCATTTACTGTTTGCCAGAGATGTATTGATCAAGCAAATGAGTCATTTAATCCAAATCTTTGATCACATGTATCCCTCTACCACGATTATATTGAGTTGGCTTCAATATCCAGAGGTATTCGTGTCCTTGATACGTACTTGGTATTTTAGATTTGCTGATTTAAATAATTTTATCTGTGATCTACATGTAAGTATTGAGTTAACGTCTGATGAGATAAAATTTATTCTGAGAGTCGTGCAATTTAATGGATTAGGGAGCATTGTTCTCATAGTATTGAAGGAATTGCAATAACCATATATCTGCCTTTTCGGTAGTGAAATCCAAAACAAAGGTTACAGGAACAAAACTCAAGATGTCTAATTGATTTTCCTATTTAAGTTAGGCTATACTTCACAATATTGCGAGAGATTTCGAAAAAGATTGCTCTTTTATGATATCTCTGAATGAAATTCAAAATGGTTGACTGCCTGTTTGACCTTATTGCCTGATAGCAATCTATCATACTGATAACCTTTTTGTGTCTATTACCACCTAAAATTGATTAGAGTATCGTTCTTATTGTTGGTAGAGATCCATTCATTTCGTTTCGATAGAACTCTTTGTACTACTTGGTGATTGTTACCAGTTCCTAAGAAGTAGATGTAATTATTTTTTATTAAGGAGGGCAATGGCACAACCTTGGTTTGGTCACTACTTCTTACTTCTTTGCCAAGGATGACTGATTAGGTTAGTTTTGGTTAATCCTTGAGTTTAATATACTTGGATGCTAAGGCAATAGCTAATTATTTTGGATTATTTAAATGAGGCATGGCAGACATTTAATTTTAAATGAATCTTGTGAATCTGGCTGTATCGATCTGTTGAAGATCTTTCACTTTTACTTAGGGTAGATTCATGTTTATATATATTAATAATTAATCATGTAAACTTCTTCCATGGATTTTCGAAGAAGGAGTCTTTGATCAAGTGATCATAACTTTAGCCGTTCCATTGGAATTTCTCTTCCCATTTCTTGTCTTTCTTATCTCTCTTCTTATTCTGAGAGTACATTTCCTCATTTTTACGAGTATATTCTTTTAAAAAAGGAAATTTATCCATAATTAATAAAAGTAATCATTTGAAACCAGGGAGAACAGTCGGCTTGCTCAATTTCAACATCCTTCTCTTATTTAGGTACTTCATAGACACGAAACCTAGCCTCAAATAAAATCTAAAATTAAACAAAAACATCCTATACCTCATCAAATGATTACAATCTCTTCCACACTTCTTGTGGAATGCTTGCATCCTATTGACAAACCTTTTGAACTCGTTGAGACTCAATTAACCATTCTTGCTTAATAGGATGACCATCTCGGCTATATCTGGAGTCCTATTAAGATTACCAAACATTGTTTCGAGAATTTTATCATTGATTTCTTAAGCCAACTCATATCCTGGTGTCCTATTAATCGCCTTTTAAATGACATCTTACTCATTCTACTCAGTAATCTCATTCGCAATTTGATCATAAAATAATTACTCCTCTTTCTGTTTATCTTCACTCTCTTATTGCAATTTAGTCAAAACGAGATCATCTTTTGTTTTATTCCTAGGAGTATAATATTCACGCGGTGAAATAGTTTAAGATAAAGCACCTGTAGTAGTGTACATTCTTCTATGCTACTAATTCAAATGCCTTTCCTCTTATTATTCGTAAATTTTCTATTTCAAAGTTTTTCCTTTTGATACATACTTTTGTTCTGTTGATTAACTGTTTTAATATGATTCTTATTCAAGTTTCAGATTTGGTACTTTGTTTTGGCGTGTCGAGGATGATGGAGAAGGGAATACATTAGTTAGATGATAGGATTATTAATTTCGAGGAGATGCAAGGTTGGAATTGGGAGTTGATTGGATAGGAGAATTAAGATTACCTACTCCCATAGTACCAGCGGAATTGAAATTAGCAGTACTGATTGTAGTTAGTTATTGTTGTGAATTTATTTTAATGTTTGAGTTTTAGAATTTAAAGTTTTCTATTTATTCATTTTCTTATTGTAAATTATATTAGTCTTTCTAAAAGATATTATGCATCATTGTTAAGTCTGTCTATTAATATTGATCCTTAGTTCCCTTGGTTTCATTTGTGTCCTTTTACTCCTATAGATTTTATTGCTTTTATTCGGTTTTTATAGAACTTTATCTGGTCATATTGATATTTTGAGATGACTTTGCTTTTGATAACGGATAGTGTGGAGTCAATTAATTAGGAGAAGTATTCACGATCTTAAGACCATCCATTTTATTATTTGCTGATTATCCAAATTATTCAACCTTTTTGTAATTGCTATTAGCAGATGACATGTTTCTACTACTAGCTATTTATTATTCAGTTGGTATACTAACTTTGATGGCAGGCTTATCATTACTACTTTCAACTTCGAATGAAGTTTGGAGTAAGTTCTTACTAAAAATATTCTATTTAAATTTATTTTCTAAGTTTTTAATTGAGGATGGTTGATCTATATTATTAGACAGTTGACTATTGTCCATGTTATCATTCTATAATAAATCATTTTCTTCAATATCCTTAATCAAATCAGCCAATTCATGAATTTAGGAACTTGCCTTCTATTCCAATATAAATTGCATCTGTGTTAATCTTCTAGTTTAGTTGTTCCCATCCAAAGCGTTGACCAATTTCACTAATCTTTCCATTTATTGAGTTTTCTTCTAAATAATGAAATTATCTTTTGGACTTAAATATATTTATTATTTTGAAGATAATTATTAAGATTACTCTCTGCTTGTAGTTCTAGGATTTCCTGAGATCGCATTTATTAGGATTTCATCGTTACTGCTAGATGAGACATATCCTCTTTCTCGATCACTATTCTTTTTAACCGTTTTTGAATATTCCTTATAAATGTTATCTAATTTTTATTTGAACTCTGATTTTTCGGCTTCTAGTTATGAGAGTTATGCTTGCATCATTTTGAATTGCCTATCTTTCTGTTCATTAATTACTTGAAGTTCTAATAATTGGTTATCCTTTTTCAAAATTTCATTTTGGATTGTTTCCAATTTGTTTTTCAATGTCAAAATTTCATTAACATACTAGGAACATCGACAATCTTCCTTATTGTTAAAGACTTTTTTCTTAATTTTACTCTTCATCTCATTTATCAATTATAATTGTTTCTCCTTCTCTTAATTCTTCTACTTGTATCGATGGATAATGGCAATAGCAGTTTGCTATTGTATGTGATGAATGTGTTAGAGGAGAAATTAGACAGTGTTATCATAATTTTGAACTCCCATGTTGTCTTAATTCACTGACTTCAGCAATTATTCCAAATTTAGCCTTTTGAATTGAATGTCTGATATAACTAAATCCAAATCCTCGGGCTTACCCTAAAACTCAATATCTAATTATTTTTTATTAGACAAGGCTTCACCTAACATGGAGATGGTATCGTTAGTAAACTCTAGCCATTCTCTCATTTCCTCTTCTCTCCTCAAAAGATCACTTGATGCTTTCTAACAATTTTGATAATAATCAATGATTGTGCTAGTACCTACGTCTTAGTGGGTTCTCAAATTTCTGGTTCCTTAACCCCGAGATTTATACTCACTCCAAGGAATTTATTGATAGTTTTTAATTTGTTATGGGGTACCTAACTAATCGATGATGCTGACACTTCCTAGTTGGAGTGCATTAATGAAATCTGGAAGTTAAGGAGTCAAGAGAATGGGTTTTGATTCAGGAGGTGGTTTAGTTTGAGATTGAGCAGATTCTAACATTTCTCTAAGGAGGTTAAACAATTTTTCCATGACATTTGCAATTTCGACACTAATTTGACTCTGTACAATTAGGACACATTCTGAGAAAACTTCATAACATTCAATATGGAGTTTAGAATTGTTTATTTTACTCTTCCTTTAGAGATGTTCAACAAGCGTTTGCAATCGCTTAACTTACTCTTCCATTTTTTAATTATTTATAAGAAAGGTCGAAATAATAAAATAAATATTATATAGCTCCAATCGGCAATCAGGTATCAGCTATTTCACTTTCGAGAGACCTCATGATCCTCTGATGAAGACTGTTGATTGAACTCAGCATATGCTATTCGAACTTCAAGAGAAACAGGAGGTCTTTGGTCATTTGTTGTTTGATGTTATTTTAAGTTTGCATTGATGTTTGAATATGCTTCAGTTTTTCTTTGTTCTGTTTCTTGTCACTCTTGGAATAGGCAGCCATTGATTTGTGATGATGGGTTCCATCGAGCTCAATGACATCATCATCGAAGTTGAAGGAGATCTCACTAACAGACATTTAATATATAATGAGATTGATGAATATTATAGCATATTTAACATCTGAACTGTATGGTATTATTTAGGTTTATAGAATATGCGGAATGGAATCACTTTTTAGGAAAAATCCTCTATAATCTCTATTAATCTTATGAATTGAACAAAGGAGTCGTTTTAGTCGCTGAACCTTAAGGCTGGATATCTGTGGCTGTTCTTTACCTCATCCTATCTTGTAATTGCTGTTGAGCCTATTGAATTGGATCCTAAATTGGAGATTGCCAAATATATTACTCCAGTTAGAATTTTATAGAAATTTCTCAGTTGCTCACTCTGCTGAGACCCTCTGGCAGATAATGGCTAATCAGCAGGTGGGGTTTGTTGTTGTTGAGCTGGCTACTCCACCTACCTTTGAATTGGAAGGATAGGTCTGGTTGCAGGTGCTTAAGACGACTTCTCCTTTAATTTGGTGAAGAATTCCTGATCATCCTCAACTGTCAATTCCTCTTTAACTAAATTCTACGAGGTTATTATGAGATTCTTTACTTTTTTTAATTGCACTATTGGCACACTCTCCTCATATTTGATGGCGTTGTTGGCCAATTTGGTGAAAGTACTCTTGATGATGTTGATGTCATCTTGACCCAAGGGGATGAAGAGACTTTCGAAATCCGATAGGTTTTTGTGTTGTGATGTTTCGAATGGCATGTTGTAGAGACGATGCAACACGTACTCGTACATTACCTTGATGTTGATCTTCTGCTTCACAGATGTGAAAAGCAAAGTTGCACCATCTTATTATAAGTATTTTAACTCTTACAATTCACACAAAATTAACGTAAACAAAATTAAATGATTTCTGCTTTCTAATCCCAATCCTTCCCTTTGTCGTCTCTCTCTAATATGTCCGATTTATTCACCATCACCATCAAAGGAATTCCCAAATTTGTCTTCAACAACCCTTCGTGCGCCTAACCTCCGTCCATTTATGACATATATTGCATCACTTTAATTAAATCAAACTTTATATACCATTTGATTTCATCTCTTCCAATTCGTTGAGACTCAATCGCAGATCAGCCATCATGTCCTACAACACACCAATCCATCTATCCAGATCTTCCATGAAGGTCCAAGGCTCTTGCATGTCCAGAGCTATTACTACAAATGTATTCTTGATATTTTTGTGATTCAAAATCTGAGGTAACAAATATTTCTGCCCCTCTTCTTCTAAAATATACACATTCAGACGAGCATTTGTGTTGTAATCAGGGTCGCGAAGGTCTATCAAATTTAGGTAGGCATAATCCACTATTGGTGTAATGCCTTTTTGCCGAATGCCATCTACAAATTACTATGAATCGATTTACTCTTGAGAGTCTTTGTAACATCAGCCAAAGCATCGAGTAAGCTTCGTTTCCCACTGCACTTTCTCCCCAGGATTAACAAATTCTTATTTATAAAACCTCCCTATCTACTTTTCTCAAATAATAGTTAATTCCAAACATTCTCTTTTTTACTCATTAATTTTAATATGGGCGCTTGTAAATCTTGTACTCAATAACCATCCCCCTAAATCAATTCAGGCGATATGGAATAACAAGGTATTCACAGTGAATCCATACGCTAGATTAGCAATCTGCTAAATGAGTTTGAGACCTTCAAAGTGATCAAGAAGACTTCATATTCATTTATCCAGGATGCTACATTCAGGAATGGAAGAGTCAGCGCTAATAAATTGATCAACACACAAGGCACAGTGAAACCCATCAACTTATAATTATTGCAAGAGGTAAATAAGGGATTGGAATCGTTGAAAGCCCTTACAAATAAATAGGATAATTGCGAGATTGAAAAATCAATGAAATTCAAATGTGGCTTGGAATTAGGGGATAAATTCCCACTAATTAAATTCCACATGTTGCTCAAGGGAGAAGCTCAAACAATAACTTTGAAGGACAATACTTACACTCTGATAAAGTCTTGGGGCTAAGGGGAATAGATGGTCAATTTCCAACATGCAATAGAACTGGTCGAGTCCTTCAAAAATGTTAAGCTTGAATTGATCGGCTTAACCAGAGGCAATGAGGAACAGCAATCCGTGTATGAAGAATTAGTGAGATCCAATCCAGGATGGCAACAACATCCACACATCTATGTACTTGCAGAAGAACCAGAAAATCACATCTTCGATATCTTCTACCAAGAACAATCCAATGACATTGAGGAAGGATACTTAGCAAGTGCTCTTTTGTTTTATGGCTAGAATTTGATTTGGAAAAGATATACACTAGAGTGGGATATCTCTGCTGATTCTGATGAGGTGGCTCAGGAAGTAACAAATCTCATAAATTCTGGAGTCACTAAATACGTAGGAGTCAAAGAGACCAATCAACAAAGCAATATAACCAAATAACAATATTAAGAATACAAGCAGTTCATATAGTAATAGTAAAAACAACAGTAATTTACCAGAGGATTGGAAGTCACCATCAATAAAAAGACAATCTATGACAAGAATAATAAGCTAGTTATTTATGAGAAACCCATTATTCAAGTGGCATGTTCCCCTAAATCACAATCAATTACAGAGGCTTTCATCAAACCTCTTTAATTACAGCCAGTAATTTGGGACATCTAGATTTTGAAGAAAGTGCTAACTCAAAAAATTAGAGAAAATAATCTCAACATTGAAGCTTCCTTAGAAAAATAGATCAAAATTTCAATCAATTATGAAAACAATTTGATTCAGATTCCTAATTGGGAAGTGGCCACACTCACTCCATATTACAAGTCTACATAATACATCTCGTAAGTCAAGTAATGGATACATGCTCGAGATCGCATACTAAGCGAAGTCCAAGATTCCCAAAGTCCTGTTCTGCAGAGGGTAAACAAGATGATTTATCAATTTTTCAATAATATACCTACTGTTGAAAAAGTACTTAATTAATAATATGGCAAAATCCCATATGCTGAGAAGCGTAAACCTCCTTACGAAGAGATGTCAGTATCCAAGAGTTTGGGAAATGAGGAGATCGCCAGAAAATCAGATAAAATATTATTCATCTTATTGATTGATTATGAGAATGATGATACTTTGGACATTCTGAAGAACTTAATCAAATATAAGAAAGAGAACTCGGTCCAATTATAGATTGCTGTATTAGGACACATCAGAGCTGAATCCTGGACCAAACTGTTTTAGGCCTTCATGGACAAGCAATAAATTGCATAAAGATGCTGAAGAAGGCACAATTGAAACATGGTTTCCAGTGGAAGACAAAATTGGGTCTATTTCATTCAGTGCAATTCTTAGTAAGATGTATGGGATGTGTTTGGAAAAAAGAGATTGTATGTTAGTAGATAGGGATAATCAAGTTCGAGTTATTGATTCAAGCAGAAGAATTGTTCCTAAAATTTCTTAGGTTTTGGATGATCTAAAAATTTCTTAGGTTTTGAATGATCTAAAAATTAAGAATTAAATTTAAGAGAAGGAATTTACGTATTAAATATTTTTAATTTTCTAGAAACTATTTGAGTTAATATTAACTATTTAAAAGATCCATTCGAAGCAATCATTAATTGTTGTAATTGACTCAAAAAATCAAAGAGCAATGCAAAGAAGATGAATGTTTGATTGTGTATGAACAAAGAAAAGCCAAAATTTGGGATTTTGAAGGTGCAGTTGTAAATGAAACTAAAAAATATTAATAACCTACTAAGATCCTGAGATTGATACCGAAAACATCTGAAATGGGTGAATTCACTAAAATTATTGACAATTCAGATTTCTTATAAATGAAATGATTAAAAATAAAATATATATATATATAGAAGATGTTTTAATCACTTTCTCTTTCTTACAGATCTCCGTAGTATCTCTTCTTTGACTCTTCTCCTGGTGTTGATTCGCTATTAAGGAGAAGATGATTCTGATGAAGTATCAAAGGATTATTTTTCTGATTGCTAACTCTTCTCCTCATCATCTTAATTTTCGTCCTAATTCTTCTCTTAATCATCGTCATCATCTTCCTCATCTTCCTCATCCTCCTCCTCCTGATTCTCCTATTGACTTTCCTCTTCAGGTTCTTCCTCACATTCTCCCTTCTTAACCTACCTCTTTTTCTATTTTGCTTTTGGGGCCTTCAAAGATGTAATAAAATCAGCCTAATCCAAATTGTCTCTGTTTTTCATGAACTCCTGGAAGACTTCATCTATTACATCTTGCTCTCCCGATAAATCAACCAGTTTATTTTGAAGACTATAGAGCGATGTAAAGTCCTCTTTCACCAGTCGTCTTGGCTCAATAGGGGAGATGGTTCTGTTAATAACAACTTCATAAAACAAGAAACAGGCTCTGATGATTGGCTCAGTTGGATTCACGTTGTCAAGCACAATGAATGGGATTCTACACTTTTTACAATATAATCCACTTTGAACATTCAGGAACTCACAATATATACATTTCTTGGGAATAAGAATTTAAAGGATTTACTTTGTTTTAGCCGTAGGATAATCTGGTTATTTGGGTTCTGCTGGCTCTTTGGGTGGTTTAATTTAGCTTCTTCTTTTCTGACAATTGTTTCTTTTAGGTTTATATCAAATCTTCAGGAATGTGCACGCTGTGTTTTTCAATATACCTTATTGATTACTAAATTTGTAATTTACTCCATAATCTAAAATAGCAATTATTGATGCATCTATTTCGAATTACCAAAGCCTAATCGAGCCACTAGGTTTTCCACGAACTCCTGGGGACTGATATGATAGTCATTTAAATTCCAATGAAATTGATCTCTGAAAATATAATTCTGATATTCGATATCCAAATATATGGGGATTGATCTCAGTTCCTCTGGCACTCGATTTATCTTGAATTTCGGTTTTTTTTGAGACTTTAACATCTGGATAGTTCTTTCAGCCGATATTTAATCGATGGCTTCTAAATATTCATCCATTTTATATATTATAATATATTTATGCCTAGTTTATAATTCGAGGTCATAATAAATGCTTGCTAGAAGCTTTCACTCACATTTGGCGATCAGGTTAGCGTTGAACAAATAGCTAATAAGATAATCGAAACTCAAAAATTCCCAAGGTAATCCAATTACAGAATAGAAATTGATTAGGCGATCAGAGAACCTTCATATATTTTGAATTGTCAGCCAATCAGTATAATTAAAGCTAACTTTAACTTTATGGCAACAGTCATTTTCGTTGGTTAATTTAACACATCCTTTGAACATCGTATAGACCTCTGTAAATAAATCCAATAAATTTCGAATGAGATAATGAATGAGATCCTTCCAATAGAATATTCAGTGTACATCCTTTAAAATGGGTAAAACGCCAATAATCTCTACATTAATTCATATGAATAAATCCCGAAATTAATAGAATTTGAGATTTAAGCGAACTTTTATATTAATTTTTAAGGAATCCACTATTAGCAGAAAATTCACCCTTTAGCCTAAATTGAATAGATTAAATATCAGATAAATGAAGTTTTTTGTTTTGATTCTGAGTTTCAACTTTGGTATAGGGATACAGAACTTAATGATCAAAGTTAGTACATCACCTATCTAATTCCAGATCACTCAGAACTAAAAATTAAATTGCCAACTAGGATCAAATTACTGATCAAGTATAAAGATACGGTTCATCAATTCTCATGTGCTCTTGAAGAAAAATTAGGATCATTTAAACAACGATTAAAATAAGTATATCACGTTTCTGAAAAACACCCATTATAATTAATGTATAAGAATAATGAGTTGAGAAATGATCAGGAATCTATATAAAAATTGAAGTTTATAGAGAATGCCATAATTGAAATGCAAGTTGGAATTAAATATTCATTGACTTTATAAAACAAGGAATCCTAAGAAAAATTCTAGTTTCAAGCTAGATCAACTGATTTAGTTTCTGTGCTCGACAAACAACATCCATTCATTAATAAATAAGTTATTTATGAATTTAATGGTCACAAGCTAAAAAAAGAGGAAACTTTTGAATAACTTTAGGTAGATACAGAATATATAACCATTTATTTTCAAATAGAAAAGCAGAAAATCAACGTTTAGTTTTAGGATGATTTCGCAAAGCATAAAATTGAAGTGATCACATCTGACCCAATTAGGAATGCATTATAGAAATTCAATTAAGGAAATGATCCTATTTCAATTACTTATGGAGGGAAAAATATATCCATTGATAGTACTTATGAGAAAGAAGCTATTGTAAATGACAGCATCATAGTATACAAGATTAATAATGGTATCTAAATCAAATACACTGTTGCTCCTAATTGTGTAGAACATACATATTTGGTCCCTAAAGATACGAAGGGAAGCTAGCTATTGAAAGCACTATCTTAAATTTATTCGAACTAAGGATAAAAATACAAATTGATGCTTAACAGCTAGGAGTTCCCTGCTGATTAGCCAGTTATCAAAGATCAATGTTATAGATTGGTTCGTATTTTTGAAATGCAATTTTCGTACGACAAAGATGAGCGAACTTATATAGATTTATTCTCATAAGAGGATAAAATTTTTGAGGCAAGAAAGAAAATGGCTCAGGTGTTTAATCTACCTTTTGATTCAGTATTTCTATTATTTAAGGATTGTGCATTAAAGGATGATACCCTTATTAATCAATGCAAGGATAAAACACTAGTGGTTTCTCAAGCTATTCACATTAGTTTTCAAAAGAGGAATGGCTCTGTAGCAATTTAAAAGTACTATTTAAAATAAGAAAAATTTAAATATATTTTCAAAGATTTTTTGAAAGAATACCAAATAAGTCAATGCAGATTTGAATTTAACAATTAAATTGTTGACGAAAATAATTTACTAAAAGATATTTGTAAAGATGAATAATCTATTGTGCTTATCTATGAATTTTAGTATAACTTAAAACTTGTCAACAAAGAAATGCAAAATGAAATAATTAAAGTTTCGTTTTATCCTTCAGAAATTATTGGCTCTGTCTTTAAAAGATATTTGAGTGAGAAATTCTCTTACTTGTACAATGGTTAATTAGTTGATATTTAGAAATAGTTTGAAGTGTTGAGAATTCAAAACAATTCCAAGGTGTATTATTTTTAATTCCATAACTTCACTCTAGAGATTCTCAAAACTAACACAAAACTTTAGATTTAAATTGACTCATTGAATTATAAAATCATTGATGCCATATCTCCAAAGATGAAGGAGCACACTTAAGATAAGTTTACTGCACTTTACAACAATCGCGAATTAGATTTATAAAAGACTTTTCTCTAAGAAAAAGTCATGAGCGGGGCCACTATCTAATGCTAACTGCCTACTTATTTGCAAGTGATTATACATGACAATGAGTTTGATAAATCGTTTAATGTACATCCAAATATCTGCATTGGACAAATACTTGCTATGATGATGGATAGCAATCCAAATAAAAAGATGTTATCCTATAAAGATTAGAAATAATTGGAAAACGATATCATAGTATCTAAATTACAAAATAACAATGGGATTATCGAACTAATTTATAAAGAATTGATTTCTACTCCAGATACTATCTATTAGCCCTCAGGATCTGTATCAACCTTTTTTAATTAGACACAAGACCTTAAAACTACAGAAAGTAGTTAAATAAATATTGTCATAATTAATATAAATAATGATGATAAGATATTTGAGACAGTGAAATTAGATCAGAAAATAGGAGACTTTCTTAAGGAGTTTGAAATCAAAAATGAGTTTTCTAGCATTAATATATTTTATGAAGGGGCAGTAGTGGATTACGATAAAACATTTGAAGAGATTGGAGCAAATCCGGGAAGTTTATTTGAAATTATTTGACTGAATAATATTATTTGCATAATCATTTAAAGCAATTTTATTATAAATGCCAACATACTTCCTTTTAGAATTTAATACATCATAAAATTAAATTAAGTCCTCCTAACTAGAAGTATTAAAATTAAAACAACCGTCATCTCTTATTTCAGAATGCAACCCTAAACAATAATATACTATGCAGCATAAAAGTTCTAACGAGTTTTGGATATAAATATTTTAGACTAGTACTCAAAATTCAGTTCTGATATTCTTATAGGTAGTGAAGAGAATGCTTGTATATATATGAGTATTTGCATAAAATTAAATTAAAAAGAGGCATTTAACTAATGATTGATATATATTCTCGAGATTTACTAAAAAATGCAGCAATACATATTGAATGATAATTTCATATTTTTCTATTCAAGGATTAAGTGTTTAGCAATTGAAAAGCATCATGGATTGTCTTTTATACAATATATTAAAAATTTATAATAATTTTAATTATTAATGATAACTTCGCCTTAGGAGATGAGAATATTATCGAAGCGATTCTTCGGTAACAAGATCATTGATTCAATTGTGCTTGAGGAGATGAAGGAAAATTATTAAAATAAGGATAGAATTGCAAATATCATTTAGAGATGTTATCCTGAAAGTTACAAGTTATATTTGGATTTAGGTAAGAAAGAGATTTATTGTTATATAAGATCCTTAGCTTCTAAGCATCTTCATTTAGTATTTCTTAAACTAACTTAATTTTGTGATTGAAAAAAAGTATATATTTCAAAGAGCTACATGCTTGTTGGAATTGAGTGTCCATTTATTCAATATTTCATGGGAGAAAAGATGGAATCGAGAAAAATCATTTGAAGAGTTCAGATAAATAATTGTCAGGCATTCATTATATAGGTTAATATCGATATTAATAAATGCAGACCACCACATAATGTTTACATATTTAGTTTGGACAACTTGAAAGAGATTTCGTCGCATTTTCTATAGACATTCTTTAGATTCTATAGAGCTTACTTCTTCACATTCACTCCCTGGGTTGACATCGTGGTCACAACTTATCAGAAACATTAAATTAAAAAGGATGTGAAGGATTTAGAGTTGGAGAAGTTGAGACAGGAAGCAGAATAATATAATGATTAGATTGATCCAGAAATGATGGAACAATTGATGAGTGGCAATTCCATATATTAGATTCCTGAAAAGAAGAAGAGGGAGATGTTAGAATAACAATAGTAGAAAGAGAAATAAGAAAGAATAGACAGAGTACTAAAGAAGAGATTAGAAGAGTTATAATAAGTGTTTGATTAAAAAATTAAAGAATAAGATGAACATTTCATAAAATTGGCTGAAGATTTAAAAAACCCAAAGAAAAAGTGATTCATTAACTATAAATATGTTATGATTATAAATTTATTGATTGTCTATCATAATCTAGCCTTTAGATTTAGTTTGTCCCAATCAATATTGATAAAGTTTCTTTGTCTATACATTCCAACACCGTTAGCCAAGTAATCCAAAAATTCTATTTAAATTATGATTTACATATATACCTAATTTGTTATTGCCACTAAACTATTAATCAATCTCAGCCAGTATTTCAACTTATTTGAAATCAGCAATACCAAAAGATATAATAGTTGTTCTATTCTCTAAAATTAAGAATAGTCCAAACAATTTGTGTATTTTTAACAATTCCAAACTATAACCACTGCTCTTTATTTGTGCTCCCATTTACTTATAAATATTAGTATATCCAAAAAGAACAGAAGCCTTTATCAATTCACATTAATTAAGTTCATTCCATGAAGTTTAAATTGAATGACCATTAATTAAATTATTCTAGAAGTTTTCCACAGTCTTCTTACAAAATGAATAACTCAATCTCTCTAAAACTTCCTCTAAATTTTGGAAAGATGCCTTTTGATTGTTTTCTTAAGTATATTTATTGAAATAGGAAGCCATTCCTGTAAATTATGCATTTCCCCCACTCACTTTTCCGAATTGTTTTAACAAATATTAAGCTGTTTATTGCATTAAAACATTATTATCTCCTTCATAGGTCACAAATGGAACATTATCAGCATATATTATAGTTAGATCAGATGCATTTAAATGTCCAAATGGTGCGATTTGCATTGCCTCTCTTGAAGTTTTGACTGCCTCCCATCCTGCAATACTCTTCATTTGACTAGAATATAAATGAACTAATTGTAAAGTTTCATTGACTTATTTGTCATTGGCTTTTAGTTGATTTTAAAATCTAGTGAACATTTCTTTTACTTAAGCATTGGCTATTATTTGTGCATATTACACCACATAACTTCTTAACAATCTAAATATTATGGCTTCATTTTCTATTGATTATGTTTTCAATAAGGGTTTGACTTAATAATAAGCCAGATTATTAGTAAACAATCCAAAAATAGAGAAAACATTCACCAATCCAACTCTTAAATTAAGCATACTGCCATATCCATATTTAATAGCATTTTTTGAAGATGTAGTCACCTATCCAGATTCATCGACTTTAGTATATCTCATCAACATATTGTTTCTATCGATACGAACATTCTTTAATCCCAAATATCCATTGTCAGCCCTTAAGAAACCTAATTTTGGTCCAATGTCTCCAACATCAACTCCCTCTAAAGCCTTAAGTGTTTTAGGTTCTCTAATAGGAACAACAAATGTTTAAATGCCGATATCCTTGCCATTTACTGTTGTTCTGGCTTGTAAAACACTATGGGTGGCAAAGATACCTAGTTATCCTGGCCAAAATTTAAACGCAGATGCTTTTGGAGTGTTTATAATGAAGGAATTATTTTCAAAAACCGCAGTTGTTTATAAGCCTTGCACATCTGAACCATGTCCTACTTCAGTTTAGGCATAGGCTCCACGAATTTGATAATTGAATGTAAGATCTTGCCAATGTTTGACTTGTTCTGGTGTTCCCAACATTTGGATTGTTGGCAAAAAGGCTTACCAATTTAGATAGAAGGTTCCTAAAGATGTACATTGGAGACATTACCTAATTCATATAATTAATGCTAAAATTGAATGAGATGAGTATTCCCTGGAAACTTTTTTTTGAGCATTTATTATGCCTTGGCGTATCTCTGACTTAGGCCAATATAGCCTTCCTTGTAGTTTTCTTAGACACCTTGAGGATTGTCCACCAAGACTGATCATTAACGAAATTAAATTACAATCGTATGCTGTTGGATTTTTTTCAAATTCCTAAACAAAGTACTCCAATTCTGATTTAATGGAGGGTTCAAGAAGAATGTTGTAGATATAATTTTTGAATTAATCCATTTAAGAAATTTATTAGTTCCTAATATAAATAAACACAATGCTAATTATATGGGTTTGAAAATTTACATTATATTTAGAAATTTTATTCTCTAATTTTTTTTTATAAGATAGAAAAGATATGATAACTTATAATGCTGGTAAATATATATTTATAAAATTCATTCATTCTCATTAATCAGAAAGCTGTGAATGAAAGTTACACAGATCTAAGGGGAATAGATGAATACGATACCTTCCATTGATCTTGGCATCTTGGAAATGTCCTAAGACACTAAGACTGCATCCTACATCGGAATAGAGTATTTTGCAAGAGCTTTGATTAATGAATCTATGAATTAATACAAGATATTATTACTTCATGTTTAAGATAGGCGTCATGCATCCAAAGTATTAATACATTTACTCTATGGTGACACCTGAAAGACCTGTAATTTAGATTGCATTGGACAGTTGCTGTGCTATGATGGGCTTCCTCTCGTTGGGGGGCAAGGCTACTTGACGAGCATCCTGTGGTAGCTTTTCGGAGATCATCAAAGTCATAGGCATTCCCAAGAGAAGGCCTTTATTGAGTAAGTTTTTGATTCTGATTGCTTCTTCTTTGGAAGCCAGTTGGAGGAAGGCTCCATATTGGCTTTGATAGATGGCATCTACTCTTGTGATTGTACTAAAGATGTTGTACACCACTCGTAGATTGGTATTGGGATGCTGCACTACCAAATATTAGGGTAGAGGAGTGGGAGTCATTAAGAAGGGACTGCTTTGCGATTAAGGGTAGGGAGTGAAGGGACTGGCTCCACAGGAAAAGGGATTGCTAGAGTCATTGCAGAAGACTTCATTGTAGTTGTCTTCGGAACGAGCAGATTTTTTAGACTTTGCTGATTATTCGGAGGTGATACTCTCTCCGTCTGAAAACTCCTCTTTGTCATCTTCGGATGATTCTTCGAGGATTTGCTGTCTTATAGAGTCTAGAGTCGAATGTTAAAAGGGGGAAGGGGAGGGACTGGTAGTTGAGGATACGATCTATTTTTATTTCTTGCCTTCTCGTTGGAGCACGGAAGCATAATTACGCAATTGTTGTTAATAAAGGACTGTCAACTATTGGGTTTGATTTCGATACTCTTGGATCTGCTGGATGAGGGAAATTTGTTCTTTTAAATCAGTAGTCTAATTCAATTGAGAAATGAATTGATTCAGAATTTCAAGGTTCTGTTGCAATTGTTGGTTGAGGGAATTCGAATCTTCCTTGAGTTGTTGGAAAAATTACTGTTTGGATTGAAGAGCAGTGTAATCTTAATTTTTAAATATTGTTTATACCCACTCCGCAATTGTTGTTATTCTGAAACACAAGGGAATCTCGTTAGCTGAGGTGGACTCTCATTTTGAGTTAGTAATCGAAGAGAGTGCCATCTAAGATAAGTGCTGATTGTGCCTATTAGGCTGTCTCGTACTCGATGAATACTTTCCAAATGATCTTTCTTTCGAAAATGAGAATCTTAAAATAATGAGGGAACATCTAAATACCTTTTTAACTTATCCGAAGACAGAGAAGGTTCTGAAGAACTGACTGTGTTCAAGCACTTTCCCCTGTTTGTTGGTGACCAACACCAAAATCACAGGGGTTGGTGAACTCGGTGAGGGTGAATTCTTGTTCATTAAAAAAATAATAATTGATAAATCTAAATTTTACTTTTCCTTTTAATAGTCATTTTCATGAGCTTTTTGCTTTTTTACTGGTCTTGTGATCACCTGCATGATGTTTGTTACTATGATGTTGGTGTTGTTTGTCCTTTTTTTTCTCCTGCTCCTACTCACTGACATATTGAGCAACTAAGCTATTGACTATGGAAATCATAAAGAATCCTATCATAAGAATAATGAAGTAATCCCACAATTGAGCCAACAAGGGTTTGGTGCCTTCTTTGAAAAGAGAAGGATCTCTCAGTTGTTTTCTTTGCTTATCAAGTAACTCACTCAAAAATTCATAGATGAAGGGAACGTATTTTTGGATCAAGCTGAGTAAGGCCTTGACTGGTTCTTATGAGAACACAAACACAGTCATGGGTAACTAGGAAAGCATGGCAAATCATACATACCTGAATGTGCATTTTGATGAATGCCTTTACCCAAAACAGTGGCTCCAAAGAAGGTCCAGAAGGAAATCAAGAAGTGACCACAAGTAATGCCTGCTAAATCGAATAAGGGGTTTGGAATGGATGCACACAACATAACAGTGAGGAATGCATTTTTCTATAATTTATTGTAAATAAGCAATTTCATTCTATGCATAAAAGTATCTAAAATAGAGATAGAGACTTACTTTCATCCTTCTTTTCCAAGACTTCCTCCAACTCCTCCAATTTCTTATTGGCCAATGCAGCAGCTCTGGCAACGAAATAGGGTGGCAACTCTCCTATTGCTGTACCGATGCCAAAGAGAACTGTCTCAAAATAGACCTACTTCACAATATCGAACATAGCAATTCCAGTTGCCTCCTTTGGACATTCCACATATTACGTGGCATACTTTGATGGCACGAATAAAGGGAGTGCATTGCATTCGTAAGCTTGAATTGTGGTCTTAGCAATGTGAGGACCCAAATACAACACGAATGTGTGCAAACCTGTTCCCAAACCAACAGATGACATAATTCCCAATACAAGCCAATACAACATAAAATAAGCAATCTCATCACCCTGTCTCACCAACTAAACAACATTCATAATTGGATTAATACCTCAGAGTGTTCGCCTTCCACAAATCTGGGTGCAATCACAATCAGAGCCAAGAATCCAATGATGTGCCAAAATTTACTTAAATATTTAACCGCATCCTTTGCATAATTAAACAGGACTATGGAAAACAAATACAAAGTCTTGATTGGATTCGAAAACAGTGTTGGTGCCTCAACCATTAATTAAATTATTATTTATGTATTTATACATTGAATAATAGAATATTGATCTCAATCATTACTCTTCCTCCTCTTACGCCTACAGCTTTGCCTATTTCTCCTCTATGGCTCCCTCTATAACACTAATCACTTCGTAAATGTCGCTGCTATAAACCATCTACTTGAATTTCAAATATTCTATCATTCTATTAACATCATTCAATTCATCCGCATAATTAAACTGTTCAGCCAGTCTCTTATTCAAATGCTTATTCACAGCGTGTTACAGAACATTTCCAAAGGTATAGGCCTTAGTCGTTTTCATCCAAAACTAATAGGCTATGATCATGTCAGTGACTCCGAGCATGAAAGTCACAGGCTCCATGACATCCCATCCCCAGACAACATATGTTCCGTATTGAGTAAAGGCTATTTACATGAGAATGTAAAAGTAAATCTAATACAAAGTTGTCTACTCCTTCATTTCCAACTCCTTTATGATAGAATCCTTCAAATGAGCTAAACGATTCTATTTGCACTCCAGAAATGAGATCTAATCATCTATTATCTGCTTCTGGGCCTAAGAGTAGATACCCAATTTCATGATGACCTTCTTTATTATCAACATGATCAAGTCCTTATCGTAAGTCAACTCCTTGTGTTTCTCGATCTCAGACAACAGTTTTTGGATAAAATTGCTCAATACCACCTTTGTTCTCTGTGGCACATCAATCTCTTAGAAATATTCATGCAATGCGTGTTGGGTGATTGGATAGTTGTCGATCAAGTCAATCACTGGTGGGTTGTCTACTTTATTGAGAATTATGTAGTTTTCTGTCTAATTCAACCTTAAAACCATGTCTTCCGCCAACACCAATTGCATGGGAGTGGAGGATGCATATTCAATTTATTCATGATTGTTGGTTTATTGATATAATCCGACACTCTTCACATCGTCGATCTATTTCTTGATGGCCTATTGGAGTTCAAGCACAGTCCCTTCAGCTTTGAAGAATACCTTCTTGCTGTGGAAGTAGAAATACAAAACTAAAAAGGTTGCTATCAAACAATTGTACCCTCTTACTTGAGATTAAGGTTTTTGGTTTCCTCCTATGAAAATCTCTACAACATGAGGATGTCCTAGAAATTGTACCTCTTTAATGAACAGAATCTGTAGAGACTTTTTAATAACATAATTTAATTATTATGAAATCATCTCTTGTAACGGAGAACGGACGCAGAACCAAAACCACTCCTGATCAAAGCTCTCTGATTAGTTACTCATCCCGCAAGTCTTGTCTCTCCAGCGTATGTAATTTTCACCATTAACCAGGAACGCAAAACCCAAGTCAAAGCTACATGCAAAGTATTGTGTGAGATGAGAGAGGATCAGTCAAGCAATCTAGCAGTCAAGTTTACACAACTTCAAATCGTTTTAGCCACTCAATCTATTATACAAGTAATCTCCAAATTCCGGTCCGCTAAATTGTAGACATACTTCTGGATTCTTCTATAAGATCGCAGAATCATACACCCATCCGCATAAAATCATTCTATTGAATCGATTCCCTTGCCTCAAGTCGTTGATGATTGGTCTTACCTATAGTTTCAGCATAAAACCAAATTAAAATAGCGTCATCACAATCAAAGCTCCTCTCCCTGGATACTGATGAAAGTCCTAAATAAAATCAAGTAAAAACAATAGAGGTCTTTCTTTCAACTCATTAACCAAAACGCCAAAATATGTCAAGGAACTCTACTACTTCGAAAATTCATCAAAAAACATCATAATCTATAAAAATGCAGCTCTCTTCTTTGCATCGTATAATTTGCATAGAATTATCAAAATTCTGATTCATTAGATTGTAGTAAGCAAGATTCCGATTCCATGTAATTATAACAACAATAACAAAAAGATAGCAATATTGAAGAGATATCAATTAAGGAATAATTGGCTATTAAATTTGCAAGTACAACAATTTTGGCATCAATGCTAAACTCAAAACACATTAATTTAAATTTTTATTTCTTTTTAAATTTCTTAAGATGCTAATAAAACAAATCCTAATTCATTAGAGATGTAAATTTATATTAAGGGATTGAAGTAAGTCAAGTTAATTATGATCAATCATCTTTATAAGAAAACTAATAAGTTATAGCAGCTTAAAATCTGCATTCGTTCCTGTTTATCAAATTATAAAATTATTTCTAAGCAATCAAAATTTTTCATTTGAAAAATGATTATTAGATAGCTGAGACTATGAACACCATGATTATCAACAAAAATTGTGATCTATCTAATTCATTTGAAGATCTAAACACTCAGAGAATATTAGTCACTAATCTGTAAGAGGAGGAAATTGAGCAATCGTAAGTAAAAAATAGTACAGAACAAAAGAAGATCTCTTCCTTACAGAACATAACAGAGATTGAAGAATCTACCAAGTCTACTAAGGCAGTAAAAGTGGAGGATTAACACTTATAACTAAGTATGAATACTAAAAAGAAGAAGACGAAAAATAATAAAATCAAGAACGCAATCAAATAGTATTGCAGTATCCAGTCATAATCGTAAAGACGACTGAGCAATGAGAGCATGGCTAAGACTGAGAGTTTTGGATTAATCCATAATTAGGAAGCGAAGAAATCAAAGAATGCTGCTACACTTTATACTGCCTATATATCAATTGTTGTGATTATAATAGTATTTATTTTGTTTTTGAAATGATTAATAAAATTAATTATTTTATTAAAGATGTCAAGAGAATCATCGATTTCGGAAGGAGGAGGATGGGTGTAATGGTTTTGTGCAATGGAAGATCATCAGTTTTTGTGTGAAGTGGATGATGAATTCATAAGGGACAACTTCAACTTGTACGGTTTGAAGAGCAAATTCAATTTTTATAAGTAATTTTGAAATGTTAGCCTTTTAAGTGAAGCATTGGACTTGATTTTAAGTTCTGAAACACCAGACGACGAGGATTTGGAAGACGAAAGGTTCTTGGAAGTTTATTAGGAGGCTACAGACTTATATGGTTTGATTCATGCAAGATTCATCATAACAGCCAAAGGTATATAGATATATCGATGAAGGTTTGAGTATGATGAAGGAAAAGTACTTGGGAGGTAAATTCGGAGCCTGCCCAAGGGTGTTATGTGAAAGATAGAATGTTTTGCCTGTGGGAATGAGTGAGGAATTACGTACTTCGAGAGTGAAGGTGTTCTGTCCTAGGTGTGAAGAGGTTTACATCCCAAAGAAGAAATGTCCCGATGTTGACGGTGCTTACTTTGGTTGTTCATTCCCATCTATATTTTTAATGGTAAGTGTTTCATATTGAATTTCTTAGAACTTCATTTAGGAGGTCCAAATTCCTGCAAACAATTAGACTTATGTGCCTAGAGTGTTCGGATTTAGAATTTACAAGAAAAAGGGATCTCGTTATTAGGATACTTAATAAAAGGTTGCTGAAATCACTCATTATTCTGAGGAATAATTAAAGAAGTTGAGAGGGAAGAATGATCAACAAGCAAAAGAGGATTATGTTCAAAAGTGAATTAGTGTTTTTGTTTTTGTTATTAAAATTTTTAAATCTTTTTTAAAATAAATGCCTAAGGAAATCCAAGATGTTAAGGTGTTCCTCTCACTCATGAAAGGTAGCGAAGCATAAGGAAAAGATGCTAGCAAAGAACCAAAAAAGAGTACTCATTTCTATTTATCCATTCAGACCTCTATATCAAAGAGTCAAAGAAGATCACCAAATTCAAGTTGAGAGGCAAGAAATATCTCTTCACCTTCAAAACAGCTGATAAGAATAAGGCCCAAAAAATTCAATAAACACTCCCATAGAGTATGATATTCATTCACATTCTTAGATGTTAATAAAATTGTTATCGGTAATGGAGGAAAGAAATAATAAACCAAAAAGAAGTAAAAGAAATGAGCACTGATTTATTACATATACAGTACATTATTTGGAGCATATTTAATATAAAAAGTTCATTGCAATCATCGAAATACTAGAATTTATATTTCTTTTAATTTTCGGTTTTCTGAATTGCTATTCCCAATATATATATATATTAAATACTTTCAGAATTAATTAATAAAAATATCTTCATTAATCTACATTATTTATGTGTTTAAGATGAAAAATCATTGTTAATTTAGTTTTTTACAAGACATTTTAATATTATAAATATACAAATATATCATTTTGTTTGATTAAGTCTTTTCTTAATTTCATCAGTAATTTATTAGGAGGTAGCAGATTTATCCATTAGTATTTATAGTATTTCATCACTCGTACATCTAAGTTGTATATTGACACAAAGCAATTTTTCAATGATGTGTCTTACGTATTCTGGTAAAATAGTTAATTTTAATTCTTTCCAAAATTTGCTCCATTCTTCATTTTTTATTAACTTCCACCAAGCATCTTCAGTTGAAGGATTATTTGATTCAAAGGGAGGGTGTCCTGTAACCATAATAAAGTAAACAACACCTAGAGAAAACATATCACATTTTTTTAGATCTTATGGAATATGCCAAATTTCAGGTGCTGTGTATCCTTCACTTCCTGAAATTGTTGCCTTAGGAATTGGTGTGGATCCATTAATTTTAGCAAACCCTAAGTCACATAACTTAACCTTAAAATCAAGAGAGATCAGTAAGTTATCCAACTTAATATCTCCATGAGTTATTCCTTTAGAGTGAAGAAAAGAGAGAGCTTCTGCAATTTATTAAGTGATGCCATTTGCTATAGCAAGGGGCAAAGGACCTTGGAGTAGTACCTTGTAGAGGGAGCCGAAAGGCATTAATTCAAGAAGCATACAAGAACAATCTGAACAATAGCCAATCATTTAGATAATGTGCGGATGTTAAATGTGACGAAGGATTTGGATTTCGTTCTCTTCAAAATATCACTTGATAATTACGAATAGATTAATGGCATTTTACTCAGTTGTCTGAGCCAGACATTTTAATGCATATTGTTATTTAGTTTGTTTGTCCATAGTCAAAAATACAGTACTATCATGGCCTTTGCCTAATAATTTGGAAAAATTGATTTAGTAATTTGCCGCAAATTGCTCGGGAGTAAACATCAAATTATTAATCATTTTTATTAATATAACAAATTCAAATCAAAATGCTTTAGTAGCCATCATCCTTCCCAAAATGGCATTGAGATTTTCATCTAACAGTTCATCAACCTTCAACCCTAGATGTTTTTTAGGATCCCTCTTGCCTGTATTCTTTATTTTGGTTTCCTGCTCTCCCTTTTTTGATTCATCATCTAAAACTTAACTAAATTAAATACCTATCAATTTTTGATACTCTGAAGCCAATTTTGACATCTCCTCAACGCATAACTCATTTTTATTGCTATTCTCAATTGCCGAATTGCATCTAAAATTTATAATTATTCCAATTACTTCAATCCTTCAGCCCAACTGTTCTTATACAGATTCTGAAGCATCTTCTATTCCAAATCGTTGCATTTAAATTTAATATTGATGGAATAATAGTATCTATTGAGTCCTCTTAACAGAGCCTCAAGTCCAGGTTTTTGAAGATGGCCAGTGTTGGATGTGGTTTGTCGTGGTTCCTATTGAGTGATCATGCTTGATTGGGGAATCAATCTAAATGCATCGATGACGACCTTGCCTCTAACTGATTGGATGGGGTCAATAACAACAGCAATGGATTTCTTATTTAATTATTCATATGATTATTGTGTATTGATGTCGACTTGCAATAATTGGATATAAATAGGTACCGCTTGATAACCAACAGCCATAAGAGGGATGGGAATGGTACCATCCTATGCAATTTTCCATTCTCCCAGTTAAATTGAGCAATTCAACCATTTTTTATTAGAAAATAGGATCCACTGATTCCACAGACACACTGCTCGCTGTCTAAGGCATTGAGAATACATCATAGACTCTGATGTGGTAGTCGTCTACTATATCACCTAGGAGTAGACCCATGACTTCAAAGGGGATGCCTGCTCTTGCATGCTAGGAGATGGTGAGGGATGGATATTACTTTGAGCATTTTGATCAAGGCTAGAGCACTGATTGTAACTTATTCGGCAGTATCTGGAATGGAGGTTTCAGGAGGTGCATTTCCATGTGCTGCTCCCAATTACTGCATCAAGTTTTGAATGTTCATGAGGGGAATACAAATTTAAATAAAATAAAGCAATACTGGGGTTCTGATACAAAGTATTAATAATTATGGGAATTTAAAAATTTAAATTATGAGAATTTGCAATTTGATTGGTTTTTTTTTGTTTAAATATGTTTGATAACATTTTAAATATTTTAAATATAAAGCAAATTATAAGCGCAAAAAATGGCTTAACAATAATAGGTTTAAGTTGCCGCAGAGTTCAAATTAGTCGTCGTAGGTGATGGTGCAGTTGGTAAAACAACTTTTGTCAAGAGACATTTGACTGGAGAGTTCGAAAAGAAATATCTAGGTACTTTATAATTTGAGTGTGTTTTTAGCCACATAAGGAGTCGAAGTGAGCCAAGTTATATTCTACACAACTCACGGTCCTATCAGATTAGTCATCTGGGACACAGCAGGACAAGAGAAATTAGGAGGACTCAGAGAAGGCTATTACATCGGAGCTAATTGTGCAATCATTATGTTCGATGTCACATCCAGAATCTCCTACAAAAATGTACCCAAATGGCATAAAGATCTCACTAGAATTTGTGAAAACATCCCCATCGTCCTAGTCGGAAACAAGGTATCATATCCAAATTCATTCTCTTTTAGGTCGATTCCAAAGACAGAAAAGTCAAGGCAAGATAAATCACATTCCACAGAAAAGTCAACATTCAATACTATGACGTCTCAGCCAAATCTAACTATCAATACGAAAAGCCCTTCTTATACTTACTAAGAAGATTGGCCAAGTATTTAACTATCTCTATTCTAGTGATACCAACTTAGCTTTAGTCTAAGCCATGGCTCTCTTGCCTCCCGAAATCCCAATTGACCCAGAATATGCTGCCTAAATTGAGAAGGAAAGATAAAATGCTGAAAATCAACCATTACCAGACGAAGAAGACGATGAATTCAAATGATGTTTTTCAATATTCATACAATTATAATAATTTGAAATTTGCCTCCTCCATTTTAATAAAGTGAAGCTTCAATTTTAAAGAGTTAAGATGTTGAAGCTAACTAAATTTCAAGCCTGAATAAATTTTATATCACTTGAAAATTTAAATATATAAATGAGTATTTAATATTACTACTAAAATTTCTAAAATACATATTATATTGAATAACACCTAAAAATCCATTTGTTGATTAACTATAATTGTTATAAATCACTTTATCAAACATAATTAATAAGATCGTCTAGTGAAAAATAATTCTATTGAGAATGGAAGCTAGCATAATTATAATGATGTAAAGTAATGAGATTAAATATCTATGTTAATAATTCCTTATTTTAGTAAAGATTATGATTATTATAAACAGATTTTTTTACATAAAATAATGATTTTTAGATGAATATTTGAAAGTAAAATTTTGATTGTTTCTTCATAACAAATAAATGTATCATTACTCTCAAAATCAAAAAATAATTCCTTTAATGATTATTTTAAAACCTTTGAAAAGTTATGATAATTTCCAATTTAATAATTAGAAAAAACAAATTTGTATAATTACTATTCGAAATTAGATTGTTTATGAATACATATTAAATGTGATGGTTGATAAATTAAAAATAAAATTGACTTTTTAAGGGTAAATTGCAAATTAGAAGAGTACTATCAAAAGTGGTGATCCTGAAAGAGCATTAAAAAATGGAATCAAGGTAGGATAACATACAAATAATATCTTGATAATTTAGATTTAAACAAAAGGATGTAATTCTTTAAGATATTTAGCATCAATACTAAGGAATAAAACAATTGCTGTTTATTCTTCAAGAAGTATATTAATGCTTTTTATATTAAGAAATAATCTTATATAATGAGTAAGTAATGAACCGCTGTAATTATTTAAGTATACTTTTTACCTTCTAAAAATCAACATTTATAATTCATATTGATTTTTTTTTCATTCATAGTATTAGTATTATTTGTAAGTACTTTTTGTTTTCAGTTTAAAAAATATGTTTAATATTATGTGTTTAACGAGTGATCAATTATCTAAAAAGATCAGGGATATATACAGATACAAGATTTAACTTAATTAAAAAAATCTTTAAAAATATCTAACCAAATAAAGAAATACTATATTCTTTCAAGTTGATCAATATATAATATAATTAATGTAAGATTTAAAACACAGTGAAGGAGATGAAATAGTTTTTCACATTACCAAAAATGCCCAGCAATATGAACCCAACATTACTTTAGCCACCTCGCCTAATGACAAACCTGTTTAGAATCCAATAACATTTGAAGATATCAAACTAGTATCTTCATTATAGGCATCAGCTGATGGCCATTACTAGTCTGTAAGAATGATTTGCTCAGGATGTAAGAGAAAAGTAAGTTTTAAAGATAATATTTAAGGTTAATTCAGTCATAAAAAGGCGAGCTGGATTATAAACATTTATTGCTGGAGTACTTTTAATCTTTTGTTCTTTTGGATTTATATGTGTTACTTGTATTCCATGTATGGTAGATGATTGTAAGGATGTTTAACATTCCTGCCCAAATTGTAAATAAATTTTGGGGAAGGCCCAATTTAACATACTAGATTGACAAAATGATTATTATCATCTTCTTTGGTTTTAATTTCTATGCATATTATATTTCATAAACGTTTTCGAGTTCAAATCTCACATTCCAAGATAGCTAAATAAGGTATTAAATCCAAGGCTATTGCATTATAATCCAACCTACCATGTTGGTTCAATTGCTAGGTATTGATTTAGATCAATTTTAAGTTTAGAAAAGAACATACTTGTGTTATAACTTCAATTATAATGTTATTTTTAAAATTATACCAAAACTTCAGAGAAAATCTTAATACTCTCATTAAAGACACCGAATATACATCTAGAGTCATATATTCACATATTGATTAAGGTTGAAGAGGAAATTCAATATTAAAATAAAAAACATGAATTGCTCGTAATATATACGAATCGGTTTAAACAGTAAATTTTAGAAATAATATAAATTTACATGAATTATAAAATGCTTTATGCTTGATATAGAGATATGCAATTTAAAATACAGATATAAAATGCTTTGATTTGGATACATATTCATTCAGTTCTAAAAAACTCCGTGATTAATTTTTGGGATTGGTCGAAAATCTCTTTATTTGGATGATACTGCAAATCTTCGATAGCCTGAATGAGCTAATTTTACTATAGAATTGCTAGAATAGGATTTGGAACATTCTATTGGGATTACAACGACAAACCATAATTCATGAGCGAGGTTATACATTCCAATCCTTATAAGACGATGTAAGGTTCAGCTGATTCGACAGTAGATTTTAAGTGTATAGCAAGACCCAGATTGATGAGAACTGTGAAATCCAATTGGTTTCCATACTTTAGAATGTGTTGGATCGATCGTATCACAAGGGATTGATTTATAGGTTTGTCAGTGGTGAGGATATTTATTAGTTTTTTGATTAACTCCTATTGTGAGAATATCTATTAAATGACATTGTGTCCTTATTTACATAGGTTTTGTAAAATGTACAAGACTGCTGTTCTGATCTTTTAGTATTTGTAATTGATTAGTTTGTTAATTATTTCCAAGATAGAAAATTGCTGGAAGATTGAATACAATTACTGAAAATCAGATAAGTATTTCATTTGGAGTAGGGCAGAATAGAAGGATTCAAAGTCATTCTCGTTGGTAAGATATTCGTTCAAATAATTAAAGAGTAATTGAAATATTTCAAAATAATTAACATCTCTGTCATACTAATCACACTATTTGTTGATGATAAATAAGGTTTAGAGTATTTCTTAGCTTTTATTAATCTTCAAATGCTTCAAAATTACTATTAATTAAGGTTTAAACTATTCAGGAATGTTTCTACACAGTGTTTAAATAAGATAACTAACATTATACAGCAAAGTGTCCTTCATCAATTAACACAGGATCTCAACTGTGTTTTTGCTAAGTAAATAATGTTGGATTTGTGCTAATTTGCTTGAGACATTGCCCAAATACCCCAGTATCAAATTAGCCAAATCATCTATTTGTTTATTTTCTATGAGCAACTCCAGGGATCTCTCTATTGACCACTGAATGTCTTCAAAAGGCAATTAAAAATATTCCTCATCTTAAGTCAATTACAGATAAATTGTGAATGTGTCAATGTAGTAGGATTCATCATTCAATAAATCCTTGAATTATAGGAAATTCCTTTATGTTAAATACAAACTATGTATGCGATTCCTGTCATCTATGATATTGGCAATCAGATGCAGTTTTTATGAAATCTCATTCATCTCCTTCTTTGCGTAAACTATCTTAAATTCATTGAATAAGTTGTTAATCGAAAGATTCATTTAAGAACCCTGCAATCTCTATTTTGGTATAAACCACATCCTCTTCTTCTCCAATTACTCCTCGATTCGCTCTTTCCTAATTTACAACCGAAACTGCTCTCTCATCTCGTAAATACTCTTTGGCTGAATTTGCTTCTAGTTTTTTAATGTCTAAGGCTGATACTGTAATTCATTATCCGATTCAACAAGTTTTATTTCATCCATTATTTATAATAATAATAAAAACTATTGAATTAAACTTCAGTTCTCAACTATTTACTCTACCCAATTGGATTGGACCTCTATAATTCATTTCAGCACCAATTTACTGTATAGTTTTTAAGCTTTGAAGAACCTATGAAATTTCATTAGCATTTACATTGTATTTTTATATTCATATTTAACTTATGAAATGGATTACTATTATTTCGTATTGAATTGGATATAGAACTATATATGTCTCCCTCTGAGCTTCCTTGATTAACTTAAAATACACGATATCCATCAATTATTATTTCACTATTCATACAATATAAAAGTTAGCAACTTAAAAAGTTATTTACAAAAGACACTAAAGATTAATCGAATGTCATACATATCATTGCTTATAGACAATTCTGTAATGCAATCTGGAACAGTTGTAGATTTGCATTCACAAAATCAAATAAAGATGTCAACCATGTGGAGTTATTGCTAGATTTGAAAAGAAGCCATATAAAAAGTGGCTATTCTAGAAGAAGAACTATATGCTGAGTAAATTAAATTGTCCCAATTTAAGCATGTACATTTATACTTGGTTCTCTTCTGGGTTTCTCTCACTTTCCGCTTTCGGGTGACCTGATATAAAACATATTATACTTCATGAAAATCAATAATTATGCATTGAACTCAATGATGTTTGATTTGGTTTAAGATAATTAACTATAATGGAGTTTCGTTATCGATTATTTCCTTTACAAGTTATTTTGTTTAATCTTCTTCAAGTAATTTCAGATTTTTAATTATTTTTATAATAATATATTTAGTTGTTTGGAAGATACAGACAGGTATTAAATAGTATAATTATGTTGAATATAAAATAACTCTAAAAATGTAGAAATATACAATTATGAACTCAAGTAGCAACAATGATGATTTCAACAGTTAAATTCAAGAGATTTAGAATTAATAAAATTCTTTTCAATAATTTCTTCATTTGACCCACTTGTGGCTTCTTTAGTGAGATAAAATACTCATATTAATGTAGATAATATTTATATAAAGTCTAAAATACATCTTTATTAAATACAAAGACGATATAATTTTATTTATCAAAAATTTACAACAGAGTCAGTTCTTGATTAATTTGATTAAGGAATTGTTTCTGCTCTTGTAGGGTTTGATGGATTAATGATGTGAGGAACTTTGATCGACTCTGACCAATCTGCTTGTATTGCAATACTGTGAATTAGATTTTTCTGATTCAACAGTGCTGTTTTCAGTATAGGTTGTTGATTGGATAGTATCTCTCTTTTCGGATAGTTTATGTTACAACTCTTTCAATTGACTTTTGAGCTCAATGATCTATTTATCTTTGCGTAATTGCAGAGCACTTTGGGTGATAAATAGTTTTTGTTTAATTTCTTGGATTTCTCTTTTGATTTGGAAATTGGAATCCAGCATTTCAGCATTTTCATCTTCAAGCTATTTACGCTTTTGCAATTGTTCTTAATTTTCTTTGAGCAATTGATGATATTATTGGTTGAGTCTCTTGTTCAACTCGATTTGGGAGATGATTTATGCATATTGCTCTTTGGTTACTATAATATTGGCAGAATCATTATTATTATCTGGAATTGAGCGATTAGAATTTATTTATTGTAATTCAGAGAAGCTGAATTCTTGTGTTTATTCGGGCGATGAATCGAGATTGTTTTTGGAGACAATTTTGGATTCATCTCCGAATTTAATCTCCTTCTGAGAATTGTTGAAGAGATCGACTAATTGATGAGCCGACAAATAGATAGGGTTTAGAAATTAATCTTGCATAATATAATTTATATATAAATTGATATTCATACTATCAATTAATCAAATTTATAAGGTCTATGTAAATAAGCAAGTGATAAATAGACAGTATTATAAGTGATCCAATCTTTCATTAACTTTATTTTAAAGAAATTGCCATAACAGAGTATAGATGTTCATGTATCAAAAATTCAAGGAGATCTAATCATATTATGTAAAAGTGAAAATTAGATTAGAGCAGTTCCCATTAGGATTTTCAGTTTTTGAATAGAAGATTGTCGAAAAATTCTATAGCACAAATCTCAATACGCAGTAGGTCGTAAAGGAAGGGAATTCTACATTGTATATTGTTTCCTCATATAAATATTGTAAAAATATAAAATATACTAAATAGTTGGATTCCATTATAAAACTCAGCAGTAATAAGATTATCATATTGAAAAATATTAATATCATATAATTTTATTTATAATCTCATTACTTTTTAAGACTTTCAATTTATTATTCTGTTAATAATTTCTCTTATTGATATTTTTCCATCTTTTCAAGATCTGTTTTTTTGACTTACTCTGGCACCTTGTCATTGTATTTGCTCATCTTGTCTTAGAGTGCGTTAATATACTTAATCAACTCATTCAATTTCTTGATTAATCTATCATTCTAAATAAGTTATTAATTATAATTTTACTTCTTTTGTAAGATCAATATTATCTTTCAAATTAACAAAAATCTTAATTTTAGCATCTAGAGTATCAACTCCACATTATTTATGATGTTCAGTTTCTTATTCGATTGTGCTAATCTAGAATTATTTTATATAATATATTACTGATTTTATTCTAGCTAATAAACAGATGATATCAGCTTGTTATTTAATTAAATCATCTAAGGATTTGTCTCCAATCAAATTCAAAGTGTAGGCGTCAGGTCTTACATTTGGAGGCAATTAAAATTTACTAATAATTGATCTTAACTTCTTTGAGATATTCAAGACCAAATCGAATTAGATTTCAACATCTTAATTGATCCATTAAGGATTGGGTTAAGGATACTTAGCGATGATGAGTGAATCTTCCTTATCGAATGGTAGCTTTTACCATAACTCTTCAGATAAGTATGGCATCATTGGATGAAGCAATCTCAATCCTTGATCCAAAACAGTTAATAAGGTCTATTGAGTTTCGAGTTTAGACTTCTGATCTTGGTTTTTATCACTCAAAATGTTTTTGATTCCTTCCAAATAAATATCACAAAATTCGTAGAGCCAGAATTGATGGAAGCTTTGAGTTGCTTGTCCGAATTCATAATCATCAAATGCAGCATTAACTCCTGTGATGGCTTAATTGAGTTTCACTAAAATCCATTGATTGATCAATTGCAAATTATTCAATTCTAATTTCACATAGTTGACATCTTTGGTTAATTTGGGGAATGCAAATCTACAAGAGTTCCAGATTTTGTTACAGAATTGTCTATAACCAATGATGTGTTTGACATCCATATTGATATTTGGTGTCTTTTGTAAATAACTTAAGAGACCAAATCTTAATGCATCTCCACCGCATTCTGGAATTCCATTAGGGAATTCTTCTTCCTTTTATTTAATGGCCCTTTCAACTTCATCTTTGGATAGATTTCCTTCATAAATCTTCGACTTTAAGTTTTCTAATGAAGTTCCATCGATAATCTCAAGTGGATCTATGACATTACCAAGACTCTTAGACATCTTCTTTCCATCCTTGTCTCTAATTAAAGGATGAAGGAACACATATTTAAATGGAACCTTATCAAAGAATTCTAATGAGAATTACACCATCTTAGCAACCCAGAAGAACAGAATATCCCAACCAGTCTCAAGAATAGTATTAGGGAAAAAGGCCTTAAAATCTGGATGATTAACATCAGGCCATCCAAAGGTGGAAAATGGGAACAACCCAGAAGAGAACCAAGTATCCAACACATCCTCATCCTGAGACAATTTAATTTACTCTGCAGGCAATTTATATTTAGCAATTGCCTTTTATAAGGCTTCCTCTTCAGATCTAGCAACAATCCAATTGTCCTGGTTGCTGGTATCAGGTAAATTACCATTGATACTAACTAAATAGGCTGGACATCTGTGACCCCACCATATTTGTCTGCTGATACACCAATCTCTGAGACCATCCATCCATCTAAACCATTCGTTCTCATAATCAGAGGGAATCAGAACCAATTCTCCGTTTTTGACCACATCGATCATTCTTTATTTGATGTGTTGACAATTGACATACCATTAAGGTTTGATCATAGGTTCAATAACATCCTTGCTTCTGGAACACAATCCAAGTCTCATTTGATTTGGTGTCTTGTCTCTGTAAAGACCCAATTATTTCATGTCCTCCTCCATTTGACGACGACAATCAAATCTCATCATACCAGCATACTTTCCACCATTTTAATTGATTTTACCATCTTCATCAAAAATCTAAATGAATTCCAACTTCTATCTTTATCCACACTCATAATCATTAGGATCATGAGCTGGTGTGACTTTAACTGCACCTGTACCAAAAGTCATATCGACCAATTGATCATCAGCAATAACCTTAATCACTCTATTGCAGAATGGGTGGATCAACTCCTTTCCAATCAAGTGAGCATATCTTTTATCCTTTGAATTCACTGCCACAGCTGTATCACCCAACATTGTCTCCAAACGAGTAGTGGCAACAACCAACTCCTCATTTGAGTCCTTGACTTTATATGCAAAGTGAGTCAACCAACCAAATTCAACTGGCTAAGCATGTCCTGGCACTTTCAACTTAGTTGGCTCCTTGATATCCTCGTAAGTCACTTCGATGTCGGAAATAGCTGTCTTCAATTAACAGGACCAATTGACCAATCGTGTTGCCCTATAGATCAACCCCTTCTCGTACAACAACACAAATGCTTCTGTGACTGCTCTACATTAATATATTTCTATGCTTTTTACTTCTTCAATTACTCATCCATTGTAAAGTGATACCTGTCCCAATCTAATGAACTACCCACTCTCCTCAATTACTCCAAGATCTAAGCTCCGTGTCTATGTAAATTATGATCACCATATCTTACTTCTCCTTCCAATCCCAAACCTTCTCCAAGAACTTCTCTCTTCCCATCTCCCACTTATTCAATTATTGCTTTGCTAGAGCCTTCTCCACAACTGTCTATGTTGCTATTCCTGCGTGGTCTGTCCCTGGCAAATAGCATGTCGCGTATCCCCTCTGTCTGTGGATTCTTGTCAACGAGTCCTCTATTGCTGATGTCAATCCGTGACCCAAATGCAAATACCCTGTCACACTAACAACTTTATTCAAATCACTTACTTAGGAGGTGGCAACACCATCACATATCTCTTGTCGTTCTTTAATGCCTCCTCTGCAGTCACGTGGAAATACTTCTTGTCCTCCCAATATTTATACCAGAAGCTCTCCACAAAACTAGGCTAATATGATTCAGGCATTTTCGAAGCATCTCTCTTCAGGGCCAATATCTCTGCAGGACCTAAACACCCCTTCAATTTCAATATTTTACTTAATTTGCTCAAATCTGGCACATCCTTCCCCTTTTGAGGCTCTGCTATTTTCACAGGCTTCTACTCAGCCTTGGCAGCTATGTGCTTCATAAAATCCTTCTCCTTCTTCTTCTCAAATGCTTTTACTCCAAATCTTGAAATCAATCTTGTGAACATCTCGTCAGATTCGTGCATTAAATTTAATTTAAAAAAAATTAATATGCATTTTATAAATTCTTTCATTTGTTTTCAATTGTTATTTATTCCAAATACTGGAAAATTCTATTATCCCTTCAATAATACTCAAAAAAGGAACCATCTCAAGAATCGTCCCTTCAAAATCAACCATACCCCTTCAAGATTTAAAGTAAAATAACTTTATTTAAGGAGTTTATTATAATTAACTTAATTTCATTGATTTTGGCTCACTAAAAAAAGAATTCATACACATGATCAATATCACTTATTATTAGTCCTCTTTTATTAGTGATTTTGATAATTTATATCACTATTTAGAAAATGATAGACAATAAAATAAGGGATACAAATATTAGTAGGATATCATTTTGAGGATGTTATACTATTAAGTAACTCATCAATTATTGTGTATTTAATAAGGCAAAAATTTTGTGTTTAATAAAGTTAAGCGACAATATATCGCAGTAGATTCAATTTAATGCAGATATGCTAATTAAATATCTCCTTTTGATAAAATGAAAAAGCCATTGAAGTTTAATAACAAATTAATGTTATAATTTAGATTAAGAATTTTTAAAGTTACGTATATTGGTGGAATTCAGCCATATTCATCGTCCATAATAATTGATGAAAAAAAGGTGGGAAAATTTTGAATAGGTCTGTTGAAAAAACTTATGATTATTGAAGAATCTAAAAATTATATCAATCTTGATTTTATGAGAAGGAAAAGAAAAAGATATATTAGATTATTAAAGATAAATTAAATTAATATTGTGTTGTAAGGTATTAAACATTTCTTGATATTGTATAATTAGATGAAGAGTAATATCAATTATTTTTAATTTTTCTTTTGAAATCATATGGTAATATTTAAAGATAATTTAAGATTCAAATTACAGTAAAATTCTGATAATGTGGCGATGTTTTTTCGAATTAAATATATTTTGTAAACTTAGGATAAAATATAATTAATGTTTTTGGTTTGACTAATAATAAGGCTTTATAACTTTATAATAAAATAAATTATATTGACTAATGTAAATTTATGTTAACAATATTGGACTTATAGAGAATTATTGTTTAATGATTAGTAATTAAAACTAGGATAAAATAATAAGACAAAACAGCAGTAGATTTTACTTTAAATTCACAGCATTTTCTTAATTTTTTAATACCTAAAAACAGCATTATCCTACATATTTAATTAAATAAATTCCTATCATTTAAAGTTATTGGTTTCATAGGAATTCTCGAAATTAATTTTTCCTAATTTTTGCAATAATAACCAATTAAACTAAGATTTGAGAGTATCAGAACTCATCATTATCTATTTTGTTAATTAATTGAATATTAAATTAATATACTATATTGTGGGTATAAAAATTTGAATTTTTATTTGGTCTTACTTTATTATAAAATCAGAAATTAAGTTTAATTAAATTGGCTTTACATTGTTACAAGTGTTTGGCATAATAGAAATACTTGTTTATATTGCAATCAATTGTGGTTTGGTCGGTTTTAGAATATTCTGAATTCTGGTTAAATCACAGGATATTTATATTAAAAAAGATAAAAGTTATGATCATCTAGGTTCAATATTAATTATTTGAGTTGATTATACATTTTGAGTTAACCATTATTTCAAGTGAGTAAATAGGTAATTTGAGAAAAAAATACCTGATTATTAAAAATGATTAATCATTAATCAGAATCTGACCAAGGGAAGACGAAATCGATTTCAGATCATTCTTTAGTGAAATCTCATACGCAATCCATTAAAGATATAGATTTATCGGTTTATAGATGGGCAATTTTACTTTTGTACTACCTAGTTGTATTGGTAAACGGCGTACCCTATGAAATTTGTGTGCCCATAAGTTCATTTACGGCTCATATATACAATGTAACGTTGGCCTTAGTTGCAACTGCCTCAACTGTATTTATGGTTATGCATCCAATATTGTCGTTTGTCGCTGCATAAAGTATACAAGAGTAATCTAGTTAGCTATATCAAATTATGGATGGGCATCTGCTACTAATTTAGGGGTTATACTTACAATTGCAGGATGTGCTATTAAACTTCTGATAAATCAAGCAGGGTAGATAATATAGATGTTATATCTAGATTTTTAGTTTTACTAATTGGTTAAGTACTGTGTGGAATAGGAAGACCTTTTATTTTAAATTCTCAGGCATCTATGGCCATGAGTTGGTTTCATCCTAAGACTCGAATCATGATCATAACACTACTTAATGTGGTTAATACTTTATCATTGGTCATTTCTGCTCAATTACCAGGAATCATTTTCAAGGGATATAATTTGTATGATGATCCAGACTATGAGGATGGGAGAAGCAGAATGCAAAGTTTGTGTTTACTTGAATTTTACATAAGTTTGGCCATCGTACCAAGTCTATTGATGTTGAGGAGCAGACCAAAGGAGGTTCCAGTGAAAATAAACAAAATCGAAAGAAAAGGAGGGATGCTAAAAATAATGCTGAGACTATTTAAGAATAGGAACTTTGTTTTACTGTTCATTCCATTTAGTCTATACTTTGGCATATTAAAGGCTTATTTGGTAATTATGGAACTGTTGATGGCTCCCTATAACTACAAGACCGATTAAGTTGCTGGTGTTGGTATAAGAGTAATTAATAAAAAGTTTCGTTTCCATTAATTGGTGGATTGATAGCTCAAGGGGCATTTCCATATTTTGTAAACAAGTATCAGATATAGAAACCATTTGTTCGTTTGTTCTTATTGTCCTCAACTTTAGCTATGGGATCCTTATATTTTGCATTACAATCGAACAATGTGATCTACATTTACATAGTAATAACTCTATTGGCCATGTGTGTGATGCCCATACTGCCTGTGATTATGGATATGGGATGTGATTTGATCTCTCCAATCGAACCATCGTTTGCAGTTGGTGCCTTTTATATGGGGAGCATGTTGTTTTTTGTGGCCTTCACTTACATCTTGACATTCATAACTGGGAAGAACAAGGAGGATACGAGAGTGTTGTACACCAACATTTTCTCAACCATTGTGTTGATAATTGGATTGTTGTGCAGTCTATTTCTAAGAATTGATAACTAATACTATGCCTTGGATGTAGAACAAGACAAAAGCTCATTGGTGCACCCTCTAGAAAAGAATGAATCCATCCTCAAAGACAATTGTCCTTTTATTTATAGAGGGACTCAGTCGAAGATGAGTATCTAACATCAAAAGGGATCTATGTTCAGTGTACATTATCAATGTATCTTTAGTGTTCACATTACAATATTAGCATCGTGGGTGATGTGCCATTAATCCCAGGAGAGGAGGCAGAGGATCTTTTGGATTCAGAATAGCAATAATGAGTAAGATAGTTCTATATTATTGAATTGGATAATCATTTAATTCAATAATGAGAAATTGAAGTATTCATAAACACTTATATTCATTTATTCAATTGTTTCTTCTTTAACTACTTTAAAAAGTTGAGGGCTTGAGCACTTAATTACTCATTCAACTCAGTCTTTTGTATCTATTTGCCAATCGATGATGTTTGCATTCTCTACGTAGATCGAAACAAAGATCTGGTTTGGGATTGCACTCTGCCAGACCTAAGTCGTTTGATCAGGTTGTTGAGTGCCTCTGGATTGTATACTAGTTTCTTTTGCTTGATCTCTGTATCAGAGTTGTGAGGTGAGATGAAATACACATTTCTTGGTTTTGGGGGTTGTAATATATCTAAAATTTAATCATATAGGTGAGACACACGAATTAAATCCTAAGCATCTACTTTAGAGTTCTCCAAGAGATTACAACATTGCTTAGCTTTTTCCCACAATTCATTTGGAGGAACTTAAGTCTTTTCTTAGTCATCTATAGTCTTAGCATTTTCGTAGATTATCTCACTTTCCGCTATGTGTTTGCTGACGTTTGTCATATTTGTGATAGAGACTATTTCAAAAGGCATAGGTTTTATCTGAATCTTCCCCAAAAATGAATTTATCAATCTATTTTTCACTTTGTAATGTGCAGGATATATTCGCTTCTCTATTCTATGACATAAGAATTGATATGAGTAATCGGATGTAAAATACTAACATTAATCTAGCATTAATTTTATATAATTTGATATTATTTATTAGACATTACAATAATTTATCATTATACTATATTAACACTATGATTCGTATTGATCTACAATCTTTACTCCTTCTCCAATTTTATTAATATTTATAATAAATAGAGGCATTAAAAATAAGTGATTAAATTTATTAAGTCTAAAATAGGTAGTTTTTCTTGATTGAAGCTTCTTGATTATCTCACCTGGTCTAGATATGTTAAAAATCTCCCTCATTATGTAAGTTATAAGTTCCCTAATTAATCAGAAGAATCATAAACATATTTAAGTATATTCAATGTATATCTGTAAAAGAAAGTATAATGATTTTCATTAATAAAAACAATTAAGTTAAGCTATTATTAAAAATTATCATAAATAATTAAGAGATTTTCAATTTTATGCTACAAATTGTTATCTTTTTCATGTAATTGATAAATTAATTATATAATTTTAATTATATTAAGGTAGTCTATCCTTTTAACTTGATATTAAAATTTAAGTTTTTCAATTATATTTAGGGCCTTTAATAATATTTTTATTGTTCTTTACATTCATATTATTTGCTAAGAATATCGTAAAATAAAATAGCATTAATTTACATTAATCCACAGGATTAAGATAAAAGTATTCCATCATATAGAACATCCCTTCTTAAATTAAATTTATTTTTAGCTTATCAATTTTTCTTAAGTCTCTCTTAGATTGAATCTTCTAATCATTCTGATTATAAATAATCTAATTCAAGGAATTGATATCATAAGATCTAATAAAATGGCAATTCTGCTATAAAATCTCATCCATCAGATTTAAAGATCATGAATTTCTCCATTCTAATAGTACTGCAAATTCTGTAAAAGGTATAAGTTCAACCCTCAATCATTTATAACTAATCTCTATTTCTATAGGTGCTACCATTTGAAGAGATAAATACATGAATATAATAGTTACAATATATTAATTATAATTCACTTCTTGATTTAGCAAGATTTTACTTTTTCGGCAAATCTAAGACTAGCAAGAGTCTATTAGAAGTCTTCTGATCTTGATGAAATGTTAACCATCATTAATGTCTTAGAACTTCCTTCCATGTACTTGTACAATGAAAAAGTCAGCTTGCTATTTCTAAAAGGAACATGCTGCTATTTGGTATAAAGAGCATTAAAGACATCACCCAAGGCACTTAGTGATTTGTTAATTGCTTTGGTTTCAGTAAATCTGTCTCCTTCAGTTTTTGCTACATTTGCTCTCTCAGAACCAGCCAAGTCTATCAAATTTAAAGTTGAATTGATTTGCTTATCCCCCAAATGTCCTTACAAATTTAACTAAAATATAAAATGACTCCTAGAGGACACTTCATTACTGAGAGTTTCTGCAACTTGTCTATTCTTTTTAGCAGTATTAAAATGATCTGCAACTTCAATGATGTCCTTAACATCTAATAATTTGACTTCATCACACTTTTAATTGGTTATTAGATCTCTACTCTACTCATTATAAATTTCTTGAAATCCAACTCTAATGGAAGTTTACCAACCTAATTCTAACATTCCCTATCTCTCCTGAAAGATTTGCTCTACTGCCCTTGGAATCACACCCTTGTTATAATCATCACCCTGCATAGTATATGTTTTGCCCGATCCAGTTTATCCGTAAGCGAAAATGCACACATTATGTCCGTCAACCACATTTTGAACTAAATCTGAGAGTTCATTATAAATTTCTTATTGATCTGCTTCTTAGTTAAAGATGTGTTCGAAATTAAAACTACTCTCCTTTTAACAATTAGTTGACTTTAAGAACCTTTCTGGGACTCGCAGTACCAACGTACACTCTCCGTTTAATAGTAACATGTCCTCTTGCGAATTAGGTCTAATACGACAGTAGACACGGATGTTGCCTTTGGCTTCTTGAAGTAGATTGTTCCAATATCTCTTTTGATGTTCTGTGTCTTTGAGTTCTTATTGTAGTTGAATATATTGTTGCTAACTCAGTTTAAAATTGTTCATAAGTTGTTGCTTCAAGAATTTCTTCTGTTCAAGTTCTTCTTTGGTTTGTTACAATTCATTAAGCATTCTCTCCTTGGCCTTTTGCATTTCGGCTATTTGGAATCTCTATTTGGTTTGTTATTCGAACAATTCTTGGATCATTTGCATTTGGCTCTATTGTTGGTTGAGTCGATTGCCATGGTATTCCAATTGATCCTATTGCTGATGGAACTACTAGATTGCCTATCTATCAGCCTCATCCAATTTGGACTAAAATTCTTAGAGGCATTCGCGGGTAGTTTTTTGAATTACTTGAGTGAGTGGTTTGAATTCATCAAAACTCTTTTTGAACTCTCCAATCTCCTCACTTTGAGCTGCAAGAATTCTATTTTTATGAGTGATGAGTTCAATCAGCTTGTCCTCAATAACCTTGAGATGGTAAGCCCTGATATCCTTGAGTTCTTTTTCCATTTATAAAAATATTAAAACACTTAAACACAAATGTAGAATCAATTAGGGGAGGTTTGACAGAAAATTGCTTAAGATTGGGTGTCACTATGCAATTATCTTATACATTCTTGATGGAGAGTAAATAAGGGTGCAATTTCTGATTTACATGTATCAAAAATGAATATCAATCTTTTTATCACCTAGAGTCTTTCCCTTCACATAGGTATCCCAAGTTGATGAAGAGAGGAAAAAGGAGTATAGTGAATATCTTTATTTGATGATGAGTGATTTATGCAATATTTATTAATAAATATTTATTATAACAATTTGAAAAGACAATGAACAACAATGGCAACAATAATAATAACACAAATACTAATGATGTTGATGAGATCGAAAAGATTTTACAAATGGAAATCAACAGCAGTGATAATGAATAATAAAATAACTAGTAAAATGATTAAAGCAAAAGAGAGCAAGTTGAAAAGTATTTTGATAGTATGACTGCATAAGACAAAATGCGTTTGTTGAAGAAAAGAAAGATCTGTGGCTTGGTGGAAGGCTGTGATACAATCGAAGGATATCAAAAACTCAATCGTATTCACGAGGGCGTGTAATGAAATTATTATATTTAGTTATGGTGAAGTATTTAGAGCAAGAGATATGCTCACTGGAGAAATCGTGGCCATCAAAAAGATCAAATTTAGTCAACACATCGATAAGGAAGGATTCCCAATCACATCCATTCGGGAATTCAATTTGTTACTCTCACTCAATCATCAAAACATTGTTAAGGTCAAGCGAATTGTTATGGGATCCGATAAAGTATTCATGGTTATGGAATACATGGAACATGAATTAAAGGATCTGATTGAAAGGTCGAAGTATCAATTCTCTACTGCAGAAATCAAATGTCTGCTCAGATAGTTGCTCCTTGGAATATAACACTTTCATTAAAAATCGGTTATGCACAGAGATTTAAAAACCTCCAATTTGTTGTATAACAATAAAGGCTAACTAAAAGTATGTGATTTCGGATTAGGTAGACGCTGTCAAAGAAACAAACAATACACTCTCAAAGTGGTGACATTATGGTATAGAGCACCAGAGTTACTACTCAGCATTCCAAAATACAATCACAAAATTGACATCTGGTCTGCTGGTTGTATTTTTGGAGAACTACTACTCAAAGACCAACTATTCAAAGGTCAGAAGGAAATGGAGCAATTAGAACATATATTCCGAATCTTAGGTACTCCAACTGAAGAAACCTGGCCTGGATTAAAAGTATAACTCATATTCATATCAGAATATTACATTGGCCGGTCCTTTGAGAACCATCCCTAAATACCCAGGAGTCAAGTTACAAGACATCATTTCAAAAGAATTTCAACTCTCCGAATGGGGTTATGACCTGCTCAAGAAAATGTTAACACTAGACCCTGAAAAAAGAATTGAAGCCTCAGATGCCTTAAAACACCCTTGGTTTTCAGAATAACCATTGCCCTTGAGTGAAGATCTTATGCCCACCTTCCCTCCCTTGAATGAAGTCAACAGAGACGACGTTAGAAAGAAGGTCAAAAAGTGATAATTAAACACATAAAATATTATGAATAATTACAAAACCTGCACTCTTAATTAATCTCTTTCATTAACTAACTCTCTTGCTTGATGTTACTCTATCTTCAGTTGCATTACTTCAGATGATTTATAATAAGTTAACTTAATGGCATTAATTGCATCTGAGGGTGAAAGAGTATCCCAACTATCAGAATTTTATGATAAGAATAAACTAATCAATTCAATTTTTAGTAAGAATTTATAGGTTATAAATTATTTTGAATAAACTAAACATTTGAGAAAAATTGTAGGAACGAAATAAATAAAATAGGCAACAAAAAGAAAGATGTCTTTAATTTAATGAAATAATATTCCAATTCTGGTGGTTGTACTCATTAAATAATCTGCATCCTCAGATTATATTGGAAATAACAATAAACTAATAGTTATTCAATAGATGTATGTTAAAATACACCCAATACATTTCAGAGTTCCGATGAATACATTAGAACAAGAAATCAATGATGTGGACTAATAGCATTGTTTTTAATCTGCCATCTACATTTTCTCTTTACTGCAAAAATGTAAGAGAACTCAATAAAAGGAACTTATATTGAGAGTCGAATCTTATCTGTAATGATTGGAATAAGATTTCTTTTATCAAATTAAAGTGATTTCTTATAATAATTAAATTCCTTAAAAAAGAGGATGTGTAATTTGATGGAATGAAGTGGAATTTCAATCTAATTCAAAAGAATTTGATGGAATACAGAATAGCAATTGTTTATGATAACATACGAAGAATTAAATACGCATATAAGAGAGATATCATTATAAGGAAATAATATAGAAAATTGTAATTCTACTTAAGATCAATTGCATTGGCCATAAGGAGACTAAAATATTGGTAGCTATCTGAAGAAGTAATAGTAGATTGTAGATATTTGAGAAATACTTAAGAGGAATTCTACAATGACGGAGATGGCACAAAATGGGAAGGATGATGAATGGGATAAAATGAATAGTTCTATGAGGATGTAAGGATGAATGTAACAGGAGTGGGATCCTTTGATGGTGCACAGAAAGGGGAGAGTTGGTTTGATCAAAAGGTGTGAGTAACTATGATATATTCATATATTTTAATATTAATGATTGAAGAAGAGGATTCCACCTTCAGGGTGATTGTGATATTGCTCAACTCATTGTCTTTCACCTTTACTATTTTTATGTTGTTGTTTATTTGCACAATAAAACAGCTTCACGAGAGACAAGGTCACACGATTCAAATTGTACTCATTTTAGAATGCATGTACTCATTTTTCTTAATTCTGTCGCAATTTTATTTTGATGAAACGGACGTGTACGAAACAACATTTTTGGTGAGCACAGATGGTGCAGGTTGCCTTACTATAGGGATACTGAATGTGTTCACATCCTTTGCTTATTTCACAAATATCAACCTCTACTCTTTGGAATCGGTAGGGATTTTGAGCTCTAGATTCACAAAAAATTACAAAATAAGACATTTGGCTGTTGTGTCAGGTTCTACATTTTTTGCATTTTTGGCTCTGTTGTCGAAAGCCATAGGATTCAACAAAATCGGTATGTGTTCCCTGCTCCCTGGGAATTTATTTACAGTATTCTTGTTGATACTTACATCTGTCACCTTCATCATAATAGTTTGGACTTGTACATAAATTCATCGATTACGAAAAGTGTTGGGCAAAGACTTGACTTCGCACATCCAGGAAAAAAAGTACAACGTGAATTTGATCTACATCATAACTTTCCTGATCATTAGAATACTACCGGTATCGTACTCCTGTCGATTATTATAGGTATTGGTCTTGACCATCATATCCTTGGCAGACAGCGACACGCAAACGTACACCGCAGCGTTCTATGTATTGGCAATCCCGATGTCATTAGGAGGAGTGTGTCTGAGTTTGATCAGATCTCAAGAACCAACGATTCAAGATTATTTGAACAGGAGAATGCAAAGATAAAAATCCGGAATTGTGGAACTTTCGTTGCCCAAAGTGGAAGTCAGAGCCTTGAGCGATACCATTTCGAATTTGAGCACGGAATCGCAAATAATCAAAACTCACTATTTCTCGTACCTTCAGGGAACAACAAGGGACAACAGTGTGGCCTATCGGAAGACTTGTCTGGACAATGAAGAATTGTATAAATTAGAATTATAATTCAAGGGTTGCAAAGCTGACATCTCAGATGGAAAATAATCAGACAAAGTTGAAATTGAGTGAATTCTTGCTCGTATTCAAAATAATCCGAGAAATGAACGTCGATGTGGTCGTACCTTCAATCACCTCCATCCTCACTCATTATCACATGAAGCACATGCGACAGAGGATCTTGTACTTCGATAGTGATGCTTCCCTCAATGCATCCGAGATCGTGTGCACCAGCTACTCGGAATCTGTTTTCTTATAAATATAATCAATCGATTCATTTATGACATCATTTGATGAACAATCAAATAAAGTTTTTGTAGAGTCATTACACAATTCAAGATTGAAATTATAAACAAACATCCTAACCACATACGATGGAGAAGTACTTATCTCCATTATTAATAATTAAGCCAAGAGATATTTAACAAGGCATCTGCTCTCAGCTATTTACAATCTGAGCACCTAAGCCTCAAGATCCTTCATCCCTCCCATGATAGGACTCTACTCTATTGTAAACGAGAGTAATCAATACTCAATCCTCATCCAGAGAAATCTGCTCAACGCCATCATGCTAGAACAACAGGGCTTCAAAATCTAAGGCTTCTTCACCTATCAGCTCGGCCAAGTCGATGAGGAAATCAAAGGAGGCAACGACATCTACGCCAAAATCAAGATGAACCCCAAAGTCAAACAGGAATTCCTCAACACTCTCAACCAAGACCTCGCAATCCTCAGAGACCAGTTCCTCTGGGGCTACTCCTTCAACGTCATCTACTTGGAAGGCGAAGAGAAAACCAACATTCTCCCAAACATGTACAAGACTCGCAACGGCTACGCAATCGCCAGTTTGGGAGGAGTCCTGGATCAGTTCTGGATCTCCCACAATGAGTCCTCTGCCCATCCAGAACTCTACGCATCTTAATTAGCTTAACAAATTGATTTATTATTATGATAGCCTCTTGCTTGTTAATTGTTTATAATCATTAATTCATCATGTCTAGTAGTAATTCATCATACTGTCTGATTCAAACTCTTGTCCTAATTCAACAACAACCTTTCGTACTGACTCTCAGTAAATTGCATCGAATCATACTCCCACATTAACTATTACTTGTAACCATTTCAATAACACTTACTGATTATATTTTTAATGATTTACTAGTTTTAATCAGAAAAATACTACCAAGAATGGCTTCTTCTAAATGACTACATCCTCCACTTGATTCAGACCTTTAACAATTAAGAATGTAGTTTGCTTTGGCTACTTGACATTATCCTCCTCCCAAATGATCTCAGCTTGCAATCAAACTTATTCAATTACAAAATCATCCAAGGTATCCTTCCCTATTTTCTCTTTTGGTTTCATATCATAAACGAGTATATTGAATTTTTGTCATACCCAGCATGTCTTAGCTGTGAAATAATCTTATTCGCCTAAGTTATACTTCACATTATGGATCTTCAAATTAACATTCATAATCTTACTGCCACTTCTATTAAATATTCATCAAATTTATTTCCTCCAATACGTAGTTATTTAGCGATCAGAATGATTCCCATCACGTTTATTGAAACTGCAACCTAATCTCCCGACTTTACCTGTAAGTTGTAGCGTCTCAATAGGATGTCATCATCATGATGTTTTTCTTCTCTCCTGTCATCTTGTTCCAATAACTCAGCATACTCTTGCGCTTCGAATTCAGGCAACAAAGGCAACTGGAATTTCATTATTTCTTTAGGTTGATCTATAAAATTATCATCATCCTATTTCACTTCTTATTCCTCCACATTTTGACAATACATCCTTATCGAATATTCAGGGAGCACAGCCTCCTAAGAACCATCTTCGAAGACAGCCACTTTGGAACTTTGGATATTGAATTTATTATAAGTGTTCCAGATAACATCATTGATCTTCCTTATGTCCTCATCCAAATAGAACCCCTTTATATTAATCAACTTTCTATAGGTATGACGCATAAAGTTAGTATAACTAGAGTAATTCGCTTTCTCGTTCCATGCAAACAGTTCCTGGAGATCGTAAATGCAAGTAGGTTTAAGCATTATGTGTTTCTCATGGGAATTATTTGTTTATGACCACTGAATTCTGTTAAGATTAGAGTCTCTATATAATTTAGTATTCGATCATAGAAATAGACTCTCTTCAACATCCCCTTTTTGGCTCTACCCCAAAACTTGTTTTTAATTCTTCTTATTTTTAATTTCTCAGAGTTAATTAATGCATATCAAAATACATAAATGGCAAATAAATTTCATTAAATGATTGGAATTTGGGAATGCCTCTCCACTCTTAGGCTTTTGAATATAACTTATAAAATTAAATGTCACACACACACACATAAATTATTCAATCACATGGTTCTTAATTGCTAATCTTACATAGGGTAATAGTTTTGATATGACAAACGAATTGACCTTCTTCGCATAACATAAAATAGCATAACGACTGCCAGCAAACTTGCTATCACGATAACGGCTATAATCCATCCAACACTACAAACTTAATTAAAGAAATTACCTAGCAGAACTCTTGACTGGTTCATAGAGTGATTTCAAAGTAACTTATTTAGAAGCATTACTGAAATCATTCAACAAAGTGATAGTTAATTCTTACTTCAGATCCAATTCGACAGTGTTGGAAACTGCAAGTATTGGCTAATCCTTGAGAGCATAGAGATTCAAGCATATTTTCTCCTTGTATCGTACCAGATTAGTCAAGACATAATAGGATACATTGTCAGTATGAAGTACATACACAACTGGAGGCGTATCCGAAGGCAAGACATCGTCTCTGATGCCAGAAAGAGAAGTCAATGTTATAGGTGAAGTTACTTTTTATGTGATAGTGGGAATAATGTAAAATAACATGACTGTCTTTATTCCATTGGAATATGGAATGCACAATTTATTGGATTTAATGGACCCTGCTGGCAGAGTTTTCCAACCACCATATTGATTGACAATGAAGAGGATGTCACTGGAATGATACTCGTAATTGAAGTCAAAGGAAAATTGCATTCCATAGGAGGCAACGTTATTAGTGATCACAATCATCTTGAACAAGATCTATTGGGTTACAGTTTTCTCAATCTCAGAGTATGACAATAATTGGATGAACTTTGTATCTGATTGTGCATACTAATTGTGATTTGTGATTTCATTCTATAAGTTGCGAACTTGAGAGTTGATTAAACTCATAGATCCATTCTTTATTTTATAAAACAGGAACAAAATCTAATTGGTTGAATCTAAGAGTGTGATTCCATACTCTGGTTTATTGTCGGTGTATATTTTGGAGACAAAAAAGTAGTTGACTCCTTTGCAAGGGGAATAGGATGCAATGCTGGTTGTGGACTTCAACTCCAGAGTCCATGAAGTTTGAGTGTAGGTGATGTGATAGATCATTATTTCTTAGGGAGTGCTTAGTATCAGGAATTCATCCTGGATCAAGTACATTTGACCAACAGAAGGTGCTTGAATTGTCTTAGTCTATAGTTGAGAACAAGAGTACGAACTCTTGCAAGTGACCATTAATAAATTAGTAGTCTTTTCGTTTTTGCCTGCCAAAATGATGTAATGTTATTGTGGATGAACAGCGACGCTATAATATTCTTGGGGCAAATGTAAGTCCAGAGTTGATTTCAGATTGACATCTATAATTACGAGTGAATTTTTATTCAGGATAAGATGATGGTCGTCATCAAATTTGGTTATGATTCTTGCATTGCCAAGAAAGTTGTAGGTAATAGGAAATACTGGTTCATTGAGTACTATTTCCTTTGGACATTATTTACACTGCACATTAATATCCACCACTTGACCGTTGTACCAATCATTACCCAGGGACAAAAAATTGGTCTAGTTTTATTCTCCCAACAGAACCTCTTTGAAACCTGTATCCGTGATGGTTACATATTCCATTCTATTGATTACAGTAATTTCAGTTGTAAAATCCAACTAATTGAAGGAATTGGAAACTGAAAATGCTTCATTGACTGATTGGCAATAATCTGTAAACTTATCAGGAGACCTCAACAAGGCTGCTGCTTAGGTTTTCTACAAAATTGAAAAGAAATGATTTTATTTCAGATATTGGAAGAATAAGGAGGATGTTTAGAATCCATCAACTGATATAATAATATTATTGAAATCTCCAGCAATGGATGTACTGATCACTTAAAGCAATGAGTCGTGAGCTTATGACTCTGGTTGATACACGAGGAAACTTATCTTACCATTGGTTGATTCACAGGGAATGAATAATAATCCATTGTGTTTAGATTGGACTGCATAAACTGGATTAACTATCTTATATCCATATAATGGTAATGATTTAATGGCCTTATTTTGCTATGAAGTCATAAAGTATTCTTATATCGTTTTTGAATTCACCACAGTGAAGGAGTTATCATAAATGGAAACATAGATGTCTTAGTCATAGTTCATGAAGTATTCTATTTCCTAAGACAAAAAGTTGAATCTGTATACAATTAAAGTGGACTTTGTTTTCACGATCAAAATTTAACTGCTATGATAGGGATTATTGAATATCTGCAATCCAGGTTCAGGAGGAGTGATCTTTTCGACTAATTAACCGAGTTCATAGACATCGATTTCTCCATTGGATAAAAGGACAAACACATTCTTTTGAGAACCCAAAACTTGAACCACTGTCAGTCCTTTATTCTTGATTGTTTGAATGTGATGGATCTTCTCCAGGGATATTTCCCAGATCTCGATTTCATTAGGCGCACTAGAAAATGCGAAATAGATATCATCATCATAGACCCATCCTGAAAAGGTGTTTCTGGTCAACGAAACATCGTTTTCTATTGATATCTATAATGGCACGCATTCACACTTTGGCAGATATAGATTGCATCCCCATAATTCCATAATCAAGGTCTTCTTTTAAAATACCATAATCGATAGATGTTGATCAATGGAAATGGTCTCCTAGAACACAATTTCTGTTGGGAGTGCTAGATGTACTTGTTCAATTTGTCTATAGAAATTCAAAACGATATCAGTTTATGGTGACTCCTATTTATACATCTGATTTGGCCCTGACAAGAATGGATCAAGATATTCAAAATAAAGATCATATTATATGGCATTCTTGAACAAAGTGGGAGTACTAATTTCATATAGGTTTTGATCTGAACTGTCCAAAAATTCATATGTTATTTTAGATACTTCTAATTGTTATAAATTTTAGGCATCTATGTAAGTTGCTTTCAATGTGATTTGTGATTAACCAATTTTTGAAGACTTGGATGATCCCTGCAAATACCCGTTGCTCAAGATATATTTATTGATGAATGTTTTCTAGACTTCGAGCAAAGTGGAATAGACACCAGACACCAAGAATTGATTGCCATTCCAAGGTTTCGATTTCACAATTTGCTTATCATTTAAATTAATCTGCAATAGAGCCTAGTCTTATTGCACAAGTATGTATTGGTTTGATATTCGCACACTCTAACCTACTACATTCATTTCTATGGGTTGATTCACAAAATCGTTGTAGTAATACAATTTCCCATTTTGAGTGAGGATAACCAATTCAAATTTCTCGTTCCCATTCAAATCTGACACAACGTTCACATCAAATGCCACTCCTTTGCTGGACAATAGAATTTAGAGATTCAATTTCCACTCCTCCTTGTATGAGAGGATCGAGAGTCGGGTCTCTTCAAGTACATAGACGAGTCCAAATTTTGATATGAAATCAACCAACTTGAATTGATATGACTTGTCTTTAATTTGGGCCAATTTGATCATCACAGTTGTATTTAATGTATTTTTGGAGATTTTCAGAGAGTTCAAATCGTAAACATCGATTATTGAGTACTCATCACTTGATTACCCGAGGAGCACAATATCATCATCTAGAACATTCATTTTCCTAAATGTTATTTGGGATTGGGCTATGCTGTTTTTATCAAGCAGTTTGCTTTGTTTAGTGTCTGAACCTACTTACACAAAATAAAACAAATTGAATTATTTCGAATCCAAACAATCTATGATCAGAGTGGTGTCATCGATGAAGTCAAGAGAATAACAATTCTCATTCAATTTCTACATACCCTAGAATTATGGAGTATCCACTGGTAATGTCCTAATTATTGATAATATGAATACTATTTTGTCCAATACACAGTATTCTATTAATCTATGACTGCAAATTACGTAAATCTGCTATTGCTCACTACACTCTTCGGTTAATCGTTCATTGTGTGATTCGACGCACCTAATTAAAGACATAATCACTCCCTTTTACCTATCAACTGTATGCTCTCTACGATGGTGAATGGAGAAACTACGGGTGTCAATTCATAACTTGGGTTGTCAATGCTTCCGAAAATATCTTTGAGGTCATAAATGAACAACTCATTCACCAATGGGAATATGGTGAGATCTCTTGCAAAGACTATCGTAATCAATAGTGGAATAAACATATTTTAAAATTTTAATATATTACTCTAATTATATACCAAATTAGATAAATTTCAGAATAATCTCAAAATCGATTTTAATAATTACATTAAATTTGCTCATATCAATATTATATAAATATTTGATTATATAAAAATAATCAATCAGTCACTATACAATTGATAAATTATGAATTTGTTCTTGCCTCCTTAAATCAAGTAGTTGCCCTCATCTGTCATTTCAATTGAAAAATGATCATCCTTCAAATCTATCGATTATAACACATTCAATGAACTAGTGGGCTTATAAATCAAAGTAACTTTATTTAGTTATTTCTAAACCAAGATGTTTCTTGTTTTATTGTAAATCAATGGACTAAATTACCCATCAGATCCATTGTCCTCCAAATTCATCTCTGTTAACTTGTTTAATTGCTTCTGACCGATCTCAAACACTTGAATTGAATTCGCGTTATGAGGCACCCAAACAAATTTACAATTGTATACAAAACACACCTTCTTTCCATAAACACTTTAAGCGAGCTAGTATTTTTAATACCATTATTGGTTCTCCTTAATCTCCCAAACGATCACCGTATTATCTCGACTAGTCGACACTAACAGTGTGTTCTAATCATTCAATGAAATCTAGTACACTGGGCCCTTGTGATTTCTCATCACTTACCCACATCTCCATTCTGATCTCACATAATTCCAAACTCTTATGGATCCGTCATCACTGCTTGACATCATGGCTTCTTCACTCTTCCCCAACACCAAACAATTAATTCTTCCTTTATGCTCATTCAACTTACTTACTGCCTTCCAAAGATACCAAACCACAATCTGAGCATCTGTGCTTCCAGAAAAAAAAAAGTTTTATTTCCTACTAACGCACAAACTAACAACATCTCCATTATGTTCTCTAAGAACCCTTTGTTGATTCAGCACTCCCTTCTAGAATTCCCAAACGAATATGTCATTCTTAGAAGTTGTTATCATTATGTTTCCATTTTGATTAAAGGCTATGGCTTCACAGGGATCTTCTATATTGACTTCATTTATCTTCTTGTAATATGTATCCATAGTATTTCCCTCCTCTTGAGTCGAATTCCCCTTGGTTAGTGAAAGTTATTTCTCCAATAACTCCTTCTAAGGATTCTGATTAAAAAACCTATCTAAAATTTCATATAACTATGGTTTTAAGTTTAGCATCAATTTTTGTAAGAACTTCTCCTAAAAACTCGTCAATGAGCTGAGTCGTTCCCCTAAAATTTAGAGTTGTGACAATCCAACTATACTAAAGTTGTCTTGCAAAGGACTTACCCTTTAATTAATTTCAATTTAAATTGATGCTATGGCTGAATTAATCTCTTAGACCAAAGTCTTCCTTAAAGTTTCTAGTTGTACGATAAGAACATAAGGCAAAGCCTCCTTGTTGTTTTATTATTCTTAATAGAAAGCATTCAATCTCTCAAAACTTTATTTTAAACTAACAGGCTTTTTGCCCTAACATTCCACACATAATGTTCTCCTTCCCAAATCAATATTCTCCTCTATGTCCAGTTAAATGATCTATTCGTTGTGCTCAGGACACAAGACCTCAATATTCATAGTGAAAATAATAATATAAACAAATAAAATATAATTGATCAGAATGTTTGGAGAAGATGTAAAAAACAAAGGGATTGTAAATTGATTTAATACCTCAATGACAAGTGCAAAATGAATTTCATTTTGGAATAATTCTATTTATTTTATCAAAATATCGTATAATTAAGTATATGGACAGCATGCTCACCATAACAAGTAGTATCTTAGAACATTTCGATGTTTTAATGCTGGGTTTCTTATTTTCATTCTATATGTAGCGTCTCTTATAATTTTTGACGACTATTCCGATTTGTTGATAACCATACTCTGGCGTGGTGTGTAAGTAACGTTCGTACGACGACGGCATAACCATAGTGATCATTTGCATATTTTCATCCAATTCATCCAAATTAATTTTAGGAAAAAGAGTGACAAAGACTAGATGTTTTGTTTGGGTCCCACGATTCCGGCCCATGGACTGACCAAATAGTAATGGTTAGCTGGTAGTTTGAACTAAAATTCTAATCGATGATACATTGAATGCTATTGGAGTAGTGGTATCATTGTAGAGGAAATTCTGGTTTCCATATTCCTTTCGTAATTATAAATGAATTCAACATTGTTAGAACTTGGTCGAAGATGTTACATTTAAATTAATTAATGATAAATTTTACAAAATAAAATTTTTTGCAAATTATGAGAAAATAAATCAGAACTTATTTGTTTAGTTAGGATTGAATTGAAATCAATTAGTCTAAAATTTTAATAAAATAATTGAATAGGGTCATGTATTTCTGGAATTGAGATATTTACCCAATAATAAAGTCAATATAAATTAAAATATGTTAATATAAATAATTTTGTTAAGTGTGGGTTATGCACAATTAGAGTATGTAAAGGAAGTGATGAATTTATTAGCAGACCAAGAATGCAATTTTAAAAACAGAATTGTTTATGGACAATAAAAACTTCATCACTTATCAGGAATTTACTTTTGTGATTCTTATGCCAAAAGAACATGTTGCAGCTAACAAAATCTAGAAGAACTCAAATTTAAGTACTCTTAATAAAAGTATGTCTTAGATGGTACAGAGAATAGCAATAAGCAGTCGAACTCACACAATAATGTTAGGAAATATTTATCAAGACCATTTGTTCAGATTGCGATGGAGATATTGGACAACAAATAAGGGTTGGGTTCTGTCCTAAATATTGCAGTCAAATGTATCATGCTTGTTAGAACGACTTATTCTAATATGATGAAAAAACTTAGAAATTAAGGCTATGCTATTAAGTAAGATCATGTATGATTGTAGAATGACGTGTTTTGTTCCGAACTGAGAAATATTGTAAATAGCGGAGATCAATTCTGTACTTCATTAGGATATAAAGTGAATTCTTATTCAAATATAGATGAGTGGTTGGAAAATAAGTATTTGAATTTATCTACAAATCCTTTGTGTTGGGATGGCACTCCTTCGCATAGAATATGGGGAGCTGATAAGAAGTTGCCAGAAACGAAAGTAAATACTAAGAGCAAGAAGTAACATACAAAAGAGGAATAACAATCCAACTTGGGACTTTGGATATTTACTGTGATTGTCATAATTGTGGTAGCATATCTTGCAAAAATATTGTCAAAAAAATGATTAATGTATGTATGTATTTTAATTATGTCACAACCTCACCTACGGAATTAGTATTTTAATCAAAATTTATAATTTAATATAAATGAATGTTTTGTTCTGATTTCTAAACTAATTAACTTTCGTTATGTTACTATTTGATAAGTACATGTATAAGAATTTAAGAATGTCGATAAAATACAACCATGTAATGAAATATTTTAACTCATCCATCCTTATGAAGGTGTCCTGTTATTTTTATCATATTCATCTATAAATTAAGGATTCATTTTTCATATTATGATGAGAATAGTTCAGTAGTACTAATTATAATTATGATCAGATGATAATGATACATTTTTTAACAAGAATTTTCAGTTTGAATTAATATATTTGAATATGATAAATCAATAGGATGAGTAAAAAATAAAATTCTATTTCACTAGTTATTGTCTGGTTGAGTCTATTTTTAGAGAATATGATCAATATTTTTGAAATCAAATTTGGTTTAGATTAGTTGTTTATTATCCTTGTTTGAAGGTTCTGATGGATATTGATTTAGTTTTCTTATGAGTAATTAGGTTAAGAGAATCTTCTCTCTCTAATGTGGAATTGCCTTTGGTTGATGATCGACTAAGTGTGGAAACACAGATCTGGTTGGCAGTAGAACTTATGTTTTGGTTCATATTTTTTGTGCCAATCAGTGAACTTGGTTGGAGTATAAGTTGTGGAGTGTTCTTGAAGCTAGTTTTAATGCTTGGAAGTAGGATCTAATTGGATATTATTACATACGAATAAATATAATTAAATTATTAGATATGGTAAAGTTGCTATCCAAATCACCAGTGGCATTAAATAGTCCAACTTTGTAACAATGGGACAACAGTTTCAGAGAGAATTATGAGATGTATTAAACAGAGATTGACAAGAATACTTATGCATTGTAGAGAAGCATAAGGGGGTTCTGGATATTTGGAAAGGCATTCTACCCTGCTTTGACTCAACATTACAGCTAGAAATTGGAGCTATATCAATTGAAATAGCAATTAGGAAAGGTATGATGTGGTATTATTTACATTTCAGATCGAATAATCAGAGGTGAATTTGTATAAGACAGTTGATCCAAGCATCAGCACCGTATTGAATAAGACATTCAGTACTCAATGGCTTTGGTGGAATCTCCAAGACATATCCATTACAGCTGGGCTACAAGTGTATGCTCAATTGTTTAATTTTGGATACTCATGGCGATTCGGATTCTTGGTTCTACCATATTGTGCTAGAGTAAGAAATCCCGTAACTCCTAGGTCTTCTATGACTATGCAACTTCATATTAAAATAAATCGAGGGCGGTCGAATTTCTCAACTGGGCAATTCAATACAGAAAGGCAAAGAGCCAGATCGAAAGAGGTAGCTTGGATCCACAAGTGGTGGAGAGATATTAAGCTCTCTTTGGAAGTGTGAAGAAGGGACCACTCTAAGTGTATGCAGACGTTGTTGAATTGGCTACTCAGCAAAACCCCAATTTGTGATGGATAATATAAATGATATAATGAATATTGATCATTAGAATAATATTTACTTCACAGTCTCTGACAGCAAGGCTCCAGCCAACTCCACTGAGAACTTTTGAGCCTCCTTGATTTACTGCTTCTCATTGGTCTATTGTCCACTCCCTTGGTAGGGCTGATCATACTTGATGAAGCATTTGTCCTTCAAATCACATAGACACTATCTAAAATACAACTATAATTCTATAAACACAAAAAATCTACCTGGTTATCCTCTAGAATGGACTATGACAATCTGACACCCCAATATCGTTCCCATAATCCCTAAACAATCTTGCTATCGATAGAATTGCTAAATATTTCAATATCCAATGAATAATATTTGTCATGATAAGCTCCAAAATCTTTGATCTTTTGAGTGGGAATTCCGATATTGTCATCCTAATTCTCTATTATGGAATTATTGATTACATTTTAATGGTCGATATCCATCAGGGTACACTCTAAATGCACCAATATCTACCTTTTAATTGGTCATGGTTCTGATTGGATCAATCACAACAGCAACAAAAGCTCCGTATCCCATTTATTACAATCTCTAATTCTAGACATCAGTGCCACTTAGCCAACATCCATAACTTGGATGAGAGTGGTACCATCCTACTGTAGGATGCACTCTTCCCACAGTTTCCAACATTTCAATCATTTACACGTATTCCCCCATGGCTTCAGGTGCTAATCATTTGTATACAGAATATGTACTTAAGGTAACATTCACTTCACTTGCCTCTGCATTTAAATAGATTACATCGTAAATGATGAAGGTTTCCTTGTCACATCTTCCTTACATCAGACCCATCACCTCATTGTTCTCTATTTGTAAATTAACAATCAAATACTTCCAAGACATGCATGAATCAGCATTTTGATCACAGCTGCAATTGAAATTTTGCATTTCTTGAAATAGTTAGGTGAACTATCCCATGGCTTCTTGTCGATGAAATCGTTCTGCTCATCCTAATTAAAGTGATAAATAGATTCATCTGGCAATATGTTATTTCTCTCGACAAATTATTGATAATCGACTTACTCTACTTACATTATTATTTTATTAGAATATATATATAATAATAATATTTATTCGATAGATCAATCAATTCTTTTCAGTAATGTACTTAGAGTCTAATCCAATTCATGCAAAGAATGCAAATAACTATAATGATTCAACCTTCATACTTTGAACTCAATTCATGAATTTCCTTTTTTGACATCTGACTCAAACCATTACTGATCTTAATCAAATCAGAAACACTCACGTATCCCTCATTTTTAATCTTGCTAAAAGAGTTCTAATTTTCCTTCCACCAATTTGCATCAAATTGAACAAATGACTAAGATGTAGATCTTTAGATATAAGATTGTTCATAGCTGGTTTTCATGATTTGATTACTCTTGATAGGCTCATACTTCTACACGCTCTGTCTTAGTTGAGTACTCTTCAAAATGAACGATAATTATTTCGCCGAATTCTTTCTGCAAGGAGACTTTTCTTGATTGTTATTTATTTTTGCCGACGTCATCTATCTTACGTAATTCCTAAAGTCGATCAGTTCTTGCCTCTGAGATTATTCGTACATTCAAGTAACCGTTAATAAAAATATTAATAAATCTCAATTTTTATCAGGACTACCCATACGCCTTCTTCACTATTGCTGTCCTAGAGATCTTATGTTCAAAAACTAATTTCTGTAATGTTTCCTTCGATATCACTCAAGGTCTACCATAATTATTTATTAGCTATCTACTTTTAAATCTGACTCACTATATCATAAGTATTTGATCATTTAACACATGCATGTTCCCCTCTATTCTCCATTTCAACAACTTCAACAATCCCTGATTTTTGTATTTCAATATCATTAGAACCCAAAAAGAAATCATAAGTGAATTTAGTATATTCCCCCTCCTGAAACACCATCAATCTATAAGAATGCTTAAATCCAAGAACATTAGCAGTTCTTCCTTGCAAAATGCCTAGCCACTCTCTCGAAAATCTCATCACCTTTATGAATCAAATCTCAAAAGACTTAACAAATGTCAAAAATGTCTCTTTGTGGATTGAAATATTCACCTAGGAACACTCAATCATACCTGATTTGATTATCCAAATTCAATTGGCTATGATGAATTACTTTTTCTTTAATTCTTAGCACTAACTACTGAGATTTCTAGGAATTTTACATTTATTGAATCAAACTTCAGCCCACCTTCTTTAAATGGCAATCCTATCTACTATAATGATGAAATTGTTTCAAATTATTATATCCTAACTTCTGGTTTCTTAAACTAACCATATTACACCAATCTCATATAATTTATGATTATGCCTTATCATGGTCTAAGTATGATCTACCAAATACTCTTAAATTTTCATTAATAAATTACGTTTTACACTTTGAAATCAATTCTTGAGATGCACTTAAATCAACCTCCTTTGATGATTTATATAATCTGGGCAGAGAGTAGAAGGGTGATTTCAATGATTCCCAGATTTGGTGATGTTGGTTTATATTTGAATTCTTTTTGCTTGGGCAATTATTCATATATAATATAGCGTAAAGTCATATAATTATTAATAATAATTACTAAATCTATATTACCTTCAATAATTAAACTATTCCTTATTAATTTGATAAGTCAGTATAAACTAAATTGATTTAGATAAATTAATTTACTTTAATTATAGGAAAGTAAAAAATCAAAATTTAATTATTTTTTGATATATTTATACCCTATATATTTAGCATAATCAGAGAGGTTAAAAAATATCAATGTTTTAAGGTCTTCTTCTGCCATAGACAGATTGCATCCCTAGAATTAGCAGTTCGCCAGCAGAGGATATGCTGATAAAGGAACTTGAAGAAAATTTATAGCTCTCATCTAAAGATAAAGTATCATCTTAGTCTGCATCACTATCTGAATCAGAGGAGGAGTCATCATCATCATCATAATCTTCCTAATCGTCCTCATTTAGAAATTTATCAATTAGACAGGTTTCCCTTAAGTCTCCGTTTTGATAAATTGAAGTGAAGTTGAATTTATTTTCAAATCTCAATGTCATACTATTTGAAATAGGCAATACAAAACCAATTTGACTTTTCAATTTTGTAATAAATTACATAGATTATTCGATTCTTTTATCAACTCTATATGCTACTATAACATGCTCATTTGATGTTGTTAATAGCCCTTTAATATACAGAATATTTTTGTCATAATCAACTTGTAGATTGTTAAAATCGATCATTTTAAAAAAGAACAATGGTAATTTTCTTTACAGAAAGATATTTAATTCATTTTGGTAATTATAAACATTGCAAATAGTTTGTTCCTTTGAATCAGTTGTAAAAATTAGAAAATACTCCTCAAAGATGACAAACTCAAGTATTTAAGTTACATTTAGAGAAAAACTGCTGATCAAATCTTAGAAGGGGAACGATATGCTATATAGGCATAAAGAACCATTTTGAGTTTAGACAAATAAAAAATCCTTCTTTTTTGGAGATGCAAAAATATTCACGACATCTGTTGCGTCCAAATCATCTGATTGAGTTGTCTCTTGTTCAGTTATGTTGTAAATCAATACTTTTTGGGGTAGTAATAAATAGAAGTGATTGTTATCAGACACAACCTTATGCACTTGACCATTTTCAATCTTTTTCACCTTTTTTTAATCATAGGTATTCATTACATCCAGATAGAAGTAGCAGGAAATGTATGTACAATGAATATAATTAATCTTATTATCTTGGATTTAAAATGCTGAATTTAATTTAGTGATGACCTCATCTTATACTGAATATCGTTTAAATACTTTCAAATTACCCTTATCGATCTATCCCAAAAAGATATAGGAACTTGAAAAAGCAAATATAATTTTAAAACTATCTAAATCGAATATTCTTAGTTGATAAGTAAAAAGAATTGACAACTTATTGTATTGATTAAATTATTAGGCTCCCATGAGAATTTTATCATATTGACATTTCTGAAATTTAAGTAGACGACTTTGATATATCGTTGAGACATCTATAGTCTTACTGATATTGAGAGTTTTAACATGGATGTCGTAATCTGATTAAGTTAGTATTACTATATTCTTTAGAGCATCTGCGGCTTGAATTTCAAATATCAAGTTGACATCGTTTTGTTATTTTGTATTAATTTCAAAGAAAGGGGTTTCATAAAGCAAATACTTGAAAATATAATTTTTATCAGCCATAATAAATTGATCTTACAATTGATTAGCAATGATTTAAAAGTTTCTCTTGAAATCTGTAGTACTAATGAGTCGAAGCTTTTTTGTGAAGATAGTAACCTCTGTTCCAGATCCTAAAAGGATAAAACTTTTTGTCAAGAATACTTGTGCCTTTTTAACCCTAAGATTTAACCCATATGTTTCACCATCATATGTTATTTAATTAGCATGGACTATTACGAACTTCTTTGTTTTTAAATCGTAATCATAAGCGAGAATAATTTCCTGAAAAGATAAGCATTCACTATTCTTTGAGACTAAATCAATTACGAATAATGTTCTCTCACTGCTGAATGTTAGTGTTTAATCTTGATAAGTCTGCAATATTAAAACTTCCTGATATCTTCCAAATTATTGATTTTCACACTTATAATCGAGTTTTAAAAAAGGGCACATATTCTTTTGCCAATTATTATTGGCATTTATCTAGTTATGGCCATTGCTAAAAATGGTTTCGTTTAATTAGTCTACTAAAGAAGTTAAGGCACATGCGATTGGTATTTCAGTCCTATCGATCATTTTTGGATAAACCTTTATTAAGATTTTCCTCCAATTTTAAATTACTATAAGCACAGTATCCATCACTACAAAATTGTAGATTTAATCTTGCAAAGTAAAGACAATTTAAATTTCAGGATCCTTATCCTAATAAAACTTCGCCTGTTAAATTATTTACAATTAACCTATGATCAATTAAGATTACCGAGGCATTCTATTTTTTGTGGTTTTATATTGTTTTAAAAACAGAACATCATATTCCCATTGATTTTGATGTTGAACATACTAAATTAGTTTCATGCTTACAACTACATTAACATTGTCAATTTTATTATTAGAACAAATGTTGAATGAAGTAGAAGAATAATCAAGTTCATTAAAATAAAGGTAAACTACTTCTTCATCTGACAAAGATATTGAAAACTGTTATTATTCAGCGTCATCCTACTCTATGCAATCTTAAGATCTTATGATTTGGAACAAAATAACCGTAAGACTTCCTAAAAGCATTAAATTCATAAAATTAATTATATTGTTTAAATTGAAACAAGTAAAAACAAAAACTGCGGATCTATACAAATTATTCTAATAACATATGATTCCAGAATATTTTAGGATCTAAATAATTACAAGTACTCTACCCAATTCTACAACTAAAATCTTACTTCACCAATTTCCTATTCAAATTATTGGATTATCTCCACTATATTATACGGATATGGATTTGAGGTAACCATCATCTTCAGAATTGAACCTCAAATCCACTTTGAATACAGAGTTTCTTGTATGATTACAACTTAAGTAGATAAATGATCATCATTAGAATTCAAGTTCATAATGGCAATCTATTAAATAGTTTATGGCTATTGAAGACATTGCAATAGGAATTTATTTTTTATAAGTTGATTTGTTTAACAATATATTTTTTTATATTAATTTGGAAAGATGAAGGGACCTAAATATGTGGAAAGCAACTTCTAGTTGTTGTTAGCAAGACGGGTAGAATACAATAAACATATCAATTAAATTAAGAATGCAAAATGTAATCCAATGTTGGAGAAAAGAGTAAGTTATATTTTTAATTTAGTCTTTATCATAGTAATAGTCCTTTTTTAGATAGCTGGAGTAAAATTGGAAATAGGCGAATTTAAAAAGAGAACAAATGAAATATGAGGAGATAGTCAAGTTAAATACGAAGATGTTGATGAAGGTGGCAAATGCAAAGGAAGATCAATTTTTATCACAAAGTAATAAAAAAATCTATTGAAGATCCTTAAAAAGGTCGGATTGACTCTGCCAGATCAAGCAAATCTCTACATAGTGTGATAAAGAAAACAAAGGAGCGAGAGTTATTTCAAGAGAACAAAAGATTAAAGGATAAAATCGAGAATGTGCAATCTTCAATCGCATACAATAAAATAATTGAGAATTTCAACAAGTAAGGCATTTTCAAGAACATTAGACACCAGGGTGAGAGGGATCGATTGACAAGAAACTCCTATCAAAAATAGAAAAAGATAAAGGAGATGTTGGATAGCCTGACATCTTAGTCCAAAACGTCTCTCCACTCTAAAAATAACAATTCCAATTAAGTGCCCAAATTGAGGTTGCCAAGAATCAATCAGTAGGGATAGAGTGTGAAATCGATACAATAATTAAACAAATTGAGAGTTGATGGTTTCTACACTGCCAGATGAATATGTTGTTTTGATATATAAACTTTGTTTTATTTGTAATATTGCAATAATGCGCTGAATCAATTAGTTATGACCCTAAGGATGAATACTTATTATATTATGAATATGCATTTGATTATATGTAAATCATGCTAATGGGGCAGCATTGTTTTCCACTTTATATTACTCAACCTACTTAATGTAATTGACATAATGTCTGACTTTATTCAAGACAGGCAATGTTTCAGCTGAAATCACATAACCCAAATCCTCTTCAATCTATTATACGTATGTAAGTTTAGATTACTTGCATTGATAATTCAATGGAATCCAAACTATCTAACCCGTGTTGTTCCAATTCAGAATCCAAAGTGAGAGCAGACTGCCAAGATATATATAACAAGTATTACTTTATTGGTTGTTCTATAATAATTTTTGACCAAGGTGAGAACATATCCCTCAATATCCTATGACTTCTTCAATTGCAAATAATTCTTAGTGATCAATTGTCCATCCTTATAAACTTGGATGGGTTTAGCTTGTTGTTGTTTGCCCTGAGTTGTTGCTGGAGTCTTATCTGCAGCAAAAGTATAGAGGGGTCTCATAGTCAACATTCTGAATCCTCTGATCATATTCATTAATTTAAATATTATCTTTGAAATAAAATATATTATTGATTTCTATTCCATCCATTTTTTTGTTCACATAACTCACGATCCTCACTTGTAGACTTTTACCTCCTCATCAATGGCAAAAGTTTCCTCATCTTAGGCATGTTAACATCACTAATGTATCTGGTGCGTCTCATTCTTCTTAAAATAGCTTTAGAACAATTCCTGTTCAAATGTCTTGATCCTGGAGGTTTGAACTTCAGTCTCCTAGGTCCAACAATCTTCACCCTCTTCATTACACCTTTATTATCGCCAATTTTATATAACTAATTCGGTGTTCTGATCCTCTTCTTCCAACTTGAAGACGCACATTTAGATTTTGTTCTTGCTTAACTTGCAATTCTGGCTTATCGTAATAATCTCACTAATCCAAAATCTTAAACAGGTTTCAAATTCATAGCCACTGTTTGCAAAACAGGTATCAATATTAATTTTACTGTCTAGGTTGCTAATTTTAGCATAATTTGTTAAAACTAATATTGATTAAAATTAATCTTTAATATTATACTATTTTACTATAGTTTACTAGAGACATCCTTTATTTGATAGATGACAGATCAAATTAATGTCTAAAACTAACTTAAATAAAATAAGTAAAAAGTGATAAGGAGTGTATATAACATTATATAGATTTATACAATTATAAAATAAATATAATTCGAATGGGAGTTTAGAAGGTATAATAATTGAATTAAGAGTCTAAAAGATGGCATTAAAAGAATAGAAAAATAATGTGACTAATTTATATTCAAGATTGAATTTGAGAGGAGTTAGCAATTTAATCTATTAAGGTGATATTATTAACATAATGTTTGATTAAAAGTTAAGAATTGAATTTAGTGATAAATATCAGTTAATATAACTATTTTCATATTGAAGATATGCTTCACTAAGCTATAGAATCTCTTATGTAGCTCTGTTATTGAAATAAGACGTTTTAGGGTTAGTAATCAATTCTGAACATCAAGGTTTGTATTTTGATAAGGTTTTGAAATAGTTTAATATATTATTTATAATTTATGTCTCAACCATTAAGGTATGGTTAAATTATATCACTTAAACCTTCAGAAATGGATCATATGTTCGTTATCAGTGATGGTCACATTAAAACGAAAGCTTAGATCTTTGAAATCAAAGCCAAGAAGGTTGCATCTGGAACACTTTTCTTTTAAAGTCTGTTTCAAATTTACCCTCAATTCCAAACTTCGAAGATCGACTAGGCATTAAAATTGGAGCGCGAATTGCAAAAAGAGAAATACTAAAAAGACAACATGAAATCAAATAAAATAAAGGAAATGGAAGAAAAGGTATTTCAAGAATACAAACAAAATATTGAGACAGCAGAGAAAAACAAAGACTAGATCTTTACAATGGCTTAGCCTATTTAGTTCTTGCATTTATCCAGCAACAAATTCTTGGCGTGTAATTATTTCGAAGCAGACGAAGAAAAAGAAAATTTCAAATTAGAATTGAATGAATATCCCTCAGATAATACTTGCTTCAGACTTGTGCCTGCCTACTTTCACCAAACCAGAGCTGATGGATTGATTGCAGACGAACCCTTATACATAATCATGGATAAAATCTATCTCGGCATGAAACCCTACCTACACATGAGTGATTCCACCAAGCGCTACAATAATCATCTGATATTGGCTTCAAGGACTATGTTCAACTTCCCGAATGCTAAGGCTCTCCAAAGGAAAATAATCTCCGGACAAACCAAAAGCAAGTAATCCAGAGTTGATCTCAATGACTTACAAGAACCAAATACTCAAATCATGTTGATGGCTCTTGATTACAAAAAAAAGTAAGATTTAGAATTAGCACATCAATTGGCATCAGCAGAATCAATATAGAAGAAGGAAATAAATGTTTCCTTAGAAAAAAGATCTCCCTTCCTTATTTCAGTCTTCTCCAATACAGAAGAGGACGAAAACAAAATATATTTTGGAGATGTGATTTGGTTGCATCACATAGAACTGAATGCAATTTTAGTGACTGTTAAAAATATGTCGGATGAAATTATTGTTTCACTCTAATAGACTAAAAATGATTAATTGGGTGAGTTTATTGGTAATACGAATGGAATGTGGTACATAGAGAGTTTGAATATGAAAGGAGGTCCAGTAGAGTGGGGTTAGATTTTTAGGTTAAGACACTTTTCATTGGGGAAATATTTGGCTGTTTAGAAGGAATAAGATAGAGATACTGATACTTATTCATGCTTTTATTTGGAAGACAAACAAAGCGAGAACTCTTTATTGTAATTTTCAGCTCTTCCAAGTTCAATCAATGAAAATGAAAAGTTTGTAACTAAGGATGGCTTTTTCAAACTGAAAAATAACAAAAAATGGATCTAATTCATTGATAAGCATCCTGATTCTGATTCATCAATAGTTATGTTGAGGTTAAGTGACAATTGTAAGGATGATGATGTCCTCAAGTGTTACAAGGCTAATTTAAATGAGATTCAAGAGACATCCTTTTTGGTTTCTTGTTTTCCAATCATGAGGAAGACTTTGTCTATTTTGACTGATTTGGCAACCAAGGATTACAAGAAGATCTATCAAGATAAAAACATCAAGTTCCCAAAGAAGATTGCCTAATTAAAGAAAGTGCTCTAGGATTTAACCAGATTTTGTTCAAATTAATTTCTCATTAGCAGTTAAAACAGATAGAAGGTGTTAAAGGAGCAATACTTTATCGATATCTTATTAGAAATATTGTGTAATATCAGCAACGAGGGTGAGATCAAGGAATATTTGGAATTGACAAGGAAAAAAAAAGGCCACGGATTTTCTGATACTATTTAGAGATCAGCAGCTTAAAAACTACATTCTGCAGCATTTTAAGTCAGAGATGCCTTGCTCTAAGATTTTGGTTAGGTGGCTTCGAGAGTATAGTAAGAGAATGACAAGAAATAATTAAGGTAATATATTGGAGAGAAATTTGAAGTAATCAAAATGATTTATCAATTATTGATTTGTATATGCAAGGACAACAATTAAAACGAAGCATATGTCTATGATAGAGTAGAAAAATTCTAGTATTAGGCTAAATTTTTTAAGGAAACTACCGATTTCATTATTTCTTTACTTAAAAACAATGAATAGTTATTATAAAATCTAACTGAAAAGATTCGTTTATCTGAATAGAAATAAAGAAGAATAAGACATGAATCTATTAAATCATATCCTTAATTTAGGCTTGATAGTAGTTTGCTTTAAAGAGATCCAAATAATATTGTACTATTCTATAAGAAATTGGTAGAGGAATCTCAGAATTCAAAGGATTACATTGAGTTTTTTAGAACAATATGTAAATACAATAATAAGGGATTATCTGTCAATTAGGAAACTATTTTTAAGAAATGCTAAGAAAATCCAAAATTCAATAATGCACTATTTTGGACTATTACGTGTACAGACAATTAGATGCTGATTGAAAAGGATATTGACAAAAAGACTATGTTTTAATTAAACAAAGAGGAATTGGAATCATTTGTTGCTCAATTGAGATTATACTCAGACTTGGCTCTTTCAAGAAACTTTTAGTGGAAAGGAATACTTGAGAAGAAATTCCCAAAGTAATTTACATTTGAATAAATCTTTAATAACGAATTAGATCCTGATGTTAGATCAGCTCTCTGTAATTTGGCATTAACTGTCTATATTGATCATGAGCCTTTGCATCTATAAATTGTTCCAAATTTGTGCAGATTAGTCAACCAATAGGCAATTAAACAATAATAGGAATTTCATGACCATGAAATATTTAAGTAGTTAATTCCTAAAGTAATGACACAGATCCATGATTATAAGAAGAATTTGATTGACGATTTAACAAAAGGGTCATAAGCAAGCAAGAAAAAAAAGTCAGAAGCGCAGCTACAATTAGATATTATTAAACTTGCTAAGACTCTGATTCAATTTGATGTTGTCAATTTGATTAATAGGAAGGATATCTATAGCGAAATATTGCAACCTCTAATCACATTTTTAGAATATGATAAAAATAATTATGTGTTGTCATATTTGATGAATCTATAGAGGGAAGAAACTCTAAAAAGAGCCAAGAATTCAAATAAAATAATCTCAACAATGAAAGGCATGGTGACTGGAGCCATTGATGTTGGTAGAGCATTAGTAAATGTGGTTGTAAGAAAGAAGCAAGATCTTGAAGAGGAATTTGCAGAATAGACTTTGTTTTCTAAGCATCCCATTACTGCTAGTTTACTGACAATCACTTCAAAAATACAGAGTCTAAATACTGAGAAAGGGGAAGAAACCTATTAGATTGACATTGAATAAAAAATGGAAGTTTGTGAGTTGTTGATATTCTTTTAGGAAATGAGATTGGATTTCTTGATCACTAACTTTTTGGCGTTTTATGCTGCCAAATAGAAGAAGAAATCTAATAAATTAAAATATGAATTGGAATTTGATTTATTATAAGTATTGCCACCTACATTGAGAACTGGAATTGAGGAGCCAACCAAATAAGGAGCCAAAAATATCATATAATGGTTAGGAGATATTATTTCGAGAATGGGTAGATTCTTGAATAAGAAATTTAATAATTTTACCAAAGAATAAGAAATGCCAGATTTGGATACACTCATGAGTGGGGCAAATAAGGATTTGGTCAAGGAGGCTGTTTTGCCATCCCTTTTAATTGTGTTTCACGTTTCAAGTGATTGCTTGCTTTTGGATAAGGTAGTGGAAGTTATTAGGAGGTGCTTCTCATAGAAGTTGGAATTATTCGAAAAGATGAGAGACCTTGAGATCCTGTTTGACTAAACTGAAATCAATTGCTATTAGAAAATGGTTTAATTGCTGAGTAGATTGAGAACATTAACTGAGTCATCTGAAGTTTGGATTAACACTTTTCACCATAAGTCAACAGAAAAGGAAGCATCTAATGAACCCAAAGAGTTGCATCAAGTTTAGCATATCACTAAAGATCTTGATTCTTTATTGTACAAACACACCACTGTGACTCCAAATTTAGAAATCATTACTTAGGATGACTTCTTATAGATATCTACAAGCAGACAAAAAGTGTTCAATTTTCTTAATGGACACACACCTTTAATTAATTTTTTGAGAGATTCATAAAATTAATTATGTGATTTCCTAAAGGGTGGATATAAAGCAGATTATCAATAGACAGTTTCAGAATTGCTAAAAACAATTTATTAGTGTTTAACTAATTTTTGCAAGGGAAACAGGCCAAATTAGAATTTATTAGCATAACACTTTGAACTCTTTGTGGATGAAATCGAAATAGATTTTGGGTAAACTATGTTGTTATGTGCAATTTATGAGGATAATAAATTTTTGTGTGAGAATATTCCAGATTCTAGAATCAAATAGTTTCTAGGTTATATCAGGGATTTTGGGAGACAAAGTAGATTTTTAGAATTGTTAAAAACAATTCAAATTTGTAAAGGGCAGAGTCTTGTTGAGAATCAATTGAAAATACTCTCATTTTTATTACCTCATCAAAAGGAGGAAAATAAGAAGGCTCATGAATATTTGCTATGGGGACAATTTACAAAAGATTCAAAGGGAATTGAATTTAATTTCTTTAATGATGGGCAAGATAAGGAATAGAAACATCAACCATATAAGTATCACTGTAAATTAATCGACTTGCTATTGTAGACTACGTAAGGGGAGGAGAGTTACAAATTAAATACTCCAAAATTAAAACAAATATTTTCTTTGGGGTATTTGGTTAATTTGGTGGCTGAAGAAAATGATGAATTCATTGAAGGCTACTTTCCAAATGGAACTAAGGATGCAAACTAACTGAAGGTGAAGGTTATACTCTTCATCAATTGGATTTATATCTAAAATAGTTTGACCTAATAGGAGGTGATGATTAAGGAGCAAGCTAACTTTAATAAGTTATTCAACAAAGAGAAGGAAAGATTGTTAAAGTTAAGTTCATATCCAAATAGAGATGAATATCTGAAATACTTTTTTGATCATTTGGTTCCTCTGTTTGAAAACTTTGTGAATAAAATTTATGCTCAAGAGAAAGCATAAAGAGATGACAATTATGAGTATTAATCATTTTTATTAATTTAGTGTGCTAAAGGAAATATTGGAAACAATTGCCATGATGTCAGATGGAATTTTATGTCAATATCTTACAAAAAACCAATATAATGCATTGTATAGATTGTATAAGCCATTTGAAGAGAACACAAATAGACTATAAATGAATTTCTCATCAGCCATCAAAGATTAGAATGATGGCTTATCGAGCAACAAAAAATCTGTGTACGAACCTCCTCCTCCTGAGTTTATGAAGTCTTCTTTGAAGAAGAATTAAGTCATGACAATCTTTAATAAAAAGGAGAAGTCCTTTTTAACTGAACAATTTAAGACACCTAATTCTAATGATAAGTCTAAAATGTCAAGAAATAAATTCTCGTAAACCTCATAGTAATTATGGGTCAATAGACCCAATTGGTTCTAATTTTTGGATATGTGTGAGTAGAGTTAAGTGTTGTAGGATAAGATTAAAGAAGAACTCCACACTTTGGCCAGTGCAATATTCCACATAGACAAACTTGTTTCTGATAAGATGAATACGAGTTAAAGCAATTCCGTGAATCTTGATTTTAAGGGGTTTTTAAAGAAATACATAAGATTCGTGGAATAAGGGATCATCAATAAAGCAGGGAAAAAGAATCTCATCTATTCATTATAGCTATTGGAGGAATTGCTGACTATTAACGATTTGGAAGAGATGCAAAATCTGTTTGATCAATAGAATGCAACGAGAATGATATTGAATATAATAGCAGACTATAAAATCTATCCCTTTGATGACGATTTCTTCAACTAACTATTAAGTTTTGGGTGTAAGCTGCTTGAAGGGGGTAATCCAAAAGTGCAAAAGACAATTTTCAACTATTTTTCAACCTATAGTAGATCTGAGAACATTTTTAGCAAATTGAACTTGGTTATCAATGATCATATAGAAGAATTGAATATTAAGTACAAGATACAGAATGAGATGCAGAAGGAAGAAAAATAACAGCAAATATTGCAATTAGATACTGAACCCCAAGTGCCCTAGGATTAAGTCAATGATCACACCTAAGAAATGCAGTTTAAACAAAAGCTCCGAGAGTCCTTGTTGATTAATGTGCTGAGATTTGTATAATTATTTTGTGAAGGTCACAATTTGGATTTATAGAATTATATAAGATAGTAATTTAATTCAAGAAACAATTACAACTTAGTTTCTAGTATAATTGAATTGCTTTACATGTATCATTTAGAATTGACAAATGAAAATTATGAGAACATCTTGAGGTGCCTGGACACTTTGACAGAGTTTGTTTAAGGGCCTTGCTGCTAAAATTAGTAGACAATAATTGATAGCAAATTCCTTGAGGTTGCCAATTCCTTATTGGCCACCCAAGCATCAAAATCCAAGTCCAAAGAGCACAGTTCAAAATCATTCTTTAGTTAAGACGAATAGAGCAATTAAAAGAATAGTTCTTCAAATTTGTCAGTTGGTAAAATTAAGTCTGGCAAATCATTTAAGAACAATCGAATCAATATAAAAAAGTATATGTTAGAGAGGATTAAGTACAAGGTGATGGTGTTGGTCACAAGTTTATTGGAATTAAATTCTGATAGTTTGGCAATCAAGAGAATTATGAGATCTTTACCGATTGAAATCCTAAAGAAGAATCTAACCCAAATTTATAAGAAGCACAAAAAACTTTATGGACCAACGTATACTCAAGATGCATTGAAACATGTATGTATATTGTATTAATTAAGATTGATGAAGATCCAGAAGGTAACACTGAAAAGCCTGAATTTCATGAAGCCATCCTAGAAACAGGGTTTTATATATATTTCTTAATTTTATATTATTACGAATTAGATACTCAAGAGATTGATTAGGAGACATCTACAGAATTGCAGAAAGCCAAAAACAGTTTGTTCAACAAAAACCTATTTATGGATTCATTGATTGGGCAGTTGTTTACCTTTGCCTTTGCCATCATTGGAGGTGTGTTAACAACAATAAGTCAAGCCAAAAATTACTTATAGAAGGCTGTTGAGCGAATTGGCCAAAAAATAGATTCAACTGAAATTGATAAGAAAAACTAGAAGCAAAAAGAGATCAATCAAGAGATATTCAGAGAAACTATCTAATTCTTCGCATATAATTCTGCTCATGTTGAAGTGGTCAGAAACAATTAAATAGAAAGAATCCAATTCTACAAACCTCCTTATTGCAAATATCTTCCCAAAGAACGAAAGAAGGAGTTCCATGAGACAGTGAACAGAGATTCAACTAATTCCAAAATATCTGATTTGATAGAATAAACGGATAGCATTATTGAAGTTTGCAAACATGAAGAAAAGTTAGCTGTCTTCTTTAGTAAGAACAAATTTATAGCAATATTTGCTAATTACGTTATTTTATGGAAGGATTTGGCATTTATCCTAACATTACTATTAAATTTATTCATCATTTTATCGTATGCTGACAATGAGAAAACGGGATAGCAAACAGGAGATGAAGTTGAAAGCATTTAAACAATTAGAAAGAATAGAATTAGCAACCCGATATTGCTGAATTCTAATCTTAGTGTGGAAGAAACAGAATCATTGTTTTTCATCTGTGGTATAATAATGATTGTATGCTCGACTTTTGTGGTGCTGTTCTTTTTATTGAAGAAGGCTCCACTCTACATTAAAGAATCATATAAGAAATAAGATTTAAGTGAATATGGAGTTCTGATCAATTCTTTGTTTTAGATTTTTAATTTTAGTTATAGCATTGCGAGAGTGCTTCTGAACATCGAGATCCTTTATTACTTATCATATGGAACCCTAGCATTTTTAGCCACATTTTATCATCCATTTTTCTTTGCCTTCCACCTTACGGAAATAGTCATACGATTCCCCTAATTACGTAATATCATTAAAAGCTTTTGGGAACCAAAATTGTCATTATTACTCACATTTATTCTAATCATCTTATTTAATTACTTTTTCACTTTATTTGCTTACATATTCTTCTATGATGATTATTCAGGAAAGTGTGAGAGCTTGTTATATTGCTTTTTGGAAACTTTTGACAAAGCATTCAAGAATAATGGAGGTATTGGTGGATGGCTGGATTCTAATTAACCACAGGATCCTGGAAATTACAATTACGGTAGATTCTTTTTTGATAATCTCTACAATATAGTGATTGTGATCATCATGATCCAGATATTCTCAGGAATCATTATTGATACCTTCTCATCTTTGAGAGAGAAGTAGATGCAAAGAGATTAAGACATTTAAGAAACCTGCTTTATTTGTGGATTCAGCAGGTAAATTAATACTTATTATTTTTAATAGAGAGTTGTTTGATAGAAAATCTGAAGCTGGTTTTAAATTGCACACACAGTATGAACATTATATGTGGAATTACGTATTCTATATCTCGTATTTGAAAGAGAAAGAACCCACAGAGTACACAGGAATTGAATCTTATATTGCGAAGAAACTGAAAAATTACGATAATTCGTGGATACCTATAAACAAAGCGATGGTATTGAAGAATATGGTTTTGGAATCTCAGCATTATGAAACAGAGAAATTGTAAGATATCTAAAGAGAAATGGACTATATCAAGAAAACGTCTTTTGAGATTTATAAAGAAATGGAAGAATTAAACATTCAATTTTTAAATAAGTAATTACTAAATCAAGAAAAATGATCAGATTGATGTTTAATTCTTCATAATTTATATCATATATATATTTTATATTTTATAAACAATTAGATCATAAACATCTGAATCCTTTATTCGTGAGTTCTTGGATGTTCAAATGAGACCTAAAGCTGCCAAATCGATGACTTCAACATAATTAAGGAACCTAAAAATAAAAACATCGAACCATCAAGCCATAAGTTGAAGTTTATAATTAGAAGTTCATTCTGAGGAATTTGGGATTGCTTTGCGATAAGTATAATGTGCAATCCTATAATATAAAGGCTATCATGAAAGCAATAAATAAATACAACTGTAAAAGTTTGGAAGGTCATAACATTATGTACAACTGAAAAGCCCAAGACTGCTCAAATCAGTCAATAATAACAATACACAAAGAAACCATAAGTATACAAATTAATTGAAGTTGACTCAAGATATAGATAGGATCCAGAAACCATCACTGAGAGGGAAAAAGAATTGAAATACAAGAGACAACTATTATAGATCATAAAATGACAATGCATAGCCTCTTGGAGATACACATAAAACATTCAATAAAGGCAATCATGTGATTATTGTTAAATTAATGTAAATCATCCTTGTATTCATAGACCAATGATCCTCAGAAAGAGAAATATTAAGAAAGAACACCACCCTTTAATCTTAATTTGGAATCAAATTAAGAAATTGCTATTGGTGAAGGATTTTCAAATTATCTTATAGAAAGTATATCTTGTAGTCTAATTAGATAGCGCCTATCAGAACAAAAAGATCTCATTGAATGTCTATTCCATAAGTGGATCTGAATTTATTGATGAAATCCAAAAACAATGATATCGAATTTGTATTTGAATAAAGGAGATTTACTTGCATTATGCCCATAATGATTGTCTATTGTGATGACATTAACAAAAATGCAACCATTCCACTGACAAATTCTAAAATGTCTCAATTGCTACAATCAAACTTCTAAGAGATCGATAATTATGAATTCAATATATTAATCTAGATGTCTGAAATTGATGAGCTTTCTAATTTTGTAATCCCACAAAAAAAGTTTCCAGTTTCAATGCAACCTTGCAAATAAGCAAAAAAAGAAAAATCATTAAGAAAATCGTTTATCATGAAGAATCCTTATATTAAATAGCATTCATACCACCATATTATCAAACAATGTTTATATAAATTGGCTAATATCATTCCTCTAATGCTGATTTTTAGCGTTTAGCTTGCTTTTGTTTCAAAAATTCATTCAAAACTTCATAAAAAACTATATTTAAATCATCACCCTATCTCCTACTAGGGCATCTGTTAAAGTCAACATTCCTGAACAGTATGAGGTTCAATAAGGGTTAGTATGTTCAGAGAATGGTTTTCTATTGAATCAAAATATCGAAGCAGAGTTTAAGATTGTTTATACACCTACTTCGTTAGAATTCTACAATCCAACAACTTTAGAAAAAGAAATAAGAATAATTGAAGATAAGGAGTTGTAGTAAATTATTGATTTAAACTTTAATTTTTAATTATGAATTATAAATTTTGTATCAGATTTCTTAAAATTATCATGATCCTCACTACAGACTTTTCTATTATACCATATTGTTAGAATCTTCTTCTCAAAATAATTTGTCATTCATAAATTCATAGAAAATCTAAACCTGTTCAAATTTTTAATATACTTTCCAAAACTGCACTAATAGATGGTTCTCTTCTCAAAGTTGATTTTTCATATTATTGTAAAGAATCATCTAAGTTCAAATACGTTTTTATATGAACATTATACAAAAACTACATTAGTTTTATAATATTGAAATTTTAATATATTGTATTTATTTTGACTAATAATTTTTATGGATTTATTATAATTATAATAGAATATAATATAACTCTAAGACAATTTACAAAATCTACTTCACAATCCTTTATTAATTTCAATTAGCAACAGAGAAGCTTAATTATATGCTATCAAAAATAATCTGAAGAAATTACATTGAAAAATTATTGATTCAAAACTTGTTATTAAAATTATACTTGTAATTTGAGTTGATTTTTTTTTATTTATTATAACATTTATCTCAATGATGCGTATTATACACTTTTCTAAATTATAAATATTCCTTATAATATCTTATTTACATAGTTTTGAAGCTTAAGGGCTGGAATTTTTAAAGATTTTTAGCAATATTAAATTACATTCATTTTCAAAACCATACTAACATCATATATGTAGCTGATCAATCGTTTCTTCTATCAATTTAGCAAAGTTAATCTTCCAAAAACGATAGGAGTATTGGGATATGGAGCAATCGGAAAAGCCTTCACAGAAGTATTGTTAAAGTAGCATCCAGGTATAGTTCCTCATATTATTTACTAGAGGCTAATGTAGTGGCACTTGATAAATACGATGCATTTTTTCCAAATGAGAAAAGGTTTAAGACTATAATTTAAAAACGAACTAGAGAAAACATAACACAAACTTTGGATGTTATGGGGTATTTCTATATTCTTAACCTTAAAAATAGCTTAAGGGAAGGAGATACACTAGTTGACTTGTCAACAAATATTGAATTTTCAGAAATTTGGGCACTGTGTGCCAAAAAAGGTGTTCGCTATCTGAATACTGCCTTGGAAGTATGGGAAGACAGTGAAGATGCTAATTCATGTCCTGAAAATGCAGAAGAAGCATATAAATTGACATTAGGATATATCAAAGACAATGCCAAGAAATCTCCATTTTGGTCAAATGTAAGATGTTATTCTAAACTTAGGGACCTACTGCTTTATTAGAAACGGGATTTAATCCAGGAGTTGTATCTCACTGTGTTAAAAGAGGTTTGGAGGATTGCGCAAAGCATTATCTTGAGAATCCTCAAAAAAAATATGATTTAGGAAATTTAAGAAAATATTTGAAAGAAAAAAATCATTCGAAATTAGCACAAGTACTTGGAGTACATACAATTCATTGCTCTGAAACTGACAATTAATTAATGGCTGAAATACCAAAGGATTTAAAAACAAAATTCTATAATACATGGTCATGCAGAGGATTCCTTACTGAAGGACTTGTCCCTATTCAAGTAGCAAGAGGTTCACACGAAGATATGCAAATACCTAATTGCTATACAATTAGAGATGGCAAGACAATCGTCTCAAGAAAACCATCTGTTTAAACTTGGGCTAGGAGTTGGGTGCCTAATGAAGATATTAAAGGTAAATTTACTCTATTTATAATTAGGTGTTTTGATTCCTCATGGTGAAGCTTATTCCATATAAGACTATTTAAGTGATCCAGAGACAGGATACTCGCCATCTTAATATTATGTTTATGATTATAATCCTTTGGCCAAAGAGTTCATCAGGAACTTACCTCCTAATGCTACTATAGATAATACTCATCCTTAGACGGAAGTTATTCACCCAATGAACCACACCTCATTGAAAGGTTGGGATAAAGTCGGAGCACTCTTGATTATGAAAGATAATAGAGCTTGGTGGACAGGGAGTATTATGGATGAAATTGATTGCTCTAATATGTATAAGGGAATGTTTGGCCCAACTGTCTTATAAGTTGTGGCTGGAGTTTATGGAGGATTCTTGTGGACTTGTTAACATCCTAATAATGGAGCCCACTTCTCTGAAGATGTTGAAACTGATGATCTTATTCGAATTGTAAAAAATCTATTAATTTATTATTTCTAGGGTGAACATCTAATGGGTAGATTCATTTCCATCCCAGTGGATTTGACCAAAACTAAGATTAAGGATTGTTATAAATTGCAAAGCTTTCTATGCCAATAAATTTGATATTACAAATATATATATAATTATTTAATTAAATATCCAAAAATGAGTTTGAGCTGGCTAGTATCACCATAACTTCATAAAACTACAAATGGCTATTACATCAATCACGATAACATCATGCTTGGTAAATTTATCCATTTATTTTAGCTGGACCACAAGATAGAAGAAGACTCATTTTTTACTTTATTGCAAGTCAAACCCCTGAAAAAATCACTTAAGAGGATCACAAGAAATTTGTCAAAGAATAAACAATCGATGTCGACATGAGATCAGGCATATTTTCTTTTGGTGGTATCTTCTTGGCTTTAGCAACATTAAGAGAACAATAAATGATTACATCCAGAATTACAAACAGACCCATTTTAAATGGTATGTTTATCTTAGGAGTTGGTAATACCATCTAAAATACTCATAGGTTTGGTTTCAGCTGCATTTTCTTACAATTTGTCCAAAGTGCTATTCGAACCACTTTTTGTACAAAAAAATCAAGTGTTGTTAGAATTGGCTGAAAAGTATAATTTCTCAGTTTTTGATTTTGCCCTCGCCAAGAAAGAAGCAAGATTAAAATAATTAAGAGCAGAACTCACAAGCGATAGTAGTAACGCTGCTCATTTCTGAAAAATTATATTGCAATATCAATAAAAATATAATTATTATAATGATTAGAAAATTATTTTCGAAAACCCTCCCATTTATTAGACCCTAATTTTACATTAATCATATGTATTATTACTCCACCTATTGACAAGCTTTGATACTCAAGATTAGTTTAAGAAGTTTAACAGGTCAAGTATCGAGAGTATTAAATCCTCCGTGAATCCCTTGCCCTCTCCAAGTGAAGAGGCCCGACTTTATATGGAAGAAAATGAAGTAAGAAAATGTTCTACAACACCTAGGTAGATGTAAGATTTTTGAAAGTCCTGAAATCCTTTGACAAAATAGATGTCAAATAAATCAATTGGGAAGGAGATTTAAACAAAGATTTAGGTTTAGATAGTCTTGAAAGAATTGCTTTGATCACTTCAATTGAGCATGAGTTTACAGCAATCTTTGAGGATAGAGTTTTTGATAATTTAAAATCATTGCAAGACATTAAAAACCAGATCTTAAAGGACGATTCAGCATTTTGAATAATATTTTATGAAAAAGAATTTAAAAACATCCATATAACTATTTTCAAATTTATCCAGTCCTTGAAATTGAGGAAAGTCAAATCTGCAATTTGTTTGCCATAAAATATCCAGAAAGACTAAATTATTTAGTTGTATGTTAAAAAATAAACATATTCTAATAAATTTAATTTATAAAGATGATTTTTAGCAATACTATTCAACTTTTTTTCTTTTATCCTTTTATAAGAATATTATGATTAATAAAATATTGATAGATTATAAGAGGAAATAATAAAATTGAATAATTGAAAAAACAATATATACGATTCCAATAATTTGTAAACACATAGAATTCAATTTAATAATTCGAAAAATGCATCCTGATTATCTAAAATACACTATTTAATCTCTGACATTCCTTTTATAGTATTATAATTCAAATAACCATGAGATAAGTTTTCATATATAGTTATTTTTACATCTCTCTGCACAACTCTAGGTCATAAATTAAATATATACTGTAGTCTTTAAGCCAATCGAAAAACTTAATCATACAAAGGATCTTAATCACCACAAAACAATCTTGTTGGGGGGAACTATTTTAAAATATCATATGATAATAATAAAGGACTCATAAATGGATCAATCCCCAATTAAGAATCTGGATGTGCTGAATAAGATTCAATACAAATTCCTAAAATAGTATGACTAAGTATTTTATCATTGATTGACTTCAAGTAACTAGGAGTGTACTAGAATCTTATATCAACAGCAGGATAATTCAATATCAACCCATTTGGGATTTGTAATTTATATTTAATAGTTAAGCCAACCAAAGCCGTTGCCAAATTACCACCAGCACTATCGCCTGTAACAATGATTTTATTGGGAACTATTCCAAATGTTTTTTCAGAATAATTTAATATCCAATTATAGGCTTGCCAACAATCATCCAAAGGTATTGGATAAGGGTATTTAGGAGCTAAACTATAATCGATCGAAAAGATGGGAACATTTAAATTGATTGCCCACTCTCTGGTATAGCATTAATGACTTGATGAGGATTGGGAGATAAAACCTCCTCCATGAATATGTATGATAATCTTATCTTCAATAGTGTTGTTTTATTTTATGAAAAATGATTTCAAGAAACTAAATATATTATCCTATTCCACTACATGTTGGTTGTACAATAGCCTGATTCGAATTCTGCCTTTATTTTTGATAAATAAGAATTTGTCATCTCTGTGTATTTCCTAATTCACATATTCAATTGGCTGATTGGAAATTTGATCATAGATTCCTTATCTAATTTAACTATTTGCTTCTTAAATTGTGAGTGGCAGAACGACTGGCAAAATATAGAACTTTATGTTTGTAGAAATTTTGGGCAATCCCAAATTAATTAAATGCTTGACTCCTGGTAATTCAATAAAATTCATAGCCTAATATGCAGTGTCAGCTTTTAATTAACTCATATGATCTTTCATTCCTTTTTCTGCTGCTGATCTTGATAAGAAATAGTACATTGAATTTAAACTTACTGAAAATATTTTACCCCATTTGCTGGTAGTCTTCTTGCAATCATTTACTAGGGCATGACCAACCATAACAGATTATACAAATTTATCAAATGATTATCTGATTTATTCTGGATCACCTAAAGACTTTTATACTATTTATATAAATTATACTTTTCTGGTAGTGATGCATTCTAATTTCTTCCAAACTGGATGAGTGCTACTTAAAGACATAATGTCATTTTTGTCTGTATCTATTGCAGAAGGCATAATTAAATTAAGCATTAGAATTTCTGTCCCAAAAACCTTGATTTCATCAGTTAAGCTTTGAGAAGCAAAAGTATGTTATTCATACAATTTCAATTGTTATTGCATCTTAGGCAAGAACTCTGTCTATAAGTAATGATAGGGAACCTGCAACATTCTTATATTGACATCATCTGCCTTTAGTGCTTTAATTGATCTCTCCTATACATAATCTAGGTGAAAGGAAACAATACTTTATTTTAATTCTAAGAGTATCTTGCTTTCTTGTTCTTTACAGTTTGACAAGAGTTCATCTACAATCTATAATCCTTTCAAGAGAATAAAAAAATGTCTGTTCGCATTGTTGAAGATCCTATTTTTTGTTTCAGATTCACACTTTACAGTTTTGAGTATCTTAATGATGTGGTTCAATTAATCGAGTACTAACGAATAGGTTTAGTATTAATACTATCTCGAGTAGCTTAAAGGCATTATTCTTGAGATTAACATTGATCTGAGTTTCTGATTTGAATTTAAATCTCAGTAGGAACTTATGCCTGAGAAGACTTGTAGCAAACATTGTTAAAAAGTGTGTAATCATCTATTTCACTTGTTCTGTCATAATCGGATGAGATAAAATCATTAAGATGAGTTTTAGGAAATTGCATAATTAATATTTTAATTTTTTAGGATCTGTATTTAAGTGTTATTATTAATCTGTTATTCTATGTTATGGATTAATTAAGAAGAAAATTTGGAGATTCTTAGAAGAGAATAGATAGAAAATAATGTGAAAAATAATTTTCTATTATATAAGTTGTTAATGCTAAAACATCAAAAAATCTAAATTATTAACAATTGCTTGATAGATGAATTATTGAAGACTCTCCAAAATGTATTAGCATCATAATGATAATTTTAACTGCTGACTTTTGAATTGAAGTCGGAAGAATTTTCTGTTAATGTATTCCTATCTTTAATTTTGATTTAATAATGAATTGATGAAATTATATTGCTTAAGAAAGGGTTTTATAAACAATGTAAATTATATTGTAACCTAAAATCTAAAGTTCGGAAATCACTATTAGAAACTAAATTGAATTAACTTAAAGATAATTTTCTTGACTTGGTTTATTGATATATAAAAAGATAACACTTTTAATAAAGTCTGCAAGACTTAATAACAGGAATTCGGGAAAAGAAAAATCTGAAATAAATATAACAGTAAATATCTTAAAGTTTAAAAGTGCATTAATTTTAATCGTTAGCAATGTAATTCCCTCTATACTACTTCAAATATCAGATATTATTGTATTTTAACTTTCACTTAATTTAATACCTTATTTGATTTCAAGAATCAAAATTACTTAAGATTAGATTTCTAGCGTTGCGTTTATTATATTAGAAGAGAATGAAAGTTTCCTACCTTACATTGATATAAACTCAAAAAACAGCTTATAATAATAAATAAGTTCTATTATCATTTTAAAAAGAACAATGCAATCTAAAAGGTTATTTAACTTAAAAATATTTTGAAAAAAATATTTAAATTAAGAAAAAAGATTAAAAATAACAATTAAACGATAATTTTAAAGACTATCTAAATTTAATTGTATGCACTAAAAATTAACATAATAGAAAAAAAGTAAAAGGGTATTGATATACTCCTAAAGTATGATAGTGCTTAATAGATGCATTTAAGATTTCTTTGAAATTTTATGGAATAGAAATTTGTCTCTTTTTCTTATTATATACATTTATTCTTACTTAGCCTAGCTAAATCAGTCATTTAATAAATAAAAAATTAAATATTCACAATATATATATTATGTTAATATTTGATATTACTTCACTGCATCCTTCCAGGTTTAAGTATTTGTTAATCTAAAATATTCTCTGTATTGAAAATACATTAATTATTGAGAAATAGGGAACTTACTATTTACCAATAATAACATGAGTTAAAGAAGAAAAATTAAAATCTTAATTGAATCTTGTCCTTTGAGAAAGAGAATCTCAGATCTCCTAAACCATTATTATGAAAAACTTTGAAATATAAACTATATTATCTAATAATTTATTAAAGTATTAAATAACTTAGACTGATTAAATTATTATTTATTAAGAAAAGAATGGGATTTCATCTCACAGAAAATTCTCTAGAATCATCAGTTTTTCTCCCATGTATATATGTCGAATAATATGCACATTTATTGCTAAAATTATAAATTGATTTACAAGAAAAAGCTTTTATCTAAGTCAATACAAAGACCATCTTTTAAATTATTATCATCATAATTGCAAGAACCACTAAATTAAAATATAGACTTACATCAGTTAAGTTTCATCATAAACTTGCAATTTCAATACCCACTCACCCTTTCTCTTACCTACTGAATATTCTCCTTCAGATAAAGTGAAGCTAGATAACAGGCAATTCCAACTTAAATCGCTCCATTTTTTATCTTTATTTCCAAAATTATCATATGTACCACTAGCGCTTAACTATTTGATTAAAATAATACATAATATCTCCTTGTTCAAATTACATATCCTTCGAAGTTTGCCACAACCCTTGCTTAACTCCTGATTTGTACTGTCCAAACTAATATAATTAAAAGAATCTGCCATTTTTAATTTCTATTTTACTCCCAAAAGTTTTAATGAGGTTCCAGCCATCCTCCATTTTTATTCCCGCAAGTATCATATAATCCCTCTCCGCTATGAAATCAGCAAACTTAATACATAACTGAGAATTCATTTGTTTTATGAGCTCTAAATAAAATTTCGGATTTTCCAACCCTACACCCAAAATGATAATTTAATTTCTATATTATTTAGCGAGATCTGACATAATTCTTATAGTTACCTACAAAATTTTTGATCAATGTCTATCCACTATCCATTTTTAATCCCTTTCTCATAACAACCACCTCCACTATGGTTATTATTGAACTTTACATTTTAATGAATTCTTGATCAGTGAATTCGCGAAAATTAATGGCCCAATCACCCTATTTTATTCCATTTTAGTATTGCCCTTTTTTTGTAACTTGACAAAAACTTATGTTATAATGAAGAATACTCTCTAAATTTCTCGTGTAACTCATTCCAATTACCATCTTTTCTTCCTTATGAATTATAATAACCTTCCCCTCTAATGGCAATAATAAATATTAATAACATTTAAATAAACTAAGAACCATGAATTTTCCGATATTCAAAAACAGATCTTCCAACTTTTTTCCCGTTTTAAAATTACACTATTTCTCTAACTTAACAGGAACTTTTAAATAAAATCTAATGTTACTCTGAAAAACTTTCATATAATTCTTTCCATATTCCAGATTTTTAACCATTTTACTCATAATCTCCACCTCCTCTAATTTATATAAACAGCCAATTTTACATGATTTCAAAGCCCTTACTTTCACTGTATCTATATTTGGCAATCCATTTTCCGGTTTTTTTCATATTTTTATAACTACCTTCAAGGATAATTTGAGAATCTCTCAAATTTAATGTAATTATACTCTGCGAAATTTTCAGATAGCTCCTTCCAATCTTCAATTTTATCTCCATTATTATCATAGTTTCCTCCTCCACTAATATTCTACTGAACTATACATTTCTTCAATTTTATCCTCTTTATTTAGTCGAAGAATTAATTTTTTTTTAAATATAATTTTCCAAACTCCAATTTTCTTTCCCTTTTCGTAATTTCCGCTCTAAAAAATATCACAATTCCTTTGATAAATACAAATCAAAACTATTGATAATTTTTGCATGGTTCATTCCATTAACCAATTTTTCGCCCTTTTTGATCGTATTAGCCTGATCCTCTAACCTTTGTTCTCGTTTATGAAATGTGACAAAATTTAGGGAAATCTTTTGAACTTTAAATTACCCATTCATCTATCCTTATTCCATCTTTATATGCCCCTTTATATATCAATTAATTCTATCTAAAGGTAACTTAATAATTGTTACTCACAGAAATCCTCAATTAAATCTTACCACATCCCCTATTTAATTCCCATGTTATCATAATTACCGCTCCCACTACATTAATTCAAAAAAATACATAATTTTATTATTTTTTGTTAAAATTTCCACCCATTTAACAATCCATAATCCTGTTTTTATACCGTTTTAATATTCCCCAATTTCCAATATCAAAACACCTCTGTTATGGCAGAAAAATAATTTACCCTTATAAAATATCCTTTAGTTGTGTCCATTTGCCATTTTTCAATCCGTTGGTATCGTATGATCCTCCTCCTCTAAATGGATTGTTTATTATAAAATACAGCACAGAGTTTTATGAGATTATTTTCCACTCCCCTGTTCTTTTTCCCATATCATAATAACCAGAAAACAATATTTATTATTTCCTTTGTTATTCATAATATTTACAAAAAAATGAGTTCTAGCTTCTGATTTATCCATTTATTTTCTGAAAATTAATAGTCATCATATATATTGTTATTGCTAATTAAATTATATTTTTTGTTACATCTGCTTAAAATATCCATTAGATTCCAAAAAGTAAATATCCAAATCCTAAACTTATTTACAGTTTTTATATATTATATTCCACTGGAATTCAGAAAAACTGTTTTTATAATCAATAACAATTGTTTGTACCTTAGCTAATCATATTGCTCAACCCAAGCGCCTTCCTACCTTCCTTATTAATCATATGATCCACCACCACTAAATTAGATTATATCTAAAATCCCTACATTTTTTTCCACATTTAACTGGACGATTTTCTAATCTTTATATCAAATTAGTGGCATTTAATTCCGTTATTATATTCTCCCTCAAAAATAACCTAGTTTGATCTATCAATGTTTAGAGAATTTATAAAACCTGCAAAATGTCTTTAATGTTTATATCCATTTTCCATGTTTTTATCCATCATTGTTATAAAGTCCACCTCCACTAAGTCATTTATGGGAATCTATACATTGTTTAAAAGTCTGAGCCAGAGTCATCTCTAAATTTGACAAAGAACTCCCCTTATTTTTTTCCTAGGTAATATTACCCAAAACAAACAACTTAACTTCCACTTTAATCAAATATAAATAATTTTTACTCATGGTTTTTTCTAAGTTGTTTAAAATATGGAAATTGATGAGGAAGCATGCTATAATACTAAACTTATTTACTTTGGAAAATAAAAGTCATTTAAACTTAAATTGTAGTATAAAACTAAATAGTTATTAAATTCTTCACTATTTAATATAACGCTTAGGAGAATTTCAATATATATAATACCATTTAAACACTCTCTCTTTAAATTTCGTAAAAGCAATATTTTCAAGTTCTCCTTAGCTTACTTGTGAGTCTTTTGTTTCAAATAATTATTTTCTTAAATGTTTTATCAAATTAATTGAAATTTATGTGATTTATCCTTGCACTATCATTTTAGCTTCTCCATTTTGTTTGAATTTGAGAAAAATTGTTTAGACTAAACATTTATTATTACAGTATTTGTCAACTTAAATCCTCCAAATTCCAATCGGTTTGCTGCCATTAATTTGTCCTGCCTTAATAATTTTTATTTTTTCTACATAGCACAATTGATCTCCATATTGAATGTAAGAGTTTTTATTCTAATTCATTTCTATTTATAAATTTTATGAATAGATTGAATAATTTAATATAGTCTATTCATTTTATATACTTTCTTAGTTTTAGATTGAAACATATGAATACGACTGCCAAATACAATTTTATATAAGCTTATTAATGATCTCTGATTTCTTTTAGTTTTATTACATTCCTTCATAAAAACTCAAATTGAGATTCATTTGATTAATTAATATAAAAATTATACTAAGCTTTATTTAGATAATTCTATTATTATGAAGCTACATATCCATAATATAAATGAAAATTAGAATAACGCAATGAAAGAAGATGATAATCCTGAGATGATAGAAAATAACTTCAGTGAACTATCTATAGATGAGAATGCAAAATAACTCAATAAATTCATAAGCAATTATTAATCATTAATTTCCTATAACATAACATAGGAGAAATACATCTGCCATCTCAGCTAGAAAAAAAGTCTTGTTATTTCATAATATGTTTAGTTGAGCATTCTAAAGATAATAAATTACTCAGCTTCTGTAAAGAAGTTTTTGCAAAAATGAAAGATATTAATGAAAAGTTTGATCAATTGAATATTAGCGTAAATCTATTCTAAGAAACTAATGTAGTAATATTTAATATAAATAATTAGTTGGATAAAATTAAGAATAAAAATGACAGTCTACTTAAATTATTTAGTTAAGCAAAAGATTCATACTCAAAAGAGAAAAAAACAGAGGCTTTCTAAAAATTTACAGAAGTTTTAACAATGAATCCAAATTTTATAGATGCTAGAATTTATAGAGGTATTATCAAAATAATGATTTAAAAAGGGTATTTGAGTTTGGATGTTAACAACACATGTTATGCATAATTTGACTTTGAAGAAGTATTAAAATAAGACAAATACAATTTAAAAGCTTTAAAAGGAATAAGTAATTGTTCTAGCTAAGCATAGCTAAAGCATTTAAGATGTAATGTAACTACGAATTAGGGTTGAAGTATGCATTGAAAGTGATCAAATATGAGCCTAAATCACCAATAGGTAATTTTAATGCAGGTATTTGAATTGAAATAAAAGCCGACTGTTTGAAATTTTTGGGATAATATAATGAAAATACTCTACTATATATAAATTAAGCCATAGACTAAGAGAAAAGAAGATTCGAATAAAAATTACAAGTTTATTTTAGAAATAAGGGTAATATGACATGTTATATAGGGGAAATATTATTTGGATTAAACAGAGAGAGTGAGGCAAGGGAATTTGTATTGAAAGCACTTGAGTTAAATTAAAATTATGAATTGGCTATAAAAACATTAAGTAAAGAATTTATAAGCCTTTATATAGAGAGATTTGATGAGATTTCAAAAAGGAGATTCAACTAATGATTTTTAAAATAAAAATAGAAACCTTTTTAAATCATTTGATATCCTATTATATTATTTTTCTTAAAATAATAATTAAATAAAGACAGTATATATGTAGTAATAATTTCCAAATCTCTCATGTTTAAATAATCATTATTAACCAATTACTAAAGTTAGATTGGAAAAGTAGGTACTTTAAAAAGATAGATTCCTTTGTGATTTATGCAATGAGCAAATATAAAATGAATAAATTTTGGAAATTTCATCAGTTTAATAAATGATCAATGATTTTCAGAAAAAATAAAAGGATTCATCCGAACACTTTCTACTGTTTATATTATTAAAATTTATAAAATTGATAATTATATATTCAACATAGATATCCTCTCTCATTTTACAATAAATACACTTACAACAATACTATTGACAGTTGTAAAGATTCAT